TTCTGGCTCATGTATAGGCCTAAGACGCCATATTGCCTTATGTATTGTACTGCCCGTGCGTGCATACTTAATGCGCGACGTCACATCGACAGAGATCAGCGATCAAGTTTGACTAAGAAATTAAAAGATCCACACTTAACAGCACAAAAATGATATCAATGATCGCCTATTTCATATCAAGTAAGTGTGGGATGTAAGGTTTAACATTTTTCATGTTATTTAGTATTTACAGAAGCAGAGCTTGTAAAGAAACCAAGTTTTAAATTCCGATTTTGACTGTTGACAAAAATAAAGAAAAGAGAGAAAGAGGCGACTTGTTAGAAACAATGACATGAAATTGTGAATAAAAAAGATATTATTGTGGGTTTTATTTTTTGAGAGTTCATGAAATACACTCATGTGTATTAATTTAAATATGTATTGTAATACCTCTTAGTTCTACCAAGGATTATAAAAACTGATCGAAATGGCTTCGTTTTTAAAGTATAAAAAACACTACCCTACCCGGAAGTAGTATAACATGTATATTGAAACCATGTGTAAACTGTAAATCACGTGAATTGGCTGATGCAATCAGGATGTGACTAGTACAAAGTAACTATGATGCAATCAGGATATGACTTGTGCAAAATAATTGGCTTCACCTAGAATTCGCGATCTTTGCTCTTTAGCATAACATGAAGACATGTTTTGTGTTTAAGTAGCTAGATTCAAATACAAACTAAATGAATATAACATAAACCAACCATCATTTGTTCCAATCATGGCGAATTTTCAAGGAAATACGTGTAACTGAATGTAAATCAAGAGCGGAGCTCTTCAATTATGAGGTGAGAAAAATGTAAAAATAAAAACAAAAATAAATCTCACAGAATAGAGCTATTTATACGATTCTAAGTACATTTTAAGTGCTCTATACATTAATGTAAGTATAAAAGCCATTAACCTCAACTGGGAAGCACTTCATCATCATCATCATCATCATCAGGTTTAGGAGGATTGGAGGCTTCAGCCTGTAATGTTCTCCCATCTGTATTGGTTTATTTAACTGAATAGGGATAGGGAAAGTGCTATTGCTCACTAGTGACTATTGTATATATCTGAGTGCCACGTCCTGTCTAAGAGTGTCTTGAAGTGGGAAACTGAAGGGGCATCAATAACATCCTGGGGTAGAGAGTTCCAGTTGTTTACAATCCTGGTACTGAAGGCATTCTTTCTTAGTTCGAGTCTAGTCTGTGGTTTTCTTATTTTGTGGGTATGTCCTCTTGTTGTTAATGTTGACTTTTTGAAGAACTGGTCTATTTTCAGATTGTAGATTCCATTCATTATCTTATATACTTCTATCATGTCTCCCCGTTTCCTCCTATAAGACTATTTTTACAGCTTGAATTGTAAGAAAATGACACTTATCTCAAAAAAGGGAAATTTGAAAGAAGCTCAATTTATTGTGAAGATGAAGTTTATATATATCTGTATATAGGGGTGCGAATATATAGTCATAGTATGGGCTAATTCGCTTAAAAATGGCGATATATACCTCAGAACTTGTATTTTGTGATTTTTTCAATATCTTAAAATTAATTACCGTAGTTACACCATAACGTATCATAACTTCCGGAAGAGGCGAGCTGGTAAGTATATTTCAGTTCTTTTGACAGTTCAATTTTACATGTCTTTAGTATTGTGCACATGCTCTATGTGGACAAAATTCAGCTTATAGTGTCACACCATTTAGTGTCTTCTACCTTTTAGGAGCCATGTAAGGGTCCCATTCATGAGATAACTCTTTTATTTCTAACTAAACGTCTTGCCTTTTATCATGCTTAACAGAGTGTAAATAGGATATAGTCTAGGCCACAGTCTATATGGCTTATGCAGTTATGATTTGAGGCAAGCCCAAGTCATTAGCCTATCTATCTCTAGAGAAGATAGATAGGCTAATGATTTGGGCTTGCCCCAAATCATAACTGCATATAGTCCAACAACATTAGACCTAGCCTGGGCCTCTTTTCTTATCTGACATGTCTTATGGCCCGGCTAGGTCTAACCTCCATGACCATTTTGCCCTTGATGTGTTAATTTAGTCGTTCAGCAGGTTCCGACATGCGGAACTAATTAAACTCCGAAAACATGGTAATATTACATAAAGAATGTGATTCAAGCATGCATACATACCTTATAAATACATACACACCATCCCGTACCCCCCCCTTAGACCATATTGATGCATAATTACGAAAATATTGGAGACAGGTTTGGAATTTTACGAAAATATCGGTCAACTCCGGTAACATCGAAATTGCAAATCGTATCAGGAATTAACCGTCATTGCGACACTGCATCAACGAACAGTAGGTTTGCAATTAATAACTATTTTTTGTGTATACAAGCGCTATATAAATCAATCAAAGATACCTGCTATCCTCAAAAATAGTTATTTTATCCCGAGTAATCGCGTGATAATTATCAATCTATTTGACAACAATTTCGTTTCAATAGTTTAAATTTTAACCCGGGACGAACAGACACAATGGCGGACATGCGGAAATGTCATTTTAGAGATTGGTAAGTTTAACCTCATTTTACTTGTATAAATGACCATTTAATACAATAATATTGTGTTTAATCGCTTGATGTTATGTGTTTTTATATTGTTGTCAAGTATCAGTTGCATGTTATCGCGGAAAAATGGTTTCGGTGGATCCAAAACTTGCATCAATGGAAAGAATAGTAAGGAGGTTAAACTCAATAATGGCCCCAAGAAAATTCTTAATAATAAATAACGCCGTTATTGAGTTTAACGACGTTGAACTAAACTGCATATAGACTGTGGCTCAGACTGTAAGCTTAGGCCTCAAAATCTGTGTAGGAAGTCACAAAAATTTACCGCATGTCCAGTCAATTTCCAGTATACAGAACTTATTACTTATATCCACTTATTAATTATTTGGATTAATTATCCTACGCTAAGACTGAAGTGAATGAATTACACTCGACTAGAATCTATAAGAAATTGAAATCAAAAGACGAAAAAAGTCGCCGGAATTTTCAAGAAAAATAATCATCATGTTTTTCAAACTAGAACTCCATTAATACGATCGAACGTGTATAAAACTGAGGTTAAAATCAACGTCTATGATACTGACCGCTCTATCAGCGCTTCTTTTCTCCCAGAAGTCGAGGCTCCACGCTCCGAGAGCTGTTTTTTCAGAGATGCAACAGTCTCCATCTCGAAAACTGAAAATTTATTTCACGCCTTACATTTGAAGAGTTTTTTAGGATCTTAAACGACTACAGCGCCACCATTCGGCAAAATCCAGCGCTAGCCTCATTAAAAGAACATCCTATGATTTACTCGTGATATGATTTTAATCCACTCATGGATATTGATATCTGCACTCTTTCGCTACGTGCAGATATCATATCCATTCGTGGATAAAAATCATATCACTCATAAATCATAGGATATACTCTATATATCTTTGAAAAACTAAGAAATATACATCTATATTGAATTTTTCAAAACAGAAAAAAACATGTATAAATATGAAGGTATGTAGTTCCGATTCCCCCTGGTAGCATTAACATTGGTCACGTATGAATAATACAATTACTATTTGAGACCCAACTATTATTCAAATTTATGATCGGACATACGTATAATGTGTACTTCGATGTAATATTTTTAAAGTAACATCATACGTATGTCCGATCATAAGTTCGAATGATACAGATGTAGTTGTATTTCAAATATTAATTGTATGACATGTATGAGACCAATGTTAATGCTACCAGGGGAAATCTGACCTACAGGCCTTACTTTTAATATATGTTTTTTCTGTTTTGAAAAATTCAATATATGATGTATATTTCTAAATTTTCAAAGAAATCTGCAAATATTTCATTACGGTATAATTTTACATCGTAATTTCGATCACCGCCATCACTTTTCGAACGAGTCACTTGAAATATCAAGACGTCATGCTATTCTCATACTTATAGAACTCAATACAACTGTCCTTGATAATTAATTTAAGCAGTAAAAAATTAATTTGCTTCATGGGTGACAAAATGTTTCTACTTTCCTTGTGAATGTCAAGTCTCGCATCATACGAATGTAATTTTAGGCGATCTGTCTGCATGGGGTGTTATCATGAGATGTTGACTGTGTGATAAAGCCCATTCCCTGAGCTTCTATATCAGTTTAATCACGGACTTTAGGTCCGTGGTTTAATGCATAAAGTTATATCACACGCTATATTCATAGCTTTGCACGACTTTGATCCCTTGATTCTGCTCCTCCTAAATCCTTAGACACAAGTTAGTCAGAAGAAAATTAAACGTTATTCCCACCCACTATATAATTTATTTTTAAGATGAAAATTAATGAAGATAGCACTTTATGCATAATGGGTCTCTGGTAGTTTAGAGGCATGACGTCGTCTCTTATGTAGAGTTTATTCAAAATAAAGTAAAACTTAAAACTGGGAATTCGTGTCCACCACATACCCGCTCAGATAGTTTATATCAATCTAAAATATCTTTGAAACATGTATTGTATACTTAAAGGCAGAATCAGATCTATAGGTGGTGACAAAATTACAAGCAACTTTTATAATTGACTTACCAATCTATTCCTTACAATATCAAATACAATATCTCCCAAAAGATTCACAATATGTTATAAATTGGTGAAGTTATTAATGATTCAAAGTGCAAAAATGGGTGGAAAATGTTTAAATTTCCCAAATAATAAGAATGGTTACCATTCTTAAAGAAAAATAATACATAATTGTAAAAATCTTTAGTTTTCCTTGAATAAAGTATGCACTTTTGTGATTTTTAGAAAATAGACATGACAAGGAATGACATGAGCAAAAAATATTCTAAAATTGAGACAATTTTTTGTCTAGCCTGCTTCATCCTTCTTCAAAGGACTTCATTTATGCCTAAATCCATATACTTGTAAAATACCCTTGCAGCAAGGATGAGCCTGCTTGCTCTATCTGATTCTCTCTTTAAAAGGCTAGGAAAATGAAAAAATTGTCTTTTTCTTGACCAGCCTGTACACGTACACGCACAGGTCAGAAAACGCATGGCGTACGTCCATGTCATACGTAACTGTACATGCCAAGAAACTCGATCTTCGCCGTTCACATGTTCATGTTGTCAGTCATCAATCATGGCTTCGGAAAGAAGTTGTTTCCAGGCGAATGAGTTGAACATCTTATATTGAAGTTCGTGTCCCAAAGTGCCCATTAGCATCAATGTGGAACAGACATTACTGTGTTGGACCCGTTCGATACTTCTCACATATTTCTGCCTTGAGAAAGAAGAATATGCAATGGTGTGAATTAATACGCTCAATAAAAATGTTAAATCAAGTCTAATGTGTCATTGACAAATGAAATGGTTGGCAATATTGCAATGCCTGAGAGTGACCATGCATCATTGCCTTGTACGTCTATCCTATTATTTGAATATTAATTTGACCAATTATTTTTAGGTGTTCGGTGGAATGCAAGGCAATATTTGGCAACAGTTTTCTTCCATTGAATCCTAATCATTTCCGAAAAGTACTGCAATCTTCATTGAAAAATGAAGTTGCAATTTCGATAAAAAGTATAGTCCTTATATTCCCAAAGTGAAATGTTGTTGTTGTTAGATATATTAGTTTATTATATTATTATATTAGTTCTAATAGTATCATGGTCAATGGCAATGCGTTCCCAAAAATTAGTATGTTTTCATTTACGTATTACCTGAGACTTACACATGTTACTAATTATAATTTAACTATTAATTTTATTCTCATAAAATGTACTTTAATTGTGTACCACCTTGTCATTATAAGGTCAAACTATTACATAAAACTAGTGTTTATAACGTGACAAAACCTGTTACTCTCTTTAATGGATTCATATTTTTCTCAAAGTGGATTATTATAGACTAGAAAACGTCTTTAATTATGATTAATACCATGTGATGAGGTTTATTGGGCTCTTGATGCAACTTCGATTTCCTCATCAGAGTTGTTGATTCCATATATGGCTCTATAATGTTGTATCTTTGTGGATTGGCGCATAACTAACATTCCAGTTGTCAAGACGCCTGCTGCATGTCGTAGAATATTACTGACTAACTGTACTGATCAGAATCATTTGATTATTTCTTCACAGCATTATCATGGATATTATATTAGGAATCTTCACACTTTTGCATGGATTACTTGTTTTTATATCAGCAGAAAAGGGTAAGTATTTTTAATATCAGTGATTATGGTTTAATGTAACGGTTTCACCTGAGGCAAGGCTTTGTAAATAATATTAAATTATCATTATAGGTAATTTTCAATGTCTTTTAACATAATATATTTTCTTATTGGTTTAACATATTTTCTTTGTTAGTGAACATAATATCTTGATTTTTTTTATATTTAGTTTCCAAGATAAAACCATCTTATAGTTGACATATTATATTTGTGAGTGAACATAATATCTTGGTCATTGGTTTGCATTCAGCTTCCAAGATAAAGCCAGCTACCCTATAGTTAACATATTATCTTTGTTAGTAAACATAATATCTTGATTGTTGGTTTACATTTAGTTTCCAAGATAAAACCAGCCTAAAGTTAACATTATATCTAGTAAACATAATATATTGGTTTTTGGTTTACATTTAGTTTCCAAGATAAAACCAGCCTATAGTTAACATAATATCTTTGTTGGTAAACGTTCTTTGTTATTGGTCTACATTTAGTTTCGAAGATAAGAACAGCAAGTCAATGTTTCAAGAGTAGAGGAATTCCACGAGTCCAGTTTTCCTGCCCTCAAGACACTATGATCAAGATTCACAGAGCCTTCCATGGCATCGCCGTGAAGGATAGAAAGGTAGGTTTCGTTGCTGATATTAATGCTCCGCTATGTTTAGTTATTGTTATTTAAAATAGAACAGCACTAGAACACAAATAGAACAATACAGAAAAACAACCAAATCTTAACCCAACAATCAACGAAAATAAACAACAAAGCAACGAAACAAATCAACATCAGTTATCTAGGAGACACATATACATGTACCACTGGGCTAAACGAGCAAGATAGGAGATATGTGTAATAATGTGTGTGTTATTTGGATTTATTATATACCCCATATGTATTTTAGATGCTCATTGGCTTATTCGCGGTCATATGATATGAAATAAATAAACTAATTCCCTGGAAAATCCAAAATTCCTGCTAACAGGGAATATGAAATGTACTAATCACCAGTTAGGTCATGTGACCAGTCATTGGTACGTTTTATCTTCCCTGCTAACTGGGATTATAGCAAAATGCCTTTAAAAGCCAATAAGAATATGTAAGCATAAATGTTGAAATTAAAATACTCAGTTTGTTTTTGTTCGCAGAGTACATATGGGGTATATAATAAAGAAAATAGTGACAACCATGTTCTCGGGAACATTTCCCCCTCGGGAATGTCCTGTCGGCCTGCAGCCTCGAGAACATGCCAGTGGACAGGATATTCCCTCGGGAAAAATATTTTTTATTATTTCCGTCAATGGCAGTCCCTATTGGTATTGTATCATAGGTTTTAATAGGTGTGAACCACCGGTATAATATTGACGTTATGGCCGTAGTAGAGATAATTATTTGGGAGTATTATACGGACAATCAATATAAACATTTTGATTATAATCTTAAAATTCAAACAAATTTTGGGGATAATTTTGGGATTGTATTTTGATTCTAAAATTAATACATAGATATATTGATATGCGTTAAATTGATCTTCGCTTCAGTAGGTTGACTTTGGTTAATACAGTGCTTTGCGGTGTTTTCCCCAGTGCTTTCTACTTGTATTAAGTATTTTCAGCATCAATACTTTATGGCATAGATTTCCCTAATCACCATGGGAACATTTTCCATAGGCTCCAATTTGATATTCTAGTCTTCTCTACAAGGAAAATATTAATTTTCTTGATACGATGTTTCAAAGTATTGAATTCCCAAGACTGGGGGAAGAACAAACATATTTAGTCAAAATGAGATGATCAAACAAATGGTATCCAACATATACGTATCATGAAAAATTGAAATTGATCATTGATGACTTTGAGGAAAATTGCATTATCAACAACTCCATGAACATGTCATGCATGGTGCATGCCTGAATAACCATGGTGTTTGATGGACCATCTTTCCAATAACTTGCTATTCCAGGATCTTGAATCTAGTGGGAAATGTAAGTCTACCCAGCCTGGGATCTCTACTAATTGTACATTCTGTGAGGGTGACTGTATCGATGACTCTATGAACATGGTTTACGACTGGAGTAACTGTATGGGGAACACGACCTGCAACAAAATAGTCATGCAGTCATATATGAGTAAATGTGACACTAGAAAATTCAGTGACTATATGCAAGTGGAATATGAATGTGTAAAAAGTGAGTATGCATTGATAGTAGCCTATAATTATTTATTTCATATAATACTAACCCCCGGGGGGATACTCACATGTATCTCATACTTGAGTGGGTTTGGGGTAGATATCACCCGGGAATATATATCGTATCTGAGGAGCGGGCAGGATATATTGTATATGTCCCGCTCAAGGCCAAATGCGGGCAGATATAATATATCCATCCCGCTCCCGGGAATTTTTCAAAAGTTTAAAAAAGTTTAAATATCAAAAGTTTTAATTTTTTAATTTTAAAATTTAATTTTTTTAAGTTTAAATGTTACAATTTCATTGTATTGAACAAAAAGAATATTACGAAAATGATAAATATCTTGTCATTTGAAAAAGGTGGAAACCCACTCAAGTATGAGATACACCAGTTATGCACGGTCGGTTTGGATACATGGAATATACCTTGGGATATACAATACATCTTCCCTCGGTCTCTTCGGTCCCTCGGGAAGATATATTGTATATCCCTCGGGATATTCCCTGTATCCAAAACCTCCCAGTGCATAACCCCTATATATTGGCTATATGGGCACGTGCCGCTAAAGTGGGTCACTTTTTCGCCGAAAATCTAACCAGCCATTAGGGAAAGACAAACGATTGCAAAACACAGCAAAACAAAGAAACATGTAGAGGTCAACCAGTCATAAGGAAAGTAAATTCCCAATATCACAAACCATGAACTAAGAAACAAAGAAACAATGTCCAACACCACTTCGCTCAACAAACAATATCACGATCTAAAACCACAAGACCATAGGACATTTTAGTCATACTAACATCATTAATGAATACGTCGAAGAGTGTATTCAAATGATGCTATCTGAAATGTAATGTTTGCATATTATAATTTTGTGTTTGCAGGAGATGGCAATTTTCAGGAAGTCATCCAAATCTATATTTTTAAATTTTGCACTGAAGAGTCATGAGTAACTCAAAAGCGATTGAGATTATTTGTTTCACACGAACTTTCATGGATCAACTATTGGTATGCATATTTTATTTTACAGAGAACAAGGTGATTGATGTATGTGGAGGGATGGAGCAGTGGGCCCAGACAGCGTATATCAAATCTCCTAAATATCCAAGCCACTACCCAATAAACAAGGACTGTCTATGTCGTATTAATACGGCATACGGAAACAAAATCAAAATAGAGTTCAAGGTATACGAGATATTCAAGGAACGTAGAGATACGTCAAATAAGAAATACTTACAATTTGCACTCTCAATAGACTTGAAGTGAAATTCTTTTCTGTAAGTGTTAAGGAACCTCAAAGGGGTCGCAGTTATTTTATCAATTAATTGATCATATGCTGAGAACAGAAAGGGACGCTATTTATTATGATTAACAATTTTGGAATTAATATTATGCTGAAAGGTCAGTGGGACACATAACAAAAACACTATTTTAAAAATCCAAATTCTGAATTTTTGTTTAAAATACTGTATATTTAATCTAGTGCTATATTTCTGAAACAGGAACTTCTCTTGGAAACCAAAGAAGGTTCGTGTATAGCTGACTGGCTGATGTTTAAAGAGAGAGGAAAGAAAGAGAGGCACTGCGGAGCAGTATTACAGGGAACCAAGACCATCTTATCAAATAGCAACTCGATATCATTGCATTTTCATTCTGATGAAAATGAAAATAAGACACAAAAGTTTCAGTATTTCACCCGGGATCTCAAGGGATTTTGGCTTCAAATTTCAGGTTAGCAATATCAGATTATATTCTTTGTTGGATTTGTCTCAAGTGTTTACGTGTAGACATATGTATAGCTTATTTATTGTCTAATACTTACTGTAGGTGTTATAACATTGCACAGTGTTACTATTTTGGGGGGCCGAATTAGGATTCTTTAAAATTTGAATGTGACGAAACTGAACTTTTGATAATTTAAAAGGGAATACATCTCCAACCTTTGTATATAACATTGATGGAACTAAACTCGTAACCATATATTAACATTGTTTCAGGTGACAAGACCAACACCTTACAGATCCACTGTAGAACGCTTCAGCCCAATGACATTGAGGTGATTGAGGTTGAGAAAGAAAAGAAACTTGAACTTGCCAGAGTTAAGAAAGCAAAAGAAGAAAAGGAAAGGATGGAAGCCTTAGAACGTAAGAAGGAAGCCGAGAAAGAAAAACTGGATGAAGAAAACAAAGAAAATGACGTAGAGAAGATTACTGGAGATGGTAATTTTTTATGACATTCTTGTAAAGGTCCATACATGTGCAGTATGGCAAGTGATTTTAGACGGTCATATCTTTCACCATGGGTGCTTTCTAACCATCGATGCAGTGTTTTTTATTAAAACAATACGTTTTCTTACAAATGAAGTCCCCATGATAGTAAAATATTATTCTAACTCTCTGAAAAATAGTGGATTAGGACCCGACCTTCGCACTTTTTTAAAAATGTTAGGCTCATTTTTTAAAAAGAGGATCTTGTTTTTCTCAATTTAAACATATCAAAAGTTTCTTCTACACTATATTTACGATTTCTGAAAAGGGGATGCGTATTGAAATCCGTTAAAGTTAAAAACCACATATCCCATGTTGTTTTCCCATAGGGAAAACTCGTGCTATCCATTGTTTTCAGCATAATTTTGGTCATAGAAAATTGATATCTTCAAAACTAGACCTTCAATACCATTCTACTTTTGAAGATGTTTTAGACCCCTTGTTGATTAATCTTTTCATACTATAAAAACCAGAAAAAGAAGATCCTCTTTTGAGTAAATAGGTTCAACATTTTTTTCAAAATGTTGACGTCGGGTCCCTATTCATAAAATTTTCAAACTGTTCGATTGATATTTTTTATCATCATGGGTACTTTACTTGAAAGAAAACATATTGTTTTAGTAAAAAAATGTATTTATACCCAGAAAGTATTCATGATTAAATATATGACTGTCTAAAATCACTTGCCATGCATACTGCACATGGACTTTCCAACCGAAAGTCCAATTCGGATTATGTGTAAAAGTATAGCAAGTTTAACAGCTTCATCCAAGACCTTGTTTTCTCAATTAACGTAACTGAGGAAAAATTACGATTCACACATAAACCAACTTTATAGGGAAAAAATAACAAACTTATCGAGGGGCGTATATCTCTATCATTTTTGTGTTACATATCTGTATCATGTATATGCATAATAGTGGACAATCTGTAAAAGTTCCTAAAAATATAATACGATATAGGAAAAATAAAGTTTGATCATTTACAGTTATGTAAACACATCTGTATAACATGTGAAAATGTGTAACTATTTTAAAAATTCATGTCAAATCTGAGAAAGGGAAATTTTATGATTCCGGCCAGCTATGTATAAATTATTCCTTAAAATAAATCTGCAGCTGGTGATACTACTAATTACTGATAATTCGTTATTGTAATGTAATACTTACACCCCTGATGAGGAATACATATCTTGAGAATTCATTTATAGTTACATAACACTGGGGCATACATATGATGATATTGGCTGTGTGAGTCAAACAATTAACAAATCACAATCTTAACTCAATCCATGCGTCTCATCTTCTTTTAAATGATATTTTAACAGCAAACGTGTGTTTTCTGGAATTCGTTTTCCAAGCTGATATTGACCACATGGCTTTTGTTTTCCTTTTATTCCAGACTTATGCTTTTAAGGTTCCTGTAGTGTAGTTTTGAAATTAATATTAGAGTAATAATTATGTTTCAGATGACGAGAAATTAGAAGACGAGAGTAGCGCAGCAACAAAATTTCAACTGACAATCAGCTTGGTGGTGCTAACAACTGTGTTACAATGGTTGACCTAACAACTGTGCTTCAATGGTTGACCTAACAACGGTTGACTAAACTAAATGTCAATCATTGATGCTAAAGACTATGGTACAATGGTTTAAGAACTAAACTGCCAATCAGTAATACCAACAACTATGGTGCAATGGTTCATTAAATGAACATGACAGTCAGTAATGCTAAAAATATGGTACAATAATTGATGAACTAAACACCTATGATACGATGTTTAAAGAACTAAACAAATGCCAATCAGTGATGCCAACAATTATGGTACAATGTTTGTAGAATTGAACTGACAATCAGTGATACTTACGGCTATGGTACAGTGGCAGTCAGTGATGATATAACTAATGTACAATGGTTGAAGAAATGAACCAATGATACAAAGATTGTGTAGTTAATCATGTCATGATACATAATCGTGACACATCAGTGAAAACTGACTGAATCATGATCTCTATCAAGAATGCAACTGTAAGGAATGGAGCCAGAGAATTGAATGATGTCTATGCTCCATCGTGCCAATATTAATATTATGTCAGTGTCTCACTGACTACACTAATTCTTCAAACAGTACCATCATTAAAGATAAGTTCTCAAAATCATGATGACCAATTCCCCGAATGGTAATCAAAATATAATTATACCATCACACAGGGAGTTTTCATTCAATATGGAACATGTACAAAAGAAGGACTTTTTAATGGCACATTGATTTATAGACGTCTCACTTGTACATATAGATATTCAAACCCTTCTGTAGGATGTTCAAACTCCAGGGCGATACGGCAATGATTAAATATGCAAACACTCTTGCAATGTCTTCTTCATCCTCGGTATTATGTATATAAATCATGCTTTTTGCATAAGTATTTGTGGATAACACTCGTTTTGGACTTTGACTTACATACATGTACATACTGTACCCATACCATTATATTAACATATTAATTTGTTTTGTAAATAATTGTAAACAGTAAGTAATATACAGAAACCAATTTTATACTCTTCAGAAAATATATGTTCTTGTTTCAATGATATCGGTACCATGGGTTTGGACCCTGGTTTGGACGCAGAGGTGTGAACTGGAGCGCACAATCGCAACTGCACTGTTAAAGTCATTCTGATACTCATCAGCACATCTTTCTGTTTTTCTAAAAAGGAACGTTTGATTGAAGTCCATGATTACTCATGATGTTATAAAGTGATCTTGAACTATTTAAATGTTTAATTTAATCAATCAAAGTTGCCCAATTTGATCGCGCAATTTTGTGATGATTCTACACTGTCTCCATTGGTTAAGTTATAATATGAGAATTTACCAAAAGAAATCCGAGGAACATGATATTTTGTCTTATTTTGAAGAATAGAAATGTAGATACCGTAATCTGTTTGAGGTTTGTCAATAGATGGCATAGGACACATTTTGTTAACATGAACAAATCAAAATTACTTCAGAAATTTCAAAAATGCATGTATATTTAGAACTATTTCCCTAAAACTAATTTTTGCTTTCTCCTCTATCTGTAATTTAAAAATATTTAAAGCATAAACTGATCGCAAGCATAATCGTAGCTTGAGTTTTGAACAGATTTATTGCTATTTTAAGCAAGACAATTGAACATCAAATTATACATCTTCGCAGTCATAACAATTATTTAAAAACTACTATTTGAGTTATTAACAGTCACCCTCATAGCGCCAATAGAAAGCAGTAGAAAGTAGCTGATGTCTGCAGTGAACACCTCCCTAGCCACACACTTCAAAGATGGCTTCAAGAATGAGTGGGGTCGTCAGGAAGCAACAATGTATTGATATTAAGGGTGCCTACTTTGAGCACCTCATGAGGTCAGTCCCGTAGCCAGCTTTTGTCAAGGGGGGGGGGGGTTACTTTTCAAAATTTCCTAGGGAGCTTCACATTTCACAAAATCGAAAATGCTCAGAATGGTAAAAAACTGCATGCATCTAAAAGCATTTTGGCAAAAGGAGTAGGGGGATGGTTAAAACTCCCTAAACCCTCTTGTGAAGTGAAGATGGACCAGGAAAGAAACTGGAAAGGATTATCCGTAACTGCACTGCATATCCCAAGAGTTAAACAGTAATATGTGATACTGCTTTCAACACTCAAAATGTCGTCCAAAGGTAACGTCAGAATTTTGCCCCCATTATTGAACGCCGTATGTACGCAGAGACATATGGTTTTATGTCTCTGATTTACGTGATCACGTGAATGTACATGAATAACGCTATAAACATCTTTTTGTAGCGATTGTATTTGCTTATCCAAACAATGTCACAATTTTTATTCAGCACGGTAAAGTATTTTTGCATATTCCGAAAACACATGAGTCATAAGCCACAGACCAGTAATGAACTAGTAAACAAGTAAACAACATGTGAAAAATACGCGCTTTTAAATTGTAAATTCATTTTGTTTTCTTTCATTTTTGATGAAGTTGTTAACTCTGCCAGGGTAGTCGTTGGAAACCAAAAATAAAATATCTTTCAACGATTCTCACACATTTAATTAACATATGATATTCCATGGCTAGCATAAATATTTATGATATAATCAGGAACTAAAAGGGTTTTTCGTTTGACGTTAATGACAACATCTGTTCCTGTGACCCCACCTCTTAATGCATGTACGCTACTTCTTTATTATTGGAAATGTCAGTATATTATTGAACATTACGAGGATAGATTCAGTCGCAGAGAATATATACGATATGGGAGAACATCTGGTCATTCAATAAGTATTATAAAGTATACCTAAATTATAAAATTATTATATGTTAATTACCTAATTAACAATTCGCCCTACATACGTTGTATATACATATAGTTTGCTATGTAACTTTTAGATTGGGTTTGGGTAACAGGTGCTTATGTGGGGAGACATCAGGTGTTTCTTACTTTTAATTTTCGCTATAAATTGGTCAAACTACATTTAACTTACTTTTTATTAATTATCAAAATGTAGTTTCACACCATTACATGCATTACTTATTACTTGATAAAAAGAATAATTTTGATATAGTTTAAACAATAAAAACAAGTTAATAGTAAGTATTTGACAAATAACGCAAGGTGAATTAATAAGAGAAACACAAACAAAAGTAAAGGGATAATACAAGGGTAAGCAATACGAACAATGAGGAATAGAACTAGGATGTATGGAGGTGTTACCATGGTAATATTTTGTACATTTATGCTACTACAAGCGACCGTTTCGGGACATGATAGTGAAGAGGATGATATCAAAGAGGATAAACATAAACCACACAGTGAGTATTAAGCATATGTTCTGTTTTTATCATTTTCCCGAATTGGGCCATTAAGAATATCTTTATTTCCATCCGGGTACACTAAGTACTGGACTTGGACAAATTCCTATGTGATCTTTCTCATTTCAAAGGCTCTTGGTCATTGATGTACACAATGTATACGGTAGGTACATTTTTATAAAATCGAAACATAGACATTTCGCATATTTGTGCGATGAAATATCTTTCGACTACAATAAACTCGAATACTAATCAAGTCATGGTTTCTAGATCTTGAGAAAGCTGTCGACACAGTCGATCCTGATATTATAATATTATATTAAAATAAAATCATTATCTGTCAGTGTTTTAGTCCTATGTGATAGCTCACGCAAGGAATGCAATTTTATTCTGTGTATAAACTTTAGAAAAGCACAGTTTTTATCATATTAACTATTTCAATGTTGTGCTACAAGGATCGATTTTTAGTACGCCACTTTTTACAATAATCTGTAAACATTTCATAAATTTCATCTTATTTTCAGTTAATAAAAAAGTGAGTCAATGCTTCAGAACAAAAGGAAATCCCTTCATCACTATTTACTGTGGACTCAACAGTATGGTTAAGATCCATAAAGCTATACATGGCATGCATAACGAGAACACTACTGTATGTCATCCTCTGGAGAATGATTGTGAAGAAGACGTACTGAACTCTATTCATTACGACTGGTCACATTGTATGGGATCGTCTCATTGTGTCTCGTCTGTGGGTCATTCCTGGCTGGCGGACTGTGGCAATTATAGCAGCTACTTGGAAGTGGAATATGAATGTGTACCAAGTAAGTTGAAATGACAAACTCTGCATGACACATTCGAGAATATATGTTATGATCAGTTATCCATAATATCATGGGCTTTCAACTTGAAAGCCCATGATAATATTTATAACAAGTTTCACATTTGATAACTAAGTTTTTGTCATCAAAGTTGTCATCATGTTCCTAGAGAGAATGAATATCAACTATAACATATAACTTGTGTAAGAAGCATACTGTATATATTCTAAAATTCTAAAACTATGATCAATTGATAGATGCCAAAATTATGATTGACATTTCAGAAAAGGAGGTCTTCGACATTTGTGAAAAGTTTGAATCAACGTTGACTGGTCACGGGTATCTGAAATCTCCAAACTACCCAAAGCACTACCCCATTCAGCAAGATTGCGAATGTTATCTGAAAACAGACAAGAAAACCCAATTAACTGTTACTTTCTTTGATTTGACTCTTGAGATGAAAAACAGAAATCAGTGCACTGATTGGTTACTTTTACAGTCAGGTGACTATGACGGCAAGCATAAGGACTTGAATTGTGGCCAGATCACCATGGAAGAAAAGAAGGTGAGGGTATAATCACACTATAAGTAGTATAAATTACCGATGGCGTGGGTCGAGTTTTACACAGGGGGGTATAATTTTCCATCTGATTCACGATGATCCCAAACCGTTGGGGTCTCAATAGTCAAAATTATTATACTTCACAAAAGTACTAATGACCAGATACGTCCCATGACTCATTGGTACTTTTGTCATCCCTTATTGCAAGAGTTATTTACAAAAATAAAAGAATATAGAAGTGAAGATTTTTGCTTTCAAATGCCTTTAACAATAACAAAATGCACAAAATAAACATTAGTAACACTACGTTTTCTGCTGAAATCGAAAGAATCTCGATACTTTAAATTGTATTCAACATTGTTGTTACATTTTAGGTGACAACAGACAAAAATGATCTTGTGGTCCATCTTCACACAGACAGATATGCTAACAAGACACAAACCTTCGAATTTAAGACCAGTAGAAAACTCAAAGGATTTTGGCTACAGTTCGAAGGTATGTGATACCTGACAGTTGGTGCCAAGGTCAAATGTGAAAGATAATTAGTAAATCATATCAACATATTCATCAGACTTTTATATTGTAATTGATTCTTTTCAAGAACATGGTAAAAGTACTAAAATATGATACATAATTTGATAATGGGCAGGACTACATAAAATCCCCCTCCTACGCCATTTTGTTGTTTTAATTTTTTTAATTTTATTCATTACTTGAATCATATGTTTTAAATTGTTTTGCAATTGTAGCTGAAAATAATGCAGATATAAAGATTAAATGTGGAAAAGCAGAAACGAAACAACTTCAAAGTTTGAAGCCGAACATACCAAAGCCCGATGGCAGTAAGGATAAAAGCCCATATACTCTCGGTGGCGCTTCTTCAATAGGACAGTCACTTGCAGTAATATCACTTTTGTCATTAACCTGGCCGTTGCTCATACGATTATAAGACGAAACGTCTTCAACATTTTGAAATTGTTTGCCATTAGGAAATACTAATCAATAGTTATTATCAATCACTATAGGACCATATTCTACTCCTTCACGAACACGTTTATCTTAATCTCCCCATTACACATATATATTCCTTTCATTTGAGTATAACTATTATTTGGTAGGGCGAGGGGTTTTCAAAAATCAGGGACTCAATATGAAGCACAAATTAAAATCAAATGGAGGAAATGATTATGATGAAACTTGCAACAAAAGAACTGAAACGCACATTTTGATACGATTAATAGTAGACTCACAGTGGAAATTGAGTTGTATCATGTATAAAACAGATATCTGTATAATTACTTATAAAGAGGAGATGTAAATGCTTATTGTATATATTTCTTATACTGTATATAGTAGTATTATGTTATTTAAATAAAGACTTTAGAACAACACTCATATATTAATGTTTATCAAAAAACATATACAGTAAATCCTGTGTATATTGAACACTTTTTGCCGAGAAAAAAACGTGTTGGTAGGTCATAGGTGTAGGCGGAGGGGGTTTGTGCGACCCCCTTGACAATTGCTGGCTATGTCCCTGTAGGTGTTCTGAGGGTGATTTATACAACAGTCAGTAGAGTGTGTGTGGAGGAAAAGTGTCCACAGAGAGGTGTTCACTAAGACAGGTTTTGCTGTATATGGCATTTAAGACATCAAGTCAGTTGCATTTACCTCTTTATTCTATTGATTAAACAAATGATCATAATACAGGCAAGTTAGTATATTGATATTTCGGGTGAGTGACACTGTGGATGACCTATCCAGGTCAAAGGTCAGAATCTGGGGAGGATGTTCTATTTGTCTTCATGTAAGATTACAATTTTTATCATTAATTTTCAAAAACTTAAGAGGTGGCAAGATCGGTCAAAATTGAGATTCGATTTCCAGTTGACCTTCTTTGACTTTACTTCTTTGTTCGAACATCGTTAAATTAATACAAGTTGTATCCTTCAAAATGGGATTTCGCTTGCTTCATATGAAGCACAAATCAGGATCAAAGGATTAGTATAATGAAGCATACAGCAAAAGAACTGAAACGCGCACTTCGATACGAGAAACTTTGGGATCGAAGATAGATATTTGATTTATACAAATAAAAAAGATAAAAAAGAATATGTTTGCATAGGTCAATATGGGTGGTACAGTGTATGTCCATATAAGAACTGTAAGTGATTACTTTAGAAAATGGCCATAACAAAAGGTATCCATCTTTCTCATTCTTCCACAACAATACCTGTAACAGTTTCAGGTTTTCTCAAACTCTCTTCTTCATAACGCAGTTCTCCGATTGTTTGTCCTTATTCCATTCTTTGATTCCATTAAATCAGCATACCACTTACTGTTAACTTTTCTTCAAGTATTGAGATACGATCCTATATTTCAGATTTGACTTCATTTATAAAAGATCCATATAAAGAGAGAAGCCCGGGTAATCAGTTAGGGGGTTTAGATGAGACGCCACTTCGCTTGTCCGTGGTCATATTAGGGAGTTAGCCGATTTCTAAAATACAAATCAATACAATATTTTCGTTTTTGAGGAACGAAAAATGATCAAGCCAAAGAAGTTTATCATTGTTTATCGTTAAATTGATGTGTTCCCATAGACATATTGGACAGAACAGCGGGTTGTCTAAAAGCAATAACAGTTTAATAAAATAAATATCACAAGTGAATATAAATATTCAAATAAAAATTGCACATATCACATGATTAAATCATAACTAAATGTGTAAGATGATACCCTTATTCTGCAGTAATCTACATAAGTGGATAAAATGATATCCAAAAACCATGATACATGAATCTCAACACTGTAAGAGAAATACTGGTAATGCATGTTAATTCAATCTATACTTAATAAAAATGATATCAAGTTTGCTTCCTGAATTCATCAATTTCTAAATTTCTACTTGAAATATGGATGCTCTGATGTTATGACACTTTTGATCTAAGCTCATCAAATGAGTAGAGTTAACTTTGTTAAAAGGTGATGATTACCATGTATTTATTGCATTTGATGCCTTAATATTACATAATATTTTACTCTTTACTACTTACAATTACAAAATAACAAGATATTAACATGCAAAATGTCACCACCTGCCATTTGTTACAGACGCCGAACGCTGATCACTTAAAACACCATAATAATATGTCACCACTTGTGGGGGTGACATTATAAAATGAGTGGCCATTGCTGTTTCTACTGGGTGACACTACATAATGGAAAATAACACTTCTATGTGTGAAATTGCCTTTTATCACATCTAGCAGTTCGAAAAACATACACTTCTATAGTACAAAATGAATCTCTGAACAGTTTTCTGTGGTACTCAATTCATTCCATGAGTGGTCAAATGTGACTGGCAAGCATTTGATGTTAAACGTTTATCAATAATTACAACAAAATATGTAACAGTCTTATCATCTAACAAAAAATATGTAAGTAATAGCCTTATCAATTTAAAACTGTGTTTTTGTAAATTTAAAGTCACATCACTCAATTAAAAGCATCATAAATATTATACATATTATGCAATATGGCTTAATACATTTACAAAATAATATCCCATAATATAAATTATAGATATTTGTTTCTTAAACAGAAGCATCTATTTCTTATTTTACAAATTTTTAACATTCAATAAATATCTATAATGGCATTAGTAATATTTTTGCCGTTTTAATCAAAATGTATATCATCTAGTACATGTACAATAAAAGTTAAAACCTGTTTAAATTGAATACCATTAGAGCCATTAAAGGTCTTCACTGTTGGTAGGTCTTTCTAAGTATTCGCTAGAGAGAGGCGCTTGGTAAGACAGGATTTACTGTACGTATATACACAATCTTTAAATTCAAAATTGTTTTCTAAGGATAGGAATGTCTAGGATTTTTAAATTGAATACAACAATACATAAAATCTGTCTTAGCAAAAAAAGTTCAATATACATAGATTCTACTGTAGTGGTTCATTAAATAGTATGTAATTTTCGTGGAGTTATTTTTATTTATGTTTATCAATGATGTTACTCAATCTAGTATCTAAAACCTTTTTATAAAAAACATTAAAAACTGGAATTTTAAATTCAATTCTCAACATCTTTAACATGTAAATATAAATAAAATTAGTAATGTTTAAATCACAATTATATTCTGTACAGATTATATGAGCTAAGCATAATAAAATATGAAGAAAATTTCTTATATGAATACTATTACTTATATCTTCCCCATATTTAAAGGCTGACTAACTTAGCCATGGGCACTGGCTGCACCAAGCACAAATAGATCAAACAAATGATCAAAGTTACTCATTGTCAATGGTTGTGCTAATATTGGAAGCATTGCTATGGACATAAAAGTTGTGTACAACTGGAGAAATGAATACTATTCAGAATACAACATTTATACAGTACCATTCTTCCTCACAGGATTCAATATTTTTGGTACATATTACAGTATATAATAAAAGTTACAATTGTAGCCAATTATTCATACAATCTTACAAGTATAATATAAGCTTGAACATTTAATAGATTTCCACTTTTGGGGGAAACATTCAATGATACTTTTGATCAGTTATTGCCATAAGTGATTTTCTCTGACATTCAAAACACTTATGTGTTTACTTCAAAACGGTTATACATGTACTTATCGACTAAAGATGTAAATTGCAAAAAAGTATAGGCAAAATAACCAATATACACATGCAAGGACCTCTGGGATAGAAGTTCATTTGATATAGATAAGAATAAAATTGCATCAAGATCCTGGATGTATGACTGCACACTAAAATAACCACGACACTGCATGGTAAATGTTATTGACGTTTTTGTGACTGTTATATGTTGTCTTTGAGAGAAGGTCCCTATAGCCCATACCTATGGTGACTGTGTCACGTCTTAGTGTTAGAATTTGGGACACTGCTGCCATATGTCCATGTAACACTAGAACATCTCTTGGCTCAGTCTCAGTAATTCTAGGACTCGTTATAGTGTTACCATGGTCATTTCCAGTGTTGCTAGTGGTCGTCATGGTGTCTCTATTGTGTTGTTCTATTTTGCCAGGGATCACAACTAAGTGCCCCTGATCTGTGCCAACGTAGAGTTTATCATCATGTTGGACAAGGTGGCTAATAAGCACCCCACCTAAAACAAACAAGATTCACAGTGATAAAAATGGTTATCGTGTAATTTACCCAGCATGCCCTTAACCTAATCAAATCTTGGCATAGTCTGCTCTTGCATCTGTAAATGTCAAGTTTTCCTGGAACTTAGGTAAGTAAGTCAGTATTGACTATTGTTCGGGTTAAAAAAAGAATTTATAAAATATAAATAATGGTTACCTTGCTTAATGTTGAGCAGGGCTGCTATGTCAGCTTCCTTGGAGAGTGAACCAGATGATGTGTTCCATCTGTAAAGGACACTCTCTGAAACACATAAACACATTTTCTCATCTGCTTTTTAAATTAAAACTAGCCTATCAAATCTGCTGATGCACAATTTGGAAATGTTTATCCCAGCCCATAGAATTTCTTTTATGATAATGTGTATAAAAACATTTTTTAATGGGAGAGATGAATGTAGTGCCATTTATATTCTGTATTCAATTGACAGCTTGTTAACAAATTTTTTTAAACTTAGCTTTTGAAAGAGAAACATCCACTTAACAGTAGTGGTCTGTGGCTTGAGCCAAGATCTATATATTTTGATTTCACCATCAATATTGTCATCTTCTATGATTATTACATACATGTAATACATAATGGGTGTTACAGATACCACAGCATGTGACTCATGCCCAAGACAATTCAGACTCTAGACTGGTGTGATCTTGAATACACATGTGCATAGTATCAAGAACATACCCGATTCCAGTGTGACATATAGCTCTCCCTTAGTTGGTGAAATGTGAGAGATTCTGTTTGCCGCATTTGCATTACTATGAGTTAGAAATGTAATTTTCTCTGTCTCCACTTGGTAGACCATAACTGTGCGGTCATGGCCAAGAAATATGCACTCCCTGAAAACGTAAAACAGCATGTTTCAGAGTCGAAATGTAAATGTAATTATATAGGCTAACTGAGAATGTTGGTTGAATTGGTGTTCATTTGATTAGAATTCATTAGTTTTTTAGTTAGTGATGACACTTTTCATGATCAAGTTTGTTAATCTGGGCAACACATGTAGTCCCTATCCACATGTTACAGCTCTCCTAAACTGCTCCCCACTTATCCTGAGCTACAGCCCCCTTGACCTTCCTTCAGCTACTGCCCACTCCCCAAAAGTTCCAAATTACCCAGTTGAATGACCTACAGACCCCCTCTCCCAAGCTTCATCCCCCTTCTCCAATGAGTATAATTTGGTTGCATTCACTTGATGCCCATTCGACAAATTCCAGCCCACTCCTAAAGCTCCAGAACCCCCATCCCTACCCTGTCACTAAGCTAAAGCCAACTCTGGTGTAGTAAAGAAACCCCTCCCTCAAGGTACAGAACACCCGCTCCTCAAAAGCCACAGCTCCCTTCTCTCTCCACTTACCTCTCAAGGACCCATCCAGTTGCTACACAATGTACTGCTTGTTCTACAGGGACGTGTTTCACCAAAGTGCCCTCCTTGTTATAGAGATAGAGACCTCCATCTCTGCTAGTCACTAGCACTAGGCCACTAGAGAGAGGGGAGATAGAGATTATTCTCAGTGCATCATCATCACACTCTATCTCAATCTCCTTTATCTTCACTGTGTCTTGAACTCTATAGATAGAAATACAAACAGCATAAGCCATATACAGTAACATTTGTAAAGTGAAATATCTTTCTGTGAGTGGAAAAGAAGAACACTATCAATTAACTTAATGATAAAAATGAACCTCTGTCAGTGGAACACCTCCCAAGTGGAACACTTTTAGGGGTACAAATGAGTTCCACTTACAAATGTTTTACTGTCCTTATTGCACTGTAAAACATTGTAGTCTTCATTCTTAAATATTTACTAACACTAACACTATCTACTAACCAGATGTAGAACAAATTTATACTATTACACAGCATAAAATTGTCTAAAGATACACTACAGTGAAACCTGTAAAGTGGAACACTTCTAGAAGTGGAACACCTCAGTTAGTGGAACACTTTTCAAAGTCCCAAGACCAACTGACTTAATGTTAAATGAACTTCTTATAAGTGGAACACCTCCCAAGTGGAACAATACCTAGCGTTACCAAAGTTGTTCCACTTAGGCAGGGTTTACCATATTTACAAATAGAACAACATGTGAATACACATACTGTACAGAACAGCACAAATTAAATAATAACATGATGCAGATATACATACATAACACTTTCCTTTTCACTCACCTGTATATAAAGATAGTAGCATCGGTTGTTGCACACCACATCTGTTCCCCAACAGCTGCCAAACACAAAACACCACAGTTGTCTAAGAGAATGCACTGTAAAGAAACAATACACAGATTTTGAGAGTTCATTTGATCATACGTGGATACCTCCCAATTAGACTTGCAACCCTTATAGTCTCGAAATATTGTTTTTGGAGGTTGCAGAATCATATCAAATTGAACAAGACACATAGTGAACAGAATTGTACCTAAAGAACAAGAAGGGCCAACTCCAAATATATCATGCCGAAAACTAAGTTTTCTCTAAGAAATATCCCTCAAAATTTAAAATCAATCCATCAATTGGTTTGTCTGGAAATGTGCAGGCAAGAAAAGTGAGATGCCTGTTGCTTGCAAAGCTGACCACAATATATACAAACGGATGTGTCAAACCATGGGCTTTCAACTCTAATTGAAAGCCCATGGTCAATCTCTACTTGGCTTGGATAATATTTTGATCAATGTGGTAATGACGTATTACAAATTGTTCAATATTGCAGTATAAATGTCTACGACCTTCACACACTGTTCCCCATGACCCATGTCATTTATATGTAATACATGTATTTGCATTTCAGCTCATATTCAAGTCAAACTCAAACAGGTCAAATCATCACTCACCTTCTGTTCTACACATGTATGTTTCTCAAGTGTCAGGATTTCAATAGAGCTGGATGCAGGATTACTTGTAGCAAGCCAAACTTCATTCACATACTCTTCATGGTTGCCTAGCAACAGAAATGCCTCAGATATAGGAATTTGGAATTTTCCTAAACACCATATGAGATTTCAATTTAATAAGGTAGGGAATCATTATATTCGATTAAAAATGTTGAATTCAGTAACATCTGCACAAACCTGCATGTCTTACTGCTACTATAGTAGCATCAACAATTCTCTGTTGTTTCTCCATAGCAACCACATCCATCAAAGTGGAGAACTCGGGGCTAGTAACAATGGCTGATATCTCTGCAGCTGAAGGTCTCTGTGCTGGTTCATGGGCCCAGCACATTGTCATCAGGTTCAACATTGGAGCTGGGTATGTCACCTCCTAAATTATTTACGTGATATTCGATCTATATCCTTCTAACCATGGAATAAATTTGGATATGACACTATTTGACTCCTCTGATTTGGGAATGATTTAAAGTGTATCTCTGAATGGCTTTCAAGCCCAGCATATTGTTATCATGTTTAATTGGGATAGGTTTGTTACAAAGTTTGGAATCAAAATTTCATATGTTTGGTGATGATATTCCTAAATATATTCCACAGTACATCTAGGAATGACCACTTTTAGATGGTCAGGCAGTATCTCAAAATTAGCTAAAGTGGTGGTTTAAAATTAAAGTTTATCATCAAGTACATTGTATAACAGTTTTAAACCCAGTACATAAGCCTTTGTAAGTTGCATGTGCAATAAGAGTAAATTTATTTATATACATACCCTCTGTGTTAAAGATGGTCTTCCTTTCTTCTCCAAGACAAATGCCCTGAGCATATTTCCCCTGACAGACTCCATATTAGCATAGGGCATGTGTAGGGCCAGAAGCTCATAAAGGAACATACCAAATGAATAGCAGTCAACCTGAAACATATATAGTAAAGTATTAGATTTTAGTTTATCAAAAGGAGCAATTATACAGTAGTTGGTCAAGTAATACTAGAGCTTGTACTAAGTAAAGTAGTGTGGACATATACTAGTATGACATTGGTGTAACAAGCATCTGTCGCCCCATAGTCAACTGCAGGTTTTGCAATGGGGCATGTGGGCCTGATCTGTCTAGGGATCTATAGACCATTCAGACTGCAGATTGTGCCTTAAATGTGAACATATTGGAGCTAAGTAGTTCCTGATGCTGATACCTTTTCTGTGTATGGTTCCTCTCCATTGTGTTGCAATATCTCTGGGGCAATGAAGCCTGGTGTTCCTGCTAGACCCTTGGTGCCCATTGGCAGTGCAGCGCGACTTATACCTGGAAATAAGAAGAAAATATTTGGATCATGAAAGAGTCCCGACATGTATTTTACTCTTCATTTTTATCCTTCAAAGAAAAGCTTGTATGAGTGTTCAAAAAAGGTCTATGGACAATGGACTTCTCTATGGACTACACTCTAGGTGGATGGATATCAATGATTTGTTCTACAAGAGTGTATAGATAAAATGCATGAAATCCAATCCATAATTCAGTTTTGACAATTAAGTACTGTTGTACTGTTGAAATACACTTATGTAGGCTACCTGTCAATATTAATACATGTATTAATACATACCGTAATCAGCTAATTTGACCAATACATGCTGGGGCTCCTGAGGGGACATTGGGAGTGTCCACACCAACACATTCTCAGATTTCAGGTCCCGGTATATGATCTGTTTACTATGTAGGTACACCAATGCTGAGGCAACCTTTAAATTATATATCCATATATGTTCAGTTCATGTTCAAGAATACTAAATGTCTGTACAAGTTAATAATATATTTTGCAGCTGTAAAAAAAGTGTAACTACTTGTACATATATCATTTTAACATAAATGGACCTAGTATCAGCAATGTAGATTTCAATTTCAAGCTTAATAGTCATTGTTTTTAATATTAAATAGGGAAGCATTTCTGAAAATATTACTTTCAGTCTTGGATTTAGATGTTTATTTACAACAACAGTAGATCAAGGGTTATTAGAAAGAATTTTGTGAAATGTGCCATAGGTTCTAAGTCATGTGAAATGACCAGACTTTGTCATTATTGCTCTATATACCTGTGATGCAACATCCTGTATAACTGCAGACGAAAGTTGGTTGCCAAGTTGTGCTATGCGTAGCAACAATGTATCCAGACTACCCTGAGGTGCCAGACTGATGATGAGGCTAAGAGGCTGTAAACTGAGACCAAACACTGCAACAATATGCGGGTGGCTCACTGACTGGAGAATGGAGAGTTCACGACGTGCAGTCACATATGCCTCACAACTATAACGTATCTGCTCTCTAGCCCATAGTGCCCGCTCATTCTGATATAGAAATAAAAAATCAATAAATGTAGAGGGCACCCAATAAGTTTTAGGAAAGTAAAAAGCAGGATTTACAATGTGGCTACGATCTCCAATGGAAATAATAAATCTGGAAAGGGCCCTGGGTGGATAGCACAAATGAAATGTTTACATTTTTATGACTTCCATTTTAATCACTTTGACATCAAACTTAATTCCATACAAACAGATACACAAATCTTCTGTAATTGTCAATATTTACTTGTAATCATGCATGAATTAGCTAAAATCAATTCTTTTCCCCATTTCTAAAACAGTGATACTTGTTCACTATTGTGTACTGTATATTTTAAATAACTTCTGACAATGAGAAAGGTGGCTAAAGTACAGCAATGAAAAAGTTGAAAACAATACATAAAGTACAATATTTTCACTCTAATGTTGATCATGAAAAGGAGGAGGGAAATTAGCGCAACAGATTTTGGACAGTCATATGTTCGATTTTGGCCATTTTCTGAGGATTTAAACAATTGCATATGTTAGGCCAATGCATTGCCTCCAGGAAAATCACTTCTAGAGATGATAAAATAATTTCGACTTTGAGACAGGGTAGATGCAAACAAACCACCCACATATTTTTTCTGAAATGTTTTCCTAATTTTCGACCCCTTCCATCCCTGCTTTTTTAATTTTTCTTGCATCAATATGTTGCATTTTGACACATAGTTAACCCCTTTAAAGGAATAAGTGATTCCATCAGGGGTTTTAAAGATACCCATTATGGGTGACCAAACTTAGCTGAAAGCAATGATTTTTCCGATGGGAAAATAACATGGGAAATATTGTTTTCCACTTTTAGTCTAGAATAGGTATGTATAAAATAAAATGACATCTTACATTTTGACGAGCACCTTAACCATGGTTATCAAATGAAAGGTACAGGGTTTCTTTATTGATACTGAGATTTGCCAAGATGAAAAAGGTGTCGAAGTGACTTTTTGGGTAAAAAATGTGTTTTTTGCAATTTTTTTTTAAAAATTAACAAAAAATATTTTTGAAAACTTATTATATAAGATACAGTCTAGTTGACTCTAAAAAGTCAAAATATACCATGTTTAATCAACTTGGGGGGATTTTCATAGTTTTTTCTTTGGGATTTGCATGCAATATCGACTAAAACGAGTGTGTTCAAAATATGATGACAACGTTAACACATTTTGATGAGCAGCTTAACCATGGTTAATAATTGAAAGGTAAATGGTTCCTTTATTGATACTGAGATTTGCCAAGACGAAATAAGTGTCAAAGTGAGTTTTGGGGTAAAAAATGCGTTTTTTGCCAAAAAAATTAAATTGATAAAAGAATATTTTTGAAAATTCATTATATAAAATATAGTCTAGTTGACTCTCAAAACTCAAAATAAACCTTGTTTAATCAGCTAGGCTAGGGGGATTTTGGGAGCTTAATAATTTTTTCTTTGTGATTTGCATGCAATATCGACTAAAACGAGTGTGTTCAAAACATGATGACACCATTAACATATTTTGACGAGCAGCTTAATCATGGTATATAATTGAAAGGTAAAGGGTTCCTTTGTTGATACTGAGATTTGCCAAGATGAAATAGGTGTCGAAGTATGTTTTTGGTAAAAAATGTGTTTTTTGCAAAAATAATTTTATGTTAAAAAGAACATTTTTAGAAAAATTATTATATGAAATACAGTCTAGTTGACTCAAAAAGTCGAAATATACCATGTTTAATCAAGGGTTCCTTTATTGATACCGAGATTTACCAAGATGAAATCGGTGTCAAAATGTGGTTTGGGTGAACTGCGTTTTTACAAGAGAAATTCAAAAATTGAAATATCTTTTTTGAAATTAAAGTTTATAAAATATAGTCCGATTGATTATAAAAGAAGTGAGAACAACTATTTGTTATCAATTTTGAGAGATTTTCGAAGCTGTTTGAGGTATTGTCTTGAGGTTTGTATCTTGCAAATTCAAAGGCACTTGAATTAACGTTGCTGCAAGGAGTTAAGGGGGTTGCGGTTGATGCGATCCCAACCCCACCCAAAAAAATAGAACCAAAAAAAGAGATGAGAGGTTTAGAATGCTTTTAGACGTTTCTAACTCAATTTTGAAGGAGGTTGCACCAATTTTTAAAATACTACGATCGCAGCCCCCCTCAGCTGGTTGAAAGCGGGCTACGGCCCTGCTATGTATACCCTTTGTTTTATGTATATTCCAGTTCATACGTTAGTTAATGACCATATAATTATCTGTGATGTAGCGGATATCTACAATGAATATTTTAATGTATCCTCTATAATACAAGAAGATACGTGGTCAATGAAATTTGTAAAAATTGATCATAAATAGGAAATCCTTTGATACAAAATTATCTTTAAAATACTTCTCTCAATCAAATTATCACTAACACTGAAAGCATCACCATTAACAATGTTAATTGTTGATTCAAATAGTATTTAATGTTAACAATTAGCAAAGATTTGAACTGCATCGATCTGTTATCATATTTGCACCCAGCAGTACATTTGATCCTAGACACTGGGCTCATTGGCACTGACCAATAAGCTTTGCATTCCATTGTGCAGTGTATGTCTGGTATGAATGTAGAACTCATGATTAATACAAGTACATTTGACATATATTTTAATCTGATTTTCACTTTCATCTTCTGTTTCATAATTATTCTCATTTATTTATTGACTGTGATTTTATTGGTACCATCAATTTTAAATATCAAGGTTGTTACGAAAACTCTTTGTTACAGTCTTAGCACACAAGTCAAGATCAAGACAAAGTATCCTCTTAGCTTGGTACATCAAAATACCCTAGGCTTGAAGCTAGACTACCTTATTTAACAATTAGTACAACGTGACTTGATTATGGGATACTTACAATATAGTAAAATAACCATTTGGTATATCAAAAAACCATGTACTTTTATGTGATAACAGACTTATAAATACAGTAGCTCCCTTATGAGAGAATTTGAGGAGCAGACAATGCTGTGATGCTGAAGTGTGATTCTGATTATTGGTTTACTAGTTCAGTAAAATCAATCAAAGCAGATTGAGTACTGTTATCTATGGATTTTTCAAAAACACTGGCATATGTCCAGCATGAAACAATTGACACATAGACCATGCTGTTTTTCATTTATGTGGTGATCAACACTGGTTGTATTGATTGAACTAGTTAAGAAATGAGGAATGCTATACTAACTAATTGTCTAATTAGTGCCTTTCGACACCTCGTTCACTTTGGCAAATCTCACAAATCGTTTGTAAGATATAAAGGATTATTTTGATACAGGTCTCTAGGGTGCTCGCCAAAATGTAAGAACTCTCTCTTTCTAGAGGCTTTTATTTTGAAAATATTCTAGACTATTTATCTAAAAGGAATCATTTATTCCTTTTAAGGGATTAACTGTGTGTCAAAACGCAACATATTAATGCAAGAAAAATTAAAAAAGCAAGGATGGAAGGGATTGAAAATCAGGAAAACATTTCAGAAAAAACATGTGGGTGGGTTGTTTGCATCTACCCTGTCTCAAAGTCGAAATTATTTCATCGTCTCTAGAAGTGATTTTCCTGGAGGTAATGCATTTGCCTAACATATGCACCTTTTTAAATCCCCAGGAAATGGCCAAAATCAAACATATGACTGTCCAAAATCTGTTGCGCTAACTTCCCTCCTCCTTTTGTATCAATAAAATTAGAAATTCAATAACATTCTACTTATGAAGAAGCTTTATCTAGCTGTACAATCTACAAGATATGCCAAAAATGACCATTTTCATTATTTTGCACTAATCTCTTTGATGGTACATGTATTTCAAAAATATTTTGCAGAGAGTGCGGTATATAAATATGACACAAGAACATCTTCAGCAGTACATTATTTGAATGAGAAAAAGATGGTAGGGGTGGGGTGTCGATGCAAACTCCTGGGGCTAAGTTAATATTTAACATTACAATTTTACAGTGATTTTATTGTTATGGCCCTCATACTGGATCTAGATGAGCAGCATCTTTTAAACAGTCTATCAGACCCATCATGTATGGTGAAAGTACTATTCTAAGCTAATGGGAAAAAATGATGCATCGAAAGTGTATTGAGGATACATCAAAAGTGTATTGAGACCAATAAAGAATATTAAACGAATAGGTTCAATGCCAAGAAACAGCAGGGGTTGTATGTAAAATTCTGGGTGAAAAATGAATGAGTTGAATGTTCTATTTTTGGTCAGGAAGATTGGAAAAGTACTCTGAGTCCTAAAGAACATGAAAATTGTGGGCTCAATCAAGTAAATTGGTGATCTTCCTCACCACAAGTGAGATAACAGTGGTTTTTCCTTGTACAGTCATACTCTCCAACTACTGTTTTCCCTAATGCATTTCCTTACAGAATTTCAAAATGTTAACACTTGGTTATCTTTAAGATTGATGAGAACAAGAGTGAAACATTAGGAAAAGAGAAACGAGTAACTCAATACCAGTTTATATGTCATTTTACAAATTGTGTGGCATACATGTAATGATGGTTTTAAATGCAATTCAAAAAATTTCAAAAGCTTGTATATGCTCCATTAAATCTGATAAAACTTTCACAAATCACTGCAAGATTATAGGAATAAGATTATAATATTAAACAAAAGAAAATCCTTGGGAATGTACGATTTATTTAAAGAATGACTTAACAACATTAAAGTTTTAAATAGTGGTTGTTGTATTGGTTGTAAACTGGGTATCTGTAGGATGGGGCCTGGTATCCATAAGATGGTACATTGTAGACTGGCTCAGGGGCTTTGTATGCTGGCTCGGGGGCTTTGTATGCTGGCTCGGGGGCTTTGTATACTGGCTCGGGGGCTTTGTATGCTGGCTCAGGGGCTTTGTATGCTGGCTCAGGGGCTTTGTATGCTGGCTCGGGGGCTTTGTATGCTGGCTCGGGGGCTTTGTATACTGGCTCGGGGGCTTTGTATACTGGCTCAGGGGCTTTGTATGCTGGCTCAGGGGCTTTGTATGCTGGGGCACTGAAGACAGCTTTGCTGCACACTTTGGTGGAATCATCAAAAGCAGTTCCTAAAAATCAAATTATGCTTACATGAAAACCATGACTTTTTAAAACTAGTTCACATTGAAAACTAAGACAATCTAAAAAAAAACTGAGACATTTAGCTAATATCATATAAACTCTTAATTACCATATGGACACTTCATGAAGAAAGGCTTGCAGCAGATACAGGCTTTGCCATATTTGTAGTCACATCCACACTGGATAAAACCATTCTTGTTGTATTTGTCAGCAAAAAGGCCGCTGGGGTTGTTGTAGCATTTGCCATCACATGGGTCTAAATGTAAAGCAAAATGTGATCAATGAACAATATTCCTAAATCTGATGGTGAGAGAATCTTTCTTCTATATATTATATATTACTTGTCATGTTTAGACTTTGAAAGTACTCGTCAATTCCATTCAAACTATAAATCTATAATTTATATATATCATTATTTTTTTATATTTAAAAAAAACATTAGTAATCAACATTGTGAAACATCAGCAGACTCGGGAATGAGAATAGCCATAACATGTACTCACTTGGGTATGTGGCATGGTAAGATGGTTTATATCCACAAACTCCATAGTCACCAATCTGTTTGCTATTGCAGAGATCTCCCTTGCAGAAGTACCACAGAGAACCAGCCTGGTTGGCGCACTGCTTGTAGGTGGACACACCAAGGGGAAGGTTCTCCTTGTTGGCGCAACCACGGTACACAAGACCGTTGGGATCTTTACGGATAAAGCACTCTCCGGAAGCACAGCTCCATTTGTCAAGGGTCTCTGCATCTCCGTATTTGGCAAGGGCACATCCAGTGTATCCTGCATTTGAGGACACTCTGGTCCAGTAGTTCACCTGCTTGGTGTAACCAGATGGCGCATAGTTGCAGTCATAGCAACGAGCTGAAATATATAAATTGTGTTAATTGAGAATGTAAATTAAATACTAATGAAAAAATGTTTATTGTGATTACTGTCTTGCAAATATTGTGCATTTGATAGAAAGTGGTATAAAATAAACTGAAATAACAATTGCTAAAAGTCATCAGAATAAAATCAAGTCATCTAAGTTCCAAAGTAATTGTCATATTAGTTACAAAATGATTGTCAAAACTGTTTACTCACATCCATAGCCACTTGCAAGGACTGTGGCGAGTCCAGCGAAGAAAACAGCAGCAGACAACATGTTCATCCAACTGATATGATCGGTTAATTGTGGTTCCTACTATTTGAAACTCAGCTTTTATATTCAGCAAAATAAGCTTATGTAAATTGTTTGATGCGATTCTCATGGTTAGTTTTGCCAATGGCAATATAATTAGGTAATGGAAAACTAGGAAGGTAAGATTTAAGCAAGTAATTAAATCATATAATTTAACGAGTTATAATTTAAAGGTGCAGCCCAACTGTGGCTCTACTTTCTGGTATATTTGAAATACATGTACCGAGTGATAGGGTGACTGATGATTAATTTCTTGAGAATAAACTACTTAATCATTTTTTTGCAGTTATTATTAGATAGGATAAGATCACATATTGGTGGTAAGTACCTACATGTAGTTGTGATTTAACAACCAGATATAATGTTAGGATTTATGCATAGTAAGGGGTAACTTGTAATTCATACATTCTATACAATGTCATACAGGAAAATATAAGAATTGAATGCTGCTATTACAAATAATCCCGCCTTATATTTACCAGAAACAAACATTGGAGCAGCCCTGTATTTTCTAGTAATCATGAGTTTAAATGTTACCTGAAAGAGGCGTATTTGAGTGAAGGATGCATTTTCTCCAGGGTGAACAGGTTCCAGCATCTTCATAGCAACCTCAACCTCACGACCATCACACTGAAATATCAATATGCAATATAAATTTCTATTCAAATTATGATCATACGGTTCATACAATGATGATATATAGCTGTAGTATGGGCTGGCTACCCTTTTTAAGAAATCAACTTGGTCTCCACTCTAAATAACTTTGACCTCGCGATATAATGTCATTAGAATCTTAAATCCAAAATTCTTTTGACATTAAGCCAAATATTGACAAGGCATTAACATGCACAATGTCACAACCTGCCAATTGTTTCACACACCAAACACCAACTACCAACTGCCGAACACCATCAGTTTTGGTGGTGACATAATAACAACAACAAAGTAATAACAGACACATAACAAGTTGTAACTAATGTTAAATGTCTTACCAAAGTAGCTGATCCTGCAAATACTGCACCAAATGACCCCTTTCCAAGGAAACGCCCTCTCGTAATGAAATCATCTTGAATGACAAATCCTGGCCCAAGATCCATGAAGACCTGCAATATAAATTCAAATATTTACACTATGGGTATGCCTGACAAAAGTAGCCTTTGAGATTATTGCACCATTAGAAGTTCATATATAGTAAAACCTATTTATAGTGAACACCGATAGTCACAAAAGGTGTTTACTGTAGGTAGGTTTCACACTGAGAAGGAATGTTATACAGGAGTCAATGTAGAATCTGAATATGTCTTGAAGAGGTGGAAATTGAACATATGTGTTCACTATAAAGAAGTGTTCACTAAGACAAGTTTTACTGTATTCTATACATATTTTACTGATTACTGATCAGAAAATATTTGTCAGATTATTGTGTAGCAAAAGGGTGTAGCCTTTTAAGATTGTTTAATAGAATTGATATAATTCCTGTTTTATGTAGAAATTTTTGACCCAGATTAAAATATTACTTTGTTATCCTACAGATCATATTCATTAAAAATCATCCTTATGGGCATACCAGATCAGGTGCAATGTGAGACTTGGTCATGTTGCCTTCATGGTCGACTACAAAACATGGAGAAATGCTACCATGACGGGGGCAGCATACATGTTGTTGTTTCTGGGCCCAAAGTATGCACTGTTCTATGGTGTAACAGAACACACAGCCCTCTGCCCTCTGTTTGTATGTCGAACGTCTCATCTCTCTGAAATGAAATAAACACAAATCAAAAGGAAATTAAATACCATACAATCATCCATTGTGAGTCCTTTAGCACCAATGAATCAATAAAAAAAATTACATACAAAACGCAAATCCTATGTTGAGTCACTTTTTTTCTTTTATTAAAATCAATGTAAGATATTTACAGATTGTAGTGGCTATGACCCCCAAGAGTGAACCATGCGGTCTGTATATTTAAGTTAATTATCATGTCTTCAATTAAACTTCAACCAATAAGACTATAAGTCTAGAAGAATCCCTTCAACTGATATGACTAATACCTCAATCACATTTGATCTATGGTAAATGTATGGCAGTGGTAGCTTCTCAAAATTGAGAGAAAATGCAGCATAAAATATGCTATAGGGATAAGCAGTACAATGTAGATTTTCTACATCAATTTTGTGAAGCATCAGCCACCATAGAACAAATGTGACTGAGGCATAAGTCTAAAAACTTAACTAACCCTTCATCCTGTTGTCCTTGCTCAGAAGCGGAAGAACTCCCCCAGAGGCTTCCTAATGCCTCAAATTGACCACAAGTTCTCGGATCCACACTGGATGAGGCCACATTCAGGTCAGGTTTCGACTTCACAATTGCCACATTATCTGATAATTGAGCCTCATTCCTATGTGTGTTATAATCAACAAATGACCAAGCCTCCGGGTTGGCATCTGGGTGGAGCTGGGTCTGGTTTTGGTATTGTACACAGCGTGGACATGGGACCATGCGATAGATCAGGTAATCTCCTCTGGTTGTTTGCGTGAACCTGAAAATGCATTGAAATTCAGATATTTGTCTACCCTTTGAATTTGTCTTACCACTTCAGAGTGCAGAATTTTACTGCTAGATCTAGGTCTCAGGGTAAATATTGTCTCACCGTTAAAGAAAAAGAAAATCAAGAGAGCTTCTTCGACAGCCACTAATGAAAACATTTTCACTCATATTACGACTAAGAAGGACGGGAACTCCAAATAGTAGCAAATTCCAGTGAATACGTAAAACATATCTTATTAAGAAAAACTCCAATTTGAACTCTGTATGACAGAAATAACTTGAAAGCAGAAATGTTATTATATCACTGATGTTTCAGGGCTAATAAACTAATTTACATACCTTGTACCAAGGTCTGGATACCAATCCTCTAACAATGTGTCAACATGGTCCACTAGTTTCGTCAACAACTGGGCACCAACCTCGGGTCTCAATCTCAACCTACAGTGCCTTGTCTCAAAGAAACTAAACCCCAGCATTGATGCATTGTGTAAGTCAATTTCATAATTTGGAATCAGAATTTCAAGAATTGAGTTTGATGTCATATCGAGGTCACTCCAGATTCCTTCTTGGTGAATTTTGAAAGTGCACTGTTCATAATCGCATAAATTTCCTGTCATATCTTTAAAGACTTCTTTGACTGAAAGTAGCGGGATTTCCAAGTTTGTGATTGGTCTGTATGTTAAACGAACCCCAGTTTCCCAACAGTGCCACTCTACGCTTGTCCCAATTTTGGATAGCAGTTCCTCGTCATTGTTTTCTCCATAAATGGTATACATATTGTTCAGAATCGGGAGAAATGAGCCATCGCCCAAAAGTCGTGTGATAAGTCTTGGCCAAAAGCCACAGGGGAAGTATGACATGATGTACAGTCTACACAAGGAAGCTAATGGATTTAATGGACCCAGTTGAATATCTGGCCTAATGTTGTCTGAACTACCTACTGAGCTCTGAAGTTCTGACATCATAGAGGCTGACATAGTTTCCCCAAATACTGAATCTGTCATTGCGGAACCTGGACTAGAGATCTCAGGATTTCCACCTGGACTTGGCACACCCGAACTTGGTATATATCCACTTGAACTTGACACACTCGAAGTGGACATACCCGAACATGACACACCTGGACTTGGTATATTTCCACTTGTATTTGGCAAACCTTCACTCGACATACCTGGACTTGGCAGATTTTTTCCTGAACTTGCTGACACACCATTTCTGCTATCAGTTTCTAAACTAGAAAGGCTACGACTTGCGACCATTTTACTTATGATTGGAAGATTAGAATCTTGGATGGTCTTCAGTACGCCTTTATAATTGATATTTTCAATCATTAATCCTGTCTCTGTTTCTATAATGTAATCCTTCTTCACATTATCAGTTGTATCTACAACTGGGCTAAGTTTAGGTCTATTGGAGTTCATATGAAGTGCATTCTTAACGGGGCTTGCTTCAACATGAGTTTCATCTTCAGTTGACTCAAGGATATTTTCCACATAGAAGCAAGATTTACCGCAAGGTGTTTCTGGGGGAAGAGGCATTTTTGTTGGGTCTTCTTCAGGTTCTATCTGATTCTTGTATACTGTGATAGATGTTCCTCTCTTTCCTCTTGTGCCCTTCACAGGAATCTGAAGTTAAATGATTAGACTGTACTCAATCATTCCCTATAGAAGTCATCATGGAGGAGATGGACCTCTGAAATTCACTCAAAATTTATCTTTCCAGAATTTCTGTATTAAAAAGAAGTAATTATTTCATTTTTTGTTCATGGCATATTTACAATATCATTATAATATATATAGTACAACATCAATCTCAATATATCTGCATGTTTGACAAGAGCCTAAAACGTCTCTATGATTATCTAGGTGTCCATTTCATTAGATCTTGAAACTTAAGAGTTTGTCTCAAAAATTTCGCATTTAGTTCTAAACATTTATTTCATTAACTGCTTGTACATTACATCCAATGGATTTATTAGAACAGCAAACTTTTGTTTGAATAAAAAGAGCACACATGGAATCCTTTCGGCTTAATAATAACCAGACTATACACTACTCACCTATGAATTAATTAATACTCACATTAAAATAAAGAAATGAAGACTGATTGTGTGTAGAACCAATATGCATTACCTATTCATATTCAAAATATGGCTAAACTAATTAAACATAACAAGGCATTAACAAGCAAATTGTCACCACATGCCATTTGTTACAGATGCCAAACACCAATCACCGAACATCAACTGCCGCCACAAAAAAGTTGGAGACAATAACAATATGGCACCACTAATGGTGAGGTGACATAAAAATGAAATATGAAAAATTCCAACAGTCCATTCTGTTGTTATGTTATTCAAAAGAGCAAGCCAAAAGAGTTCAAGTGAAACAACGACAAGGTCCGTTTCCAAGTAATGTTACAAGTCATAATGTGCAAAATAGACTTTACTTCAGTGTCTATTGTCACAAATTATTTTTAAATTCATGCTTATCAGTAATAATAGGAGTTTTATCTTGTACTGGTATATCATAATTAAAGTACTGTATAAGTCATTCACACTGTGATGTGAATAGAACAGGTAACAAAAGCTATTAAAACCCATAAGCAATGAGAGAAATGTATATTTTGAATTAAAAAGAAAACCCATTATTAGATCACAGGTCACCTAGAAGCCCATAATTTGATTAACAGGCCAATAGCTTATGTTATCGTTTGAATGCACCGATTCAGGCTCCTATATGCTATGAAACTATCCTTGAATGAACATGCAGCACAACATGGAATACTAAAGCGATATGCCATTTATTGTTTCAAAATTGACAACTTTTTTGTCACTTCCATTGACCAAAAATTTGAAATTTTAATTTCTGGAGGTTTTGATGATTTTCCCCTGTTCTTTATAAATGAACATGTACTTCCATACAGGGTTGTGTCAAATATCAATGTTATTTTATGCAATTGTATCAAATTCCGGGGGTTTGTTATTACAACAACAAAACAACAACTACAACAACAACATAACAACACCCTTAAACAGCATACTCCAATACCTTAACACATTCCACTGCCACATGTGGAAGCTCAATGTCTGGCTGTGCAAATAGAAAACACCTTACATGAAATACAGCTTTTTATAATATTCAGTTGTAGTTTGTAGTTTGTTGTACACTGTAGTGACTGATATGTCATTTATATGACATGGTTATTGGGTCATTAAAAGATATATATATATAAGAGAGATAAAGGAACTAATGTACTGTACATACAGATGTATGTATAGTTAATTAATAATTATTTATGATTGAATATTAAGTTATTATTTTTGTAAGAGTGTTGCATAAGAATCAACAACTATTGTTGCTTCAGTACTGCATTCCTGTCAACTAAAAATTATTAAAATCGGGATATTCTTATTTCAAAATCTGGAGAAATCGGGATATTTTGAAAGACAATCGGGTGAAAATCATGATTCATTTTGGAAAATCAGGATTTTTTTTAAAAAATTGGGAGAAAATTGGGATATTATCATAAAGAAAATTGGGAGGACAATCAGGGTTACAAATACTAAATCAATAATTCTAAAACGTTGGGAGAAAGTCGGAATAACTACAAATAAATCAGGATAAACAATAAAAAATCAGGATTTCTTCCAAATTAAATCGGGATTCGACAGGTGAGGTACTGTAAAGCGCAGACTGAGTTTGGCTGTATACAATATAAAGACTCACCCTAACTGAATACTCCTGGTATTCACACTTCAACTGCCTTTCTGTTGGCAATAGTGATGGTATAAGGAGATGCTGGCTGTCCCAGAGGAGGGCAATCTCAAACTTGTTCAAGAGATTAATTATATACTGGTTGATGTCATCAGGGCGGAAGGAACTGTTCTTGAACAGCATTTTCAGATCAGCTGTCCGCATTACACCTATTTTAGGAGAGAGCATGAATACATGCTGTTAAACCAGTGATCCATAAACTTTGTGTTAATGAATGACTGTAAGAGGAACCCATGAAGGTTACACCTCCAAGTGAAACTTCCAAGAAGATTCCACTATGTTATTCAACAGATTATCTTATGAACTGTATATATTTTCTTCTGTTTTCCTTCAAAATAAATACAAACATATTTCTAACTATTGTAAATTCACCCTATTTTATACTGTTTAAATTGGGAAACCAGTAATGTATATCTCTCACCTTTCCTAGCCAGTGGATTGATCTCACGTATGGTGACTACATGAGCCAGCATGTCGCTCAACCATTGGGGGTCAAGGAAATACATGTCTTGGAGATAGACATCCTCATAATGTAACAAAACACCTGCAAATCAATAGGGTATTTTCTAAACTTAAAATATATATCAATATCCACACTTCAACTGCCTTTCTGTTGGCAATAGTGATGGTATAAGAAGATGCTGGCTGTCCCAGAGTATCAATATCCTAGAGTGGAGTGATGAAATCATAACTAAATACATTGTAAAGTAATTGAAGTATATAACAATTAATTCCCTGGAGTAGACTTTTTCCACTTCAGTCAAAATAGGTAGGACTATGAGTTTTCAGTTTCTCAGTTGTAATGTTGAGTGTGTGTTTACTTGAAACAATCATTAAACCATGTGAAGAAGTGTGAATCACTAATAACATATAAGACCTGCTTTACTTAAGGTGTTCACATACCATTTTCATGCAGAAACTTTGTTGCAAGGTTTAATTCAGCAATATCTCTGAATGTAGTGTTGTATCTTGCCATCATAGCATCAAGAACTTGTGCCCTGGAAACATTCAAACAAGCCAGCTGTTATACATGTAAAGCGAAACCTGTAAAGTGGAACACCTATAGAAGTGGATCACCTCTGTTAGTGGAATAGTTTTCATAGTCCTAAGACCAACTGACTTAATGTTATATGAACCTCTATAAGTGGAATACCTCTTAAGTGGAACACTTTAAAGGTACCAAATGTGTTCCACTTAGACAGGTTTTACTGTATATCATGGGATGTTTATTTATGTAATCATTGCATCAACATTTTGCCTTGTTTTGTAATATGCATTGGAGTAAACAGTATCATTATTACCATATTATAAACGGAAGTTGTACATCATGGGATGTTTATAATCAATGTATTTTAATAAATCATGCACAGTAAAACACCTCTGCCTTGGACACCGCCATAAGTGGAACACCCATTTCCCATGATTTATAATTAAGATGTATTTTGAAAGATATACATATACTATTATATCAATTAATTGTAGGAGGTGATTTACTTGTATTGATCTGCATTGAGTACAGGATCTTCCCCTTGGCGTCTCCTTTCCTTGGCTATAGATTCAATGACCTCCTCCAACTGTATGTAGGTGACAGGCACCTTCTGTTCCAGCAACAAGGAATCTTTACTTCCTACAATTGCAAAATATCTTAAGAAACTGTTATTGGACATAAAAGAATTTTACATACAGGAAGTGTGAACTTTTTAAATATTTTCTACCTATTTTTTAATATCTATTTTTACAAAAATCATTTATTTCTACTTCAAAATCCATTTGATTCATTTTCAGCATCAACCCAATATTCAAATATTTTTTTATGATGTAAAATAAATTTTATTCAATTGACCTTTTGCGATCAGAATTCAGGAATTTTGTTTATGGATACTGTTGTCACGTATTTCGTCTTATTGGTATGACGTCATATAGAAATGATATTAGACATGATGGAATCACGAAATGACGGACACGTGGCAGTTTTGAGCTAAAAATATTGTCGTTTCTTATATGAAAACCATGGGTCAGATATTTAACAGGTATGCCAATTTGACTAGATCATAAGTATATCTATATATGTGCGAAGTTTGGGTGAAATTCATACTAAACATCGATGCCTTTAAGCGCCCCCCGTTTTTGTCAAAATCGGGGGACGCTTAACTGCTATCTAAATCATGTCAGTAAGACCTTAGACTTGGTATGTGCTTAGCATGAATGTTGATCTAGTCAAATAGAACGCTTTCGTGAAAAATAAATCAATAAAGCACGAAATATAGAAGATAATCTCTCAAAATCAAGCATCTAAAGCTGGGTGACCTAATTGTGACGTCACTAAAAGACAGAATCCATTCGGTGATCGCAAATCATCAATTCAGTGGCTCTATGATAATAGAAGCCTTTCTTTTCAAAAGGTGAACTATTTACATTAAGGCAAGCTAAACTTCCTCTTACCGGGTTGTTTGAGATTGTAGACAGTGTCATAAATGAGAGTCGACAGTTTTGCAATATTACTGTTAAATCTGGCCTTACAGCTGACCTCAACATGGCCTATCACTCGAGGAAGGCCACATTTAGAAGGTTCCGGAATCTTGATGAATCTCTCTTCTAGTATGACCTGCATGTCTTGTACGAAGTCATCTGGGAATTTGCCTTTCTTGATGCTGTCAAGATGTGTACCCACAATGATAACAGGGGCATTGGGGGCCCTGGCCTGGAGGAAAAGAGAATATTTAAAATATTTTGTTTTTGTCTATTCATACTACAATGTACAGTACAAGTCAAATATCAGCCAATTTTTGTAGCTACCAACCAATATGTAGGACCCTTTACCTGTATGTTTACCAGCCACTGGTGAAGCTCATTAATCCCTTTTTCACCATCGCTTAGTTTCCACACTGCCAGATAGAGGGCGCGTTTAGACAGGAAGTACTGGTGTGTTGCATAATATTCTCGCTGTAAAAATAACCAGTTACTTACAAAACAAATTCCAATCAGAATAAGAAAATAGATGTAATGACATGGTGGAAATTTAATGGGACCAATCCTTTTTAAAAACTTACTAATCTATCTAAATATACTTTAAAAAGTGGTCAATGTACAGTACATGTACAGTACCTGTCCTCCAAAGTCCCATGTTCTGAACACAACTTTTTTGTCTCTCCTTTCAATTGTTAGATCTCCTATATCCACCCCTACTGTTGAGAGAATATCACTTTTATCTCCTCCTGTCATGGCTCCTGTGTAATGCCCCATTCGCTGTGTCCAATGCTACAAAAAATGAAAACTCTGTTTATGAAAAATGTTGATTTTCAAGTACATTGTATATTCAATTGAACAACATATGAAAATTTCCGAGTTTTGTTCGAATATGATTTTTTCTACAACTGTCAACATCACTTACAGAGAAGTTATTGAGTGAAGTGATTTCATTGTTTCCAAAAATAAGTTTGGAAATAAGACTCTCATTATTCATATTGTTTTCATTCTGCAAGAAGGTAAACATTTGGTTACACAGTCTAGCTTAAAGCCTGTGTGACCCACATTACAAACATCCCCTTGGTGAAGTAGATGGGGGGTCCAGAGATTTGAAGCAAGACTTTTGGTCACACTTTGTCACTTGGTTAACATGACAAATTACAAATAGGTTGTGAATGAAAGTAAAGATACAAAAACCGAAGAAAGAAAGTAACATACTGCTTGCTGTAGAAAAGACCTGCCCTCCTTCCTAAGTTGCTGGAGTAGAGATGTCTTCCCAATCTTGGCTATGCCTACCACCATTAGCTTCATACGGTTGTACAAACTATAGCTGCAACAAAGAATATATAACATTTAATTTAATAACATCTATAAACAACATTATGATACATGTAAACCATGACATCTCATTTATTCTCAACCCTGAGATGCCAAGATATAATGAGTTGGATTTGGTGATCCAAGAGACCTTTTTGAGATCTTTCATCTCAGCTTATATTTCATCTAATTGGGATCATAAAACTTGTAGATATTAATATCACCTGTGCCTGTAATAGCAATGATTATAGAAAACAACTGCCTATAATGCAATGAATTGATATTAAAGCAATAATTACATGATAACCCTCACACTTATTGACAGTAACTCTTCCCATAAAAATGAGCTCAGATCACAAATATGCCTTATAATACCAGAGCATGTTTCTTGTGAAACAGAAAGATGATATAAGAGTATCAGAATGCCTAAACATACTATTTTCTCCAGTATGATTCTGAACCTTATAGGGACCTGGTCTAACTTCTCCCTTGTACGAATATTAACTTATTTCCCCAGTGTGGATCTCTACAATTACTTACTTCTCCAGTATGGATCTGTAGTATCCAAGTATGTCCCTGGTTTTATAGTTCCCTAGAGTGGAGGTGAGAGAGGACTCAATGGGGTTACCAGTCACATCAAGATTCCACAGCTTGGTGAGAAGTCCTAGCTCAGGGGGTAGCTGGAGTGAACATACTCAAATTATAAATGTATATACTTTATTTGAAAATTTGTATTGTAGTTTAGCACAACTTGTCAAATATGCCACGGTCTTTGTGTAAATTTACTGAAGTATCAAGTACATTGTATGTATCCATGATCCAGCTTTCTCTTTCCCTTTTAGATCCCTGTATTTGGAGGCTGATGTAATGTAGAATGAGGTTTTATTTCTTTGCAAATATGAATTTTAATGTAGATGGTACAGATTGATAAATCAAAAACAATACCCCTCTTTCATAGTCAATCATAATGCTAATTCTATACATACATTTAAGTTGCTTTATCTCAATTAAGAAAAAAGGGATTAAATAAAGGGATTACCAAGGATTTTCATTTTTTATGAATTAAACATCTTATACTATACTACATGTAGTCTATAGCACAGAGATTAAACAGTTTATAAAAACACATATTATACCTCTGAGAAGTTGTTATTGCTAATATTAAGCACTGTTAGTTTCTCCATGCATCCCACTTCAGGGGGAAGTTTCGACATCATATTCTTAGAAAGCGTCAGCTCAGACAGACCTGGGTAGAGCAACAGATCTTTCACATCTTCCCGCTCAATACTGTGGCTGAAATACAAGTAATATAATTGAGTTGACCTTCCGATCTAGAACAGCACAAAATACGAGTATACAAGCCATTTTAAGGCTGACCTATATCCATTTTGTAACACCTTCAAACTCACAAATGTTTGTATAGCCTTAGATAAGTATACATGTACTTTAAAATAAATAATCAGTATGATCAGTGTTTTAAAACAGTGTCTTCTCCCAGATTTTGTCTAAGCAAATAAGTCAGAGTAAATGACAATACTGTATTAAAACAAGGAATTGACATGCCAAATGTCACAGTCATCACCTGCCATTTGTTACTGATGCCAAATGCCAACTGCTGAACACTGAACACCAACTGCACAAAAAATTGGAGACAACAACAATATGTCAACACTTGTATGCCTGTGTTATGTAATTGGTTACCTGGATATTGCAAGGAACATTTTGAAAAGGTGGTTGTGATCTAGCTTCAGAGCCTTTAGACTCTCCAGACTGTGATGGCTTGTATGAAGGCAGGCCCCTGCATACATCGAGGAGGATGACGAATTCCTTGCCCTGCAAATAAATGTACATAATGTGGTATCAAAGTGCTACACTGTCATTGGTCACAGTACAGATTTGGCAAATATGTACATGTATGTTATACTGTGCCATAGACTGTTGACTTTTAAATAAGAATGTATGAACCAGGGTTAAAACCAATTGAACCAAGTTTCACTCTTTCAATTAATGCACGTGACCCTCCTGTTACACCAAAATTCTGCCTGAATTCTTTTATTTTGTTAATGTTTTTATTCTACAAAAGATTCTGCAGAACTTCAAGGCTGCAAATTCAAGGACCAATGCAAATTCTCTTTGCGATGGGAGGAGTGACAAACAGAACTGATCCTAGCAAACAATATACTGTATCGAGAAAAGGTACCTGTACAATTCAGTCTAAAACATCTGCTCAAACATGGGTCCTTGAACTGTACTGTATGATATCACTTATTGACCATAGATGTGATCAACCTTACTCTATTTACATGTACACAAAATATTCATGTATTTTCACCTATCACTGTTCCCAGGATTGGCCTTAAGGTATTGCAGTCTAAGTTTTGATCAATTTGATTTGCAGAATTCCTCATTTCAATTTGCAGGAAACAGAGTCAGTGACATATATTCACATACCTTGATTTGTGAAGCATGTTTGGAGAGGAGGAGGTATGTACCCCTAGTCCTAGCAATCCATCTGGAACACTATCTACCTTCTGCCAGGTGGCAGCACCAACAAGATCATTATGGGATATATCCAGGGTAGTGAGACTTGATGGGTAAAATGAAACATTTCCCATATCTGTCAGTTTATTATGTGAGATATCTAGCTTCATAAGTCCTTTGGCAACGCAAGCTAATCCGGGGGACATACTGTCTATTGCATTATGGGATAGATCTAAGTATTTCAGATCACACTGTTGTTTTTCAGAGTAATTACTCCTGTATGGGTGTGTATCAGTGTTCACTATCTCAACCTTGCCTCTCCACATAGTTTGATGCTGGACAACTTTGTAGTCTATTGAACTGACTCCCTCAAAGGCTACAACACTAGTTTCATGAGCATCACTGTCATATAGGCTATGACAGTCATCTGAATATGTCCCACTAGATTCCAGATCACTCCCGGTTGATGCGTTCCTCAACAAGTGCCCTTCAGTACATGGGGTAGCAGGGATGACTCGGATATTATTATGAGATGCTTTGAGGTCTACGAGGCTGGGAGAACTCCATAAGATATAAGGCAGGCTCTCTAGACGATTATGGCACACTGTCAGACTGGCTAATTTAGCCAATTGGAAAATCTGATACGGTAAAACTTTCAACTTGTTATGCTCCAGTGATAAAGTCTCCAGTACAGAGTTGATCAGTACTTCATTTTTCACGCTTAATTCAATCTCAGTGATCTGATTATGTGAGGCATTCAGAACATGAAGCGATGGTAGCTCAAACAAGAAACTTGGTAGAAATTTAATGGAATTACAGGAAATGTCTATCCTTGTGATAGCTCTGAGAGCTACAGATGCGAAATTTGCGGGAATGTTCGGGTTTTGAAAATTGGCAGCATTGAGGATCCAGTCTTTTCTGATATACTGCAATTTACCTTTATTGCACCAGTCTATCATGATGATTGTCTCAGGGTTAGGTAGTTTAGGGGAGGCAGGGGGGCCAGAGGGTGGGGATTGTTGGGGGGTCATTTCAAACTCTGTTGAACTGTGCGTGTAATACTGTAATAGAACTGTTATTATCTGATTTTGCTCTCTAGAAACGGCACTCTTCAGTACATTGTTACCCTTATCTTGGGCGTCAAATTTGAGTAACAAATTCAACATGGATGTGTCACTGTTTAAACAAGCCTTCTCAAGTGTGATACACTTATCGTCTATGGTAATATTTGGATCCGCACCGCGCTTTAGCAACATTTCTGCAATTTTGTACTGTTTTCCACTGACTGCCTTACACAAGGCTGTTTCCCCCAATTGGGTGGTGTAATCCACCTGAATTGGGCAGAACTCCTGGGGTACATCATGGTTGCCAGGTGACATCTGGTTGCTAGGCAACAAGACAACAGTATGCCCCAGCAGGAGCCCAACTATCTTTATACTGCCACTGGCACATGCTTTATATAAAGGTGTCTCCCCATTGCGATCAATACCATTTACATCAATTGCACTGTAGTATGTTTGTTCACCACCAGGTGGACCACATGTGTGACGTTCTTTAGCATCGTCAGGATAGGGGAACCCTAACAGAACTTGCACAATGTCAGCAAATCCCTTGAGACAGGCTATGTGTAGCGGGAGGAGACCCTCGTTGTTGGCCACATGGACTAGCATTGGAACTTCCTGGAGTTAAAGAGTCCAAATTGAAATACAAGCTTCAACACAACATTATAAATGTTCTATAGTGGTCTTAATAGGAGTGACATTCAATGTAACAGGTATCAGCAGAAACGCTCTGTTTAATATCTTTTTCAATACTTATTGTAAAAAATTCAAATAAAAGAGTGTGAACAATGTATTAAAGGAATATTCCTTGCCACTCCATTTCTCTCCTTTCTCTTACAATTGTAAAAGAACAAAACCTAACCATGGAACACTAACAGCCCATTACCAGTCACAAAAATATTAAGACAATTATAATTTTGAATGAGAGTAAGTTTGAAATAAGATGATATTTACACGTAAGAGAACCAAGAGAATCTCTTTGTGTCCTTTCTCTGCTGCTATGTGGAATCCAGTGATGCACTTGTCTGGCTGAGCATAACCCTCTGAACCATGCTCTAATAGGAACATCAACATGACTTTGTCTCCAACTTCCACACACCTATACAAAGGAATGTTAGGAACATGGTGAATATGTTGATACTTGTATGTCATCCACAAAATAATTATGCTACAGGGAGGGGGTAAAAAATCAAATACACGAAGTCGTTGACTCTCAGTCAGAAATCAAAAATGTTAAGATTTTTTGGGGAAGGAAGGAAATAAAATTAATCTTTTGTAAATAGATATTTTGCTAATTTGAAAATATATCACTGAAGCTTCACTGTTTTTGATAAATTAGAAGATTTTCATATTTTATCAATAAGAATATAGATTTTCTTTAATCTCGTATCATACTTAGGTTTTAATGTTTTTACATACAAATCAGTTTCTTTTACAAACTTAGATATTTTGCTCATTTGAAAATATCTCAAATATCTCACTGAAGCTTCACTGTTTTTGATAAATTAGAAGATTTCCATATTTTATCAATAAGAATACAGATTTTCTTTAATCTTGTATCATACATGTACTTAGGTTTTAGGTGTACTTAGGTGTATGTTTTTGTTTTTCTCCTAAAAACTGCATGAAAATATCACAACTTCAAATGTGTTCATCCAAATTGAAATGAGATAAGAAAATGTCACGCGTTGAATGATCAACATACATTCAGAGAGTGGATAATAATGTATAAATGTTGGTTACCTTTCCAAAGCAGTGCTGCCATCTTTTGTTCTATTTACAGCATATTTGACATTCTCTCCTAACTGGTCTGCTACCTTCCCAGCATCCTGAAGCTTTCCATTGGTACATGCATTGTACAACAGACCATATAAGCGTTCCTGTTCTTTTTCACGATGTACTGGAAATATGATTGAAATATAATTCAATATAGTGCATTTACTTTACAAATAAGTTTGAGTTATACACAGTAGAACTGTTCCCAAGATGCAATGCCAGATACTCTTGTAATAAGGCCATGAAAAGTAAGACCAAATGTTTTGTTTTTTTTCAGTTTCAATTTATTTATGTTTCTTGAGTATAAAAACATGTGCAAATACATTGTATATCCCATTATTAAATTAAACTAGCAGCAAAGTATGAGATAATGCATAAATGTTTTACATTTAAGGTAATGCCATGGCCTTATGTGAAAGTGCTTTCAACTGTACTGTATTACTGTATTCAATATAAAACTGAAGATGATTGAAGAGTAATAATAATAGTAATACGGTAATATGGCGATCTGATAAATTATAAGAGCTTACAACAAATATTTCTAAATGAAAGATATTATCAATTTTTATATTGAGGAAAGCAGATGTCAACAGTTATAGACTTACAAAGTTAATTTTGCTAGGGGGCGGGGATAAATGACTGTTTCAATTAACAGTAATATCTGGCTTATCCAAACACTACCGGGATCAGCTAAAAGTGTTTGGATTGGCATGTGTCCACAATTTGAGATTTTTTAATGCGAATGTACATACAGTGTATATGGGGCAAAAATAACAGTTTTTCAGTTTAGAGATATTTGGAAATACAGGTTTTCATGATGTATTCAAAAATTTTTGAAAAATTTAATTGAAAGGCAGATCAGGATCTTTCGATTTTATTACATGGGGAGGAGGACAAACAATTAAACTGCTGCTAATGTTGTAATGTAATGTTGCCGCTAATCTTTTAAAACCTTGACAATGGCTAATTGTAATTGATTTAGCTTAATATTAGAAACAAACTGATAATGTTAATGTTTTTCCGAAACCGTCAACCTTCGGACACCCTGCCATACTACATGTATAATTAAACTTACATGCTTCTGCCTTCATGAACTGTACCACTCTAACATGGCCAAATGTATTTGCAAGATCCATGGGTGACTTTCCCATTGCATCCTTCACATCCAAGTTGGCCCCCTCTGCTAGAAGGATCTCTATGAACTCGATCTTTCCATCAATAGCTGCTGCATGAAGAGGGGTCTGTAAGAATCAAATTAGGGTTAAGCCATTTTGTCACATATTTCCAAAATAGTTTGATGAACTATTCACTATTTGATAGGAAATTTTGTCATTTTTGCATCTAATTTTTGCAGATTTATAAGATTTTGCCATATATAATTCCTTACAGGAAATTATTAAATTTAAGTTTTTCTTTTATCGCACCATATAATATAAATTAAAGTAGTATTGAAGGAAAGTGTTATTTTCTTTTGCTAAACTAGTCTACCCCCCGAAAAACTCTGATGCCAAAGCCCATTCTAACTAGATAACGGCAACTCCGCGGAGTAGCAAATCCCAACGAACAAAATATCAATTACCGAATTCCAATCAATTATACTCATTACTTTGGTTGAAAATGAAAAAATTAGATTTTAGAATTGCGAATTCCTGCAAAGCAGCCATTTTGAATTTTCTGAGGTACAAATCTGAAAAATAATACCATAATTGTGATCTACTCCAAAATTCCTTCAATTTGAGTATAATATAGCCATACTTTGAAGGGATCGAAAAATTATTGCGAAATCGTACATTAGACGGCCATTTTGAATTTTACGAGGCTCGAATCTGAAAAAAGATACAAGATTTGCAATCTACTCTTAATTGCCTTTAATTTGAGTATAATAAAGCTATACTTCAGAAAGATCTAAAAATTAGCGAAAATTTCTGTTTTCCTGTCCCCCCATACATGGCCCCTGGGGGTCAGGATGAAAAACACGGAATATATGTGAAATAGATAAATGTTGTGAATACACTACCAAAATTTCAAACAATAATATTAATTACTTTGGTTTAGAATGAAAAATTTATGATTTTGCGAAAAAGTCCCGTCATTTTTAAAGCGGCGGCCATCTTGAAAAAATTTTTTTTTGCGTAAAACTATTCACCAATATACATCTTTCCACTAAATATGAAGAAAATCTGTCAACTAGTATTTGAGTTATCTTCCGGACAGACGGACGGACTGACTGACTGACGGACTGACGGACTGACAGACTGACGGACTGACGGACAGACGGATGGACGGAGGGCTTCACTATATCCCTAACGAAACTCGTTCGTTGGGATAATAAAGCCTAACATCTTTTCATACATCGACGATATATTGGCTATAATGATGAAATCAAATAGGCAGTAAATAGAACATGTTCAACCAAAAATAGATTTCACTTATTGCTTATTTTCAAAAATACAAACTTTGGTATCTACTATTAGATAATGAATATTCTAAACATTCTGGTGGCTTTTCACGTTCGAATCGTAACATAGACCTAAGAACAGGTGTAATATAGTGAAGTACATCCCTCCCTTCAGTCTTTCGGGGTACAGAAAGCTTTGGTGCCTAGCCCTACGGGGTGTATTCAACAATATTACCCCTGCCCTTTGGTCTATATTTCTCATATATGACTGCACACTTACCATTCTTCCGAATCTAAGTTTACAGGCTATGTCTGGTTTTGCTGAAATAAACAAGATCATAAATCATATTCAATTATAAATTGATACATATGTAGCTTCAATATATTAAAGGTGCAACAATTAGTGCAGGGGGCCATTCAACGATCATCGACCAGTGTCAAAATAAAAAATTTCAAATTTTCTCTCTACAGTCCTTGTTGCCCCTTAAGGAAGTTGATATTTTTATTTGATCATTCAGTGTATTTGTATTTCATTGTTTGTTATGCTTATAATAATGCAATAATTTCCTCCTTTCTCAAAAAATTATTTCAGTTAACGTTATCAAAATTCATTGAACATTACAAAATGAAAGTATTTCTATCCTCTACAGAAAATACATCAAAAGCTGATAGAAATTACCCCACCAATATCTTAAATGAATAGAAAATACACATAATTTGAAGTGTATAAGTACCTCCATTGTTCAGTAGTAGCTTGGCACAAGTTACAGCATTATTAGTAACAGCTGTATAAAGTGGTGTTCGTCCATCGTGATCTGTACAGTTAATAAACTGCCTCTCTTCACCCTCAAGAAGACATAATAACAGGTCCCTATTGTCGTAGATACATGCCTGGTGTAGCATACGACCTGGGAAATCACCGGCAGTGTCCGCTGCCATATCGGCAAAAGTTTCTCTTTATCTACAGCATGATTTCCTGAAATTCAAACCTCAAAAGACTAAACTCCAATTCAGCTGAATATCATCGTCAGTTCCCACAGTCAAACACTATGCTCTATAAAGTCCAAAACTTGCTATTTAATACTGCAATAGAAACTTGACTATGATTCAATATATTCGATCCCTAGCTATTACTGAACATAATATGTGTAACATACTTTATCATAAAGATATCATCAGTAGAATGAGTGTGCATGTACATAATGGATTATCAATAATCTCTTTTATGTAATAGTTCACAAGTAACATCAGACAAATCATATTACCAATCCAGTTTTGATCTACAATATTGTGGCACGTTATTAGAATGTACACAGATATCTCCAAAGCAATGAATCAATGAGTTGCTTAATCCATTTGGGAATTTCAAAATTACAAATTGCATCCAGATCAGACATTTCATTTGAAGGCATCATGGGGCTTATTTGACCACCTGGGAACCAAATTCCATATGCTGTTCTTTTTCACACAAAATCTTTTATGTATGTCTATAATAGTTTTTCCCACCTGTGACTTTAATACTTGTGCTAAGGATGCAGATGGAAACATTTAGAAAATATCTTGAATGTGTCTTAATGATGGGGTCATTTTATTAATTTTGGAATTGATTTCTTATTCAGAATCAGAACCTCTTTTCATCCTCAGCTAGACCCAGCTGAGGTAAATTGTTGAGAGAAGTTTTTCCAATTTCAGGCCCATAGCCAAGGGGGTTCGCAGGGTTCGGGCGAACAACCCCCCCCCCCCCCCTGGCCAAAAATTCTTTCAAAATCATGCAGTTTTTCACCATTTTGAGCACTTCCTAAGTGATTTTAGCCATATTTGGGCCAAAATTGTCAAATGTGAACCCCCCCTGGAAATCTTTGAAAACTGAACCCCCCTTGGCAAATCCTGGCTACGGGAATTTTAAACCAAGTACTCAGGTCCTTGAATTCTATAAAAACTATTTGGCAAATAGATTCAATTTTTGCCAATTTTACAAAAATATACCTTCACATTCAATTCGAGTTATACTTAATAGCAGAATATCAAATGATATAAAATACATTTAATGTTGTAATTTATTTGATGGAGTTACTTGAGAAAACAATGCAACAATGACAGGGTAGAGTAGAATCTGATATCAGATATCTTAGCTATTACAGAAGACAAACAGAAATTACAGTATTCTAGACACTACATTGTACTCAAGGGAAATGGATCTAAAGCTAACATACTCATAAGTGTATTTCTTAGTACAAGCTAGTTGGATAGATTTTGGCCACTTTAGTATTAATTCCCAATACGATATTATATGTCTGAAATAGATAAGAAGTATTATGGTGCACACTAAAATGACATGGCAAGAAGTGAAATGTAATGTCACAGCATGAAAAAAATGTCAGTGATTTAATTCCCTTCTTTTTTAAAAAACTGGTAGGCCTTGTTTGTTTTTTTAAAAAATGGGCATTATTTGGCCATCTTTGTTTATTTCACCATGTCCCTTGCTATTTGTGAGTGTTGGTAGGTGGTAATTACTAATAAGAGGGTGAGTGTCTAAAATATCAATTAGTTGTATAAACAATTATTCAGTTCATATAATTACTGAATCCATGCTATCTGCATAGTTCATTGTATTATTTGTATGACACAAATATAATTTTCATGATGTTTCATTCATGGGATCATAGTTATTTATAACAGAACAGAACAAGGAAGTAAAAGATCTTGCCAGTTTGGTTAAATATTAATGGAATATTCCTTGCAAGACCCTTTCTTTCTTGATTTGGTAGCTAAAGCCATTTAAAGAGAGAATCAGATATAGTGAGCAGGCTAAACAAAAAATTGTTTCAATTGTAGAATATTTTTGGCTCAGGATGTCATTCCTTGTCATGTTTATTTTCTAAAAATCACAAAAGTGCATACTTTATTCCAGGAAAACTAAAGATTTTTACAATTATGTATTTTTTTCTTGCCTTTAACTACAGTATCTATATTTAGCAAAATGGGGACTATGTTTCGGGTCAAATTCTTAAACAAAATATTGCCAGTTTTTAACAATTGTTCAAGTAATCACTTAACTTGGTCTAAGATTAGAAATAGAACTGATTTGAATTATTTGTATTATGCAATCTGTTTTCGAGTAACATTTTATTAATGGGATCATAATTATGATAGAATAGGAAGTAAAAAGATCTTGACAGATTGGTTACTTTGAAATGGAAATACCACTTTGTTTTATCACTTTTAAGAAGAACAAAGTACAATTTGTGAGGTTTTCTTTCAGCATAAGGATTAAAGTCCCTGAAAAAAATTTTTGTACAAGAATCTGTTTCTGACTGATTCTGTATCTTAAATTCAATTGTTAATTAACAGTACAATGCCACCAAAAATATCTTCTATTTTTTCCTAATCAGGACCTCCATACCAAGGAGCGTTATGTGCTGAATATAGTATACAGGAAAGCCTATGAATAAAATACCTTTGGTACCTCAAAATAGGGTTGCACTTTTGAAGTGTTCTGTTCATATATTATCCCAGAGACAATATTAAAGATGCAGAGTTTAACCACCCAGCTTATTCAACCACCTGTTTTATCTGTAAAGTGGTGATGAAAAATAATTGATCAGTTGTATATTTGGCATATTTTCTTGAATATCAACATTTAATGTCCTAAACTTCCCCAAACTGCAGAAAAGTATACACCGTGAATCATATTTACCAAAATGAGTGTCTCCAAGGCTTTATACCAGCGTATGCATGATGCATTTGTCACAAGTTTTGAGGTGAAATTTTGCTAAAATGAAGTCACCACGTTTGTTAATTGTGGTTAGCTTTTAATGGTAAGTGCTCAAAAGCAAATAATTCATGTGCCCAAAATATTCAAATAATCTGAGGTTTTAGCTTAATGATTTTGTTTTGTTCTATGGAGTTTGTGTTTCAGTGTAACTTCCGCAAAAATGGGGGACCAATGACAGAATTAACAGGTAAAATCACTTCACGTTTTACCCATAATAACAAAACTTTTGCATTCTATCTATCAAATAAGAGTCTCGGGGTATATAGGCAAATATATTTTGGTAGGAGCACTCTGTTTAGTTTGAGCAGTTTGAAAACCCACCTTTTAATTTACTGTTAGCACTGTAGATACATGTAAAGGGGACCAAGGATACCAAACTAAGGTTACACCCGGAACAGAATCCAGATGTATCTCAGTTCTCCGAGAAAATAGATCCATTTTTGTTCCCTGGGCCTATGATAGACTAGCACATAGAGACTCTAAGTGTCAATATCAAGAAGTCAATATTTAAAGCCCCACACCGATTTTGACAACAACAACAACAACGACAATAACGGAATTTATGCAACCAATGTCCTTGGACTATGACTCTTCTTCTTGACCAACATCTGTAGAGTTATACTAGACTCTAAGCTTACTGAAATGAAAGTGAAATATTCTGATTCACTCGGAAATGACAATCTCATCAGACTCAGAATCATCTTCATTCAATCGCGTGATCCAAGAAATTCTCACTCGGCAAAATTGAAGAAAAATGTTTAACATTTGTGATGAATTGTGGTGGAATTACATACCTTGATAACTATTTTGTCAGAAGCCACTGCATCAGCACAAAAATAACCACTGCAAATGCGTGCAATCATCAAAATAAGGAAGATTTTAAAAATTTGCTAAATTTATTTTTGACAGGTGCGCGCGCCATCTATTCAATATTGATAATTACGACAATATTATACGAATTTAGACTTGCATATAAAATAATTTAATGATAGAATCCGTGACAATGAGAATAAGTAAACAAGCTGTCAATCTATTTCATACGATTTACGCAAACCTTACTCATAATCAGTGTGGTAAAATTTCGCTGCAGCGGTGTTTTGTCTAGAAAGATGTTCTGTTAAGAAAATGGTGAGTGAAATTTATTTCTGGAATTTATCTATATTTCACTTATTTCCCTTGTTTCTTATTCTAAATAAGAATAATATTTATGGTCTATCTAGTACAAATATATCCCTGATTCCATTATTCACTTCTTGTGGCCTCTTGTATTGTGATACTTCTGACAGTGTATGTTTCAAAGATCATAACATGCAATTTCCACAGGACAGTAGTACAGGGTGACCCAAAAAATGCAACCCTCCATTTCTTCTATATTTTTCTTGAATGGAGGTAAATTGCTCTGAAATTTGGCACACAAGGACTTCATTCAATGTTGGATCTTCTGGCAAAGTTTTTATAATCATAGTCTTTTAAATATAGATAGAGTTATGGTTGTTTCAAAATATGCTCCAGATCAGGGGCGGATCTGGGAACCAACAAGGGGGGGGGCCCAAATTTCAGGTCAGAGAAAAAAACGTCCGCGCTTACGCGGAAAAAAATTTTGGGCCCCTAAAACGCAAAAGTGGGCCCAAATTTTGAAATTTTGAGGCCCATTTTCTTCAAAATTTGGCCTTAAAAGGCCCAGTTATGACCAAAAAGCCGACTTTTTGGGGCCTTAAGGCCTTTTTTGGCCCAAAAATTTTTTTGGGACCAATTTTTTTTTTCTGGGCCCACCCAAGGGGGGGGGGGCCCGGGCCCCCAGGCCCCCCCCCCTAATCCGCCAGTGCAGATGTCGTCAATTTCGCTGAAAACAATCTTGCAATGTTCAAGGAAAACTGTTCATAACACGGATTCATTCTTCCCTATTGGTATGGCTCAAATTTTGCAGCCATTGCTTGTTGGAGTTCTGCAATTGCGGTAGGGTTATTTTCATACACATTATCCTTTAAATAACCCCATATACAATTGTATAGAAGTCAGGGGCATTGAGATCAAGACTGTGGGATGACCATGGGTTCTCCGTCCTAGGAGAGATAATCTTCTCATAGAAATGAGTAGTGAGCCAGGTTATGCTATCATTAGAAGTGGGAGGAGTAGCTCCATCCTTCTAGAACCACTGTTCTTGTCTATTGAAGCCTCTTCGTCACTCTATTTCAGAGCAATTAATCTCCATTTAAGAAAAACATTGAAGAAATGGAGGGTTGCATTTGTTGGGTCACCCTGTACATCACAACAGACTGACTTCTAGTCAGTCTGTTGGATACATACTACTCCCGGTCCCCTATTATTGAAGCTGAATACTGAGAATTCAGAACATTTATGTTCAGATACAATAATCGATATCTACCACCCCCCACCCCCCCCCCCCTTGGAAATTGTGCAAATATTGCTCTCAGATATGCTCAGATGTGAGAGAATTATTTGTCTAATAAAAGTGAGCATAAACAACCTGAAGGATGGCTAGACTATCTTGAAACTTGATCAACATAAACATAAAGGTATGTAGAACATGTTTAGATTGAAACTTATTCATATTTATCTCTACTATTCTAATGAATTTGAATTCAAGATATTTTATTTGAATTTGATCAATTTTGGGTTGTTCCCCATACATGATTAGGCACAAAGACTCATTATAGCCCTAGGTTTCTGAGCAGATAAATATAAATTAATTTGGAGTATATGTCACCTCTATATGAGCATGTATTAGTCAGAATAATACAAGACAGCTCCAGGAGAGGCAACAGGGTCTTGATAAAGAAGAAAATGAGTCAGATAACCTGAATAATTACTGAATAATTAACGATTTGTTTCTGACTAATTAACGGTTTCTTTCTGAATAATTATTGATTTGTTTCTGAATAATTATTGATTTGTTTCTGAATAATTAACTATTTGTTTCTGAATAATTTCTGAATGATTACTGAATGATTAACGAAGAAAGAAATCAGTGTTTCATTAAATTCACAATCATTAGCTAATGATTACCCTGAATGATTATCTCATTTGCATGTCAAATTGCTATACTATTTGTTACCTATTTGTTTCATAATCATTAGCTAATGATTACCCTGAATATGTATGCTATTATTTTGACCTGGGGAATGCCTCAGAAAGGGTCTAAATTTCGCCTCCAGCTTGCAGCACTTTGTTGGGCGCTCATTATGCACACTGGAATGTCAGCGGCACAATCCTTATGTATGCAAAAATCGCCCACCTTTGGAAAGCCTTCAAACGGGCCTGCATAGGATACAAACATATTTATATAATCTACACTGCATGTTTTCCTAATCTTGACAGTTTTCAATTTTGTAGACTGAATTCTTGCCTCATCATCAATAGACAGATGCCGTTCTTCATAAATATCAGGCTACCAGATAAGAGCTCTCTATTGTTGGAGATAGAAAAGGAATGGACTACAGACAAGTTGAAAGAAGAGATCAGCACTAAAACAAAACATCTTGATAAAAACAGTATCAAAATCATCTTCTGTGGACAGGAGATCAGTGGTGAAGAAACACTTAAAGTGAGTACAGTCATGAGCTAAAGCAATAAAAAGTAAATAAATAAAAATAAAAAATATTTAAACACTTTTATATTATGAATGTTCATGTATGTAAAACTACATTCTAACATATATGTACACTGTCCATAGGTTTATATTATATGATGTAAAACAAATACGGTATCATAGACAAGTATTTATTATTTAGCTCTTTCCAGGGGTATGACTTGGGAGAAAACAGCACACTACATGTGATTGAAGTTAAAAGTGCTGGGGAAACAGCTAAAATATTTGGACCTGCTGCTGGAATCCAAAGAGAAATTGCAGGTATTCAGTACAGATCAGAATGATCAGAATTTTCCCTACTGTCCTAGAGCCCCCCCCCTAGAATATATCAAAATGGGGTGTAAAAGTTTCAATTTACCAATTATGAAAACTATTTAAACAAATCACTCTTAATTGTTCCACTCCATTCATAAGTCAAATATACTTAGAGAATGTATGTTATGGAATGATGAAATTGTAAGCAACATTTACAGTGTATGACTTTCCAACCAGTATGTTATAGTTTAAAAAATTTCTTCATCCATCCTGGATGTAAAGGCAGAAGAGTGAAACTTTGTGTATTCTATTTTTCAAGGTGAAGGCAGAAGAGTGAAACTTTGTGTATTGTATTTTCCAAGGTGAAGGCAGAAGAGTGAAATATTTTGTGTATTGTATTCTTCTAGGTGAAGGCAGAAGAGTGAAATACTTTGTGTATTGTGTTTTTCTAGGTGAAGGCAGAAGAGTGAAATATTTTGTGTATTGTATTTTTCTAGGTGAAGGCAGAAGAGTGAAATATTTTGTGTATTGTATTGTTCTAGGTGAAAGCAGAAGAATGAAATATTTTGTGTATTGTATTCTTCTAGGTGAAGGCAGAAGAGTGAAATACTTTGTGTATTGTAAAGCTGTCTGTGGATCGGTTCAGCCAGGCAAGCTCAGAGTGAGGTGTAAATTATGCAAAGATGGAGCAATAACATTAGAGAGGGTAACTCACATTTACCTTTCCCAATCTTGATATTTGAGACTTCACCCAACTTATATACAGTAGAACCTGTGTACAGTGAACGCCTATATGGAGCCACAAAAATGTGTTCACTACTTGTAGGTGTTCTCTGAAGAGAGCAAATCTTTTACAGAACTCAGTGGAACTCAGAGAAAATAAGTGTTCACTAGACACAGGTATTCACCAGAGAGAGGTGTTTACTTAGACAGGTTTTACTGTACTAACATCTTTTACATCTAGTAAATAGTTGTCACTTTGACCTTTCTTGATCTTAATACTTGAGAATGACCTGATCTTTGGAGTACCATTTATTCCATCTTTTTAGGAGGGTTGTCACTATAATGAAGCTTTTTCATTGACAATCTTGTACAGCATTGGTAAATGGTCAAAATTAAGATGTGTGCCAAATTAAGTTATTTATCTACAGATATTGTCATCTATTTCAGGAACCCAGAGGCTGGATGGATGTCTTGAGACAAAATGTTATAGGAATCACATGTCACACAAAAGACTGTACTGGCAATAAAGCTGTAAGTTTGATTTAGGTTGCCTAGCTGGGCTACATTGTCTGGAATCTCTGTAAGTTTGGTTTAGTATAGGCCTAGTTAGGTCATTTTCTCTGGGATCCATGTTCATTTGGTTTAAATCTAGTATTTCTTATAATAATGTTGTTCTATTTTTCATATTTTTCTAGGAGTTCTACTTTAAATGTGGCCAGCACTCTTCTGTTGATGATTATGATGCAGTGGTTCTGAACCTTGTCTGCACTAACACAACAGATGCAGTATGTCTCACATGCGGTGATATAAGGTGATATTCTTAGTTTTTAAATTTTAACTTTCAATTTAAAGTTAGTTAAATTCAATTTAAAGTTGAATTCAATTTCAAATTATTTTTTCTTTCTTTGTATTCAAATACAGAAGTATAATTGGCCATGTGAGGGTCCACTCTTGATACATGTAGGTTGAAATATTTTTATTGTCGCACTTTCTAAAAATGCTATATTACTGTCGTCTTGTGCTGATGGGTAGTTGGGCATACGGGTGGATGTGTGGGTGCCCCATGAATCATATCTTTTATCAAAATTCCAGGAAAACCACTTGAAATTTATACAGATGCAATAGCAGATTAGTGCCAATATCTGATTAGGTTTAGAGCATGCTGGGTAAATTACTTGATGGCCATTTTGAATTTTCCATCAATCTTGTTATCAAAATTCCAGAAAAAAACACTTATCAGTTCAACTTGAAAGGATATGTCAGGGAATGAGTCCGAATATCAACTTAAAAAATATCAAAAATTGTAATGTCTGAAAAACCAACTCAATCACACATATCATCAAACCTTGTTATGCCATCACTTTTCTGAGAGTCAAAAAATATCAATTCATATCTGATTCAACATTAATGAAGAATATGGGCATCAAAGACATTGCAAAAAAATTCAAGTGCAAATACTAAATGAATAATTTATACAAAGATTTTGAAATATATCCTCCAAAACGTTGCTTACTTTCTTTGTGGACGTGGAATGGTATTTCTTGATGAGTAAATTGGTGTTAATCTAGGTAATCAAGGGATTAAAGTTACCAAAAGTGACTGGGCAACCAATTTAACACTTCAGTTGTGTAGCGGGAGTTGTATATATTTCTGCTAAATTCATGCTGAGCATAGCTTTATGGTTTCAATTTATAATCTCTATACATCACCCTTGGTATACGCAGCTAACGAAAATTGACCGGTACGGGTCAAAAGCTGGACTGGTACGGGTTAACGGTTTTATTTGAATTTAAAATAGCCATAACTTGCTCAATATTGACTTCCTCGTGTCTAATTTGAAAAATATGATGCCTCCCGATGCTTTTAAGTGCCCCAATTTTTTACAGATTTTTAAACGGACCAAAACTCTCTAAATGCGCATTTATGCTCTTTTCTCTCGAGAACGACTGTCTCATTTTCACGATAACTTTTATTTAGTACTTCTTACATATAAGATATATTTTTCCCCATCAAGGTATGATGTAAATGACATGCTATTTACATTTTGTGAGTTTCAATGACGCGCGTTTGATTTTATAAAAAATGCCAAACTTTGTGACAAAGAATTTCATCCTGCTTGCAGCGAGAAGACGGACCGGTTCGGGGCAATCTGCTTGCAGCGAGAAGACGGACCGGTTCGGGGCAATAGCTGATGAAATTCTTTGTCACAAAGTTTGGCATTTTTTATGAAATTAAACGCGCGTCATTGAAACTCACAAGATGTAAATAGCATGTCATTTACATCATACCTTGATGGGGAAAAATAGATCTTATATGTTAGAAGTACTAAATAAAAGTTATCGTGAAAATGAGACAGTCGTTCTCGAGAGAAAAGAGCATAAATGCGCATTTAGAGAGTTTTGGTTCGTTTAAAAATCTGTAAAAAATTGGGGTGCTTAAAAGCATCGGGAGGCATCATATTTTTCAAATTAGACACGAGGAAGTCAATATTGAGCAAGTTATGGCTATTTTAAATTCAAATAAAACCGTTAACTCGTACCGGTCCAGCTTTTGACCCGTACCGGTCAATTTTCGTTAGCTGCGTATACCAAGGGTGTACATGACACTGGTATTAAAGAGTCAGAATCAATAAAAAAAATCCAAACCATAAAGCTGTACTCAATGTGAAAATTAAGTGAAGCAACTTTTTCTAGTATTTGCTACTATACCACACTACCCTACCACGTGACCACGTTTAAAAGGGAAACAGGGTACAGCTAAGTTGCAAATGGAGGACGTGGGTTTAATTCCATATTTCTGAACGTAAAATACATTTTACATTTATTTCTAGTATTCTACCAGACATAGAATTGATTCATCGAGCAGTTTGTAAAATATTGTTGGCAAAAAACCACTATAGGCAAAGATAGATAATAGTGGGCGCAGTGAAGCAAAACCCAATGCAATACACGATACATTTCAGTAAATCTATCAACGTACAGGGAGCATGTAAGTTTCCCTTCAAAAATGTTACATTGATATGTAACAAAAAACCCAGTTAACTGTTATTTAAACTACGTGTCATCATGTTATATGTGGATACGTTTTCCAGTATGTTATTCAACTGTATTTTTGTGAATTAATTGTTTTTCTAAAATCTTAAGATGCAAAAAACGTCGTCCCAGAAATGTATCTTTACTTTGCCGTAAGGCATAACATATTGTGAAACATTTTTCCTCTTGTCACAAACAGGATAATGTTTGTTTCGAGGTGTCTTGTGATGAGCGTTTCATGATTAAATGCAAAATCACTGGAGCAGATACCATCCAAAAACATCTGACATCCAACACGTCATCTAAGACTACATCGATCTGGTATTAGTTTATTTTACAATAATAGAGAAATACGATGTCAAATCAGCGCTACAGCAAATCGTGAAGAACAAAATGCTCTCAAGTCGTGGCATGATGGTATTTTGAACAAAATATTTTAAATGATCGGTTTTTGAGAAGGGTAGTGAATTAGACCATTCAAGGGGTTATATAAATCTACAAAATAATGTTTACTTTATTTGGATTAAATAACAATTGATGACACCTCAAAGCATCAACAGGCGGCCTTTTTAGCATTATTTTCGCTGTTGGCAACGTAAATGTACATGAGATCGGGACATAGTATGTCTGTATAATCAGCTTACTTCCTCGCTCCCTGTCTTATTGAGCAATTTACATTCCTTGTACCCTGTATTGATCAACTTTTGCAACTGTGTACCGTGTACTATGACATATCAAATATTTTAAAATTTAAAACGATATTATTTACATTCTTTCTTCAACTATCATATAACTTGGAACATGGACTTCACTATCGCACCACTGAAGTTCAGCGAATAGCAATATTGACTCACTCCGAGCACCAAACGTATTAACCTTTTGACTAAGCAGTCGAAATACTCAAAAGCGACGTGGTTGAAAGCCAAAAAATTCGCGCATGCGCTATCGAGGTAGGGTAGTGTGTATACATCAAATGGCAATCATCTTGGTTTTTCCCCTTCAAATTAAACTGGCAGAAGATTCAAAAGTTTGAAAAAACTTAAATCTCAAAAACACAATTTTCTTTTCAATTCTTCACGTGTCTTAAAGTTATTTCTATTTTGTATGCCATACATGTTGCAATTGCTGGGTTTTTTTCTATGATAACGACTATTTGTTTTTGTGGATACTTATTTAACTCTCAGCAGGGTGTTCATTATGCATCAAAACTCAGGAAAAAACCGTGTATACTTATCAAATACAGAGCTGTCAAGTGTCCCGCGAATGGCGGGATTATCCCGCGAATTTGATCAAAATTAGGCTAATTCGCGTGTCCCGCAATGTCCCGCGAAGTCCCGCAAATGTGGCTTTGACCTCCGCGAATTTCCGAAATTGTTGCAATCCCCTATATTGTGATTATCTTATCTTTTATAAGAAGCTAAGTTTTTGCACTTTTGAGGAGTAAAGTTTACCTAATTTTAAGTACCTAGCATGCTGTTGTTTGGTATCAAAATAAAAAGGAAAGGTTCAACTTTCATTTTAATTACGAAAATAGGGATGTAGGTCACAAATAGTTCCAACGTTGGCCTTTTTACTACCCGTGTGGCCTTCATCTCAGAACTGAGCAAATATTAGCAAACGCGAGTTACAATAAATGGACGCTGATATCTAGAAAGGGTTTGTAGAAAAACACGGGCACTGGGTAGTAAATCCTCCATGCTGGGTTCAAACTTGGTCAAAAAAACGGGAACCCAAAAAACGAAAAATACGAATATATAACATAATAGATTATGAGAAAACGTGTAAGATTTGTTTTGAATTTACAAAAATGTATGTAACATCCTTCAAAATTGAGCTAGAAGCTTCAAATAAAAAGCATATTTTAAGGCTCTTTTCTTCCTCTATCGTCATGGCCATATTTTCATTGGTTATGGGGGGGGGGGGGGGTGCGATCGCACCATCGCACCCTCTCCTGGCTACGCCTATGACATTGTAAGACATAACAATTTACAATTCAGTGGACATTTGTCGAAAATTGGGATAACTTAAATTATGATTAATAATCAAAATCTTACACGTTGCATCATTTAAATTAACACACGTCACCTCTCTGCTAAAGCAACGATAGCTATTTACAGGTTTAAATCATAATCAAAACAATTCATGTACCAACATACGAAGTATTGAAAATAGAGTAAGATTGATTTGTCTTGTTTTTCAAATCGTGTTACAATGTCATTGGCGTAGCCAGGAGGGGGTGCGATCGCACCCCCCCCCCCCCCCCCCTTCATTACCAATGGAAATATGACCATGATGATAGAGGAAGAAAAGAGCCTTAAAATGCTTTTTATTTGAAGCTTCTAGCTCAATTTTGAAGGAAGTAACACACATTTTTTTAATTCAAAACAAATCTTACACGTTTTCTAATGATCTAATTATGTTGTATATTATATTTCGTTTTTTGGGTACCCGTTTTTTTCGACCGGGTACCAAGTTTGAACCCATCATGGAGGATTTACTACCCAGTACCCGGTTTTTTCTACAAACCCTATCTAGAAAAGTAACCTCATTTCCTATAATTTGATGTAGATTAATCGAACCTCTATATCATGGGCTTTCAATTGAAAGCCCATGCCTACAGTATATGAATAGGTACATTTTAATATATAACATTATGGGGGTAAGCGTTTCATAGTTGGTCACGATGCCAGAAGTGCAAAGTATTGTTCCGAATTTTTGAATTTCGTGTTAGATTACGGTACTCACACCTGAAGCATGGTTTTTGTTTTTGATAAATTACAATGAAGTGTAATAATATTCCTATGCGTATTTTGTGAAATTGAGTTGACGTTTATTTAAGTTACAATGTAACGGTGCATTATATTTGATTAATCAGTATCTGAAAGTTTGATTTAAGTACTTTTACACGCTTTTACATTAGTCCCAATCACGCAAATCCCTTGAATGTCCCGGGACATCCTACAAATTTAGGTGGATGTCCCGCGAAATCCCGCAAATTTAGGGCACTTTGTCTAAAAAATCTGTCCCTCTATGAAGTTTTTGGTGGTACCCCTGTTAACTGTCCCGCAATTAGGGTGTTTGTCCCTCGAATGGTCCCGCGAATTTGATAAAAAAAAATTGGCCTATTAGCACAATCACGCAAATCCCTTAAATGTCCCGCGAAATCCCGCGAATTTAGTAGATGTCCCGCAAAATCCCGCAAATTTTGGGCACTTGGTCTAAAAAATCTGTCCCGCGAGAAAATCTTTAGGGGTTGACAGTACTGCAAATATAACTAGTAGGACAGTAATGCCTGGGTCACATTTGCTCCGATCCATCAGCCGGCGCCCTGTCGATTGAGTGTTTTGTTCAATATTGCATTCAATATATTGTATTAATGAAATTACACCACTACATTTGACAGTTAGAAGATTGCCATCATTTTATCAATTGGCCAACATATTGGGTTAAAAAACTAAGATATAATGTGTCAAACTTCAATTTATTTACATGTAAAATAAAAAGTAATGAAATTGCAATTATTAATTTTTGAGTTAGGGCAAAAAATGAAACAGCAAACATTAGTATTGCCACAATTTTCTGAGTACAGTATATTTACATAATTATAAAATGTATACATAAAATATATACATTTCCAACAACATTGGGCCTTATGGCTATGCAAATATTGTACATGCATTTTCTGATACTGTATTTGCCACAAGATGTTCTGAAACAAATGAATCGCAATCTAAACTCAATAATTGAGCCTGGCTATAGGAAAACCTGTCTTATCACAAAAATTAAAATTGTGCTACAGAGCCAAAAATGTGCTCAAGATTTAGAGGAAAATGTGCTAAATTCAAATCTGTCTTTTGGTCTATATCTGCAAAATTTTTTTTTAAAGACATAAGCCATTTCATTTCATTTGAAAGGTCTCTTTGTGCTTTTTAAGATAAACAAAAAATCAAAATATTGAAAAAATCTGTGATAAGACCCCTTTTCCCGTGGCCTGGCTCAATTATATATGTTTATTTGTTGATGTTTTTATGTACTCAACCAAGTAGTGATTTGTATATGCTACCTAACCCTCTTAATTTTCCTCTTAATACAGTATATGTTTAATTAAATGTCACATTCTGTGTGTTCTTTCCTTTGAATTATTTTATAATGTAACATCAAGATGGGACTTTTAGTCAAACGTTTCAATCACAATTGAAGTTCTCTTCTCTAGTATGAGTTCTGTAATGTAAGTAAAGAGAAGATGTATGCCTAAACATTTTAGAACAAACATCACATTTGAAGTTCTTTTCTCCAGTATGAATTCTATAATGTACGTTAAGATTTGACCTAATTGAGAATGTTTTAGAACAAACATCACATTTGAAATTCTTTTCTCCAGTATGAATTCTATAGTGTGAGTTAAGATTAGTCTTTTGTACAAATGTTTTGGAACAAACATCACATTTGAAGTTCTTTTCTCCAGTATGAATTTTATTATGTTTATTAAGAGTTGACTTTCTTGAAAATGATTTAGAACAAACATAACATTTGAAGTTCTTTTCCCCAGTATGAATTTTATAATGTAAGTTAAGATGTGACTTTCTTGTAAATGTTTTTGAACAAACATCACATTTGAAATTCTTTTCTCCGGTATGAATTCTATAGTGTAAGTTAAGACTAGCCTTTCCTGTAAATCTTTTGGAACAAACATCTCATTTAGAGTTCTTTTCTCCAGTATGAATTCTATAGTGTAACTTAAGACTAGCCTTTTGTGTAAATCTTTTGGAACAAACATCACATTTGAAGTTCTTTTCTCCAGTATGAATTCTATAGTGTAAGTTAAGACTAGCCTTTTGTGTCAATCTTTTGGAACAAACATCTCATTTAGAGTTCTTTTCTCCAGTATGAATTCTATAGTGTAACTTAAGACTAGCCTTTTGTGTAAATCTTTTGGAACAAACATCACATTTGAATATCCTTTCTCCAGTATGAATTCTATAGTGTAAGTTAAGACTAGCCTTTTGTGTAAATCTTTTGGAACAAACATCACATTTGAAGTTCTTTTCTCCAGAATGAATTCTATAGTGTAAGTTAAGACTAGCCTTTTGTGTAAATCTTTTGGAACAAACATCACATTTGAAGTTCTTTTCCCCAGTATGAATTCTATAGTGTAAGTTAAGACTAGCCTTTTGTGTAAATCTTTTGGAACAAACATCACATATGAAGTTCCTTTCTCCAGTATGAATTCTATAGTGTAAGTTAAGACTAGCCTTTTGTGTAAAACTTTTGGAACAAACATCACATTTGAAGTTCTTTTCTCCAGTATGAATTCTATAGTGTGAGTTAAGATAAGTCTTTTGTGCAAACATTTTATAACAAACATCACATTTGAAGTTTTTTTCTCCAGTATGAATGCTGTAATGTATTTTAAGAGAAAATTTACGCATAAATGTTTTGGAACAAACATCACATTTGAAGTTCTTTTCTCCAGTATGAGTGCTATAATGTACCTTAAGAGAAGATTTATGTATAAATGTTTTGGAACAAACATCACATTTGAAGTTCTTTTCTCCAGTATGAATTTTACAGTGTAAATTAAGAGCAGACTTCCGTGCAAACGTTTTGTAACAAACATCACATTTGAAGTTATTTTCTCCAGTATGAATTTTATAATGTAAGTTAAGAGAAGATTTGTGCATAAATGTTTTGGAACAAACATCACATTTAAATTTCTTGTCTCCGGTATGAATTATATAATGTGAGTTAAGAGAAGATTTCTGCACAAATGTTTTGGAACAAACATCACATTTGAAGTTCTTTTCTCCAGTATGAATTTTATTATGTAAGTTAAGAGAAGATTTCTGCACAAATGTTTTGGAACAAACACCACATTTGAAGTTCTTTTCTCCAGTATGAATTCTATAATGTTCCACTAATTTAGACTTATATTTGCACATCATATGGCATATATCACAAACATGTTTTCCTTTGTGGTCATTTGCCATTCTCTGAAAACCACTTATAAAAGTTTTACCACTAGTAGTATCTTCATCATTCATCAAGGAAGCAGTCATACTTTTGGTAGTATTTATCTTATCAGCATTAACTATCACACCATCAGCATCATTTATCATTGTTTTAACACAAGTTATCACATCATCAGGATCATTTATCACACCATCGCCACCAGTAATAGTATTAATGACCTTGCTACTATAGTCCATTATGTTTTCCATAGAAAAGGTAAATTCCAAATTTTGCCTGGTCTTATGTATGCTTCAATATATAATATAAGCCTCGTAACACTTTTTCTGTGGTACTAAACTCTCTTTCTTGTAGTTACCTGGTATCAATGATTAATATTAAGCACTACTGTTTGGTTAACGGTGTGTAGTACTGTATTATGTTATGGTTTCTTTTCCACACATCGTATCCATTTATGAGTTTATCTGCTATACAAATAAGACATTTGAACCATTGTCACAGTTACTCTAGTAACTATATATACTGTAGTAGGATAAGCTTAGATATTGGTTTATATTAACTTTTTAATCTCATTTGTTCGGCATCCTTATCAGCATTAAAGTACAGAACATTTAGAGAGCTTTCGATTTAAGTTATTTGGAATATGTATATGCAAACTTAGCATAGCACTGGGGGGAACTCTGGAAAATATGATTATAACTTCGAAATTAATTCTGCCATTGCTGGGATATTGGGATATTCACAAATTAATTCCCTCGATTAGGAAACGAGGAACATTTTTTTAATGAAATGTACTTTCTTTGAGAAGCCTTCTGCCCCAGTTGTGTTTACGTCATTTAAAAGTTAAAGTTGCAGTATAAGTTTGGCTGAAAACTTATATCGAAAGCTCTCTAATATGTGTTGGATAGCTTATTTGATCATTTGTATAAACATGGTTAATGAAGGTCTTTCTCTCATTCTTTATTATCCCACCAAATTAAGCTTGAGTGGGATATAGAGAAGCTGACTGTCCATCTGTTTGTTCGTCCATCTCTCCAGGCGATAACTCATGTACCAGTTGACGGATTTGATTCAAATTTTATCCAGAATTCTTACGTTTAGTGTTATTTTGCAAAAGATCTACTTTATTAAGCAATGCACTCATTAAGGTATCACTCATTATATCAGCATCATGCAAAAATATGATTTACTCCTTACATTGCACAATATATGAAACCTGATATATGTTTCAATAAAATCTTTATCAGCCAAAAATAAATAAATATAGGTTTTCACTTTTTATAGCGATCCAGTATTGAAGTTCCCCTGTGCAGTGCAGCATATCATGTGTTTGGAGTGCTTTAGGGAATACTGTCTTAGTAAATTGAATGAGAGAGGATTCCAGGCACATCCAGAATATGGTTATACAGTGGCCTGTCCTGGTGAGTGATAAGTAAATTACAGTAGTGTCATTCAGAATGGCACCTACGTGTACAGAGTGACCCAAAAGAATAAGTACATCTAATACAGTTATCTTTATAATATAAGCATTGCAATACTTTTTGTGAATGACATTTACCACTTGAAGACATTGGATTTTAAAGGAGTGATATTTCACAATCAAAAAGTTGAATATGATATGACATAAGTGTACTCAATTTTTAGAGTCACCCTGTACATGTAAATGAAACTATATGTACAATGAAAAGTGAGCCAAGTGGAAATTGTTTGCATGCATGATCAATCTAGTGAAATTGCATGTAATGCATTATATAAGTTTATGAACCAGGTGGTTTCTGATACAGGATTTAGGACAAAGGACCCCATGATTGATTGTTTAGTTAGTCTACAGGCTAACTAATGGATTTAAAATTGCTTAGACCAATGATATAACTGCACTATCATCGTAAGATGGGTACACTCATCTACAAAAGTTTGGCAATGCCATCCCAACCCCCATTGGAAAGCCTGTTAAATCATAGGCTTTTGAGTCTCTTGAATCTTGATTAGATTGGACGTTAATGACTTTAATGATTTTTAACTGCTAAACATAAACTTAAACACATCAATAGGAAAATTAGTTTTGCCAAACCTTTTGGGGAAGTGTACAAATATAGTTTTCGTTTACAGCAGGGTGTGAGGATTCACTGATTCAAGAGTCCCATCACTTCAGGATAATGGGCAATGAACAGGTAAATGGGTTAATACATTGGACTAGAAATGAGTTGAGAGAAAATTTTTGAAAAATTGTCACAGTTTGACACTATTTTTCGTCATCATTCTATGTCATTTATATTTTCTAAAAAATCAACAGTTTTGACTTTATTTTATTATAATTCTTTGAATTCTAGGGTTATCTGGCCAAAAATTAAAAGGAGGATAAATCCCCTTTTATGTTTGATTAGATACTGTATCTAAATTCTTGTTTCAGACAATAAAATTGTCTATTTTATGGACATGTTATATTGCAGTACAGCAGATATCAACAGTTTGGAGCTGAAGAATGGGTGTTGAAAGAAAGGGGTGTTCTATGCCCCGCCCCTGGGTGTGGTCAGGGATGGATCACTAATGACAGTGGGCGGAGACTCCAATGTAGTGAGCCTCAGGGGTGTGGGGTGAGTTGCTTTTCATATCACAGCCAACATAATGTCAAGTATCATTAAAAATTATTATCGCATTGAAAATTTGCTCGAACTCCCTCTTTGGTAAAAACAACAGAGAAAACAACCTGTCACCTACTTCTTGATCTAATGAAACCTCCAGCATGGCAGTTGAAATCCTTATATTCTGAGTATGTTACATGTACACTCTGCGAAATGCTGTACATATTTCCAGATGGTGTTCTGTGCTGAATGTCGCGAAGCATATCATGAAGGGGAATGTGATCTTGCATCTATACAACAGGGTGCCATAGCATCGATAGTAAGATAGACTTTCATATTTTGTGAAAAACCATCTACTTGTACTTATTTTCTGTGTGATAAAATATTTTTGAAAGAAGCCTCGGGATATATTTTAACGACAGCATACACAATAGTTTTATACCTATTCTGAAAAGTTATATTGTATTCATTCCTGACACCCTATTACGTATATGTCATACTAGGATTAAAGCATAAAAACTTGAGAATAGGGGTCTCATAATTAAATGTAAAAAGTTCATGTATATACACCCTGATGTGCAAGATATGGCATTTTATCCTGTTGATTTGATTGCAGAATTCGGCTGATTTATCCCAGACCCAACAAGATAGACTACAGTCCCTGGACACTATACATAAGACTACCAAGTCATGCCCAAAGTGCAGTACTCCTGTTGAGAGGAGTGGTAAGTACATGTACCAACAGAACAGAGATGTTTCAGTTTATCTCATATTTATACCATGAAATAAGATAAATTTCATATCTTTTGTATTGGATATGGCTAAATGGGCTACCATATCTTATTGATTATGATTTTTCACCACACATTGTTTTGTTTGTTTCATTTGTACCTGGGCATCAATTCACAGTGCTGCTTATAAAGATATTGATATTCATTTATGGATAAACATGATATCCCTCAGAAACTGTTATTCTCTTCATTAGACACTTCATTTGCATGTAGATAAGCTGTGAACATTGTTGGACATACCTTTTCGAAATTCTCATTTGAGGCTCCAAAAATGTATTTCATAAATACATGAAAATGCCCTACCAAAAACAATGAAATATAGTATTGTTCGGTTAAAAATGCATAACCCGAAATATTCTGTTTCTTCCAGGGGGTTGTATGCACATGCACTGTATACGATGTAAGCATGAATGGTGCTGGTTGTGTTTAATTGAATGGAACAGTGAGTGCCAGTCAGACCATTGGTTTGGAGATAACCCCTTAAATAACCCCCTCAACTACCATATAGAGTTCATTGACTGAATTACCCCCTAAACTACCATGTGGAGTTAATGACAATTGCAGTAAGAACACCCCCTCACAGACGTGCCATATAAGGAATCCCATGGAACCACACCACAATATTCCCACAACTATAATATATGGAGTCCATGGACTATACAAGAACATTTCCTCAATCATCATTTTATGGATTCAGATGATTATCCCACCGAACAAAGTTTGAGGGGGATATAGGAAAGCCGTCTGTCCGGGCAATAACTCAAATACCTGTTGACGGATTTGATTCAAATTTTATAGGCTTATGGGGGTAGGATCTCTGCTCGAGAAAGAATTGATTAAAAATGGCGGCCATTTTTTGGAAAAAAAAAGCTTTGATAACTCAAATACTCATCATGGATGGATTTGGTTGTTGCCTGGATACAAAGGAGTCTTGCTCAAGAAGACATTTTAAAGATGGCCACATTATTTCAAAATGGCCACCATTTTTCGTGAAAAAACATTATCTCGAATAACTCTAATACCATTGAATGGATTTGGTTCAAATTTTACATGCATATGCCTGGGGACATAGGAGCTCTGCTCAAGAAGGGATTTTCAAGATGGCAGCTAAATTTTAAAATGGCCGCCATTTTTCGTAAAAGAACATAACCTTTGATAACTCAAATATCAGTTGACGGATTTGGTCCAAATTCTATATGCTGATACCTAGAGACAAAGAAGTTCTGCTCAAGAAGACATTTTCAACATGGCCACTGAATTTCAAAATGGCCGCCATATGCTGATGCCTTGGGACATTTGAGCTGAATTTCAAAATGGCAACCATGTTTCATAAAAACATTATCTTTGATAACTCAAATACTAGTGGATGGATTTGGCTCAAATTTTATATGGCAGCCATTTATCAAAACATGTTTTGTTTGGTGGGATTTGCTCCTCCGTGGAGTATTTCTAGTTATATTTTGACAATTTCTTTCAACATCAAGGTCTTGGACAATATTGCCTGCAGATTTTCAGAATCATAAACGATGATCATCTATTACATGTATTTAAAAGATACAGACCCTTTACACTTTTCAGAATTCAATAATTCTTGTAAACTTGTAAAAATGGGAGGACTGATTTAAGTATAACATAAAGTACAAAAATTGTAACGGTCGAACAGTGATAAATAGAGAAAACATTTTGTTTGTCATGATTTGATACTTAATGTCTGCATGTAGTTGCCTATTTTCTAGGTTTGAAAATTGCTCAAATAATATACAGCAAGTACCTAACTTGATATGAGCTTTCATTGTTATAGACTGTACAAATAGAGATATATTTTTAATTGAATATTTATTGTATGGCTGGATGGTGGATATACCCTGTATACAGCAGTATATAGCTTAGTAAAATATGTTGGATACAACAATACTGGAGCCAGAAACATACAAGGGCAAGGCAATATTAAAGCCAGATATACCTCCTACACCAGTACAGTGAAACCTGTAAAGTGGAATACCTCTGTAAATAGAACACCTCTGTAAGTGGAACACTTTCAGAGTCCTAAGACCAACTGACATAATGAACCTCTATAAGTGGAGCACCTCCCAAGTGGAACACTTTTTATAAGAGGTACCAAAGGTGTTCCACTTAGACAGGTTTTACTCAAAAACAAGGCCTTTATTGAAGCATTAACTACCCTAACATTTTCTTTTGATTGTATACAGTAAAACCTGTTTTAGTGAACACCTCTCTCGTCAGCAAATGTGTCTAGAAAACACCTCTTTTCAGCACATGCTCCACTGAGTTCTGTATAAAATTGCCTCTGTAGTGGACACATTTTTATGGCTCCATAGGTGTTCACTGTACACAGGTTTTACTGTATTTATCTCATGAGTTTTGTTAACCCATGGCAGATATACATGTAATTATCCAACATATTCCTCAAACATCATAGAACAAGTATCTTCCAACAAGATACGTGTATTCCAATGTGTGCTAGCTTTCAAGCTTACATTGTTTAAATATTAAAGAGTGCATTTGAGTAGGAAAGTTTGATAATTTGACCAGCTGAGTGTGCGCTGCTTCACACAATACTCATGATACTTTGTGCTTCCCAGTTTATGTGTTCATATCACATATCATCATTCTGCAGATTAATATACTGTATTCATGTAATTTATTTGAATGAAATAAAAGATGATGTTAATCTATTAACTATTACTCTTGTGTCACATGTGATAAAGTTCAGAAGTGGACTCTTTGGTTAATTCTAACAATGACCTAGATTCTATATGAATTAAAGTCATCATATCATTTCAGAATTCTGTTTGGAAAAAAATTATGAAAAATATTAATTTTCAGTATTTTCCTCGTGGCAAAAGTACTGAATTTTATATGTTGGAAGAATATTGTGCTAACAATAACAATAACAGACACAGATATATTATATGTTTAAGAATGTGTATTAATTTATTTCTACCAATAATGGCTTTGTACTGTACAAAATTGGCATTTGGCAAACACACTACAATTCACTCACTAACTCATTTTAGAGGATTCTTGTAACGCAAAAGTAGTTCATCGTCTTAAAATCAACTTATTTTTTCAATCAATGTCCTAAATTTTAACTTTCTCAAAACTGATAACAACCAGTCCATAGGCTTATCATCCTTTAATTCAGAACTATCCTCATCACTAGATATATGCATTATTCCTAAGAGTGTCCTACGTTAAACGGCTTGCTTGATTAGGTTGGTATATGTTGTAATCTTGGATGCCATAGACATATCTACAAATTTATCGCCAATTTTCACGACCATTCCTCCAATCAAAGTTGGGTCAACCTGGAAGAATAACAAATTTAAGATTACATACAGCAAACCCTGATTCCCTGGTACAATTTACAATTTTCCTCTGAGAATGAGACACGATTTTGGCTCTGACAAATGTGGCTTTCATATCTAAAAACTTTGGATATATATATCAAATCCTGTCAAAACAAACGCAATTAGGAGTGGCTAAAAGTATTCGAATTAGGAGCTATATGTGCTGTTAAAATATTTTAAAGACAGTCTGATTGGATAAGTTCTAGATCAAAGAATTTTCTCTTATTTAAAGAGTGCAGATAGAGTTTAGACAAGCCCTTGCAAAGGGTTCATGCAGCTTTAATAAGTGGCTGCCAATCGATAAATGCATGAGGAACCATTGAGTTATGACATTCTGTTATTTGGTCCAACTGACTCCAGTTTAAGAGAGGAAATTCATGTTTCACCCTATAATCTGCCATTTTATTTACCTTTGGAAAATACCAGGGGATTTTGTAATTTTTGTAACTGTGCGTTTATTAGAGAGAATACAGTAGCTATCATTATAAAAGTTGTAGAGTTCTCATTCTACTTACATCAAGCGTCAACTGTATTTTCTCTCCTTGCTTGGCAAAGCCATTCAAAGCAGCTCGAAGAGCTTTTTCACTGGCTGCATCTAATGCCTTTGCTGTGGTGACTGTACATGTAACCTCTCCTCTGACTGCACTCATGATTGTGTCAAAAGCATCCATTACAGCAGGGGCCTTCTTCAGTCTCCCATTGTCAGCCATGGCAATGAAAAGATTTGTTGTTAGAGGTGAAAATTTTTCAGCCTTCAGGACTTTTTCTACGGTATCTGCAAGTTATAAAACCATTTAAATGAAATTCAGGAAGTCTAAAACTAATTCCTTACAAGGTGTGAACTTGGCCACCCCATGCTGAAAAGATTTCTTCAACATTTTACAACAGACAAGTAGATTAATCTCCCCAGTCAATGAGCCTGGGAAAAATTTCTTTCAAAATCAACCTTTACAATGAAAATTTGTTACCCCAACCCCCAAAGGACCATATGCACTCTCCATTGGGATCTCCCCATGAGAAAAACCATTTGTGTCATATTGTGAAATTATTAAGTTTGCAATCGATTCAGGTCATAGTGTATTTTTGGTATTTTTGTGATAATCAATGGAAACCAATGGCCTCTATTGGGATCTGCTGATATCCTCATGTTAAGTCAATGATGCACAGCCCCATGTAAGTCAATACAACTTTACTGAACTAAATGGTCCCTATCTCAGCCAATGTGTGCCAAAGCACTTTAATACTTTTCAAAGAATTTTATGACATTCTATTCTTCATGCTACACCTAAGAATGATTCATTTTGACCATAGGGGTATTAGCCCCAAAACGCACATCTTCCTTTAACCATGCTGCAGATGAATCTCATTAGGCCTATAGGCCAAGACTTTGTGATATTTCATCCTTTCTGATATAGTGCACATAAATCACATACCTCTTTTTAATCCTCTCTTGAGAGTTGGGTTTTTCATGACTTCTAGAAGCTTGGGCTGATCTTTCAATAGTGTCTACAAGAAATTAAAACAAGATTACAACAACCCAAAAAAAGATAAAATACCACAGTATTAGCTGCAATCACAAGATTGTATTTCACCAAACTCAGAAATCATTCAAATGACGCTAAATCAGATAACACGGCCAAGGTCTCCCGCTCAACATTAAACTTTCAAACTGGATTTTTGAAAATTACCTTGCATCAAATTGAAATCTGTGTGCAACCACTTGAGGACATGAAAACTTATGAGCAATAAAGATATTTTGACATGATTTGAAAAATTTGGGTAAATATAAATAAAGAATTAAAGTTCATTTTTCAAATTATAGAGAGTAAAATATCTAACATAGCTTACCCTAAATTTATTGAATTCTTTTTCTAGTTGATCAATCTTATTTTCTTTGGATGCGGCTGAGTACACCGCATGGGCATAGCGTCCCTCGATGCCAAAGATCTGTACAGGTGCCTAAAACATGTAACAAAATTATTCCACCATGATTCAAATGCATAAGTAGACAACAACACCATGGTGTAGCAAAGCAAATCCCATCAAGTTTCCAAAGCTGCCATTTTTAGAAATGACCCTCTATTAGCCAAATTGTTACAAGAGGGTGTAATATGCTTCCAAGTGTTCACATATGAAATATTAACAATATCGCTTTACCCATTATTTTTCTAGTTATAGCAAAACTTAAATAACATAAAATTGGCTGCCATTTTTATAATGGCGTCCTATTAGCCAATGTGTCAAAATAATCAGAAAGAATAATATGCTCTAAGTATTCACATACTAGTATATAATTTCAACAAAATCCCTCCACTGTTTTTCCAGTTATAGCAAAAACGTATTAAAATAACACACATAAAAAAGCTGCCATTTTTCAAAATGGCCACTCACTAGCCAAATGTCATAAGAAAGTGTTATATACTTAAGGGAACTATTTTCCATCGTTCAACTTGATGATAAGCATTCCTGTTGTGAAATATGTCGCCAAAATACAAAATACTGAAAGTTGGCTGGACACAGCTTGTTTTCTTTTTGCTTACCTGTGCTAGTTTACCCTGAGCAACTGCAGAGCAACTGAACTGGCGCACCTGAAAAATAAATAAGAGCATGTGATTTAAAATTGTTAGCACTCACTTTAGGCATAGTTCATGTATTACTCTTATCTTTAGAATGGAATGATAATTGAAGTATCCTGACATAATATCATATGAGGATGCTCTGGTTACCTTCTTCTATAAAGGCCTCCACGATTTTAAAGCCTTACGCTAACCATGAATGCCTGTGTGTTTTATTTTTATGCTATTCTGCCTTATTTGAGTCATGTCAGGATAAAAAAATAAAATAAAATAAATGCCATGTTTTCACTTCAGAATTTCAATTGCAAGTTGTGGTCTTATTATTACCTCATATAAAATTTCAAAACACAAAAAGCGATTAATATATTAGTTCATATCTTTTGGACTGATATTTTGAATTTGAAGCCAGTTATAATGTTAGACATTATAACATTTCTTTCATTTTCATTGCTATAGCAAGAATATCGGCCATTTTCCTGATGAAATCATGCAATGTTGAAGTACAAGGTCTTTTTCAATTCACAAACTATTCGATCTTACAACATTTTTAAACTAGTATAATTAAAGGACAACTGAAAAAGCATTTCTCAACTTGCAGCTACAAAAATGCGGTTTTCTCCATTTTAAGCCCAACGTAGAGTTCTTGCGATAGCCATTATAAAATAAATGTTTGATAACTGCTAACGGTCATAGATAACGAAATAAAACTAACTGATCAATCAAATTGGCCCCCACGTGATTAGTAACATCATATACAAAATATAGCTTTGGTTTATTGGTTTCTTAGTAATCACAACGTCATGGCAACCATAGGATTGTTGTGTAAACAAATAACAAAACATTTTGGCATTATGGCGTCATGATCTAATGGACCAAAACAGGCCACGTGGGGACCAGTGAGAGATCACGTGGGGGCCAATAACGTCACAACCAATTCGAATATTGCGTATTAAGCAGCTATAATGATCGTTAGTGTGAAATAATTTTCACACTGCTGATGAGAAAACATGTCCAAATACATTTATCAAAAAATTATATTGATTCCTTTAGGTTAATAAAAATACCATTTCATATCTGCTTCAAATATTTTTCTACAGCAAATTTTTTCAAAATCAAAAGAACACCGTGTTCGAAATCCAATGATATTTAGCCAAGTTTTGAGCTAGAGACTCAAGTAAGGATTATCTGGGTATATCGGCAGAACGGGAACATTTTTCTTTTTCATCGAGAGAGATACCATCACTTTTCAAGATGGCGGTTGGATTTAAAAGGGGATTCCCCATTTGACTGGCACGGGAGTGGCCCGGAAGTACCAATAAATGGCGGAATTTGACGGTTGAAATAAGTTAAATATTACACGCAAATATTGCTATCAAAAATGAAAATTTCTTGGTTCTGCCAATAAACCCAGACAATTGTGGATTCAACTACATGAAAAGAATGCTAAAATACCAAGGAATCTATTGAAGTAGGTATCTTAAGTGTAAGAAACATAGAAAATTCTCCCATGTTGTAATCGTACAGGCAAAAGATTGAGACGTTCTCAGGACTATAGTCCTGGCACAGGATAAATGTATGTCTCCTTGAGCAGAGCTTCTTTCTCTCTAGGCATCAGCATATATAATTTTTCAACCAAATCTGTCAACTGGTATTTGAGTTATCAAAGATTACGTTCTTTTACGAAAAATGGCAGCCATTTTGAAATTCAGCTGCAATCTTGAAAAATTCCTTAGCGATCATAGCTCCTGTATCCCTAGGCATCAGCATATAAAATTTGAACAAAGTCTGTCTACTGGTATTTGAGTTATCGTAGACTACGTTATTATTATGTACTTATCAATCCATTGGAGACACTATGAAGTCAAAAGTTAAGTCTTTACAGGGTTCATACACCTTTTTCAAAATAAAATTCCCTGACATTTCCCTGACATTTCCAGACAAAAAAGGAAATTTCCAGATCTAGTTTTGTTGCACGGAATACTAAAAAGTCTCAAACAACTGATATTTGAAAGACAAGACTTATTTTGAAACATTTTGGGTTTCTCTTTTTGTACCCTTTCTCATGACTTCACCAAGGAGGATTGGCTCCAAGGATCGAAACTCGTTATTTCCAAACAAAGAAAATATTTTTATTTTCTGAAATTATAAATGATTAATCACAATAAACAGTCCAGAAGATTCGAACCACCAATATCTCGATCATTTCTTGTGAGTTTTGGGATTTCTCGCTAGGAAATAAGACCAAAATTCATGATTCAAATGTTGAAGTGAGCAAAGTTCGAATATGGAACAGAATATCAATGTTGCACTCTAAGAGCCAATCCTCCTTGTGACTTTACTTCTTAAACCTTATTCACCAATTTATTCCTGATGCATTATATTTTCTAATTTCACATTGCATAAGGGGTGTACAGGTGTGTAGCCAGCAATTGTCAAGGGGTTGTAATTTTTTGGGTTTGCATCACTGCAAGCAAGTGAAACTAAAAAGGGGGTTCGGGGGTTCATCCCCGGAATTTTTTGTAAATTTACATTGTTTATGGTGCATCAGTACTGTCAACCCCCAAAGATTTTCTCGCGGGACAGATTTTTTAGACCCAGTGCCAAAAATTCGCAGGATTTTGCGGGACATCCACCTAAATTCGCGGGATTTCGCGGGACATTTAAGGGATTCGCGTGATTGCGCTAAATAGGTCAAATTTTGATCAAATTAGCGGGATTTCGCGGGACCATTCGAAAGACAAGCACGCTAATATTACGGAACAGTTAACAGGGTAACCACCAAAGACTTCATAGAGGGACAGATTTTTTAAGACAAAGTGCCCTAAATTCGCGGGATTTTGCGGGACATCCACCTAAATTTGCGGGATGCCGCAGGACATTCAAGGGATTTGCGTGATTGGGGCTTAATGTAAAAGTACTCAAATCAACTTTCAGATACTGATTTATCAAATATAATGCACTTAACTTTAGTCAACGTCAACACAATTCTACACAATACGCATAAATATTATTAAACTATCAAAAAACACGCTTTAGGTGTGACGTAATCCAACACGAAATTCAAAAATTCTGAACAATACTTTGCACTTATGGCGTTCATGACCTACTATGTAACATTTACCCCCCCCCCCCCTCCACCCATAGTGTTATATATTAAAATGTACCTATTCATATAGGGGTTCGATTAATCTACATCAAACTATAGAGAGTCGAATTTCTTTTCGAAATATCATTGTCCATTTATTGGAACTCGCGTTTGCTAACATTTGCTCAATTCTGAGATGAAGGCTGTGACACGCGTAGTAAAAAGGCCAACGTTGGAACTATTCGTGACAAACATCCCAATTTTCGTAATTAAAATGAAAATGCACTCTCTTCCTCTTTATTTTGATACCAAATAACGGCATACTAGGTACTTTATAAGCCAACTATGGTGTTATTTGGATCAAAATCACAGTTTTATGTATGCCCTTTCCAAAAGCAGTCTTCGATGATCGACGCACTAGGAGTTTTGCAGCACTTTTCATATTAGGTAACTTTACTCCTCAAAAGCGAAAAAACTTAGCTTCTTATATCAAAAGATAGTCACAATTATTTAGCCTCGGGGATTGTTACAATTTTGAAAATTCGCGGAGGTTAAAGCCGACATTTGCGGGACTTCGCGGGACATTGCGGGACACGCGAATTAGCCAAATTTTGATCAAATTCGCGGGAAAATCCCGCCATTCGCGGGACACTTGACAGCTCTGGGTGCATTCTTAGCATTTCAAACAATAATTTGTTAATGTTTTGTAATAAATCCAAATGACAACAGAAAATTTTGATCAAAAATCATACTAGAAAATAGCAACTCCCCTGAGGCCAGATGGGCAATTTCCACATAATGAAACATATTTTATCAAATACTGATCACTGTGAACATTATGTGAACCTGTCAATGTCTTCTTCCTTTTGGGAAATCTGCACCAACATATGATACCACAGCAGAAATTTCTTCTCAAGTAGTGTCACTATAAGGCACAGGCCTATGATACCAAATCAAGTTATTGGTATTTGTGTTACCAAGAAACATTTTTCTTTAAATTATCAAGAATTTCATAAAAAATGCTGGCCTTTTTGAATTCAGAGACCATCTTGAATATTTCTTCTTTTGTCCCTAAGGCATAATTGTATTGAACCATATATACTTATATGTATATTCTTTATTGTTCGGTTTCAGTATAATGTTCTTACTGTTCTGACCAAAAGACAATGCCAGATAGAATCTCATTCAATCAACCCTAATAAAAAGATTTCCGATTTGTGGAAACAACAAAATGTTAGATTTTGGATTTCATTGATATCCTGTCATAGCTCTAAAATGTATTTTGTTGGAACATTATTTATTCTGATACAAAATTCCCTGACATTTCCCTGACATATCTACTGTTTCAAAATTCCCTGACATTTTTGGCCCTTTTTGACCCAATTCTAAAATTCCCTGACATTTCCAGCACCTGGAAAAATAAATCAATTTCCCTGACATTTCCAGGTGTGTACGAACCCTGCTTTAGTTTGCCAAAAACTGTTGAAAATACGCATAGTAAACTGTAGTTCAACAAGTTAAACCTAGTCTGGGCCTTATTTCTTATCTGACATTTCTTGTGGCCCGCCCTAGGTTTAACATCCGTGCCTATTCGGCCCTTGATGCAAAAAATTTTAATGATGGCCTATGGCAGCGCATAGAATTCTATGCGCGTTTTATTAATAACTGATAGTGAGAATTTGCAACCAATGAAAGCATAGCACGGAAGCTAAACCCAACCACGGCAACAAGAACACTCAGATTATAAATGAAAGCCGTGGTATTGGGTTTAACTTGTTGAACTAAGTAAACTGTTGAGAAAACACATGGGTTTGTTTGGGGAAGATGCTCGTGAAAGAAAGATCTGAGTTCTTTAGTGAAAGTCTAAATTTTACATTTCTTTAAAGAAGTAACATGTTTTAAGCAAGCAATGCCATTAGACATTATGATTTTGTGACGGAAAAGTGATTTTTCCTAAAAATAAAAAAAATCTGAAAATTCTGATCATTGCTGAATCTTTGAACCAGTAATATTCATGTTTTTCGTTGACGTTTGACAAAATTACGGTGCAAACTTCGTGAAAGAATACACAAAGTAGATTATGAGCATATACATTTGTGATGATGAAATATATTTGATGCGTTACTGGACAAAAACTTACGAAGTTTCCGAATCGGGGAGCTGCCATCATGGCCGTCAAGGTTGAGTACTGCCTGTGTGACCAAAAACGTTGAATTGACAAAAATATATTATGTATATTATTTAATGAAAAATGAACCATTCAATGTATTTCTAATATAATATATTCTATTTTTCTAATGCTGTAGATAAAAAAAAATTGATAGCGTATTTTTAATGAAAAACAAGAAAGTTAAATTTATTTCATCTGGCGCTTGCTACCATATTTTCTGCAAGTCCCGGATGTAAAAATGTAGTTAGTATAAACTTCTAACTACAGTATCTTCTCACTTTTTCCACAGATCCGGAGCCAGATCCAGCCCCTGTTGGTAGTAGGCTCAAAGGATAAATGGGAAGATGAGACACGAGCCAAAAATGGCACATCAAAAAGTACTGAGTATATTTATTGAGCCTAGACACAGAGGAGCTTATCTGGCAGAGGTCCGTGACTTTTTCAAGCATATTGCCGTATTATTTGAATCAGAAAATGAAGATACCATTAAATCATTTGATCAGTATTTCCACGCACAGGCACAGGAAATAAAGTTCACCACTCACTGACTGGGAAAAATATCTGGGTAGTCTGGGGGGGTAGACTATATCCTATTTAGTCTGAATTATATTCAGACTATAAGGCACCTATGTTAGAGTTTGGCAATTCAAAGTATTTGTTTACATAGGAAGTGCTATTCAAAATGGCTGATTGGGTAAAATTAATTTGCACATTTGTTACTTCAACTAGCTTTATTTCCACTTGACAATATGCTGTGTTACTTTTTATTGCATTTAGTTGTACCTTACTATTTAATTGACATTTTGTAATGTTTATTTTATTGAATAAATGGTTCCTCTAATTGATAATTTTGTGCAAAAAATTTCACTGCAATTTCCACAGGAAAGTAGTACATCATAACAGACTGACTTCTAGTCAGTCTGTTGGATACATACTAGGGGGGGGGTGAACTCGTGTGCAAAATAATCATACAGTAGTCTAATCGTCAGTTCTGGAAAGTCTGAATCGAATCCCTGAATCAAGATGGCAGCCCTATAGTAGTGCGTCCCATCAGAGGGGGAATAACAGTGGCGGATCTGGGAACCAACAAGGGGGGGCCCAAATTTCAGGTCAAAAAATTTTGGGCCACTATTAAAAACCCAAAATACAGAAAGTGGGCCCAACTTTGAAATTTGAGGCCGATTTCCTTCAAAATTTGGCCTGAAATTTAAAAATAAGGCCTCAAAGGCTCAGATGCATTAATGACCAAAAAGGCCCACTTTTTGGGGCCTAAATGACTTTTTTCACCCACATTTTTTAGGCCTGGGCCCCCAGCCCCCCCCCCCCTCCCAGTTCCGCCAGTGAATAACAACAGAATTCAAAGATGACATATGCTTATAATGTAAACCTGTATTGAGATGACATACATATCTGATTTGCTCAGAAATCGATAAACAAATGCTGTCATGAATGACAGCTTCAAAATTTACCAAATATGATTTCGAATAATATTATGTTCATTTCTGGCATGTTAACCACTACCAGTATCATAACTTCTTATTTCATATCAAGATAAAGAGGTGTACAGAATATGCCTACATCACATCGCAGTAATTATGTCTGTTATCTCTAAAGCTCTGGGGCTTTCTCTCCTTCTTTCTTTCTCTCCTTCATACATACTGATTTGGGTCTCAATTCAGAACTATTGACATCTCAAAAATATCAATGAAGTGATCGACTCAGTTATCAGTTGGAGTTTTAATGGCTTCTTCAGGAGTAGAGTCTCAATTATTTTAAGGTACACATACACATAACTGTAACTCATTCCATCCATGGACTGTCTTTCTGTTTCAATATTTATCTTGGTACTGTATGATTGTACTTTTAACTGTAACTGTACACATACATGACATTATTGTGTATTTCCAGATGTGATAGCTGACATCCAGATATTGTAGGTTTAGCTCAAAATCCCCTCGTGATTAGCAAGCAGCTGGTACTATAAACTGGGTAAAATATAAATGATACATACCCTTAGCAGATCACAATTGATACAACTCTCTTTTCAAATGATTGGACCAACTAAAATAATGTAACATTTTTCACACAATGTTGAATGTAAAGTGACTTTAAGCCTATATGAATTAAAAGTTGAGTATGACGTTGTTATCATACCTTCGCTGTAGGCGTCTGTACAGGATTCAGAATTTTCTAATAGCTATTATCTTGTTATCATCTTTATGTGGCATTATATTAGGAATATCATTCATCATGGATTCTGACAAAAAGAACGCAAACAAAGACTCAAAAAAGGAACCTCTTCTTTTGGAGAAAATAAAACCAGAATTAAATATTAAATCTAAAGATGAAGAGATTAAATCAGATGACATTATTGAAAATAATGACAGGAATCAGGATAGCGATAACAATCAAATAAATGATGATGTCAAACCTAAAAATAAGATCAATAGAGTTGAACTGCCACCAGTTGAGTTAGAGCAGTTTCCAGTGCCTAATTATGACGTGCATGTGTTCTATTACCCCTGGTATGGTAACGTTGAAGTTGATGGCCAGTACTTACATTGGGACCATGAATTCTTACAACATTGGGACAAAAAGATAGCAGCTAAGTGGCCAAAGGGGAAACATCAACCACCAGATGATATAGGATCAAATTATTACCCGAGGTTGGGGACATATAGTTCAAGGGATCCTAAAACCATGGAGAGCCATATGGAGCAAATCAGATCAGCTGGAATTGGTAGTTATTTCTTTATGTTTGTATTGAAATAATAAAATATTCCTTCTTAATTTTGACCCGAATATTTTTAAAACAATGTTTACATTTTTACATTTGGATATGATAAATAATGTCACTATAGTATATTTAACTTAGATTTATGTTGACCACCAAATAAATATGAATAATTGTTTTTTATAGTCAGATAATGTGTTCATCATGTAAGAATCGAGACCTTGATTTTTGATTAATTGAAAAGTGATTTTTCTTAACAATGATCATATGAACAGACTGAAGTTTCATTAATTTTGTGTCATGATCTAGAACCATAGAATCATGGTCTTTATTCCTTCATTTATTAAGAACTGTATTTTAAATTTGATATGATTTGATTGGTCAGGTGTGTTGGCCGTTTCTTGGTATCCTCCTGATGAAGCAGATGGACAAGGTAACCCTTGGGATGAGTGGATGCCACAGCTTTTTGACTATGCTGATAGATATGAACTTAAAGTAAGTCTCCCTCTCTACATTCAACTGTTCTATGTTATGGCTCATTGGCAGGGCCAATGTTACACTGTACCTCTATTGCTTGACCCTGGGTTTGGTTACCAATTCAAACAAAATTTGTTTCTTTGTTATGTAATTCATGTTGTTTGACTGAATGGTCCACAACTTGTATAGAAGACTGTCTCTGTATCGGTGCACATAAAAGATCACAGGGCTTCTCCAAGGGGCTTTCTGGCTCTTTGAGTGTAAAATACGATCAATGAGCGATTGCTGCCATAAAATTGTGGTAACTGAAATTCAAAACAATACAATATTGTTTAATCATCCAAATATTATTTATTATTTGATTTTTCAATATTGCCAGATTCTTTTGTCTTATTACTCTTTTCTCAATATGCCAAACTTTTACAATAAAAAATATTTTGTATTTGCAGGTAGCATTCCATATTGAACCCTTCAATGATCGATCTCCAGAAACTATGCAAAAATATGTGCAATATATTATTAACAAATATGGCAAACACAACGCCTTTTATCGCAAAGAACACAATGGGAAAACACTTCCTCTTTTCTACATTTATGACTCATATATGATTCCTTCAAACCAGTGGAAGAAATTACTAACCCCGCAAGGACCTTTCACAGTTCGCGAAACAAAATATGATTCACATTTTATTGGACTGATTGTTGAGAGAAACCATAGAGATCAGCTCACAGACGCAGGATTTGACGGGATGTATACATATTTCGCAAGTGATGGCTTTTCTTTTGGATCAAGTATCACCCGTTGGAAGCAAATTGCAGAATACGCAAAATCCAAAGATCTTTTGTTTATTCCAAGTGTTGGCCCTGGATATATAGATGAGAAAATTAGACCATGGAATCACCAAAATACAAAAGACCGCAAAGAAGGGGATTATTATCTTAAAGAATTTGATGCCGCAATTGCAGTAGAACCCCCTTTGATATCAATAACATCTTTTAATGAATGGCATGAAGGGAGTCAAATTGAACTTGCAGTTCCTAAAATTGCAGGAGCCTTCAAGTATGTAGACTATCTACCACATGGACCTGATTTTTACCTGAAATTAACAGAAAAATCTATTAATAAATACAAAACAAAAATGGACATGATTCGATGACCATTGAACAGATAACATCATGCTTACAGTTAAACTTCTCTAATTAAACACCTCTTTAAGTGAACACCTCTCTCATTCTCTTTAGTGAACATGTGTTGCTCATGAACAACATATTTAGTAACATAATCCATTGACTTCTTTCAGAAACCCACTCACTGTAATGACAAACAACCTATAGTGATTATTATTATTTATTATTTTTCAGTCATGCAGGTCCCAAATAAAATTTTATTCTGTTCATTGTTAAAAGATCGAAATCGTGTAGCGATTGAGGTCTTTGGCAATGGCCAGAATAAAATGTGAGGTCATATATTTGACATAAATCATAAAATCGAGGTCTTTGTTATGATTCTAATATGATAAACAGACAAGAAACACAACTATTTGCATTTATGAATTTTAGCGGTCATACATACTCCAATATAGACCAGTAAATCAATTGTTCTAGCAATTGTGACATCAATATTATATTAGAATTAAGGTTAAGCCCTGAATTCAGTGTAATATGGACTGAATCATTCCTCAAAAAGGTGTTATTTTAACTTTTGCATGAGATGTGCAGCATCAAGTGTGAAGTTTACGAAATAACACCTTAATGGAAATAATCAGCCACAATGCATCAAGTCTTGGGCTTAAATTCTTTTCACACATTGCAAAATATTTTCTACAAAAATTCTACGAATTTATTATAAATTAAATCATCACTTATAAGTTGGGTGGTTGGGAGCTGGTCGGGGGTTGGCTGGTTGTTCTTCCAGAAAATTTGTTGGGGACTTTACAAAACCTTACACATTTATATGTTGTGAAACATAGTCATATGTCAGATTAACATTCCATTTTCAAGTAGATGCATCATCATATTTATATGACATTTATTTTTTTTATTTTTTAATATTACACTTGAAAAATGTTTTTATGTACATGTATGTAGTAATAATTATAATGGTGCGAAACACATAAAAACGTGATATAACCCAAAGAAACCTTAAGACTGTTTTCACTTTCAACTGTGAAAATGTGTGTGTATTTGATTTTTCACATTGATTTGACACGTCATTCTTGCTGATTTGTAATTGTTGAGGTTGCATCGGATGTTTTATTTTCCCCTTAATGCTTCCTCATTTTTGTGCCCCGTGTCCCCATGCTGTTGCCTTTTATTGGGTTAATTGTCAAGCAATGCTACATTTTATTAATTAAGAATTGCATGAAATGAAAATGAATCATGTAATGTTTGGTCAATCTGGTGATGGATGTGCATAATAGCAGACATATTTATTACCATGTCTTTAATAATTTATGACTATAGAATGAATAGATGGGGTATCTGTTAATGTATGTATACTTTATTTATTGAGGAAACAAACAAATTGTTGTTTAGATATACATTTTTGGTTTTGTAATATCGACCAAATATTGTTTTGATTTTATTATACTGTTACCATTGCTCTAACCTGGTAACTACAATCAGCATTCCAAACAAATATATAAAATGTTTAAAAAGTTCTTAAGATTATTAAAAAAAAACATTCCAGTAGAAGATCAAAAAATTATGGAAAATGGTTCAAAATTGCATATTATTATTTTGACTCTTATACATTGTACTAGTCTTGTATTAAGGCCATGTACTTACCCCATCTCACCCCTCCCTCTTACTTAGAGGTTTAATAATAATGTGCACTTGTTGTCTCAAGTGCTAATTAGTTTGGGAGCAGCTCTGCTTTGCCAGGCCTCTAAAAGTCTGGGGCAAGAAATGGAATGGTACACTAGGGTCTTTTTGCAAGAATATGACACATTTAATATGACTGTTTTAAAGCATTTTAACATTTCATGGACGTTAAAGATTTATCAAGATACATGTATTTATTTATCATTCCTTGATCTTGTATATGTTTCATTATTTTAATATTTAATGTCTTATTGGACTTTAACATGTATGACAGATATTTGTAAGTGTGGACTGAAACATTAGTCTTGCTTCAAGCCCCCCCCCCCCTTATATATATTTTAACAACAGTTGTGAAGGAGTGGGGTCCAGGGTCTTCAAGCAAGACTAACTGAAACATGTTTGAAATATATTTTCAGGACTGAATTAATCTAATTTCGTAAAAGAGCATATGTTGGATTACATTTAAAGGTCTTAGTGTACTTCAAGTTAACCTAACTCGTCTGGCCCATTTATCTACTCCCTGATTCTGAAATGTCATAGATACTTGACAAGATCTACAATGTCAGGAGTAGACAACTGGGTCAGATGGGTTGGGTTAACTTTAATTGCTGAAGGAGTGAATTAATCTAATCTTGCAACAAGCTCTATAGCCATATTTTACAAAGAGAGGAGCACAGAGGCTTGATGCAAGACCAGATGCATCTGAGTCTTTTAAACACTACCTTTATAACTAAAAATGATTTTGTCTCATATTTATCACTGCATAATGTAACACTGTGTACATTGCAAAATGATGTATATCTGTATATATAAGCATACTATGAGTTTTTACAACAGTAGTGATCTGTATATATAAGCATTGTTTTAAAATGGAGCTCTCCAAGAGAGAGGTTAATCTTTCAATGAATTTTGGAAAAAACTGCTTACGAAATAAGTAGTATAAATTAATGTAATTTTTAAATTATCTGAAATAAAAAGAATTTTAAATATGAGAAAATTCTTATTGTTGAACTTGTGTTCCTTTACTGCTTAAAATATGATACTCTGTTTGTTATTATGAGTACATATACATACATGTACGAGTATGCACTGTGTATTTATCTTCAACTTATTTTGAAAATGACACAATAAACCAAAGAGACAAAACTGATACTTCACTAAAATCATATTGATTGTGATTTAGTATTATTAATTTGTAAATGATTTTTGGACTGCTCAAGTAATAATTAGAAAATAAATGACGATGGTAACAAATGAAAATAGTGTTTTGTTTATAATGTCCACCAAGAATGTGGTATTATGCAAATTCAACTGCTTTGATGATAATACACGTAAAAAGTTTATTCACTTATAAAAGGTGACACCCTATCATGATGTGTTATGCAATCATCTGCCAAAATGTCACAACATTGGCTGACAATGTCCATTCATTTAGTGATGCAAAGTGACTTCTCATCAACTTGCTATTATATTAAAACAATATCTCAATCATGATGTGACATAACAATATCAATAAGCATATAACGATGGCATATTATGAAGACTATCCGATTATATATATAATACTGTGATATCACTGTATCGCATGCTTCAATTTCAAACAACTTGTAGTACTACTGTACTACCCAATTATACAGTTATATGGGATTATGCGCCATAACTTAATTGCAGTATGGTTAATCATGGGCTTAATCATTATGAAGATAACAGTAGCATGTCAAATTGTGTAATATAATGTAATGACAATACTCTTTCAAATGTATTAAAGAAACCAATAAATGTCAAACATTTGATTTATAATATGGAATCAGATATGCAATGCCTACTGGCTTGGCTGATGAAATTCAAACCCTGTTTGTATGGTGAGCTCAACCCGACGATTGTGTTTACCCAGAATGCAACAGATATTCTTCACTTCCGTTCGCATGGCGCAACACTGACATAAATATTTCGACAATTAAGTGGATATTACACAATAATTGCAGCAGAAAAAGAGACTAAACTCGCAAATTTATCATGCCGAAGAATAAGGGTACGTAAAGATTTTACTCTTGTTGTAATCGAAAGCTTAGTTGGACCGAAATTGAAAGAAAATATGGACGTGAAAAATGGCAAAATCTTCGAGAAATTCATTTTTCACTCATTTCATTCATTGATTCATGTCATTGTGAAGAATAAAATTTTGAATGATGATTTTCATCCAAGCAATTTTATGACTATCTGTCGGAATGGTTCTTGACTTTCTAGTATCAGAGGCAAAACCATACGGACTATTTTGAACAGTTCTTCAAATTGTGTACTAAATCTACAATTTTTAGATCTATTGTTTTTCTCCATCAATCAAATGAATCCAATAAAATAAATCTAATGAATGCGACTGTCACTTACGTGTAAGGATTTAGTTAACACTCTAGTAGAAAGAAGTATAAATAGGGGTTCTGCGTCGAACTTCGATTTATGGGGTTTCTTTGTGATGGGGCTATTTTGCCTGGGGGCTTTTATCTAAATATTGACCGTACGACGAAGTAATCCCATCCCACACTTCCAAGTTTGACAGAGTCCCCCTACTTTTTTCAGCTTTTCATTCATTCCTGATGACGTCATGTGAAGATGTTGTTACCTGCCATGAAATGTAGTTTGATGACGTGTTAGTCAACCACGTCTGGCTATAAAATTATTCTTATATTGACAAACGTTTGTTGCTCATTTGTGGATGAGTTTAGGATGGGATGGAGGAATTAATACCATTCCTGTAATATATAGGAATTTGTTTAAAAGAATGAGAATGGATAGTATACTATAAAGAATCAATTGATGAGGGGGTAGAGGTCCATGTATCTTCTAAACAAATCCCGACATGAATGATTTGCCTGCTGTATTGATGTATTATTACAGTAAGATTTGCTGATGCTCTAATATACATGTACAGACCAAAAAATCGATGAAATCACCAAGCTTCGAAATGTAGAATCAACAAGCCAAGAATCAAATTTTGGATTTTTCAAATTAAAACTAAGGAACTTACCCGGAAGTAACTAGTTTGGATTGTTCTCATATGTAATTTTCGGCAGTATGAGTATGTTCTTGAATATACTTAGTATTACTTACACCCCAGTCACATTTCCTACGGCGACCTTGCGGTCTATCATTTCTGCGGCCAGTAACATTTCCACGCTCGCCGTGGAATTTCTGCGCTCTCATACTTTTGCAGTCACATTTCCCACGGCAGCCGCATGGTGAATTTTAAATTTCTGTTGATAAATAATACTTTTTTTATTTTATTTACATCGGGACAATTTATAAATGTTATTCATAGTGCTAGGATGTAATATCAAATGTAAAGTGATCGTGAAACATTGACAAATAATGATTCAATCTTGTTGAGCCAGTTGATTTCTACGGGGACCTCAGAAATGAACAAATATTATAACTCCGAGTTATAATTTCTACGGTGACCCTGCGGTCTGTAAAAAACTGGATACGCCGTACAGAGGCCGCAAGGCGAGCGTAGTTTTCCTACGCTCGCCGCAGAAATACACTGATTTAATTGATCTGCGGTCGACGCACGGCCTCCGTACGACAAATGTGACTGGGGTGTTATTTCCTGGTGAATGTCTCTGATATATGAATGTACCTTTAAATCTCTGTTTCAGGAAAGGGAGGAAAAAATAGGAGGAGGGGTAAAAATGAAAATGACAAAGAAAAGAGAGAGTTGATCTTCAAAGAAGAAGGACAAGGTTTGTCATCCACATGTTTGTTATATACATGTTTCTGATACATGAATCTGATTTTTGAATTGTCATGTAAAAACGACTTTCTTATTTTTCAGAATTTTTTTCATTGTTCCATTATTAATTTATTATCAGATTAATGATCAAGTAAAACGGAGAGAGGAGGTTTTGAATCAAAACTATATGTTTTTAAATTTTCTCAAAATTAATGATATCGTACTACATCACATACTGTTCATGTTTCTTATCTGTATTTTTCTTGTAGAGTATGCCCAAGTTACTAAAATGTTAGGAAATGGGAGATTAGAAGCACTATGTTTTGATGGAATCAGAAGATTAGCGCATATTAGAGGAAAACTAAGGAAGAAGGTAAGCATCATAAAAGAAATAACTTATCGATGCATCAGTGTCTTCTTTTTTGAAAATGTGATTACTACATAACTAACCAACATGACAAACTTTCTGATCAAGATTTGAACTTACAGTTTTATTTTACATTATTTCACTGAAGGTCCATATAAATAAGATAAAGTAAAAATGTATCAATTATTATATGGTTAAAATACTGGAGAGATTTATATTGAGACATTTCTTAAAGGATAAGATAAAATTCTGTGTTCTCGTTTTAGGTTTGGATAAATGCTGGAGATATTATATTATTAGGATTGAGGGACTATCAAGATGCAAAGGCAGATGTTATCTTAAAATACACTGTGGAAGAGGCAAGGAATCTAAAAACATACGGAGAATTACCAGAAACTAGTGAGTTAAATAGATACATGTCCATTTGTTACCCCTTCTGGTGGTGACATATTTTTATTGTCACCAACTTTTTTGTTACCTGTAGTTGGTGTTCGGTATCTGTAACAGCATTTGGCATCTCTAACATTTGGTCGGCATCTGTAGCAAATGGCAGGTGGTGATATTTTGCATGTGTAACTATGATTTGAATTAGTGTTACTACCTCATTGAATACTACCAGAAAGTGGTAAATGTGTGACTTAGATTTGAATGAGTGTATCTCCTGGTAAATTAAATTATCTTGATACCATGGTGCAATCTGACCTAATCTGATCATCTAGCAAGTAATACCTGTAGTGTGTGTATTAGGCATACTACTACATATGATTATAACGGGCGGGAGCATAGTCAAATTTAATTTTCACAATATTCAATTCTGTTTTTATAATTCACAAAATTTTTTCTGGGGATCTCAAAGTTATTCCAAGGTTGTTTTATATAAAAGAGAATATGAATATTAACTTAACTTTGTCACTAGTCTTTGATATTAGTTATCATTGCGGAATAATTCATTTCTTTCACATATTTTGAGATGACTCTTTGTATTATGAACAATCTGAGTCTGCATCATTGCCATCTATCTTTTGGTTATCATAACAATTAACGTTCTTATAATTGTTTTCAGCTAAAATCAATGAGAACACTGGTGCTCCCGAAGATGAAGATGATAACATCACTTTCGATGATTATGATGATGATGAAGGAGAGGGTATTGATGATGTAAGTATGGGCTACTATAGTGATCTCCATTCTGCATACAAAGACAGACAAAATAAGCCAAAGTAGTTTTTCCTGGGTCCTTTAAAATAAACATAGCCTAGAGGTAGAAGTGAAAGGTAGAAATATAAATAACTCAGATGTTTTGAACACTAAATAAATTATTACATCTAGACATTCTATTTTTTCTGTGAAATAGTAGCAAAAAATAGGCAAGAACATACATTCTTTACATCTGACCAGAAACTACTATCTTCAGTCATGTCAGTAGCTAATCTCCAACATTTTTTTGTTTGTTTTCAGATATAGAGAGAGCACTCTTGTTTAAAACAAATATGGATGTACACCGGAAAAGACAAATCTTAGCATACACATATTTTAATCTCCAGGATAAGGAGGATTCAATTAAAAAACTTCAAGATGAAGACTTTGGAAGTTCATGTTCTAAGTGTCTAATGAAAAATCAATCAAGTGTCGATCGCCAAAGTACAAAAGACTTGAATGCTAGTGTAAATAATACCCGAATATTAGTGTATGAAATGGAGAAATATGGAATGAATAGTAGACTAACGAATCACATATATATGGAGAATGTCACCTGGAACAATTGGAGGAGATATACCAGTACTGCTTTTCTATACCACATACAGACTATGGCTCATTTGGATAAATATTTGTGACAGTATGGCCCTCTGTCAATTAAGGGAATATAGGAGAAGTTTAGGAATCTTTAAGTTATTTCAAAAATATTCTATAAAATAGACTCATTCCCCAAATTGATAGAGGGCGTACTATTGTTTAATTGGAGTGTGTTGAATTTTTTCCATCGACTGTAAAGTCATTAAATGTGTGCTTGTTAATCAGAAAATTTGTAGCTTCATAGAAATGCTTTGTATGTTTTGTATATTTGAGCTAGTATAGGTTGATAGAAGGCCAATTTTTGCATTTCACAGGATTTTTTTAAAATTATTTTTGAGCTTTGGGGAAAATTCTTTGGTTACATTTAGTCTATTTGAGCAATTTTACTTCATCAACTAGTGTTGAGAGCTTGAGTAAACTCATATTTAATATTATTATTACTTTATGGCATAACCTGTATGCACAGTATACTGTAGATATATACTGTAGATTTGGTTAATTTGGCGCTACTTCATGTGGCGATTTTGCCATTTTTTGCATATTGGCCGCTATTTGATTTGGTTGACTATTTGCCATAACTTCCATATTTACTGGTATAAAATACAGTTCAACTACTTTATTTAGTTAGAATTCCCTGTGGAAATACTCGCCAAATTAACCCTATCTACAGCATCTGTCTGGAGCCTGTTTTTCAAAGGTATTATTTGTGAAATTCACTTGTTGTTAAAACAGTACTGTAGATGTAGTCATAACAAATTATTTGTATTTATTGTATCATGAAGCCTATTGTGTGATCTCCTAGGATTTCAGGTTAAATGTTTACTGAATTCATAAACTTCAAATATTGACTGGTTTCCAGTAAAATTCACTCATAATCGTTCACATCCTCCTAAGCAGGTATCCAGAATCCGTACCTCCTTCTTCCCCCTGCTATAACCAATTTTGAAGCATGATTTCTGTCGCAGTGTTGCGACAGCCAATCAGATTGCGAGTTCTTAATCGGGGAAATGCTAACTGCTTATCGCAGGGGGTAAAAAGAAAGAATATATTGTGGATTTTGAAGCCCTGTGATCGGAGGATGAATCGTTCAGCACCATCAGAGTTTATTTACAGTTATGTATGACACATTCTAAATATCTACATATTTTATATGTACACCACACTACATGTAAGTGTACAATATATATGTATATTCTAAGTGTAATGTGTATAGTATACTACCAGTGTACAGTTTAAAAGTACAACATAATTGCCACATTACATTTGTTAAAATATGCTGTAAATTGATTTTTGTTTTCAATACACAACAAAATATTATAAAAATGATTATTTCAGATCTCTCATAAATTATCAACATTTTTTTTTGTATTTGGATTGTATTTTGGAGTTTGGACCTTTGATATTTTTGAAAATTTTGGGTTTCTGAAATTCATATTGTGACTGAATTCACTGCATTCAGACTGGAGGCAAGTGAAAGAAGATGAATTGAAAAGGATGTTGTAAATAATACTTGGGTAATGTAGTTTCCATCTTTGTTCTTATGAGTCAGTAATTTTATAAATAAATTGAATATGAACTTGATTTAGTTTTCTTGTTTTTGTCATATTCCAGTGTACTTGATGAATGAAGTGCCATTTTTCTATGCTTCAATCAAGACCTCCAATTTAACATGTTTATATTAAATTTAGAGATTACTTCATGAACTCCTGAGTCTTGAGATCAACTCAAAGGTATATTATTGCCTATATATTGAATTTGAACATGATTGTATTCACGCCTTCTATAAACTCTCCCAGGGTATATTTGTCAACAATACCCCAGGTAATACGAGTAATGTGTGAAGTCATAACGTTGGGCTATAGTAATGGTGGACCATAATGAATATTTGAAATATTTTGGTGAGTTTCCATGTTCGAATCGTAATATAGACCTCAGATAAGGTGTTATATCGACGAATAAACCCCTTAGGGCTAGGCACAAAAGCTTTCGAACTCCTCATTTCCTTCGGTCATTCGGGGTACAACATATAACACCTGTTGTTTGGTCTATATCCCTTAAAGGTGCAGTAATTAGTGCAGAGGGGTCATTCAACGATCATGGACCAGTGTCAAAATATATTTTAGTTTGGATATTTCATCAAGACTAACATCTATTTTTATTATCTACAAAGAAACCCCCTAGATAACATTATTTTAGCTGATATTCCTCTTGAAACATGGTGGATCTTAAAAATATAAAAGTGGAAGTCCCCTTTTTTGGAGCTTTGAACTGAATTTACACTTCTTAATGCTGAAATTTATAATTTATCCATACATTTTAAGAAAAGAGGTATGTCAAAGAAGATCTTAAACCAAATGTTGCCTTGATAGCTCAGAAAAAATGAAAAAAAACTCCTATTTTCTCTACAGTCCTTATTGCCCCTTTAAATAATCAACAGAACCAAATTTCAGAATAGAGGACAATTGATTCTGCGGCCGTCGAGTGGAATCCTCATGTGCCGGCAAGTGCCTTGAACCAGGTAGCCAATCAGGTTCATGATAAACAAATTTAAGGACAAATCTGATAACGTGAATTTCCCTGGTATATTTCAGATTTAATTAGTTTCTGCAAAGTAATTCGATCTGTCAGTACTATCGCAAAATTTGCACTAGGAATTTTGTGAATTCTTCATTGGTTAGTAGATCCATGAACATTTGGTAAAACTCAATATGCAAAAAAGCTCAGTTTGTCTTGATTGTAATGTTTTTGTTTTAGTGCCTCTTTAAACTCATTGAGACCAAGGCTAGAGTTAAAAAAAAATTAACCCTGTGTGGACGTTGAAGATCTCCTGGTATTTCGTGATACCATCTTATACTTACATTTATTTCGTGATGTATATTTGTTTGATCACGTGACTTCCGGATAACAAATTTTAGAATTTTTAAATCAAATATTTTATTTTATTTGCAGTTCATATGCCAGTATCTCAAAGTTATTTTGCTATTCTATATTATCTAGCATCTACAAATTTGTTAGCATGAGACTGAATCGACGATTACACCATTTGTAGACTGCTGAGACTGAATGATGAATTGAAGAGAAACTTACTTTTTCAAAATGAGCTCACCGTTGTCAAGTTTGAAAAAGTCTAGTAGGAAGGCGTTTACACCTCCTCAAGGGTAGGTTTATTATGTAATCATATAACGATCATTATATAACATTGAAGGGAAAGTGGTGAACAACTAAGAGTCAATGAATATCTCTGTATTTCGCATCATCAGGCGTGATGTTTGATTTGAATGGACAGAAGAGGACATAGAAAAACAATGCCGTCTTATCCCGTGCCAGGACTAGGCCTATAGACTATTGTCCTGGCACGGGATAAATGCCGTCCATTTAGGTAATTGTCAGACAAAGGAAGATCTGCACTGAGTGTCTGACAATTACCCATATGAGCGGTATTGCCTCTCTGCCTAGGCTAGGCAGCATCATTTGTACCTTAAACATTATTAATGATGTGGTTGCCTAAATGGTAAATTGGGATGAGTAGCCATTTATGGAGTTTGAAGTACTTAGTTTGGTTCTGAATGACTTCGTTTATGATTAGTATGCTGTGCAAAGGAATACAAGGTAGTGCTGCAGAGCAGAGTCATTAAAGACAAAGATAAAAATACCAGTTTTCCCAACACAAAATCTGAAATAAGATTGAAGGCCATGTAAATTTCCTACCCACTACTGACAGAATAATGTACATGTATGTATCCTTTTACATCACAGTTTAATATTGTATTGGGTGAAATTTCTGTGCCAATGAATCACACTGCAGTATGTTTCATTGTATGAACATTGTCATTGTCATTTTTAGTCCCCAACCCAGAGCTGCGCCATTTCGAAGCCCAGACTACAGTGTTGAAGAAGCCAAACTTTTAGATGAAATCACTGGAAATATGACCCAGTCTAGGGGGACTCTAAGGGATCCTTTTGCTGGTGGAAGGCATAAACCAGGAGAGTTACCCAAGATTCCAAACACTCACACATCAGCAGGTACAAACACTATTATTTTATTGCTTAACTTTAATAATAATAATAACATAGGGTGTTTCCGACATATTGTACTTTATAATCATCCTGTTATCGCATGTTTAATAAAAATACCTATATTATCTTCCAGCTCCATCTGATGGAGAGCTCATGACAGTAATGATGGGGAGGCTTGGACAACTAGAACAACGGATACAGTTTCAGGCCAAAGAGATAATAGAGAGAGATCAGAAGATCAAAGTGTTGCAAGATAAAGTCAAACTACTAAATAAATCAAAAGGTATACAATTTGCAAAATTGTGCTTTCTTAATACTATTTATTCATTAAATGTATGTCCATTTTGTTAGTGTATCGTTTGACAAAGACTATAAGCTTAAATAGGCTTTGCACATTTGCTGAAGAAAACTCAGGTCTAAATAATCTGTCCATGCTATGTATGTACATATAAATAGAGACTTACATGAATTGTCATATGAATTCCTTTTTACTATTTTTTGAACTATTTGAATTAGATTAATCACTCATATTTACTTATTTCATTTGCAATGCTTCCATTTGGAGCAGGACATTTAAGTGAGTACTGTACACTAGATTTATAGATTTGGGGGATTTTGAGGTTTCTATCTTTTATGTTATGTTATGCTTTGTTAATTTATATCAGAGAAATAATAAATGACACATGACATATATGAATACTATTGAAATCAACAAAATGACAATTTAATTACTTTCCAGGGTATACAAAATTGTCATATCTTCTCAATTATTGTGATTTTGATTCTTTCTACGAGTACCAATATTTGATCATTCTATTATGAAATTTTCAGAAAATGCAGAAAGACATTCCAATGGTGTTGAATTGGAGAAGAAAATACTTTTATTGGAGCAGCAGATCTATGAAATGGAGGTATGTGCACATTGTAAATGTACGATTGATATATATGAAATGAATATCACTTAGGCCAATAGATATTTGGAGATATAACCATTTTAGAAAAAAAACATTTAAATAAATTGGAGGAATGATTAGGTTCCCTTCACCGTCAGTCGTTAACTTATATTAAAAAATATAGATAGCATTTGTCGTTTAACTTCCACTTGGAGAAAATTTAATAAAAACATCAAGCTAGGAAATGTTTTTAAGAAGAGTTCTAGTTTATTCCAGGTTTTTGGGATACTTTGATATATAGATATGTCATTCTAGCTCAATTGTAATAGTTAGGATGGCTGACTTGTCTCACTATACAGCGTGTATATCTCATTTTCTTATTTCCAGCAATTTCTTGCTGACTATGGTTTAGTTTGGGTGGGGGCAAAAGATGACCCCAATAAAGATGTTTATAATGATGATGATGATGCTGAGAGCCACCTTTTGGAAGAACTACCTGGGGAGAATGATGAGGAACCCATGTGGAGACCAGGTATATAGTACTTTGTACCCTTAATACTTCAACTGTCAGCATAAAAAGGGGAAATGCAGTACCAAGACCCTATCTAAGTTATATTTCTATTTGTCAAATGCAACACATGTTGATTTAGACAAAAGGCACTTCAAAGAATTGCAGGAATTTGTATATTTTTAAAACATAAACATTAATTTTTTCAAAACTTTATTCCATATTTAAAAGAAGTGAAGATATATTTTGTGGTAAAATTGTGTTTTCACATTTTCAATCACTCAAACATATTTCAGAAACATCACAGTCCAGAATTGGAGACCTATTGGTGGATGGTTTAAAAGCAAATGCCAAGAAAAAATCAGGTATGTATGTGGACAAAAGAACACTGTATTTCATATCTAATACTACATGTAAATGCACCAAACAAAAACAGACACTGAAATGAAAACTGCATAAATTCACGTAAGGTTAATGATTACATAAATTCTATCACATACATCATGAAACTGTGGGGCAGTAATATAGAATGACAATTAAATTTCTAAGGTTTATCTACACCACACTTTTCATGATGTCGAAGCTCAGGGGATAAAACCCATATTCCATTGTCTGTAAATAATTAATGAATTCATACTGATTGCGTTTAAAATGAGGATGTGCTCTTAACAAGCATCTCATTTTCAATAAATTAAAGGTCAGTCAGGCCCGTAGCCAGGATTTGCCAAGGGGGGGTTCAATTTTCAAAAATTTCCAGGGGGGGTTCACATTTGACAATTTTGGCCCAAATTAGGCTAAAATCACTAGAGAAGTGCTCAAAATGGTCAAAAACTGCATGATTTTGAAAGAATTTTTGGCCAGGGGGGGTTCGCCCGAACCCCCCCCCCCTGGCTACGGGCCTGTCAGTCTACATGCAAAAAATATTTGAGGGATGGATATCATATCCAATCTTCAACAGAAATAAATTCATATCTTCCCTACAGGTAGTTCCCAGTCACAAAGATCACCCAGGTTCAAAGTGGACTACAACCTCATTTTGGAAAACATCAAAGATCTCAATACAATAGCTGGAGAGGGTGAAGCTAAGATACAACATACTATGGATGGTGCAAGGTTAAAGGTACATAATTTTATAGTTCCCATTAACGTTAATATGTTGTAGTTGTTCAAATTGCACCAGAGAAACTTTAAGAAAAATATGTTAGTGTGTATTTTATGTTTAAAATTTGGTATTGATAGCTTCAAGATTTGTTATTTTATTGCTGATAAGTTTTAGACCAAAAAATATGTTGCCGAATTACCACTTCCATGTATTGCAATCCTGTGATGCGTTTTTGTCAATGGAGACTCAGTTGTTTTGTGTTCCTTACATTAGTGTCAGTAGATTTGGCTGCATGAGTTGATTGGTGGTCTCTATTCAATGTATGGAGAAGATGTTTGCTGATTTGTTTACTTTTTCAAATTTCTGTGAATCCTTTGTTCATTGCAGATGCCTGATCCTATTTCACTGACACTCTATGCAAATGGAATAATGTTATTTGCTGGTCCATTCCGTCCATTCACCAACAAGGAAACTCAACAGTGCTTACGTGATCTCATGGAAGGATACTTCCCCTCTGAGCTGCAACAGAAATACCCAGATGGTGTCCCTATAGCTGTAAGTAGGGCTTATAATGAGCTTTTTCTAAAATATGTGATCCAAACTTTAGAAATACTATAGGTCAACAGTTCAGTTATAAAAGAAATGGTTGTCAGATGTCCCTCAAAACAAAAGCTATTTTTTGTTACAGTAATGGAAAATTTAACAAGCTGATTATGCAAAATACATACAAATTGCAAAACTGGCTAACTAGTCTTGCCCCAAGACTTTGTACCCCCCCCCCCCCCTGTATACTTTCCAATACAACAATTGTTGAAAGTGAAGTACAGGAGGGTACACAATCGAGAAGCAAGACTATTGGCTAAAATATAAATTAAATTGGAACCTTTCATAGGGACTCTTTAGTACGCTTTATTTCAACTGGAGACAATTCAATCAGGTTTATGTGAAATTAATATTGATTGATATGAAAAAATATGTTTTGGTTGAATAGGATGAAGGGGGTATGTGTTCTTCTTTGAGGCGTTTAAGTATAGTAAGCACTCTCTGTTTATACAATTTACAATATGTCTCAATGTACAGTTTATAATTTGTTTTCTTAGGTGAAAGACTTAAGAGATGTGAAGTTTAAAGACAGGGAACACAGAGAGAAGATATTTGCAGGTCAAGGTCAAATGTTAGGTGGTGATTCTAAGCCCTCACGCTTGGTACCATCAAATCTGGAGAAGGGAACTGTCACTGATGAAGACTTACTGTCTGGGAGATATGAAGAAGTAACATCTACTTTACCAGGTGAGGTGTACACTATGACATTGCATGTTATTTGTGTGTCTCTCTTCTACAACTCAGTTGTGAATATACATTGTGAAATACAGGGTGTCTATAGAGTCTCTTTACACTTTACTTTGTTTTGTAATTGTAAAGAAACTTTATGGAGACTCTGTAGCAAATATCTATAATTCAAAAAATTAATTATTAATTAATTAATTATTTAATTATAAGTTAAATATGGAGTTGTAGAGTTGTATTTGATACAATTTCAGGAAAAATTTGAATGCAGAGTAAACATAAGAAAATATAGAATTGAATTAAATCTTTTGTGTTTTTCACTTGCGGTGTCACAGTTATCCATGGACCAATTTTTGAATAAACTTCCGTCCAAATGTTATAAAAGATGGAAAAATAATTGACATTTGGAACTCGATTTGTGAAACAAAATAGGGTGGAAAATCAATCCCCAACAACATAACAGTGAATTTGAATGCAGAGTAAACATGAGAAAATCCAAAATTGAATTAAATCTGTTTTGTTTTTCACTTGCAGGGCCACAGTTATCCATGGACCAATTTTTGAATAAACTTCCGTCCAATGTTATAAAAGATGGAAAAATAATTGATATTCGGAACTCGATTGGTGAAACATTTCAAGGTGGAAAGTCAACCCCCAACAACATAACAGTGGTTGATACTGATGTTGTGAAAGAAATGAAACAGAGGTACAGTGCCAGAGTTTCAACTAGTAGAGTATATCTCATTAAACAGACAGAATTTATTATTGAAAACATGCCACATATTACCAGTGTTACCAACAATGTGTAATTCACTGATAATATGGCACATTGTTGTCCAGTCAACACATTGTTGTCCAGGCAACACAATAAAGTCTTATTGGCTCTTTTTCAATGTAGACTTCAACACTTAAGCACTAAGCCCGAACTAAAATTGTACAACAAAATCCCAAAAATCTCAATAAACAGATAAAAATAGAAAAAATGCCACCCATGATAATATACAAAACAATAAACAAACAGACATGTTGGTATGAGGCTTTTCCAAAGCATTTGATGCGATGGCCCACCATCGCCTATTGCTCATACAAACAAACAATTACTCTTTCGATGCAAACTTGACTCTATACTGATAACATGACAGTCCATTATATTCCTAACATATGTTATAATCCACATGAAAGAGAAGTTGTCATGACAACAATTTATGCTTATATTATAGGCTAGACATAGAGAAACGTAAACGGCCCCCTACCCCCAGAGGTTTGACAACCCTGAGAATAAAGTCTGAGACAGGGGATAGGACGTATGTCCTAAAGATGAGGGGGACAGATACTATAGGGATGGTTCGAGAATATCTTAGTAAACAGAGGTATGTGCAGTCAGAAAGGAATATTGAATTGAATTGAAAACATGCTTAGTGTGATAATTAAGGTTTTACCTCAAATAACCTCAAGAAAATAAACATGCATCTTATCAAGAATTTCAGGTGCCACTAGATGTAATGTTTTTCCATGTCAAAACTCTGTGTGGATATGGTAGGCTAATATGTTTATGCATGTTCTTTCTATCATCCATACTGTTTAGAATATTAATCAATACTAAATGTTATCAATGTAAATGTATTACCATCATGCAAAAATAACATTTATGTCAAACCTCAATGTTACTCATGCAGGTATGATAATAAAAGATTCAGTTTATCACAACAAATCACATATAATTGCAAATAGTGCAAACTTTGGTTTTAGTACATGAATACAGTTGATCCAATACTTATTGAAATAGGAATATTTTTTACAAATGTCAGGGGTGTAGCCAGCTTTCAGTCAAAAAGTTTGGGGTTTTCATTCAGGGGGCATAAGCGAGTTTTGAAATGTACAAAAATTGATGCAATTTCCTTAAAAATTGAGCTAGAAACTTCAAATAAAAAGCATTTTAAAGCTCTTTTCTTCTATCTAGTGGTTCTATTTTTATTGGTATGGGGGTGCCATCACCCATCGCACCCCCCCCCCCCCCCCCCCCCTAGCTACGCTTATGCATGTTTTAACTTTTATATACATAATATGCATGTAGAGTAGATATGATCTGTGAAATAATGATTGGATCAGCCAGCATATCATACAATATTTTGATGCAATGAAATAATCTATTAGATATTGGAACTCAATATTGATTGCCCTTATTGACAGCTTTTTAAAATGTGCATTCAGTTGACTAAAATTTTCTCATGGATATTACATATAAGCCTGAGAATCCAATGAAATTTTATGCATTTTAAATATAAATCATGACCTTTTTATATTTTCAGGCCCTTGGAGGCTCCGTCGTTCGACATTTTGTCACCATATCCACGGAAAGTTTTCTCTGACAATTCAGCTACTTTGTTAGATTGTGGTCTTACACCTAATGCAGCATTACATTTGAAGCCAATCAACAGATAGGTCTTAATGCAGATTTCTAGAAATTGTAAAGCCTCATAATCAAGTGATGCAATACTCATGATAAGCAAACATTCTTTTCTGGAAATGCACCTGAGCAGAATGTGATGTTTGTCTTGAAATGCCTCTCATTACAGTTACTCATCTTCTAATTCGATTTGAAATACCATGCCGGCTGTCACAAGTAAATGCTTTCTATAATTTGGATATTCAGAAGAAAGGCTTTTTCCAATTACCTTCTAGAGCGAAAGTCTGTATCCATCAAATTATTTTTGTTTGATTTAAACAAATAATGGGGACTAATGTAAGAAACCTACAGAAAATCATCAAAAATATTGAATCAGTATTTAAATGTATAATTACACATATTAGTATCAAATATGAAATAATTATGAAAGCAATTTTATGCTTATAATTTTTATTTATCTAATTATAAGAGTATTGAAATTGTTTTATTTTATGATGTAACCATTAGCTATGTTTCCGTCCAATGTATGTGATAACGTGCATTTGTTTGTGATATGAGGGATATTTGAGATTTTATTTATTTTATTTCCTATAGAATATTATACAGTTTATTTGATAGATAAAATGTAAAATAAAAAGTATAAAGGAGTTTTATGCAATAAAATCAAAAATATATACTGATTTTGTTAAATGTGTCCTATTGGATTTCGTTCGAACAGCTGCATTATTTAGATGATGCAGTTTATCAAATTGCAACTGCTGTATACGTTGATACTATTGTATAAGTTCAGCAATCTCAACTGAACATTATGCTTCCCCCGGTATGCTTCTGCTTCAAAATTAATAACAAGTACAAGCATCTTGCAGTTTCAGTGATAAACATGCTATATCGAGAAATTCTGGACTATTTTGACGTCACCCCCTCCCACTCTCTGCTTTCCCACTTCCATATGTGTCCACTGTCACATGATTCGAGTGAGTTGGCTTTTACAACTACTAGACTGTACCAGACATATAAAAGTGTTTTATGTGTCTCTGACTGTACTCAGTCACAACATTCGATAAAACATTTTTTGATTTATATTCCGCCAAGTTAAAACATCAGAGAATAGCTCTTGGCAAACCAATTGTTGATATATTGTTAGTGAGGTTTCTTCATCAAGGCTGGATATTATTCAATACAAAGCTTCATTTACTATTAAAAGAGTATACCTCAAGAAAGTTTAAATCTGAGACGCCGTGCATGATGCAGAATATAAAGCATCGCTGCATTTAATTAAAGCATCGTGGTTACCTACAATATTTAATTTCAATTATCAACTTTCTGACAGACAAACAAGAACGGAATCGATTTAAAACTCCACTTGCACACTGAATCAACTAAACGACAAATTGAAACAATTCTATTTAAAGTGGTTATAGGATTCCAAAATAGGCAAGGAATTGAAATATGCGAGGGAAAACTTAAGCCAAAAAGGATACTTTTATGGAGCATAATGATGCACTGTTGAAATCGAATGTTTTCTCTAAAATGCTGGCGAGGCCTCTCATAACATACATGATTTTATGAAGGGAAAACGAATCTTTTTCACAAAACAAAAAGCATGTTGCAATTTATATGGCTTAAAAGAAGGCGACTAGCTAAGTTAATTATCATCATCGTTGTCGTTTTGATGACATTGATGCTACACTCATCATTGTTCCTGCGAGATCTAACAAGCGCATTAAAAGGATTAAAACCAATACTAAATAACTCGCATGACATCGATTCAAAACTTAAAGTGGCAGGTAGTGTATTGCAATTTTTCAAGAGGTTTCTTCCCTTAGTCTAGATATTATTTTACTATGATTATAAATGATTCGTTTACTTTTAAAAGAATGTACCATCTCAAAGTAAAAAAAAAATCTTAAAATGGAACAAGCTTGATTTTTCAAACTTGACCATACATGCCACAAAGGATTATGTTTTCAATACTAGTAATCAAGATTGTCAATGAAGATAGGAGGTTTGAGCAATTTGGGAGTCCATAATAAATAGCCATGTCTGTACTTTTAGGAGAGATCTCATGTTTTATCATTATAAAAACATACGAGTACATATACATTGTCTTACTTCAACGACGACACTCTTCCTTTTAGACAGAGCCAGAAATGTTAGCAACATCACCACCAGTACAAATGTTACAAAACCCGAACGTACCTGCAGTTTTGATAGAAAAGAGGCGTTCCCTTACCTTAGAGGTATATATACGACACCACCTCTGAACATTAACTTCCATAAGAAAACGTTTGAATATGATATAGAGGTTGATTATGATGTATTAGTGATTTCTATCACGTCAGAAACTGAGTACTGCGAGGCGGAGGGTTTGATTCTTCTCCGTCAAAAAGATAATTCCAGTATTCAAGATGTTGAAAAGGGAAAAACAAGGTATACTGAATTGATCAGCATTGCTTTTTATTATGAATTCCAAAAGCCTTGATTTTGCATTTGAACATGTGTTGACGGAAAACGTGATTAATCTCAATCTTAAAGAATATAAGTACACCACTGTTTCCCGCATTGATCCATTATCTATATAAAAAAAAACATGAAGATTTCATCATAATTGATATGAAAAAGGTTTGTATTCTCAATTATACACTCATCAAATCATTGTCTTATGACTATAACATAGAGCCATCTTTGCCAATGTATTTTTATCAGAATGTGTTACTTACAAATACGGATCGATTTGACCAAGAACTATTTTTCTCATTGATTTTTATTCTGTATTTTTCATGAAGGCGAAGTTTTTCCATAGGACTGTCTCTGCCACTCGAGGTTCAAATAAACGTTGTAGACTTGAGCTCGTCATCCATAAACTACTCCCAACTGCATCGATACGTACTGACATTCCGTCGTCGACCAAGGGGCCTTCGTGGGTCGTTTCATACGGACAGTAAACACAAAGTGTGTCTAATGAAACAGGAATGCGATAGACGGATCTTCTCAGAAGAGCCCTGTGGCTTGCAAACGACAAAGTATGACTCTTGGAGTATGATGAATAAACGGAATGCCAGATTGCCAGAGTGTCTGTCTGGCAATGAACCTGGTAAAATACAGAAAGACCTGTCTAAGGAGAACACCTTTGGTAGTCTAAAAAAGTGTTCCACTTTGGAGGTGTTCCACTTATAGAGGTTTCTTCAACATTAAGTCAGTTGGTGTCGGGACTCTTAAAACTGTTCCACTTTGGAGGTGTTTCACTTCTAGCGGTGTTCCACTTTACACTAGTTTCACTGTACTTATAAAATACACACAAAGGCGTAGTTAGGAATCAGGATCCATTAACTGGTGAGGCAAATTTAAAATCGAAAAACGCGTTTGAATACTAGTAATTATTTTTCTCTAAAAGTTTGGCGATGTGCTTCGCCTGCCTTGTCCCTTTCTACGCCCATGAAATATTGGAGGAAAGGTATTATTTTATCACGATTGAAACACAAGATATGTACATCGTCTAATTCTGTCAGATAAACGCACATTCCTCTTGCTGTTTTATTGCCCTTCTGGCAAATTGGTTTACTAACTTGCTTTTATTGTCGTCTTTGTTTTAATTAGGTTAAATAAATGTTTCCTCAAGGCCATTAGAAAGGTTGCAAAAGATGACATTGGATTTATCTTAAATTATACCAGATGGACTTTTTAAAATCAGGTATTTCAAAAATAATTACTCAAAGCCTGCTGCATGGCGTTTATCACTAACGACAGATTTTTTGGGTTTTGTCAGTCTTTTGTTTGCCTTTCTAGGAAATTGGTTGGTACCATGTAAAAACTGTTCAGATGCTGACAGTTGCTACTGGCAACAGGCAAAATGGCAGCCTGACAACTGTATCCACCAAACGCCTTCCAATGAACAAATACAGCGTGTATTTGACGGAAAACAAGTACTGCCCAATTTTGTATTCTCTTTATTATTCAAAGAAATCATCCATCAATATTAGAATACTAAAATGTGAAATTGCCAGTTCTTCACAAACGTGCATCATCTCCTTAAAAGTTACTCACCCCAGACCATTTCTCTCATGATGATATGGTAGCTATTATCAAATATATGATTTCCATATTTAGCAATGATAGTCATCAATTCATGTTTTGAAGTTTACCATTTCACCGCCGCGATGTACGTAGAATATCCAACATTATCGTTTTAATTTCTGTCGTATTTCGTTTACTTTGAAGAAAGGGCCTTTTGTGCCAAAATGAAAAGTCTTCCGATCAGGATTACTTAACTTTCAACAATGAACGTCCCGTTAATGTATTACTTGTGTTTTATCATTTATAGCTTCTTTTCCTTGGTGATTCTACTCTTCGCGGCATCATGTACTTCCTGATCGAATCGGTCAATGGCAGCCTTTCTGGAACATCAAAATCACATGACGCACTTGCATACAATGATATTAACAGAGGACGGACGAGGATGAGCTTCATATATTATCCACAGTTGGAAGATGATCCACCTCCTATTAGTATCGCTCTCCGTTCACTTGTGAAAAAGTAAAACTAATTGTTCTTTGGCCAATTAAAACGTGTAGCATGAATCAATCAGCAGTATGAGGAGACAAGGCATTGACGCTTGTCACTACCGTCTGTTACATACTCTGAACGCCAAACGCCGTAGGCCAAACACACTCCACACAAAAGTTGGAGACTATAAAAATATGCAAACTCTTGTGGTGGTGACTTAAAAATATTCTGTATCATTTTGTTTTTGGCTTGTTGATGTAAACAAAAATAAAATATTCTATATACTTATTGATCTAGCTCCTGTCCAGTCAAAAATGATAGCAGTACTGTGTTGTTGGTGGGACGTTTTAAAAGCATACCAAATAGTGATTTCCCTCAACTGATGTCCACGTTGAAGCAATTGAAACTGACTGGCATAAAATTAATCATGAAGACAATGGGAAGTAATAGATGCACGGTAAGTATTTTCTTTCCACTGAGGCACCCCACTCCATTGGGCTTCTAAATGTAGTTACTAGATCTAGAGAGCTTTTCCAAAAATTCAATATCTTTTTAGTCTCATATCATTCATTGGCATGAATTTTACAAAAAAAGGTTTTAACATTTTGTCCCCACAAAAAGTAAATGTATTCATCATATTAAACTGGTAAACTGAACGAACCGTCGAAACTAATGCAGCGATTAAATCTAAATAACTTCACCACTAACCCCATCATGAATATTTTTGTGGTCAGATCATTGCAAAGACGCATTGGTTGAATATACATCAATTGTACTTGCACTGTATCAACCCAGATCTGATTCGTAGCCTCTGTTTACATATACGCACCACCCAAAGAATGATATAAAGTCTTTTTTATTTTCAGTCATTATATCAATTATACATCGATGATGTAATGTTTTCAGGGTGATGTAATGCTTAATGTTGTTGCTAATGATGAACTAACTGCAAATGCTCAGCGTTATGGATTTGAAATCCTACAAACATTCCCCATCATTATGGCCAGGTACAAAGATGCAACTTATGGAAGCTGTGCCTTACATTACCATCATATCACAAAGGTATAGAAAAAATGAAAATCTGGTATAAATGTAATTTACTTCCTAGCCGAATATGATAGTTTTTACTCATTCTTTTTTTTTTTTTTTTTATTCCTTCATTCTTATTTATGTACATGTAAATGTAAATATTAATATGTACATGTAAATGTAATGCAATTTATAATATAAATAAAATTTACGTAGACAAAAAAAAATACACTTATAGTTATGTTGTAAATGTATGTTGACTAAATGAATGTTGAATAAAATTGCAATTGTTGTTGATTGTTGATTGATAAAAGAATGAGTAAGAATAAAGTGTATGTAAAACCAATGCAAGGGGTGTGCTTTCCTATCCTATTTTGATGCTGTTTACTATATGTTGTAAAGGGATCTACAATGTTTTTATTTACTGCTTGAATATCTTTTGAGCAGTTTTCCATGCTTTGTCATGGGCTTCTAACTTGTTACTCTTCTCTGCATTGCTTCTGCTTATGATTTCCTGGGCTTCAACATATTTCTTGAGGCCTGTCATATTTGGTGGTTTATTGTCTAATTTGTTGAGATAGATGTAGTGTTTAACCAAGAGTAGCGTCAGGTTTTCTCCCAAACTGGTGTTCTCTCCTAGGAAGTATTTTGCTCTTGTCAGGTTTTGTATTTGACACAGTTGGGTGACCATCTCTATGAATGGTTTGACAGCTATACATTCGTATAGACCATGTTCGATGGTATCCTGTTTGTCTTCTTTACACAATTCACATTTTGGGCTTGTTTTGATTTTCATATTGTGTAGCATTTTGTTGAAAAATATCGTTCGAAGTAATATTCTATATTGGAAATATCTCAGTTTTGTTTCCTTTGTTGTTATGTATATTCTACAGTAGTTGCTTTTCCAGTTTATATTTGTGTTGTCTATCGCCTTTTCCCATATTCGTTGTTGTTTTATTGGTTCTTCAGTGTGGCTTTTTATTAGTATGTTATATGTATCCTTATTCGTCATTGTTTGTAGTTCCTTTATAGAAATGGATTCTTCTTTCACATCAGTTTCTGTCTCGGTCCTTCTTTACCTCCTTTTTTACTCATTCTTGCACAATATGGGACATTTAGAAGAAGTGAAAATTTAATTTTCTCAGTCTTACACTGGGACGAACACATTGAATTATGGATTTATTTTCCCAAAATATTTTTTACACACACGTCAGAATTTTACGATAACTTGCCTTAGTATATTAAAGATATTTTTCATAGGTTGATCCATTTGAAAACGTAACAACAGAAGATGATGGAAAAGGTCTGGAACGAGGATATCATGTCGAAGGAGATGTCATTGCCGCTTATTCAAACATACTAATAAGCATGCTACATAAACACTGGACGCACAATACTTCAAATATAACTTGATGAAGGAATAGGATCAAAAATTAAATTTGATCCGTGAAATCAGTTTCAAAATATCGCATTACTCTTTACATGAACTAACCTTTGCAACTGTGTTTTTACGTTTTTACGCACTGACTAACCTATGTCCACCGTGCGATTTTGTTAAATGTTTTGTATTATGTTATTCCAGAATATGTTAATAAAAAGCAGCCTACGATACATGTCATTATCTATATTTTCTGTTATTGTTGATTTTAAATCTTACATCATGAAAGTTGACTGGTGTAGTTTAAGAGTACAAACAAAGTTGTAACTTTTCATAGAAAATGATAGCATTACACATTGATTACAGTTCAGCTAGTTTGCAGCTCCATACATGACCTGATGACGTATCCGGTATACTGACAACTCTGAAGACACGACTACTTTCCAACTTTGGTTATCTTTACGAATGGCAGCATGTGAAAATATCAAGGCAATCCAAAACCTTGCAATCGAGGTGGAACTTGATATTTCTATTCACACCGTGGTGTAAGGATACTAGACTCAGGAAATGATAAATAAGCTAGACTATTTCATGTTTTATTGGCAAACTTTATTTTTATGGGCTCATTATCTCTTGCAAATTATCAATTTTGATTCTTTGTAAACTACAGTATCACATCAAGACATGTTTATATCACTGCAAGCCACTGTAGTAGAAACTAGGATGAAGAAAAGAGACCACTATACGAAAACCGTGAATGTCTGTGAATTAGCCGTACGAAATAACGCGATCACTACCCGTGTCTGCTCAAATAAAATTGGAATGTGTCCTAATTAATGGTTTGTCTATTTATTATTAAGAAATATGAGGAAACGTGGATTCATTGGAACGAAAATGATTAGATTTTCACTTTAACATGAAGGATTCTGACAAGTTGAATAATCTTAAAACCACAGTGAAAACACGAATGCTCCGGAATTTTCAACAAAATGGACTGTGTAATTTTCCAAACCAATATGGCGGCATTAATTTACATTTGACAACAAAAGTTCACGATTAAGTGATTGTTACCGTGCTATTTCGTATTGTACATAGCCAAACTTTATTGTGAGTATTTCCCAACTTATGTTTAATGCTTAGGATAGTATTATATATTGAAGGGACAACTGTTATACTAGTAATTTTGGGTAATTGTAAATTTGTCATTTATTGATGATTTTCGCCGCACAGGAGCATGGCTGATTTACTTTGAATTTCATTCATATCAAAATGTTATTGCAGTGCTGGTATACAAGTTGAATATGTAGATGTTTTGTATACTTCTATTGTTATTATAGGGTGCTGTCATCTATGATCGAACATGGCAGATGTAATTGTCACAAGTCCTGAGAAAGGAACCCAGCCAGACATAAATGGAACTTCCAAAACTCCTGAAAAACCCAAAGAAGAACAGAAGAAAAAAGGTCTATCAAGCCTTTTAAAATACAGATACAAGCCTAAGGTCGTTGAAAAGGTAAAGTCTGTATCAGAAGCCAGCTCTACGGTTGAAAATGGCACAAACATACAAAAAGATAGTGGAGATGTGAAAAAAACAGCAGTAATCACCACAACAACTGTAGAAACTCCCAAATCCAAAATTGACACATCTAAAACAGGTAAAAATTAAGATTTTTCAGATAACACATCTAAGACAGGTAAAAATTAGATATTTGAGATAACTTGGTTACATTCATTTTCTTTTTACCAACCAGGCTGTACATATTTTGCAAATTGCTTGTAAGAGTGCATTTCATCATGAATTTTATACAAGAACAGGAAATACATGATATTTGGAAGATTTGAGGTCATATCTTTGCAAAAGAGGGGTACATGGACATTCTCATGCATAAAGAGCCAACCAGGGGTTCCACCACCTCACTATGAATTCAATGAAAAAATCTAGCTGGACATATATACAGTATGTATGTTCATGTTACAGTTCAACCAAGGGAACAGATAATAACCAAACCTCCTGTGATTACACCTGAAGCAAGTCCAGTCCCTGTCCGCAGACCTATTGGGTCAAACAGAATGAGGCTGGACTCAGATTCAGAAGATATCATCACTGTCAGTCAGTCATCTTCAGCAACTTCATCACCATGGTTATCTAAACAGAAGGGAAAATTAACCAATGGAAATGGAAGGTAAGTTTGTGTACTGTGGTGATGCCAATATTCTGCTTACAAGCCCCAGTACTTTACCAGGTTTACAGGCCCGTGCCAAAGTTGTCAAATGTGAACCCACTGGAATGTTTTGAAAAAATGAGGAAGTGACATACATATATGATGCTGTGATATTTTTGTACTTGAAATTTGATCTTGAATTTCTCACATGACGACATAACTTTTAAATGTATTTTGTGATGATATAATATCTAAACAATTGGTAACTCATAAAACATGTCAAAATTTGTTGAATTGTGTGATATAAAATTATGTAAGTTGTTGTGAATAGTAAATCACAATGTTTTTATGAATTCAAATAGGCTTACAATTAGTAAGGCTAATCAATAGAGGTCAAAAACACAGAAACAAAGTGCACATAAGTTCACTTGAGAAAAGTTGCATTGAGAGAAAACAGGCAAAATGCAGAGATGAGATGAGATGAGCTGGGAAGAAATGAGATGATAAGAAATAAGATAATTAGGACCACAGTTGAAACCTAGTTAGAACTACTAAGTAATTAGAATTAGAAGTAACTTTCAACATTACAATACATGAAGTACTCTACATTTATATCGACATCGACGATCGTTACGTCCGGGGCGCCCCCCAAGGAGATAACAACGAGGACTCCGTAAGGTAATATAGTAGACGGCTTCTTTGGCAAATTGCATGAAATGCAATGCAACATTTTCCAATTTCAGCCCAGCCAGTAAATTCAACATCCAATCTGAAGAAAGAACATTCCAAGAAAAATATCGTCATCTTCGTGATTTATTCCCAGCATACACTGAGACACAGATCAAAGATGCTATCATGGAAACAGTGGATCTGGACAGTGCTATTGATGTCTTAGGCTTCGGTAAGTTATGTGATATCAGAAAGTTGTTCTAAAAAACTTTTTATAAGTAAAAGTGACACAAAAGCTAAGGTTTGATAAAAGTATCTATTTATGTGAGATTCACAGTGAAAATATGATGACACTTGAAAAACAATATCAATTAATTGAATGGATTCAAAAACAGCATCAAACTGGCATATCATTACAAACATGAATATAACATGACATGTTCTTCCAGTCCTATAATTTCACTGGTTTCATTCAAGTGTCTTTAAAGTTTTTGGTCAAAATATCAATTTGTCTTGATTTCTTTCATTTTTTGGGGTTTGCAAATACATATTGGAAAAATCTCAAGTGAGTGATGATTGGCTCTTCAACACTGGAGAGATTACTGCAAGTTATGTCGAAGAGGGCAGTAATTAGACTTTAATATTTGTTTTTTTTCCGCTCGATCCCCATCATAGCAAACAATCCATAATCCTTATTCATGCTTTTTCAGGGTCTACCAATGAGCGAAAGCGTATTCGTACAATATCTTCACCAGATGTCCAGCCAAAGAAGAAACGAGCCAAACCACTTGACTTTGAAGAAGATGACTCTATAGATCTTACCCAAGATGACGATGACATCAAGATTGTTCTCACTGATGAACAGGAGGTCTTCCTACAGTTTCTGGTAGAGGCCTTCCCTGATTTACCCAAACAGGTAAAGTATTTTCATAAAATACAATAAATTCAACATTTTATGTTGCCACCACAAGTACTGACATATTGTTATGGTTTTTTTGTGAATGGCATTCGGGGGTTGGTGTTTGGCATTCGGTGGTTGGCTGTCAGCATTTGTAACAAATGGCATGTAGTGACATGTGTATGCCTTGACTAATACAATATACTCGAGGGTAAACATGCTAGTCCCCAAGATTTAATAATCCTCCCCAACTGAAAATGATGTCTCACATCCATTTCATACACTTTTAGGGGCCACCCAGAGCCTATAAATTGAGGAGTAGCAATTCTGAAGATAAGAGGTGATGAAGTCTGGTTTTTGTCACAGCAGGTATATTTCATTGTAAAAAACAAATTATTCTACAGATTAATGGATCAACTTCTTTGTGTTTCAGAAGTTACAAGACATGCTTGAGTCCAATCAGTGGGATACGGAGGCTGCCATGAATGCAGTCAACCTTTACCTGGAGAGAGGTAGGTTAACCCTTTCGGTTCCTGACGAGAATATAAAGAGAAAATGTTGTCCGCCTGTTGATGGGAAAGTAAGAGTATATTTTAGGGAAAAACTGCAATTTACCTCTGGGACCTTTAATTTTATCATTAAAAACAATTTTTAATGAGAATAATCATATGTCAACAACTTGTTAAAATTTGGTGTAAAAATACTGAATAGAACTGGTGATATTGTCAATTTTGGTTCTGGGCTGGATCAAACATCAGTATGTCACTTTTTAAGTACATATACAATAGGTGAAGGGGTAAAATATAGAATTCACCTTAGAAAAAACAAAAAATGACAAACTTGGAGAGTAAATTAACAGCATAGCTTATTCTCAATTGATTGATGTGCAATGAAGGCAAATCATTAATGTACAAACTTAATGTTCTATTGACTTTGTTCTTCAAAAATGGAAGAGGGTTAGAATTAAAGCTTTTTAATTGGAGACTAATTGACAAATAATTGCGAAGTTGATATGATAATGCATGTGGAAAAAATGATGATTTTTATGTACTTTTTACACTAGGTGGCACTGGCATCAAGGAGATGATGGCACAAAATAAAATCCGTACTCAAGTTATTCGATCTAAAAATAGCACATATGATAGTTCTGATGACGAGGTCAGTGTTGTGGATGAAAAAAGTAAGTTTTTAGAATATTTTTTTTATCTTTCTGTGTTAGAACTTGGTATGGTGTGTATAGACAGGGGTGTAACCAGTATAGAGCATTTAGCAAAGCAAATATAGCCTAAGTGAGATAATCAGTTGCTGCATTTGAACTTTATTTCCATGTTTTTTAGTTGAAAATGTCTGCACCCATTATTATGTCACCACCACATTTTTGTGGATGATGGTTTGTGTTCGGCGGTTGGTGTCTGTAGCAAATGTAACAAATGGCAGGTGGTGGCATTTTGTGTGTAAATGCCTTGTGTGATAATGGTGTTCATGGCTTAAGTCACTACCTTAGTGAAATAAAGTATTGTAAAGATATAAGGGTTATGTACTGGGAGGTTTTGGATACAGGTTTTATCCCAAGGGAAATATGTGTATATCCAGAGGGACCGCAGGGACCGAGGGATATACACATATTTCCCGAGGGATAAACCCTGTATCCAAAACCGATCGTACATAACAGATGTATTTCATACCTACTGATGTTCTAGGTACGTCATATACCTTATCCAAAAATTGAAAAATGAAATTTGAAAAAAAAATTTGAAAAAAATGTGAAAAAAATTTTGAAAAAGAATGTGAAAAAAAAATTTGGAAAAAATGGGGAAAATTTTTTAGAAAAAATTGAAAAAATTGAAAAAAAAAAATTTGAAAAAGAATTTCAGGAGCGGGACCGGGATGGATACAGCGTGTATCCATCCCGCCCCGGGCCTTGGCTAGATACAGTGTATATATTCCCGCTCGTTATGTACCTAGAACCTCAGTAGGTATGAAATACATGCATTTATTTAACAAAGAATATAGTTATGAATAAATGAGATCTAAAATAAAGACAGAAGTCTGAATTTATTTGATGAATAAGTAATAACAATTTTGGTACATTTTACTTAAAAATTCATTGTAGAAATACAAACTCTATAACTATTCTTCAATAAACATTTATAGTTTTACATAAAGTATGATCAAATTAAATTTTCTTGAGATGTCACAGTGGTCAAATATCAGTGAAGTCGATATAATATTAAGAATATAACAGGGCTCTCATTTCCTGCTTTTAAAACCTAGCACTGCCAAAAGATAGCACTTGCATCAAAAGGTTGTTGCATTCTGCCACGTGCCGTGACAAAATTAACACAGCATACAGAGATACAATTTGATTGAACATGTTCACAAATATTTTAATGCTTGTTTTAACTTTTTTTTATTAATTGTATATATTTAAATCTAATAACACAATCCCAAAGAGGGTGTGGCAAAGGGGTGTAACGTTGACATATGGCGTAATGTCAATATGAGAAATGGAGTAACTAAGACTATGAATTACTTGTTAATTAGAATTTCTGTTTTCTGCCAAGTTTGATCTTGTAAGATCTCTCTCCATGTGAGAAACATGGCTTCCCCCTAGATCAGAAATGAGAGCAAATACACAACAAGGTGTCAAAGTTACTGCAGAGGTGAGGTTACTTCAAACTGAGATGAAATGGCATTGAAGTTGTACCTCTATGCCCTTTACCAAAAGCAAATCCTATTGTCCCTCTTTTTAATTTCATCAAATTTTATTTTTTATTCACAATTGTTGATTTCATCAAAATACGACTTCTATAATGTGGCAAAATTAAAAATCCTTTGATGCATTCCAAAGCTTAACCCAAATATCCTCTTGTATTCTGTAACAAAACCATTCACTGAAAATGCAACCTATATGTATCTAATCTCATGAGAGACCTGTATAGAGGATAAAAATAAAAAATATACCACTTTGATATCCCTTAGTCAAGAATACTGATATCTGGTGTTATCTAATTATCATATCCTGTTATGCACTAGTTAGCCCCGTAGGATACTACCTGTGGCAAACCAAGGCATCTAAAAAACAAATAACAGGTACAGTGAATCATGTACATGTGTAGTAACCATGGTTACCTGGTTACATGAATGTGTTGTAACTATGGTAACCAGTTGCCTATCTACATGAATCATAATTTCTGATTTTTCTTGTTTCACGTAGACAGATTTTTTAGGTTGTTAGTGCTTATACTATGCTCAGCATTGTCTATTTACTAATTACGTCTACATATAAATCTCATCATGTCTTGAGAGAACATCAATGTATCATACATTCCTATTTAATTTGCATAAATATATTGTAATGAATATAATGTAGTAAGAGATTTTCATTCCTGATAAAATTACTGGCAATATTTAATTGAAATTGTTTCATAATTCAATGGCCAATTTCTCAAAAACAGTGGAACTTTTGATTTGTGAAATTCTATTGCCAAATCCTTCATGAATAATAGTACAATAACGTCATTTCAAAGGGCAATATAGTGAAGTATTGGACCATTGGCTGAATGAAATGACGTTATCAGTATTATTACCACCGTTTATGCCCAGGGCTGAAATAGCAAGAACGGATTGCCACTGGACAGAAATTATCAGCACTAAACGATATCTAATTTCCCGGGGAACATCCAATATTGGCCCACCACTATGGCATGCTCTATGAGTCACATATTGCTCAGGTCAATATAGTAAAATAAAAGCCTGCTAAACAAGCACTTAAATACCCTTAGAACAAGCCCGGCAAGGTGGTAATAATATATATTAATCATTTCTTGAAATGACTGCCATTGTAATATGTCTCATTGCATGGCTTGTGTTTTGGCTAGATAAACACGCAAACCTTCTGTTTCATTTCATCTTGTATTTCTTAAATCAAAAACATTTGAAGTGTTAATTTTTTATCTTTTAAATTCATATATATATTCACTCCCTAATTTTCTAGATACATCAGGTCATTTTACAATATTACAATATTTATGAAAAATGATACAACTGATTGCTGTAACTGATTTTTATTGGCCTAACAACTGGCTTTTGTAATAAAAAAGTTTCATGTTCAGGATAACTTTTTTTGATATTTTTTTGTTTTTGGAGAGACTATGACTTAAAAGATGAAACATGTGAAGAGGCAATGACTTTATGTGTTATTATTAAATTACATGGTCTCGAAAAAACATGAGAAATTCATATGTGCTTTAAGTGTGTGTTTTAACATCTTAACATCTTGATGTAACATTTTATGATATTTTGCTATTTAGAAGACAAAAAGAAGAAGAAGGAGAGAAGGAAGAGTGGTTCAGATGTAGAGTTTGACGAGGAGGACTATGACAGTGATGATAGCTCCCAGGTAAGACACTTGTATTGTAGTACATGTACAATGTTACAAGGGTAGCTTGTAGTAGTACGTTTGCTTCAAAGTACAATGTTATGAGGGTACGTGAGAGTAGGACATTTGCCTCATAGTACAATGTTGTGAGGGTGGCAGAGAGAAATATTTGCACAAGCTTTGTCTACTCTCATACATTAACAGATGATTCTTATGTGTAGCCCATATATTCAGGAAATCTCAACTGTGTATTATTGAACATTCAAACATTCATTTCAGTCAAACTCCCATTAAACCTGCATTTGAGATTGTTATGATCTTGTCAGTATTCCAAACTATAGAATCCCTGTTGTAGTCAGAGAGTGTTGCCAGCTGATAAATAGGATTTCATGTCCTTTAAAGGGGTGCAGGGAGGGAAGAGAGAATAATTAGGGGTAGGGGGGGTTATGTTTTAAAGGTTGTGAGATGTGATCAGGGGAAAGGAGAGGAAATGTTATCATGGAAAGTGAAAAATAAATAGTTTGATGAGTAGAGGTGAGAAAATATTATAAAAGGTAGGAGAGAAAAAATGTTATGGGGGCAAGTGGAGAGAAAAAAATATGAAGTGTGTACAAGAGAATGGATATATATCAAGTTTGTTCTGTTTGATACTGTATTTAAATGCCAGGAATTAAGTAAAACTCTTCATCTAGATTTTTCACTACATGCACAAAGATTACACATTTCCGTGTACATGCAACTGTATTTTTATTACATGGATTCATGTTCTAATAATAGTTCTCACTAATAAATGGAACACTATTTGGATTACATTAACAGTTTCAATTTTGTATGATAATACATATGTATTTTGTTAATAATATTGTTTATTGTTAATAGATAGATCGATTACATTATCAATGTATTCAGATCATCATATTTGAGGTAGTTTTCCAGCTCTTTCGGGATGTCCAGATATTTCAGATTTTCAGTAAACCTATTTCCAACCATGGTCTTTCTTACTGCAACCCTGCTAATATCCTTAAGGGATCTAATCTTTGAAGGTTCCCACTGTGCCTTCTGTGATTGACAATTTGATGAGGGGATGGAAATGTTACACCCTGCTATTCTTAAGGCTTGCATAATTTTCCAATTTTGAGTGTCCATAGAGAGGTTAATCAATTTCTTCGCCTCGTTGGAATCGTACAAAACTTTTGTGAGGTTGTTTTGTATTATGTATTTCACTCCCCATAAGTTGTGTACTCTGATACATGTTTGAATAGACATTTCATCATCGACATCCTTGACATCAAAATATGCACCATACTCCGCTAAAATGGCCAAAATCTTGCTAGATTTTTGAAGGCTTGCTTCGTGTACAGCCGTTCTTTTATCCTCCCCCTGGAGATTGATTTTGAGTCGAGTGTCAGCTGTGAGTAATTTAATAATGGTAACATTCCCAGCTCTCGTTGCTAAAATTAAAGGAGTATTTCCGAGATAGTTTCTCTGGTTGATGTCCAGTGTAGTCGATTTAAGAAGGAAGTCTAATCCTACTGGTTTATCCCAGAATGAGGCTAGATGTAATACAGTATTGCCATCTATAGTTTTCAAATTAACATTTGCTCCTGTAGTCACCAGTTTCTTCAAAGTTGCTAAATGACTGTTTATAGTAGCCATCATGATAGCTGTATACCCAAACCGATCTTTCACATCCAAGTCTACATTTTTTTCAACAAGCCCATCAAGGAAATCAGTTGAACCTAAAGATGCGATTTTATGCACCAGATATTCACGATTTGCATTTGGAGCATTTTTATCCGTGCAATACCCAAGAATGTTCCAGAAAACAGAAAGGTCATCTTCATGTAGGGCTTGCATGGCAAGATCAATAAGATAAGCATTGAGGCCCTGAGATTCATTGTAGTTCTTTGTGTTACCAAGGCTATTGTTGTTGTTCAGTATGTTATTCAGTTGTGACTGGAGATCAGTACTACTTGTACTCCTGAAATTATAAAGAGTCTCTGGTCAACCCCTATTTCTTAACCCTGTGTTAGATTATTAATGGGGGGGGGGTTGTCGTGGTAAGCATAATCCATTTTCTAACATTCTGGACCAATGCGGATGTAAATAAAATATTGATTATCTAAAATTAACAGATACATGTATCTACTAAAGTTTTTTTTTAAAAACTTTTTAGAATACATCAATAGATCATTTTGAATTACATAGCCCTAATATGTATGTTGAAGGAAGCTTTCGAAAAAAAACTCATATTGAATAATTTAACACATGCTTTAGTTGTATGACAAAGCACAATATTTACTTTTTCCTGTTCCACCAAGATGCAATATTTTGATTGGTCCAGAGGAAAGTGGCCCCAAAACAAAAATGCATAAAAATTAAGCCTTAAAATGTGATCCCAAAAAACTTTTGTTTATATATCAAAAAATTTATTTTGCTAAATCGGTTTGATCCTAATATACTCTAATTGCTAGTGTATGCAGATTGCAGACACATGTTAAAAAAGACCAGAGGGGTACTACAGTTAAGAAATATTATACCATGAGACACCTGGGCATTATTGCACCACTAAAATAATTGCTCCTTTTGTTAAAGTGATGTAATGGTACACTGTTAAAGATGAGGAAGTTACGATCAGAAAAGTATCCATGTGAAATATTTTACTATCTTTTGTCCATATTTTCACAAAAACCTGGCAAGTATATAATGTCTCAAAGCAAAATTTCCTATTACATCATGTGATATCTCTTTTTAAATTCAACTGGCAAAAACGGTAGATTTGATAAATGTTAATATGTTTTGCACTTCCAAAATATCTTTAAAGTCAAGAATTCAGCATATTGTTTCATCATTTTGAATTAAAAATACTTCCATTTTTATCAAAAAATATTACCTTTGACGATCCATTTTATAGAACCTGCCTAGTCAGTACATGTACTTGTTAGTGACCTAACAACACAAAACAATATCCTAATGAAGGCAAATTTGATACCTTTATATTTCACTACAATTGATAAATTACAACTTAGTAACTTGATATTTGTTCATTGTACTCAACAGTTATTTATGGCTGTGATTTAGAAATTTATCAGCTTTAGATCATGATTCGCGGTCATCAGACTTTCAAGAGATTGGTAGGAAATGATTAAATCATTTGTCCAATTAGATGTTGTTGAATAAACTTGTTGACGTAGTTAGGTGTATTTTTTTCAAGATTTTTACAGCTTTGTTTTTGGTTTGAATGATATACATAATCAACTCTTGACAAGGGAGTTCTTTTAGGGGGGGGGCATATTTTTCAGTGGCACTGAAAATTTGTTAATCTTGCCAGAACGAGTCCATTTTGATTAATAAAATGTAAATTTGACTTCAGTAACAATAACTTATTCCAATTTTACCTTTAGGACAATTTTCAAGAAACCTTTCTGAGTGAAATTTTGAGGGTCACACAAACCTCCTCCCCTAACTATAGCCATATCCTATAAACAATTGGGTATTGTATTGTATATATCTTCACAATGATTATGTTGCATATTTCATTAGGTGAAAACTTCCTTGCGTGAGACAGTGTTGGTAATTTCAAGAATTCGGATGCACAAATATGTACCTCAAAATATAATCTCCAAATGAGCTATAAAATACCATTGTCCTTCTTAACTTAAACAGAAAGTACACACTAAATATAGAAATAGTCGAAGGACAATCATTTTAGCTACAGCTGAATGCAATAAAGTGAATATCCCGATTAGACCAATAATCTTAAAGGTGATAATTTACACACATTTGCGTTGACTATATAAAACATCTGATTCGTGAATATAAAGTCAAGTGGCCATTATTTCTATTGAAACATTGACCTCATTTTGGGATACTTATTTTGGGCAAACTTTGAAGTAAAGTGAGAGAATTGAAAATAAATAATGAGAAATAGAGTAGATGGCCTTGGAATTATTGTTATTGTTGGTTTGGATTGTCCTTGCACCTATATCTTGATAATATGAACAAATTAAGGGTTTCAACGATAGCTTGATATTGCCTAATTTGTTATAGGCCACAATACTTTTGTATTTCATCTTTTCATATGTTTTATAATGCAATGTTTAATTTTGAAATATGGTAACATTGGTCATCTCATCATGAGGTGAATACCGTCGCCCATATCAAAATTAAAATCATGGGACACATACCCCCCATCAATCATCTTGCAACACTGGTACATTGGTGTAAACAGTATACTGAACAGTGCAGATCAAGCACTGCGCTGTACAGCATTGTACAGTGCTATTCTAACCACTGTTTTGAACCGCGTAGTACAGTACTGTTTTTACAGTGCTGTACAGTACTATTTTTCAAAACAGTGATGTACAGTACTGTTTTCAGATGACACTCTCTTTTAAAGAAGCAAAATCAAATTACATGTACATGTAATAGTTTATCAGGCATTTAAAGCATGATTCCTCAGACTGACACATCCAGGTCCCATTTGAATGTTGTGTCATTTAGTTCAAGTTCAGTTTCAAAACCATTGAGACATAATATAAGGGGTTAGCTAATGCATACATGTAGTAAATCTGGTTTAATGGAGCTGTCAGTATTCATCATGTGAAAATCTTAACTTTTCAGTTGTATGTAAATTACAAGTGCAAATTATTTGTGAAAGTGATATATGTTATTATTCAGTGGCATGTTAAACATAGATTCTCTCTTTGTTTTTACTTGACTTGCAGTTTGAAGGTCATTTTATCAGAATAACATTAATATAAGTTTGTATGTGTAATTTTCAAATATTAATCCAACTAAAGATATATATGTACTGTTCATTGTAAGAACTCCATTTTAATTACAGTGCCCCGATTTAGAGCAAAATAGTCACTATGATTTCAAGGGGCATCATGTTAATAAACCATCAGGTTGCTTAAAACCTGAAAAGGGGTCAAATAAGGTGATTTGAGGTCAAAAAGATTTTTGATGACCCATTATTTTATTTGTGAAGTAAAAGTGTCACCATGAAAAAAGTCCTGTGCTGGTATGTGATGTCAGCTGGTATGTGATGTCACTATGATCAGATGATGTATATACCCTCATTGTCTGGCTGTAAAAATCTTCCATATTAAATCCCAAAAAATATCATCTCTCTATTGCTTTTTACTTACAACATATGACTCCAATATTATTTTTATCTATTTTATCCATGAATCCATCTACTATCTAATCACACTTTGGAAAAGTACCATATTGTCACCATCTTGAGCTACCGTGTGGCAGCTGTGCATGCGGGGGGGGGAGGGTTGCAGGTGACATATAAATCTTGTCATCAAAATTTCGGGAAAACTTTTATATTATCCATTCAACTTCAAAATTTTTACAGATGCAAAAGCAGACCAGTCCCAGATTAGGTTTTGGGCATGGTGGTTAAATTACAATGGGGCCATTCTGCTCTTGTTCAAAGTGTGACTGTGTACATGTATTTTTTTTTTATCAGGTCAAATAATGCATTGTCATGGCCCAAGTACTGCAACATCCAAGTACTGTATTGAATATGATCAAAAGAATTTAAACCTATTATATTTCAGGGTGATCAAATAATAAAGAAAAATTGTAACAACTGTGAGCAGGGTGACCCAATAATAAGGAACATTTTTGACTACTGTATTACAGGGTGACCCAATAATAAGGAAAATTTTGACTACTGTATTACAGGGTGACCCAATAATAAGGAAAATTTTGACTACTGTATTACAGGGTGACCCAATAATAAGGAAACTGTTGACTACTGTATAACAGGGTGATCCAATTATAAGGAAAAATTTAAACTACTGTATTACAGGGTGACCCAGTGATTAAACAGACCCAGAAAGAGATGGTGCTATCTTTCTTCAATGATGCTCAACTTGAAGAGTTGATGATTGTCCCTGGCTGTTCTCGGAAAAAAGCTGATGTTCTCGTATCTTTGAGACCATTTGAAGACTTTGATGATCTCGTAAGTTAACCTGAATTTCCATACATTAAGTGTTTTCAAGTAAATTATTTGTTTAGTAGGCCTGCGTTGGCATCCAATTTTACATTTTCAAGATTTCAAGGATTTGTTTTATTTAGTATTGATGCAGTTTTTTACTAAAGGCCTGATATTATCCACAGATATGGATTAGAACATGTTTGACTTCCTTTAAATTAAAAATTGCTTCCTTTAAAGAATCTATGTAAGCTTATGATAATGAACTTTTATCTCCTCCTCAAAATATTATTAGAAGTATGCACACATCTATATATAACCTTGGTCCCTTTGAGTGGGCTTTCTAGACATCAAATTATTATAACAATAATATTATGTAAAACTAAATGAACACTCTTGGGGTATAGAGGAAAAGTTCTGGATTGCTCATCTTAGAGATATCCAATGATAGTAGTAGAAATTGACCTTGAAATTGCTCAAGTCGAGAGGTTTTACATCAATATAAAACATACTAATTGCGTATACTTGTTTTGTTTAGACTACAAAGGTTGAAGAAAACAAGACTATAACTGACAACATTTTGGCTGGATGTAAGGACTTTATAAAGATACGCAACCAAGTAAAATCTCTCATGCAGAAATGTGAGTCAATATCGACAAGTCTCGAAGATGTGGTGAATAGCATTATGGGTAAAATGGAGATGGACAATCCCCTGACGTACCAGATCTCAAAACAACCAGCACTTCTGAATAAACGGTTTGTACTAAATCATAATTTACATGTTTCTACTTGATATGTTTATGTTGAAATTATGAATATATCTAACATGCAAAACATTCACAATTCCCGAATCTAGTAGGGTTGCCTTTTTGAAATGATTATACTTCTTTTTAGCCTTATTATGGGTCTATCATTACTTTGATTGCATGAACATACATTGCCAGCATGGCTAAATGCATTACAAATGACATTTATCATAGATCTCTTTGAAGGTTACAACTCAAAGACTACCAATTGATAGGTCTCAACTGGCTGCTTCTGATGCACAAACAACACCTGAATGGCATCTTAGCTGATGAAATGGTACGTTCATAAACACAACCATCAAGCACAATGTGCGAAATTTGAATCAAATGAATCAGGCTGTAAATTGTCTGAAGAAGATTTAGAAAGTATACAATTGATAGGTTATATTTAATGATAGTACTTATGTTAACAGGATTCATGATGTCATGTCTCTATTTTTCCATATTACTTCCTTTATATAACCAACCGAATGATAGTACAGTAAAACACCACATGGTTTTTTGAATGTGTGAATTGATGGGGGATTTGGGATAGAGAAAAAGTGTTCACATTGAGAGGGGTTCAGGTATACAGGTTTCACTATTTTATGATTACATATTATAATTTTTTTTCTTATTCGATTTCTTGTTCTGTCACAGGGCCTTGGAAAAACGATTCAAGCAATAGCCTTCCTGTGCCATCTATTGGAAACTGGAGATGAAGGGCCACATCTTGTCATAGCTCCATCATCTACATTAGGTAGGACAGCATAAAACAAATTTATGCGGAAAATGTTTCTTTCAATGACAACCCCTTCTATGAATCCAGAGTGTGCTTTATATATGGTTTTAGGGGTCACATTAAAATATCAATGATTATCAAAGCATAAAATTTATTTTGGTGGAACTTGGTAGAAAAGTATGTTATACTTGGGGAAATTTCTTTTCAGTTTCTATGATAATTTTCATTGTTTTTTTCAGATAACTGGCTCCGTGAGTTCAACCGTTGGTGTCCGGCAATGAAGATTCTCATGTACTATGGCAGCCAGGATGAACGTAGGTCTATACGCGCACAAATATATGCACAACAGGTTGACTTCAATGTCGTCATAACAACGTGAGTAGCGTATCTGGCTTTGTTTAAAAAGATGTTTTGAGATTTACCAAAGAATGGTATCCAATATATCTAACAGTTTGGAAAGTTCATTTTATTTTATTATGGGAGTGAGAGCTTAAAGGCCGAATCAGATCTATAGGGGTGACAAAATTACAAGCAACATGTACAATTGACCTACTAATCTATTCCTTGCAATCTCAAATACAATATCTCCAAAAAAGATTCATAATATGTTTTAAATTGGTAAAGTTATTATGGATTCAAAGTGCAAAAATGGGTGAAAAATGTTTAAATTCTCCCAAATAATAAGAATGGTAACCATTCTTATAAAAAAAGAATTCATTATTGTAAAAATCTTGAGTTTTCCTAAAATAGAGTGTTCATTTCAGGGACTTTTAGAAAATAGACATGACAAGGAATGACATGAGCCAGAAATATTCTAAAATTGAAGCAATTTTTTGTTGGCCTGCTCGCTAGATTTGATTCTCTCTTTAAGTGATAATTTTATCAGTGAAAACTGAAAAGTGCTGTTTTTTCAATATTCAAGTCAGACAAACTTTAAAAATGTGATATATGAGGGTAGGTGGAAAAACCATAACAAAATTAAATTCGTTTTTTCCACAACTGTTGATATTGAGGCACCATCCTTAGCTAGAGAAGTTTGTTTCACCAAAAATATGAACAAGAGAATAAACACCAAGAATATTGAAAGCATGAATCGATATATATTTTCAGTTATACAACAGCAACCAGTAGTGTTGAAGACAGACTGCTATTCAAGTCACTGAAATGCCACTATGGAGTCCTAGATGAGGGACACATGCTGAAAAACATGACAAGTCTACGCTACCAAAATCTCATGAAAATCAGGGTAAGATTTGGTGTTTGACCACATATGCAACTGCATTTTGGTTTAATTGAACTTCTACACATAAATCTGGTGAATGTGTTACAGATTTTAGATATGTTTGGCTAAAAACGTTGTGCGGAACCTCTATTTTAATCCAAGGACCAGAATTTGCGATCCATAAACATAAAATATTGAACTGACTCACTCGATACTAAAAATCCAAAACTAGCTAAATGAGCCCTAACCAAAAATGATTAATTTGTTATTTAGGTTAAGAGAAGATTACTACTGACTGGGACACCCATGCAGAACAATCTTGTAGAACTCATGTCTTTGCTGGCTTTTGTCATGCCAGACCTCTTCTATGGAAAGACTGATCAACTTAAAAGAATATTTGCAATGATCCAGGTAAAGTAGCTTTTAAATTAGTCAATCATGCATTCTTGTGGTTCATAATCAGCTTACTTACAAACCTATCTGTGTTATTGGTAGTAAATGCATTTAATAATCTGAGGTATTGATTCAACTGTGACTGCAAGAGGAGGAAAAAACCCAGCATTCAAAGCTTTACATAGAGATAGATTCATTCTAAGAATTCTGGGATATTACCCCTCTTTGTGACTGCTGTGGAGCCACAAGTTATTTTTAAATGAGGAACAATACATTAATGAAGGAATGGAATTAAGGCATTAAACCCTGAAATTTTTTTACTCCACTACAAATCTTAAAAAGCTAGTAAGAGATTTATATGTAATTAATATGAAAATATGTAATGCCTGTTAAAAACAGTACGACTACTTATTTTTGATGAATAAGTCCTTTATTATTGTAGGGCAAAGGTGATGGTCCACAGTCCAAGTTTGAGAGAGATAGAATAGAGCATGCTAAACGCATAATGAAACCATTTGTACTTAGAAGACTCAAACAACATGTGAGTATATATTGTTTATAGTTTCTATTTCGACCTGTTCTATATAATATTGGGTTAGTGATGTTTCAATATGTGGATTGTTTTTGTCATATTGTCAGCATTCTATCGAGGCAATCGCGTGCTCCTTAAATATTTTGACTAGTTGTGGACATTCTCTTTTTATTGTTGTTTGGTAGAGCACTCAACTTGTCTTTCGCTACGTATGTCTATCCGTCCGTCCGTCCAGGTAATAACTCAAATACCTTTGGCCCGATATTGTTCATATTTTGTACACTCATATACCCTATGGGAGTAGTTCTGCTCGAAAGCTGATTTTCAGAATGGCCGCTCATTTAAAAATGCTGAGGTATGTGAATACTATAAGCATGGCACACTGTCTAATGACACTTTTGGTAGAAGGCTGCCATTTTGAAAAATGGCCGCCATTTTAACATATTTTGCCAACTCAAAAAGTAGTGGAGCGTTTTTGTTCATATTTGGTATGTGAATACTATAAGCATGGCACACTGTCTAATGACAGTTTTGGTAGATGGTGGTCATTTTGAAAAATTGCTGCCATTTTTGCTCTTTACTTTGTTTGTAAAAATTCCAGCCATGGCTGTTTGATGGGATTTGCTACGCTTTGGCATTGCTGTTGTCTAGTTATGATTGTGCTTGTGTGCAATATCAACTTAATACAATTTATTCCTTAGAAATATTTTGATTGAATTTATACTTCCTTTCATATTATGTGTTAGTTGAAGAATTCAATGTGTTTGTGTTATATTAATTGTTTAGAGGCATAAGCAGAAATGTGGTGCTTTTCTAGGTTTTAAAACAACTACCAGCCAAAATAGAACATGTTGAAGTCTGCCCCATGGCATTTGAGCAGAGGGAGCTGTATGATGACCTAATACAGCAGTTCAGGAACTCATTAAAAGAGGATGATCAAAGGAAAAATCTTGAGAAACAAGGTACATGTACTGTCTGTAGTTTTTCCACAGCTTTTTGGTTGGAAATACAATTTATGTCCCTCAGAATATATCTTGTATCCCAGCCCTCTCTAATGTGCACAATGTACATTGTGGAAGATTTTAACACTTGGTGGTTTTTTATATTAACAAAGGGCTTTATTATCCATTGTATAGAAAGTATTAAACACTATTTTTTCTCTGGCATGCTAGCAACTGTATGGTTGGTCAAAAGTGGTATTTGTACAGTATTTCTTACTGTTTGTTAAAGGAATATTCCTTGCCAAACCATCTCTCTCCTCATATGGTAGCTATAACAATATATATTCTTGCCTTGTTTAACGTTTAGCAAAACACGGTCAAATTTGATCACTTAGAAATGTGATGCTCAATTCCAGTAAGCTTCCATCTTTTAAAATTTCACACATGAAGTGATGTCATTGACTCTCAACTTTGCATATAGCATTAGGTGAGGAGCTATTAAGAACTACAAAACCAGCTAATATTCTTTTTCAACTTTGTATCTTATTTAATCCTTCTGAAAATCTCTTCTTTTATTCTAAGTTGATAAGCCCTGAAAATATTTTTGCACAGAAAGTAATGATCACTTGTCTAGAAGTGATTTTGTGCTACTTTCCTATACTGTTTTGGGCAAGGTTATAGAAGTTGAGAGTTGATGACATCACTTCCTGCAAGAAATCTTAAAAGATGGCAGCTCACTGGAAATAAGCACTAGATTTTTAAATGATCAATGTTGACCATATTAAAACATTTTCCCATGTTTTGCTAAATATGGAAACTATATATATGATTATAGCTACCATATCAAGAGAGAAAGGGTCTGGCAAGGAATATTCCTTGAAGTAAAAAACCTATGTTAGGACTATTTTTCCATTTATTAATTTACTGTAGAGCCATGTGTGATATGTTTTTTTTCAGGTAAATCCATGTTCATGCAACTACGTAAAGTGGCCAACCATCATTTACTTAATAGGAACACATATTCCAATGACAAACTGAAGCAGATGGCTAAACTCATGCTTCAGGTAAGTAGAAACAATTTAAAAACAATTAATAACTAAATAAATTATAGTTTTATAAAGTCAGAAATGTTCTTTTAAAGAAAGGTAGATGACATGCTGTTCTCTTAATATGATCAATTGGGAGAGGGTTCAATTTACTCAATTCTTTGAACAGGTAGAAAATTGCCCCCTGTTAAAATGATGTCTGCTACAGGTATATGTAAAATATAGTTTTCATAAAGGTGCATAACCATTCTTGTCACAGAAGACTATATTGACATGGAGATAAACGTCCCTATATCCAAAACCTCCCAGTACCTAACCTTTTGTATCTATGATTCTAGGAACCCACTCATGCCAAAGCCAGCAAGGACTTGATATATGAGGACATGGAAGTCATGTCTGATTTTGAGCTACACAAACTTTGTGAGCACTATTCAGTAAGTTTAAAATGATATTTCTATATCAATGCGTATTTGTGAAATTTCAATAGTGCTTGTTTTAGATCAACATAAATTCTATGCAAAAAAAGATCACTCACATTATTAATCAGTGATTTGTACAGTGTAAGTTCTACATTTATACTTTCAGTCCCTCCACCCATACATGCTAGATGATACCATAATAACAGATTCTGGAAAATTCCGTTACCTTGACGAAGTCCTTCCAGATATAAAAGCAAAGGTGAATTTTCGGGTGTTACATATAAATTATGTAGATAAAAATAGAAGGAAATTCAAAAACTTCTTTTGAAACATAGGGGAGTAAATGACAACAGAGCGAGATTTTTCATTCCAGAGGAGTTGATTTTGTACACAAGATCAAAAAAATTATTCAGTTGTAAATATTGACCAGCCCAATTTGGAAAATTGTTTTCTATGAATTTTGCTATTATTTTAGGGTGATCGGGTACTTCTATTCAGTCAGTTTACTATGATGTTGGACATTATGGAGGTGTATCTTCAAACTAGAGGTCACAAATACTTCAGACTGGATGGGGGAACACCTGTTCCAGAAAGGTTTGTATTGTTTATGTTGTTATATCATATTTTCTTACTGTGTGTACATGTATTTTCATTCTGTAAAAAATATTTCTGTACAGGGCGTCAAATAAGTCTGTTCTCCCCACTTAACTTTTTTATTTTTAAAGTTATCATACTTTCCCATATATCATTCTAAAGCTTATGGAAAATGCTGATCACTCCTAGAAAATCAATAATGAACTCTTCCTAATAAAATTGCTACAATGTTTCTTGAAAGGATGTAGTTGACCGTTGATTGCGTCAAAAAGAGTAAAATTACCAGGATAATGAATGAACAGTGAAAAGTTGATACTGCGATTATTAAGGACAAGGTCAAAAAATTAATCGAAGATCAACCAGAGGAGAAACTTTATAGCCATGAAACATTGCTCAAATGTATCAAGAAAGCTTTTAGAAGCCTCGAGAGTGCAACACCCCTGTTTGTGAACATTTGGAATCGTATCCTTGTAGAATTGAGGCAGTCCAAGCTGCTTTGGGGAATTTAACGAACTATTAAAAACATGAATATCACTAGAAATGCTCTTAAAAACTTGGAATTTAACCAATCTCTCTGAAATTTGGTGTGTGATCAGCAAATTAAATTCCCCTTAAAATGATATATAGAAACCCTATGTTATTTGTAAATTTAAAAAGTTAAGGGGGGAGAACAGACTTATTTGACGCCCTGTATATGTTCAGGTTTGGTTCAAATACATGTGTACCTTAAAGAGGTCAACTAGTTATCATGATCTGGTGTGAACTCACAGATACTATTCTAGTATCAAACACTCATTTTGATCATAAACTTTTTTATCTTTTCTGCCTTGTCTTCCATCTTATCGTATGATCCAGGAGTTCTCTGGAATTAATCTTATAAATTAATGACTGGCTATCTGTAATTTCCTAAAATGCTTGTTTTTCAGGCAAACAATGATAGACAAATTCAACATTGATCCAAAAGTGTTCATTTTCCTTCTTTCTACAAAAGCTGGTGGGTTAGGTAGGTACTAGGTATTATTTATGTGAGATACAGTATTGCATATACAGAAAATAAACAATAAAAACCTGTCCATGGATTTAGTTTCATTTATGAGAAATTCATTTTCTAATTAATAAATCATGTATTTGAAAACTGTTATTCAAGAATTCTAAATTCATTAACCATACATTTTTAATGTATCTACAAATGCCACCATTTGTAAATCTCTCTTTATTCAGGTATTAACCTGGTAGCCGCCAATGTGGTGATCATCCATGATATTGACTTTAACCCTTACAATGACAAACAGGCAGAGGACAGGTGCCACAGGCTTGGACAACTCAAGTTAGTCTTATTAACCCTTTCACTTCTATATTATAGGACTATTTCTAGAAATGCACTGTATAGTGAATTGTTATGACTCTATAACTAGTGGTATTCATTTGAAGTATAATTTTGCATAAAAGGCAGTTGAAATACAGTTCTCAAGTCTTGTTCAAATATGTGTTATGATTCACTTAAAACCTGTGGAACATCTTTGGTACTTCTAAAAAGTGTTCCACTTAGGAGGTGTTCCACTAATAGAGGTTCATTTAACATTTAAGTCATTTGGTCGACTCTGAAGTGCTCCACTTAGGAGGTGTTCCACTAATAGAGGTTCATTTAACATTAAGTCGTTTGGTCTTGGGTCTCTGAAATGGGTTCCACTAACAGAGGTATTCCATTCATAAAGGTTCATTGGTCAACTCTGAAAAGTGTTCCAATAACAGGTGTTATTGAAAGGTGTTCCATTTCTAGAAGTGTTCCACTTTACAGGTTTCACAAAATCCTTTCTCAGTATATTTCAAAACCATGTGAAAACCATTCATAACATAGCCCTTTCATCAGTTGTTATTGTGTGCTCCAGGGATGTCCGTGTCATACGTCTCATTAGTGAGGGCACTATAGAGCCAGGGATGCTGAAATGTGCACAAGAAAAGTTACAACTAGAACAAGATCTTACATCTAATAAAAGTAAGTTTTCGTGATAAAGTATCAGGCTGTAGCCAGTGGGGTGGGCAAAATTTCTTTTAAAATCATGCAGTTTTTCACCATTCTGAATGATTTTGGGCCAACGTTGTCTTAAGTGAACTCCCTCCTGGAATTTTTTGAAAAGTGCCCCAACACATTGGCAAAAGCTGACCATAGGCCTGATTATTTATTCATTCTACCTTAAAGATTACTTGTTGTGCAAAGACATGTAGTGTGATTCCAAATCCATGAATAAATATTGATAGAATTTATTCTTCTACCACTAGAGCTGTAAATGTAACAAAATATTCACTTTGGACAGTAGTTTTCAGCAAAATCCACCATGATGCTAAAGAATGGAATTGTGTAGGATGTCCAAATAGAATAGAACCTGCACTACAGCAAATGCCACTGGATATCACATTAAACCTGCACATCGCTCCAAAACGCAATATGTTGACATATATTGTTTTTACATTTTTAAGCTCTAATATAAAGTTTATGTAAATAAAAATTGTTTTTTTCTGCGTTATATCAAAGAGCAATCATTTAGTTAAAAAAATAAAAAGGCGAATGCGGGATTCGAACCCGGGCCTCGCGCATGCTAAGCGAGAATTGTACCGCTAGACCACCGTGTTTTTATGGATGGTGGAAGTAATTAAACGCTACTTATTTTGAATGCTATGATTCGGAAGTGACGTCACATTCTTCATTTAGAAACCTTTTCAAAATCATATCGTCGGCGCCGATCGAAGCAATTCAATGAATAATCTTTGAAATGACACATTTATCGTAAGTATTTCTACACAAGATTTGCCCCATTTGTTCATCATTCTATAATCTTTCATTAATCTCAAAATGATAAAGTTCACCCCCGAAACAACCCAAGATTGCGTTTTGGAGCGATGTGCAGGTTTAATTGTTATACTCCATTGAAATGCTATATATGTTCTGTTATATTTATGTTTCAGTTTCATCTGAAGGGGCCCAGTCTGATGTGGCAGTGCTACTGAAAGAAGCAATAGGGGACATCAAGAAATAAACAAACATATATTTATGCTCTCAGCTACCATCCAGTTACACCTGAGAGGAAACTTCAGAACTCATGCTTCCTGTGTAACAAAAAGCTATCATGTTAATTAGGCAGGACTTGAGAATATCAAAAAAATTAAGCATTCAAATAATTTTTGCTGTAAACAAACATTTATTTATGCTCTCAGCTACCATCCAGTTACACCTGAGAGGAAACTTCAGAACTCATGCTTCCTGTGAAAAAAAATGCTATCATGTTAATTAGGCAGGACTTGAGAATATCAAAAAATTGAGCATTCAAATAATTTTTGCTGTCCTTGTTGGTATCTGTGTTGGTATTCTCATAACGGACTTGCCAAATACTCTGTCAGTGCTTTAAGTTTTGTGACAATGGTTGCGGTTAAGTGTAACCCAGGCCTAAGTGGAACTTGAATCATGTATGTTCAAAATTTGTTCATATTACATTATTTCCATTTCTTAATTTGGAAGGATTTGGGTGTCATCTAGTATATATGCTGGATTATACTCAATAACCTTCCAGGGATGTCAGTATTTCTGACTAACTGGTCAATATTGTATTGTGGACTAGTACTGCATCTTTACATACTGAAAAAATCAGCTTGATCAGTTTAAAACCAATGCACCATTAACCTCCAAACACAGGGAAGGTCGGAAATTAAACACACAGTATAGTCCCTAGGGTTTGATTTTGATATAAACAGGCTGATCCAGGCATTTGGAATTTGACAGCCCCAATTTTTGTCAAAATCCTCGCCCCCTTTTGTTGAGGGGCTCTCATACACCTTTCGAATGGTTCATTATAGTTTCTGGGACATGATTCTACATTGCACCTAGCTGCTAACAGATATTTATTTAGTTACTGTAGGCTTACAAAATGTCTATATATTATGACATTGTTCAATAGGAGCAAATAACAAATGAAATTATAGAAAACAAAAGGCAAGCATAAATAAGATAGTTAGTCATTACCATAACAGTATATCATACAGTCACTTGTGCTTAAATGTATATGTACTCTGTTATTTTGTAAGAAAACAATATATGTCAGAGAAAAATATAAAATATAAATGTTTGTTGTTGATTGATTTATATTGTTAGAGACGTAAAGATAGCCTTGCCCAAGTCGGTATTTTTTACTTATCTGATCTTGAATATAGTAAAAGAGACCGACTTGGGCAAGGCTAACGTAAAGAAAGTATTTGAGATATCATGGATGTAGCTAGTTGTTTTAGACAACAAAACTCAACTTAAATACTTATTTCTGAATTTCAGAGAAATATTTTTATGATTTTTACTCAAAATATTATGTTTCATAGAACTAAATAGAAGTTTAATATCCTCTAAATCCACCTATATTTGGATTCTGGCTACATCCTTTGACATTACACGAACATCACAGTTTTAGCTTAAGGTGGACCTAATACATCAATATTCTGACCTTCATATTTCATATATGGACTAAGATTCCATGAATGCAAGGATACCAACTAACATTATGGTGGGTCTCATAAAAAGAACATTTAAAATCATGGAGTTTTCCACCATTCTGAGCACATTTCAAGTGACTTTGAACCCCCTTATCAAAAGCCAGCCATGGGCCTGATATGCCTATGATCTATGATATAAAGATAGGATAAAAAGGTCAAAGAAAAAATGAACCCAAGCTTGAAACACATTGGGACACTCAGAATTCTATCACTTGAACAGAACATGGGCTTTCAATAAGATCTAGTTTAAAGCCCATGAACAGAACAATGGTGAATGTTGAAATCCCCGAAGTACAAGTTTGGATTGGATTATTTCCTTTAACCGAAACAGAAAATGAGCTGATGACACCAAGTAAAGTATAATACACTGAACGAAATAAAGTAATTATAACACCTCGAATTTCGTGATTGTGAAATGTTAGTCTCAACTTCCGGTTTTTAAAGTTTGACAAAATACGAAGATGAGCTGATTAAAACCTGTTTTACGCATTATTAAAGCTAAAAGAACATATTCCCATCTCATAATCAAAATATGGATTATGACTTCAAAGTCAAACTAGCCAATGAACGTGCGAAAGTCGAAGATTTGTTTGACTTTGAAGGGTGTAAAGTTGGCAGGGGGACATACGGCCATGTGTACAAAGCAAAAAAGAAAGGAGCCGGGTAAGATCTCCGTCATATCATTATATAAATTGATAGTTATTTGTTAAATCAGGCACAATAGGGTTATAGTTTGACAGTCTGTAAGCTGCAACCTGCTGTAACCATTACAGGCCAGTACGAAGGATTTCAAGGGGGCAACTTTTGCATGCTAATTGGTTGTGCGGTTGACACATCAGGCGCATGGAATGCATGATCGTTCAAAGCGGCGCTGGCCCAGAGAGCTGCAACCAAGGGGGTATGGCCATATACCCCCTGAAATTTAAACCCTTTGGTGCATTTGGACCATATAGATCTGAGAGCCATATTTGCACTAGTCTATGCGTAGCTTTAAGTGGGGAACAAAAATAAACCTCAACCATCAAAAGTTGTCACAGTTAGCTAAATTCAAAGTTTCGTGTCTCAAACTCTCCCAAGCGGTAGAAAAATAATGCCCGTTCACTTTAAGTAGCACAATAAATGAATCCAAAGCTTCATACCTGCAAATGATGGATAAATCCCTACCAAATCAAATGAATGTTTTCATGAATCGCCATGTTTGTGATCCAAGGAGGATTGACTCCCAGAATGCAACATCAGTTAACCTTATTTACTCGTGACAGGTTTCAAAATGGCGGAACGTCATTTTGAAAGCTGGCACATGTCATGAGCCAATCCTCCTTCGGCGTATCAGGCTCCTAAATCACCTCAACATTTGAAGAGTGGCATTAACATGTGAATATCCACTTCAAATTTTTAAGTTCTTATTTGTCATTATGGACACAAATTCCACTATATCTGGACTATAGTAATTCTTTATGTTCCCCACTGTAAAAAATAGAATTTTGGGAAAAAGGGGGTGGTTACGGTTGATTTAGTATGAAAGATAACTTTGAATTTTTCAGGGAGGCACGCGATGCTCGAGGAGAATATGCTTTGAAACAGATTGAAGGAACTGGAATCTCAATGTCAGCTTGCAGGGAAATTGCTGTAAGTTGTGATATATTTTGTCATAAAATCATTTCATCGAAGTTTGGATGATATAGAGAATACAGATACATGTATGTACCTCCATCTGAGCAATACTTCAAATCCAGATTATGCTCATATTTTTAGGTGTGGATAAAAAAACATATACTTTATTACTTCTTGATATTTATTCACATATTTTTATTATTTTATTAGCTGCTGCTTGTGACATAAAGTGACTAATGTCATTATTACATGTATCAAATATGTAGTACATTATATCTTCTAATGTAAACACTTATAAGCTAATTGTGTCAAGAGATAAAGCCACAGCATATGATTGATATATGAAAAAACTGCCTGGAGGGACAGACAGTCAAATTAAACCCCCGGGGGGGTTCACTGTATATAAAACTCGACGGGGTTCCTAGGCTGAAGCCTCAAATATCAATATGTTCCCATACCAATCTGTCAAATTTCAATATGTTCCCATAGCAACCAAAATAACGCTCAAAGGCCATACCAAATGTCCAAATATAGGACCAATGCCATACCAAATGTCCAAATATAGGACCAATGCCATACCAAATGCACAATTATGGGACCAATGCCATACCAAATGTCAAAATGTAGGACCAATGCCATACCAAATGTCCAAATATGGGACCAATGTCATACCTTAATTCAAAGTAAATGAAATATAGGATCAATGTCATACAAATTTGCAACTACTGGAACAATGCCATACCACGCATGTTAGGTAACGTATCTACAACGACCATTCTCATACCAGAAGAGCAAAAGTCCGACCATTGCCATACCTCAGAAGTCAGAAATTTCCGGGCATTCCCATACCAAATCCTAAAATATGGGTCCATTGCCATACCAAACGTTGAAAAAGGTACCCCACATGCGCCGAGGATCCCCGTCAAGGTTTATATATAGTGAACCCCCCGGGATGAAACCACATTGCTCTATAGGCCTAATTGACAGTCTGAAAATTTTACCTAATTTTCCAGCTATTACGAGAGTTAAAGCATCCAAATGTGATCAGTCTCCAAAGAGTGTTTCTTTCCCACAATGACCGCAAAGTATGGCTACTGTTTGATTATGCAGAGCATGATTTATGGGTAGGTAACATAGTGAATATGTGTATTCAATGACCACAAAGTATGGCTACTGTTTGACTATGCAGAGCATGATTTATGGGTAGGTAACATAGTGAATATGTGTATTCAATGACCGCAAAGTATGGCTATTGTTTGACTATGCAGAGCATGATTTATGGGTAGGTACATGTAACATAGTGCATATGTGTATTTCCATAAAATTGCATGTTTCTTTAGATTGCTATTAAACTTATCTTCACCAATTCTATACAATCAGTATAAACTTCATGAAATTTTGTGACACTTACTTTTATGTCACCACAAGCATATCGCAAAGCCACTGATATAATGTGTTGAGATTTTAAGCTGTAACAATAAGCTGAAACTGATACAGAATTACACTGAAACAATGAACATTGGGAAGTCTTCAGATTTTAGACAATAGCTGCAAATGGAAGTTTTCCTTTTTTAAACAATATCTGCTATCAGTCTGCTATAAAAAACACATTCGGTTCTTATTTCATGGAATGGTATGAGTGTTCCACATTCAGAAATTGAATAATGATTTGTTTTACAGCATATCATAAAGTTCCACAGGTCTGCAAAGGCAAATAAGAAGCAAGTGAATGTACCAAGGAACATGGTGAAATCTTTGCTTTATCAGATCCTAGATGGCATTCATTATCTACACTCCAACTGGGTTTTACACAGAGATTTGGTAAGTTTTAATTGTTATTTTCATTTTCAAGTAATTTGCAGGAAAAAAGTTCTTAGACTTTCATTGCAAATAAACTTTTGTGTGTCTCTAGTCTTGCTTGAAAGACCCTGTACTCCCCCCCCCCCCCCCGCTTTATCCTTCTCTCTGTATATTGCCAGGTAAAGAGAGTGAAGGTGACGGGGGGGGGGGGGGGGGGGTATACAGTCTTTGAGCAAGACTAGTGTGTCTCAAATGATATTACTTTTAGGAAGATGTTATATTTCATGATGTAAAATCAAGTATGGATTCATGGATTGGAAACATTTACAAAGCAACCATTTGATATAGAAGTCTCGTTTGAAAAAACTTTTGATGGATGATAGCGTTGTGACTCACTATTTAATTTAAATTTGAATTATTATCACCACATTATATTAAACTGTGTGCATGTACAATGCTCATGTTGTACCAGTAATTGTGAAGTTGTATTCATTTTTTTAGAAACCTGCAAATATTCTTGTCATGGGTGAAGGTAGAGAAAAGGGGAGAGTAAAAATAGGTAAAGTACATATTGATACTTTCATAATGAAAAAATAGGTAAAGTACTTATCAATAGGTAAAGGATGATCCTTGTGATCATATTTATTATTGACATATTGTTTTTTGTGATGGTGGTTGGCATCCAGACATTTCTCAGCATCTGTACCAAGTGGCTGGTGGTGACATTTTGCATGTTAATGGGTTTTGTTATAACGGGTTATACTTTTTTATGAGGTATTTGTTATTTTGAGCTAATTTTTCTACCTATTTCCTATATGTTTCATTTTTTAGAAATAAACCATCAAAATAGACAAAAATGATATCAAGGAAGTTAACTGCTCGTGTATTTCCTTGCAAAAATTTGTCATGTTTTATGTGACTCTTATATGATGTACACGAATATGTTTAGCTCCATTGAAAAACAACTGCAGTGCAAGTACATTATGTATTTATATATAAAAGTTTTACTATGTTTTCAGCCGATATGGGTTTTGCCAGATTATTTAATTCCCCATTGAAGCCCCTTGCTGACCTTGACCCTGTGGTGGTGACCTTTTGGTACAGGGCCCCTGAGCTTTTATTGGGTGCTAGACATTACACTAAAGCAATAGGTAAGAAGATAGGACTGGAAAAGTTCCAGTTAAAGTATAGATTTGAAAAGAATATGAGTGAACTTTACAACATGTATTGGATGAATTAACAAAATAATCTCTCTAAAATAATAATGAAGTATTTTAAATTATAATTGATATTCAATCTGCACTTGATTAACTAGCCCTGGAATTTATATTACGTATTTTAAAAAATTATTCAAACTGCTCGATTTTTTATGCATATAAATGTTTTACATTAACAATTCCCTTTACAGACATCTGGGCTATTGGGTGTATATTTGCTGAGTTGTTGACTTCCGAGCCAATATTTCACTGTCGACAAGAAGATATTAAGACTAGTAATCCTTATCACCATGATCAACTAGATCGTATATTCAATGTAATGGGATTCCCACAAGGTTAGTTTATTAAATACTTTTGATTGGTTGATGCACATTGGATGTGATGGAAGTTGACTGAACAACTTTACTCAAAATCAAAACTGCTCATATCATTATACATCTGCAATTTCTTGTGAAAAAGTTGACATTTTAGTCTTAGCTTGCCTAGTTTGGATTATATTTCAAACTATGGTTGCAGCTTTTACCAAAAGGAGACAATACTACCTAGTTATTTCTATCACAAAATGTTCAAAATGAGCAGTTGTTGTTAAAACATACTCTGGCGACTTGTTGTTTTTCTAGTTTGAAATTTTATTGCTGCTAAGAGAGTGTAAATATATGATATAATGAGATCACATCTGCAAAAGTCTTCCAAGTTGCACTAGACTCTTTTTAAATGTGACTAAAATTGAAAATCATTATATTTCAGAAAGAGAATGGGAAGATATTAAAAAGATGCCAGAACACCCTCAACTTATGAAAGACTTCAAAAGGGCAAACTATGGGAACTGTAGCCTTGTTAAATACATGGAAAAACACAAAATACGACAAGACACGAAAGCTTTTCACTTACTACAGAAACTTTTAATAATGGATCCCACTAAGCGGATCACATCTGAGCAAGCAATGCAAGATTCTTATTTTACTGAAGATCCCAAACCATCTCCTGAGTAAGAACATTTCTGGATTTGAACCAAATTTTTTGAATAAAAAAATGATCTTGCAAGTGCAATGTGAAAAATTCCATTTTTTATAATTGGATAGAAATAAGTGCTGGGATGGAATGTTTGTGTTCTCAATCATATAGTATCTATTCATGTTTCTTTTCAGTAGTATCCTTTCACTTTTTAACATAATTACCTCTTTTATTTATTCTTGACATTTACTGGGTCAAATTGTACATTGACATGTATTCATGTATAAATAGTAAATACCCATATTTTTTTCAATTGGGATCAATGATAAATCTTTTTACTGACAGTTGATTGAATATTGATATTTTCCTCTTATCATATAGAGCCCTTAATACATAGCTAAAACTGACCATTTTATATTACAGTGTGTTTGAAAATATGCCAATACCTTACCCTAAGAGGGAGTTTCTAACTGATGATGATTCTGATGACAAACCCAATACAGGAGCCAGTAAGGTAAGAATTATTTGATGAAAAAAAAACCTATCCAAAATTAAAGCTGTTTAGAGTAGTTGAAATTCATTAATTTGAGAGGTTTTGATTACATTCTATAGGTGTTCACATTACAAGGAGTATTTCCATATATGTAATTTGTAACTTTACTGGGTATTTTTCCTTGGCCTTAAATAACTTTATATTATGATTGCAGGCCAATCAAGACTCCAGCCATGCACCTCAAGCTAAGAGAGTTAGAGTACAGATACCCCCTACCACGTCATCAGCCTCAGACTATCAGGTAACACTTGTGTACTAATTTACTAAAGGCTAGGCTGAATACTATATCTAGTAATGTTTAGCATATCGGTTTCGTCTAGTATTTAGAGTTGCATATTAAATATTGGCTCAATGGCATTTTAGAAAACAACTGATTAACCTGGCACTTTTCAACTATTTAGAAAGATATATGTGTTGTTCTAGCCTTGCCCAAGTCGGTATATTTTTACTTATCTGATCTTGAATTATTACCGCCTTGTACAATCAAATGCATCATCTCTGATATTATGATAAGTTATTCAGCGTTCTTTGATTTCCATAATTCCTACGGTGTTTTCAACATTCTCAACCAATTTTAATAATAAATTTTTTTCTTAAGTTGTTCTCTTATTGCTGAGTTTACCATTAAAATACTTGTTCTGGAGTGTTTTGGTATAAATTTGGTGTACTTAACTCCTCAGCAAATGATCCTAGAATTATAATTGTTCATATTTTTAAAACATTCAATTTTTATTTCAGAAGCACAACTACGGCATGCAAGGAGGTAATCAAGGACAATCTAACCAATCATACGGCCAGCGTTTCTAACCCAGAATTGTAGTGATTCTAGTGATTTTAAATATAACCAGTGACCAACAACACTTTGTAGTTCTCATCAAATGTGCACATTAATTGGACATGGGAACAGGTATTCTCATTGAAAACACATGTTATTGAACAAGTGGTAGACCACATGTGCAAATCCAGTGAAAGGAACCAGAGTTAACTTAATGGAGGATGGTTCTCATATATGAGGAGTATTTACCCAGAATGCTCAGTATGGACCAATCCTATGGGACTTGGGAGCGTATGAGTTGAACATCTGTACGGTGTACAGACTTACATTAAGCAGTTATAAACATGCCATATTTGTTACTCATTCAACTTGTGTGTTTAATGTTTTCCCGGTAAATTACAATCCTGGGGATTTTATTGGTAAATTCATGTTAGATAATTTTACGCCATGTCAACTTTATTGAGTAATCTTTAAACACAATATATATTATACATCAAACTGCCAAAATAGGTCACATTGGGGATATAATGCCCAGAAAAATCTAAAGTGGAACAACTTTGATACCTAAAAATAGTGTACCGCTTGGTAGGTGTTCCACTTACAGAAGTGTTCCACTTTACAGGTTTTACTTTACTTTCATTTTCTTTTAATATAAGAATATACAGTGAACACTCCAGTCTCTATAGCTACCTTGCATAAGACATTAACATGCACAATGTCACCACCTGCCATCTGTTACTGATTCAGAACACCAAACACCAACTGCTGAATGCCAACCACTGAATACCATCCAGAAAGAAGTTGGACACTATAACAATATGTCACCATTTCTAGTGGTGACATTTAAAGTAAAAGACACTGTTGCAAATTAGCTAGGTCCATAAGTCATAGATCATGATCTGTATTATGATGTACAGTAGTTACAAATTCTGACAAGCTCTTGTTACAACCATGTCATGATGTTCATGTTTAATAAGGATGAGAGAAGAGTTAGCAATATTTATAATTTTATGTATAGTTCAATCAAAGGATGGGGTCAATAAAGGCCTTATATTGCCTATTCTTAAAATATCCAATTTAACTTCCCAGAAATAACATTGTTGAAAGTAATGTACAGTGTTGTCTCGACGACCATGCAAACTTAATATGCGTGCTCATGTATTGTTGATACTAAATTTTTAATCACCATACATGAAAGTGGTGCATCTTTTTAATTGTACATGTATGTGTACATTTCATGTACATGTTCATTTCAATATATGATATACATGTTGATGAAAAGGCAGCATTTTGTTAATGTACATTTCTCTTATTGCATTCATATTTATTATAGAAGGAATATATGTTTATCATTGTAATATATAGTTAGTTGTGTGTTCTTTGACATTTACATATACTTTTATTTCATCTAATCATCATCCATCATTGTGTGTGTTGTATTTCTGTCTTGATATTCTGCCTCAGTGTGCGTCAGTCTCATTCTAAACCACTGGACTCCATCCCCTAGTTATCTCACCTTCAACCTGGGGTCACACTTGGGGGGTGGGGGTCGGAAGCAGACCAGGGCTCGAAGCAAGAAAATAAATTAGAACTTATTGGCTTAGGGCCTCTTAGATGGTAATATGCTTAAGTTGCAACCTGCTTCCCCTGTTATTCATTACTCATGGCCTTGTCCATGACATGTGATAAATTAATGCTAGCAAGGACATAAAATGGACGTATATACTACATAAAGAGACTATAGGAAAAAAGGTTTACATATCCATACACAATGGCAACTATAGTTGCTTAACATGAATAAAAAAACATATCCCCATCAAAATAACATTTCTGTTTACGGATTCAGAAGTTAATTAAATCATCAATTAAAAGTGTCAGTCTAAAACCCAAGTATTTAGTTAAAGTACCTCTTTTTATCATTCACCATTCTTTCAGATGAGGTAACATGTGGATTATACTTTGTCTCTGGGCCAGAGGACGACTTGGTTTTTATGTATTGTGAGCAATTCAAGTTCATAAGACAATGTTTAGAAAATCACCTTCTCCTGGTATTCCTATTTATCGTATGATCTGTAGCCTTCTGATAGGTCAGGTCTTGTGATGTACCAATCTGTATTGCTACTTAGATTGTCCCCATTGATCATCTCCGTCACAATACAGAAAATATTGGTACAGAGGGGACAATCTCAGTAGCAATACAGAGGATCACACGATAAAAACGTTATGATTTGAAGTGCAATTTCTTGAGCAGAATATATCCTGTATTGCACTTCAAATCATTCAATAACTTATAGTATAAAACTTTCATAATCTAATTCCCTATATCATATAAGGGACATTTTAATACTTCAATAGATATAGGAGAGGGGTTCAAACCATAAAGAAATTAACTTTGTTTTTCATGACAGTTGATAATGGGACACCCTCCCTTACAGGATGTGAAATCTAAGCACTCAGTGATTGAATTTGGATACAATGGGCACAATCCCTTATAATGAACATAAATGAGGTAACACATAAAGTAATAGAAATGCAAACATAAATTGTTTTACTTATTTTTCTTTATTTTATATAATGCAACAACTGCAAACACTGAGTACAATTTCTGTAGTATGAACTGCAAAAAATGTACAGGGAAAACATTTGGCAAATCGAGTCATTCTTTACTGTCTTTTTGCATATCTTTCTTTGAAAATAGGCAGAATGGCAGATGTCCTTGTATTTTATAGTATTCAGATTCATGAACTTCACAGTCCAAATGATAAAACTCCACAAAGATTTCTCCATGAAACCTTAAATATTGTACTACACTACAAAACAGCTAAAATAATTTCCTAAGTGTCCTAATTTAAATAAACTTCCAGTCTCGATCTTTGTAGTCTACTTCTCCATTCCTCCATTTATTCTCCCTAGTTGTCTGAAAATATACAAGAGTTGATTAAGTTTTTTATTTAATATGCAGGCCACTATTTGGGAGTTCATTTGGAAACAACAAATTCTATACAAGTTATTTATCCATACTCCGTGGCAGTGCTAGTCTTCAACATAACACTGCGACAGGCAAATCTTTAGTCTCAGCTTCCAATGTAAGGTGGAGATTTCACCTAAATTAATTGACATGGTTGATTTTGTCTCATGCTCATGCCACATGGTTGAACTGCACATATTAATTGATAAACCCACATGCAGTGAACTATTGTCAACAAAACTTTAACTCAAAATCCCTTCTGCAGAGAATTGTTCTAATACATGAATTTCATGAATTTTTAATATTTTGACAAAATAATGGTTGAGAAAAGTAATGGAATACATGTCATAATTTGATTGAGAATTGAAGTTATCATGTGACATTCCTGCACTAGATGTATTACATTTGTATTTAAACCTTATTAGTCCATGTTTACAGTCTTATAGTTACAGGTGCAGGATATCTAAACCTAGTCTTGCACCAAGTCTCTGGATCCTCCATCTGAATCATCTGTAGAGGTATATGTGAAACAGTGTTTCCAGTAGGTTTGTCCAAGATTGCGTCCCTGGGATGTAACGATTTTCAAAAAATGCGTCTCCCCTCAAAAAACTGCGTTCCTTGAAAAAATGTTCCCGGGAATTCAAAGTCACGCTTTTACACTAGACTAACCGAAATAAGATTGATGAAATTTTGTATCGCTTTTGCTATTTATCGGTCTGAATCAGTGTTCTGGCGAGTCTAGTATGTCATTGAATGATACAGATACCATCACTTGTGAGGTATAACTTATATTCAACAATTAGAAACACATTTACTTTGCGTATTTCGAAGCAATTAGCGACTGATTTTGCTTAAGTTTAGGGGCAATCTGCGCGAGGTTCAATTTTTTGGTTCAGTTTCTTGCGCATGCGCATTCTTAAATAATGATCTTGTGATCGCACTTGACCAATAGAAAATGGTTTGATTTTGGTCCTCAGCTAGCGGCCAATCGTAAGACTCGTACTGATTACTGCTCGGATATCGAGTATTGGATAACTATTTGTCCTATCACATGCCTTGTACTTTTTCGATCAGAAATCAACTTCCGGGAAGGAAACTTCAAAAGAAAATTTTATTTCTTTTAGAAATAGAATTTCCTTCAATTATTTAGTGGATTCTGACGAAATATAAAGAGACTGAAGGTAAGTGGATTCACGAATTGATTTACGAAATTCAAATTGCGTCCCAAAAACATAATTATTTTTTTAATTTACGTCCACCCAATCTTGATTTACGTCCTCTCCATTGAAGGACGCCGTTAATGAAACCTCAGGTGAAAGGAGGTGATGACAAGGGCTTGAAGCAAGACTAGATAATCTAAACCATTTTTACAATAAAGGAAACATAATAGAAAACATCAGAGCCCTAAATTAGAACTTACCCTTTGATTATTAACTAATAGATACAGTAAAGTGATTGGTAGGATCGTCACTGAAAAACCAATGGCTGCGGACTTTGGGGTAGCTCGAAACTGTTCATATCCAGTAGCTTTCAAGGCATTCCATCTCATAACTTGAGGATCAAACTGAAAACACAAAGAATAATGATATATAACTTGTACTTTTTGTATAGACAAATCCGGCGATGTTGAAAGTAAGTTCCGGTTTTGGTATTCATATTTTTGATTATTTTAATTTCTTTTGGAACTGTAGGCAAATTTGGTCAATTTTCGATAAAAATGTAGTACTGGTATTGAAGCAGGTGATAAGAATGAGACATGACAAGGAACATAAAAATAGGGCTAGTAGACCTACTAGTTACAGTTATTCTTTAATATTTTAAGGACATGTTAGTTTTCACTTGGACCTGTGATATAACAGAAGTTACAGGTCCAGGTGACGGATGATGCTTAGCCTGGACTGGTTGGTATTATGATTTTGCCGGTCCATTGGTCCTGTGAGTTGTGTTCGCTTAGGAAAACACTGCATAATAATTATATAAAACTTGTATATTCAAACATCTCTCAATGTGAACACTTTTTCTCTGGCCCAATTGTGTTTTCTTTCATTGACCATGTTCAAAAAAATTTGAAATGTGAACACTTTTGGTAAGTACCAGTAGCATTCAGATATATACCAGGTTTTATTGTACAACTGATTAACAGTTCAAACAACCCACGATCTCCCAAATTATTCCTCTAAAGAATTAATATTTCCAGAACACCAGTATCCAGTCAAGAATTTTTCAACCTGCCAGAGGTTGGATCTTGCAATCATGATAGGTAGTGGGATTGGAACAAAAATCAGTCATTAGGCTTCCCAAAAATGAAAGGTGAATATGTTTTCCAATTGCATTGTGGGCTTGATTGTTTATTGATGCACAATCCAATCAATATGGGAACAGCAGTAAGGGGAAGAGGAGCTAAGGTACAAATAATGAGTTCTTTGTATTATAACTATGTATACCTTGCAGCTACAATGCCATTGGCACTTGCGCCCATCCACATACTGAATCAAGTAAAATGAATAAATATGATACCGTAACTATAAAATAATAAATACAGTAAGGTGAATCCCAGGTTCTAAAATTGGGTTGAAACCAAGGAATTTTTCATTTTTGCCAGCCTTTGACATTTTGCTACATGCATACACAATAGGTGATGCTTAATTCAGTGAGATTAGTCGGCAGAGATCATTTCTACATATTTTAAAACTTTTTTGGTGAAAATTGGATCAAAATTGTCAAAATTAGAGCAATTTTAGTGAAAAATATTGTGACGGATTTTCTCGTCACTCTGGGTAGTCAAGATGTTAATAGCACTATGTTTTACATCACTTAGTAATAATGCTCATTATGTATTAGAAAATAAGAGCCCTCTATTTATTGGTACATCTCTGGGCTCAAGCACCGAACCCAGATGTTTTAAATGGGGTTCCCCTAGTCTCTATATATCTAACAGACTAAGTTAGAACTCGGTCTGTTACCCTTATGTTTTGTTGTGTGGTAATTGCAGTGAATTCTTTTGCATAAAATTATTAATTATAGGATGCATTACTTCAATTAAATAAACATTACAGAAATTTAACAAGGCATTAACATGACAAAATGTCACCACCTAGTTGCTCACAAAATTATGAGTTCAATCTTATAAGTCAGAGTCAGATTTGAATTTCTGAGAACTTGTAGATTGGTCAATTTGGAGCAAGTTGAAAAAATACCCCTTTTGGCCCTGAAAAGGTCATTCAAGGTGAAATCTCAAATCTAAAGTCAGATATAAACTTCTGAGAACTTGTAGATGACTTTGAAAAAATAATTAGTCAAGATGAAGCAAGTTGAAAAAGAACTTTTTGAGAAGGTCATTGAAGGTCAAATCTTTTTTGACTTTGAGAATGTATTTGTTTGGTTTTTATTATAGTCAGATGTGAACTTTTGAGCACTTGAAGATGATTTTGAAAAGAAATTGGTCAATTTGAGTCGAAAAAATACATTTTTGACCTTTTATATACCTTGAAAAGTCATTGAAGGTCAAATCTTCAATATAAAGTCAGATTTGAACTTCTGACAACTTGTAGATGACTTATAAGAATTTGTTACAGATGCCAACCGCCACCCGCCGACCACCAATCACCAGCCGCCAACCGCTGATCACTGTCACAAAAAATGGAAACCATAACAATATGTCAATAAGGACGAGATAAAACAAAGCAAATGCGTGACATATGCAATTTGCATGAAAACACAAATAACTTCCGAACAAACTGTCTTTGATTATTTCAGCATTCGTTTTTTCAACATGAACTGAAACAATTTTGCTTGACAATGATTTGAAAAAATGCGTTTTTGCTGGACATATTCTGTCATGCAAAGAAAACAGGCGTGACTTTTTGACTTTTTAAGGTGCTATGGAAGTAAACAGGAAATGACAAAACAGGAAGTGAAAAATTTTTTGCATTTTTAGACATTTTTTGAACAAAGATAACAGAGTTTTATTTTGACCTCCAGTCAATTCGACTAGTTCCAAATATCATTTACTGGTCCAGGATCACAATGTTCATGGTCAGAATGACCCTAAACATGATGAAATAACCTTTTCAGCCCTCTGAAAATGTGACTGAAAAATAGCTAAAAGTAGGAGCTAGGGAAGGTCACTGAACAGAATCTTCTGAATTTTTCAGAAAATGGGCCCAATATAATGCTCTAACTGATACAATCTTTGAAATTTTAGAAAATTGTCTGAAACAAAAATGGCGGTCATAAAAAGGAAAATAGATCGCTTTTCAAATCAGTTTTTTCATTTTTTTATATTTTTCTATGAATGATATCAAATTTTCAAGAATTGTATCATTTAGAGCAATATATTGGGCACATTTTCTGAAAAATTCGAAAGATTCTGTTCAGTGACCTTTCCTATCTCCTTCCTTTGGCTATTTTTCAGTCACATTTTCAGAGGGCTGAAAAGGTTATTTCATCATGTTTAGGGTCATTCTGACCATGAACATTGTGATCCTGGACCTGTAAATGGTATTTGGAACTACAGTTGGGGACAAAAATAAATGACAGGTCGATTTTCGATCACCATTTCCTAATTATGGTGGTCTGAAAGCCCATAATTTCCAATATTGTCTAGATATATATCCCTTAAAATTTGTATATTTTACATTTTGTATAATCTCATCCACTGATGTATGGCCTCTTGTAAATTCTCTTATTTTTAACATGGGAAATCCTCACTTCAGCAAATCCACCTGTCATTTATTTATGTCCCCAACTGTAGTCGAATTGACTGGAGGTCAAAATAGAACTCTGTTATCTTTGTTCAAAAAATGTCTAAAAATGCAAAAAAATTTTCACTTCCTGTTTTGTCATTTCCTGTTAACTTCCATAGCACCTTAAGGTTCAGCTGGAGAGTAACATTTTGGTAAAAAATTGCTATACCTGCACATGTTAATTTCTGGTACAAAATTAAGTATGAAGGCATATGTGTATTTCCTTGCTTTTTTCAGGAAAGTATCATTACACTGTCTACTTTTAGTAAACCTGGAAACAGGTCAATGGTATAGCTCCTGTGTTGTCTGGAAACTTTGAAAGAAAATTTGGAAAAATAGAAAGTGTGAAATATCAGAATTTCCTGGAGTTCCCATTGAACTCCTACTACTACTTTTTGCAAGGCCTGACTTTGTCGCTAACATGCTAAATATAAGAGTTAGCTGACGTTTGGGAGTCTGACTTACCTTCTAAAGGTTAGAACCCGAATCTTAATGAAACCATATCACCTTTGTTCCGTCAACCATGGAGCATTTGCCACAACATCCAAGAGGTAAATCATGGACCAAGAAAATGAATGATTTCCTTGTAAGTTCCGGAAGTTTCAATACGAAAAATTACCGAACATATATGAAAACCGAATATTTGTTCGTTGTTTTCACGATTTACAGGTTCGTATGTTCTTCAATGTTTTGGTCTAAATTATAAAGCATCACCAACAGGTCTTACTCTATTAATCGACTAATACAGCAGACGGCTCATATTTCTACGTAGCATTTCGTTCAGACAAATAGTGGGACTGTAGATCACGCAGTTTCGTTCGTTGCGTACTTCACTCGAAATTGGTAATTTTATATTCGCTACTTCACTTAGCTTGGCGGATGTAGAACATTGCTTAATATTCTTTTAATTTTCACACCAGACATGCTTGGTTGACACGTCAACAAAGTAAAGTTCAAGGGTCAATGCGTTATTTCGTGATAACTACAACGCCTTCCCGAAAGTCAACATTGATGAAAAATGAAAAAGTCGGAAAAGCATTTACACTAATTTCTATCAAATGCTATGTTTATGCATCATCATCGACGCAACAAAGGTGATATGGTTTCATTAAGATTCAGGTTCTAACCTTTAGAAGGTAAGTCAGACTCCCAAACGTCAGCTAACTCTTATATTTAGCATGTTAGCGACGAAGTCAGGCCTTGCAAAAAGTAGTAGATATTCTTAAAGAAGACAATGTAATGATACTTTCCTGAAAAAGGCAAGGCAATTGACACATGTCTTCATACTTTATTTTGTACCAGAAAATAACATGTGCTGGCATAGCAATTTTTACCAAAATGTTACTTTCCAGCTATACCTTAGTTCCATTTCTTCAGCAAATGCTCGACAAATACACAAATTGCGGGACAGTTGGCGGCCTGGCCAAGAAGAAGAGGAGCACCCAGCCATTCACTGATCTGTGCATAAGCCAAGGAAAAAGTACTTTTAAGCTCAATACAGAAGTCTACTTATCCCTTGTTCTATGGATCTGTGATCACTCAAACAGAAAGTCAAAGAAATCTGAAATATTTTTTGAACTTACAATTGTTCCTCCAACACCGCGAAATGGGTTAGTCACTCTCTTTTGCCATTCAGCCCTGTAAGCCTCCCTCATCTTAGCTCTCTCTTGAATAGCTTTTTGTTCCCCAACCGTGAGGTCATACATTGCATGAGGGTTCCAAACCCTCTTCGCATTTCCTGCCATTTTCAGAATTTTAGCAAATTTGGCAGTAACAGGTCTTGATTAATTAATATTTGGAGTATCAAAAAAATGTAATTTCAAACCAAAAGAAGATATTTCATTAATTTTATACAAGAGATCTCATCTTAGTTTGATCAAGGGCGGTACAATACCCGGGAAATTTTCGTTCAGTACTTTTCTATTATAGTGCGCCCTCTTTCGGCAGTGAGCGCTTTGCTTACCAGTGTAATAAAAGGGGTAGGATAGAGCATTTTCAGTGGGTAGGTTTCGCTATGAATTGAAGCCAATATCGTCGCTTTATAATATTAAAAAGTTAGAAAATTGCTTAAATAATCATATACAATCGATAAATCGTCTATAGACTCCCTATCTATTGAGAAATCATCGATTGTGTGGCGATTGTGTTGTGTGACAAGGCTCGACCCACAGTGCCGGGGAAATCCTTTATGTTAATTGCTATCACGTGATATTTTCCAGGGAAACCCAAATAATGGCGCGCTAATTTGCCAAATTGGTTTGTGGAATTTTATTTTATTTTTCGCTTTATTTGTGAGCTGTGCTTGTGTTTTGTCTTATTTTTGTCTTATATGTTTGTGTGTGTACGTTGCACTTGTGTTTGAGCATGCATATGTTATCATGACTGAATGAAATATGTGAGAAACGATACATAATTTATACTTTAGACATTTTGCCATTTGATTTTTTTGCTCCTCAGTCCTCACTCTATAGATCCATTATATTTGCAATGCCAATATGTAGTATTAACTGTGTTTGAATTATGTATTTATTACTGTATATTCAGTATATATCCATTCTTTAGACAGACTAGCCCTGGCCTACATGTAACTGTTGGCCTACTCAGCTACTGTGTATAATCACTGTATTCACAATGCTTAGAAAATCTATATCTCCTGATCAGGAAAAGGTCTTGGACCTTGTAAAGAGTGGTCTGAATATTTACCTAGGGGGTGCAGCAGGTACCGGTAAGACCTTGGTCATCAAGGAACTAAAGAACAGATATCTGGGTGAATGGGGTGGCAAATCCAAAGGCATATGTTTTGTGGCTCCCACGGGGAAAGCCTCTGTTTTGATTGGAGGCCACACCATTCATTCAGAATTCTCATTAGGGATTGGGAGAGATACTCCATTAAGTATTGCATCAAGATTAAAAGCCAAAGGTGACAATAGAATTAAATCACTTGAACTAGTTGTTCTAGATGAAGTATCCATGCTTGAAGGTGAGTTATTCGAAAAAACGGAACAACTCTTTCGTTTACTGAAAGAAAATAATCACCCTTTCGGGGGGACACAAGTTTTTGCACTTGGCCATTTCGAACAATTGCCACCTATAAAAAAAGGCGGAATGGGTAAGTACTGTTGTCTTTCACCCATGTGGGACAAGGTATTTGACATGTCACTGACACTCACACAAATCTTTAGACAGCAAGACCCAGACTTCCTGATGCTACTTGAGGACTGTAGAAACAATAAGACTGGTAAGCTTTCCGAAAAAAGTATAAATTATATCAAAACAAACTTAACCAGGCCACTACAATGTCAACCCTTGGAGATAAGTAGGATTGCTTCAAGAAGATTCGCTTGTGAAATTCATAACCAGCGCATGCTTCAGTCTTTACCAGGTAATGAGAGAACATACAAGGCCATTGATTCAGGTGACAGAAAGTTACTTGATAAGTGCAATGCACCTAGAAATCTGAATTTAAAGTGTGGAAGTAGGGTTAAACTAGTGCGAAATCTCTTTGATGTCCATCATACACTAGCAAATGGTCTTACAGGTATAGTTGTAGACATTGGGGATTCCCCAATTGTGAAGTTTGATAATTCAGTCACAATAACAGTTGAAGCGAGACTATTCACTGAAACTGAAAATGATTCAGGTAAGTTGCTGGCCTCAAGGCATCAAGTACCATTGAGGCTAACATATTGCGATACAGTCCACAGCTATCAAGGGTCTACTCTTACAACTCCAACTGAGGTTGTCATGAAAGATATGACATCACCTGGGCAACTTTATGTTGCATTATCTCGTGTAAGTGACCCAAACCTACTTCGAATACTTCCAGATTTTGAAACAACTGTTGTAGCTCTATCAAAAGAGGTTACAGACTTTAACAGTAATCTCTTGGCTGTAGCAAATGCACCCACATCATTACAACATCCATCGAAGCGAGAAAGTTCTCTCACAGATCAACAAATTCCAAAGGCATGTACCATTGAAAAAGCAGCTGCTGCAGTGCATGTAAGTCATATGGACCCTCCTTTTAGAATGCCTTCGCTCTTGGTAAGTGATTTGGTTTCATTGATTCAAACTAAGATACTGACAAAGGAACTTCAACAGATATTACAAGGTTTGTTACCACTCAATGACTGTTTTTGTCATTTTATTTCCCATTTAGAAGACCAAATGAGTCAACAGATCCTTGTCAAGCAAACTGATGATGCAAAGTGCAAAGTTGATAAAAAAAATTTCAGACAGCACACAAGGTTCATTGTAAGTATCACAAATTCTAATGACACTCTTTCCTGCTGGGAGGCAGCACTTTCATCATGTAACATCCAGTCATCCTCTCAACATAGACATCTGCTGGGATTATTGGTGAGTTCTGTGTATGAGCAGATAATACATGATCTTGCTCAAACTAATCGTTCATACAGAAATGACACTATTTTTTCAAATGCTGGCCATGACCTAAGTGACTTAGATATTGAATCCTGGTCTCCACAAAAACTTAGCAAGGTAAGCTATCTCGCAGGCTGGGCATTACACAAGGTAAAAAAACATGTGACTATGAAAAGTGATGGTCAAGAAAGTGAAAAAATGAATGTTCTACAATCATGCACTGTCAGCCGCAATGCGCTGATGATGTCCACTAAGTATCAAAGACTTGATTACCAACAATTTATGGATCAAGGTGGATTAACCTATGTTACAGATGCTTTTTTTGAATTCATCTGTGCTATTGAACATTTATGTGAAATTATGTACACCCTTGATAACATGGCTGCCCTTGGAAGCAACTTCTTGAATGCTGTAAGGTCTGTTGTGCAGTCTAATGATAAAATTCAAGAGCTGTTTGCAGAAATATGTGAAACAGCAAAATCTATCCAAGGGGAGAGTGTTGGTATAACACACGAGGAACATCCATATTGTTCCAAGCAGTATGATGTGAATAACAATGAAATGGATCCAATGAGTACTATACCTCAGGTAGGTGAACATACATATTGTCAAGCATCTGATTCGTATACTACACCTCATGAAGAACCTAATGAGCAAAATGTTTCTGAAGAAATCATAACTGATGAATATCAAAATGAATATGAAATGGATCCAGGTACTGAGGTAAGCACTGTGTCATTTTACAATGTAGAGGATCCTGTACAAGCATGTAATGAAGAAGTGATTGTTACGAACAGAGTTACTAGTGTTCAACCAGTGTCATTTTACTCGTTGACACTTCAAGATGAAGCAGATGACTGTATTCAACTCTCTCATGAATGTATAATTGGAGATGATACTTATAGTACAAATAGGCCTATATTATCAAATGATGATGAGAGTTGTTCTGATGTTCTAAACAATACATTGAACAATTCATGTAAACAGTTATTCGAAGACCTAACCTCGAGATTCATGAATGCCCGTGAGAAAGAGGTAATAAAACAATTTTCTGCACTCACTGGCATAACTAAGACAGATGCTCTCCGGACTGAAGTAACCAAATCAAAATCAACATCTACACTTAGTAACATAAACTTTGATGTATTTGTCCAAGATGAGAGCCCGGGTAAGTCATTTACACACAATATTTTAAAAGCAATGTCTACAAATGATACTGGACTTGCTAAATTTGCCAAGGCTGGATTAAAGCTATTATATCTATGCTATAATGAGAAGCCACTTGTAGGAACCAATGAGAACATGAGTAAGTCCCTAGCTGATATTATATGCCACAATGAGGAAATTACACATCCTCATTTACTAACTTCAGAGAACTTGAATATTCTCAAAAGTAGGAATAATTTGGATTCACAGGACAATGCAAGCAGAAGGGTTGCTTCATCAGGTAGGGCAGTTAAATTTAAACCGACAGATGAACAAGTGGCCATTTTAATGGACCATCTTAATGCAAAAAACACTAACACAAATGCATGTGCCACTTTGGCTACACAATTTGAGGTTAAAACATCTCAGATCCAGACATGGTTTAGGTCCCGTGCCAAAAAGTCAGGTAGTATGACATAAACTGTCAGGTAACATCTGATTTATGTCACTGTGATTCAAAATAGTTTCAGTTAGGAAATTGTCTCATCATAAGGGATGCTGTAAAATTGTCAAGAGTTGTAATAGTTTGACTCCACTTCTATTCCATATATGTGATAACAGCATTTTGAAAGGTGGATTTGTCTATCACTTCTTTGACAATTGACTTCATCCCTTAACAACAACATTATATATGACATGAGCTGATTTGTGATTTTTTAGCAATTTTATTTAAAGCAAAACTTGTGCTGTCAACAGTGAAGCCTATCTTAGCTAACATCTATATCCCACTAGTAATCATGTGTGTCAGTGAATACCATTTCTTTTTCAGTAAAACCTATTTTATTAGCATGTGTTCACATTCTCAAGTTTTTTTAAACAATATGATAGTCAATGAAACATTAAAATATTAAAGCTGAGAAAAATGTTAACAGTTTTATATGTTCATATAAGACAGGTGTTAAAATATACAAGTTTTACTACTTTTGACAGTTTTAATCTCAATTTATATACATGTACATGTAGATGTAATCACCTTGAATGACAATGAAAATAGACAGGCTGACTGACACGGGGCTCCATTCAAACTAGCACAGTTGTGTGATGTTTGAATAATAATCACAGTTTTGTAGAAATGTATTGTAGCAACAGTAGAAATATTTAATTGGTAAGCTTGATCATTTGCATAAAATTTACCTTTTGTATCCATTTTCAATATCATAATATAATTTTGCTATACTGATGCTAAATGATACTGATCATTATCAACCTTCCAATAACTGTTTCATTTGTCATGTATATGTGCTCAAATCAATGCATTGTTTGCTTTTACTGTCTTATGATTTGCTAGTTTTGATTTGATCAATGGCAACACAAGTCAATGACAAAGAAAACACTCCAGTGAGGCTTATTAATTTGTAAGTATTCTCAAAGAACAATTTTGATAAATAAACATTGAAATCCGTCACCCTTTTCACAACCACCTATAATTTTTACTTTACCACCAATTGTTATATTGTGGTGATATTACACATATTATTAAAGTCTTATCTGTTGTTCCTCAGAACCACCTGTAATTAATGTGAACAAACTCACATCCAGGGCTAAGGAAGTGGGGGAGGGGTATAAAACAATGTACTGAGATGCATGCTGTACTTATGGTTTTGATAAGGACACTGAATTCACTATTATATATACTTTACAGGGTGTCCCGAAAGTATGGGCCCCCCAAGGCAGACATATTCCTCATAGTATGTGTCATATATCATTTTAAAGCTTATCCAAAAAAGTTACAGTCATTTTAAAAGTTCAATTTTACACCACATTATTAGTCAATGTCCCTTGGCCATGTTAACAGCAGCAATTATTTTCAGATATGACCTTAAAAGAACTTCAAATAGGGGTGTGGTATTTTATAACCCTCTTATAACCTGTTAAGTGACTTTAGAAGAGTGTCCTTAGAGTTTCTGCCCTCACCGTTCTCTTTTTCCAACTCAATATCCATTCGACCTGAAAAGATGGCCCGGGAGGACACATTGGCTAGTGATTTGGTGACCAAACACTAGATTTTGAAATGTTTGTAATTTTTTCACATTTGAGAGTTGAACCATGATACTCAGCGAATTAATGTAACTTTAGATAAGCTTTAAAATTATATATGATACATAATATGATGACACTGGTATATGTCTGCCTAGGAGGGGGGGGGGGCATACTTTCGGCACACCCTGTACATGTGGCAAAATATGAAAAAATACCTAATCATTTGCATTGTATCTCTAGGCTCCATGTTTTCAAATTTTGGAGACATACATGTAAGCAGAAGACAGAAGTATCTACATCTGCAAAGCTGATAATGGAATAGACAAAAAGTCAAGAAAGGTAAAAAAAATCTAGACAAAATTACATAAAATAATACAGAATAACACAGAATGTGCAGTTGAACTGTAGATCATTGTGAACACCTTTTTCATTCCATAATTAACATTTCCATGTTATAAACCTCCGAACTGTGAACACCTACGGATCAAATCTCTTTTGACCAATCTCTGTGTTATTTATTTAATCTGAATGGTTTTATTTGATTAAGATACATTAGTTTAATTCATATCTTAATATTGGAATTCCAAAAATTGATTGTAAAGAAGGAGCACACTTTGGAAGTGAGTCATTTAAGAGCAACTAATATTTTGGCGAAATAGAAGAAATTGCCAATTTGTATCTTTCGCCCAAATTTTACCAAGAACATTTTTTACTTGGACTTTGACCTGTGCATTAAGTCACTTCTAATTTTGACCGAATAATAAAACCTGTTTGTAACTTGTATATGAATTTGTGGTGTAAGAGCTCCAGGGTCTGGCAAATTAATTAGCTGCCATGTCAAGTAAGCCAATATGGAATATGGTAAAATTGCCAAATTAAGTCCAGCAAAATTAACTCAATCTACAGTATTAACTAAATAACTATGATATACAATTGTTTATCAAATTACATAACATTCATATCATGTGTCTTTGTTATTAATCCATATTGTCTTTTGTGATTTCAGGTCCACGCAATTTTAAGATGACAAGATAGTGTTCATCAGCCCCTGCTGTGACAATCTCAGAATATCTCACTCTCAGGTACAGTTTTAAGACGCATTTCCTCGCTTACACCTGTATTCTCCCATCTGTACAGCTGCATTGAGAGATGGACCTTAAAAATAAAAATGATCATTGGGTAGTGTTCATCTACATTTTGATATCATGTATATGTGTTTTATGTATATGTAAAACACATAGTCTATGAGGCTTTGTAGCAGTGCCTTAAAATTAAATATCAGATTTATTTATGAATTAATTACCATATCCTGCTACAGTTGGATTATTGTTTTGACCATTTGCTGCCCGGATTATACCAAACAGGTTCTCTAATCTGTCTTGATTAGTTTGTTTTGGGATGGCACCAGCTCCATTGTGTGTATCAATAATCATATGACAGTATCGTTTGAAGCCTAGCACATAGGACTGAAGGTCAAAGAAGGTCTTGTCTGGTAAGAATGCCTTTGCACGTTCTTTCGGTGTGTATTTCGTCAATCCCGCTGTTTTCTCTTTCCACATTGTAAACCATTGAAGAATTGCATCATTTTCTGCTAGCCGCACATCAGATTTAGTCCTGTGTGGATAACAAATCACAATGTAATGGTGACAGGGTATACAATAAATTAATATATCTCTGGTTAAATATTAGATTTGCAATGTGTATTTATATACTTACAAAATTGGAGATGGACTGAGAAAGTTCTTCAAGAGTAGGCTTGTCTGTTTAAGAAACTCAACCGTCATTTCTACCTCACTGGTAGACTTTGAGTAAAGCTGAAAAACATTTATCTTTCATGTACGTATACATAAGTGACAATAGACCAAAACCTATTACAAAAGACAGCTAAAGCATTTTAAAACACAATACGTCATAAGTAAACAAACTTATTTTTATATTACACTAACCTGCATGAGATACAGCATGTCTTTGTCCAAGACCTCATATGCTAAGTGGTTTCGCATTTTTTCTTTTGAGCTTGGATTGAAATGAGTGTCAGTTAGTCTTCTATTTGTTGCGATTGCTGTGGATGATTTGTCAAATGTGTATGCCTCTATCAAATAAAGGATTTAAAGCAATAGTTAAGTGCTCCATGTACTCAAAGATAAACATGGACAAAAAATTGGACATACAGTCATAGGAAAACATGTGGCTGAACTCCATGTTGTCTCATCAATTATTTATATGTGCCTCACCTATTGTTCGAATGTGGGAGTCAAGTGAGGGAGTAAAAATGTGTTTGTATACAGCTCATAGTCCCCTGATTTGAATTATCAGAAATAAAATGAATGAATAGTATTAGAAACCCGTAACTGAAACACATCTGTCTTTATTTATGTATTATACAGTTTATGTCTGTATCTGGAAATGATGAATTTATACAAACAAATCTGATGTGACTGTGACAATCATATTCACTTACCTTTAAAATGAGACCAAAGAATCATCTTCCCATCTATCTCATAACGCCTCGGGGAATTAGTCACATATGATTTGCTGACTCCATTTCTAATTTTCTTGAACAGATGCTACAATATTTGAAAAAGAAATGTTTAGCTTATTATTATAATACATAGGCCCGTAACCAGGATACTAGTATGCCAAAACTAGGGTTAATTTTTCAAAATTTTTGGGACTCGCATTTGACAAATTTGGCCCAAAAATGGCTAAAATCACTTGAAAGGTGCTCAAAATGTCAAAAACTCCATGACTTTGCCATCCTATGGCTAGGGCCTGATGCATAATAATGTATATGTAAGTATGAAAAGTCAGCAGACACAATGGATAATTAGAACAGAATATGAAGCATTGATTTGTGGAATCTACATGTTACACTGCACAACATATCATAGATAGAGCCCATACATATGTACAATAAATAGATATATAAATTATTTTTTTCTTTGGGATTAATGTTGAACTAACTGATGGGTCCATTATGAAAACAAAATCTTCGCCAGTGTAGAGATTCTTTGTAGTAAATTGGCATTCAATGACATCATCTTCATTTTTGAAATGAGCTTTGATGAAATCTCTGTTCGCCTGGCCTCCATCACATAGACTGCCTCTAGTAGAGAACCCATACTCTAGCAGTCCACTCACACAGTCCCAGTGATGTGTAAATAATGATTCAGGATCCACGTTTTTGGTTGGCCACCATGCTACTGGGTAGACAAATTTCTCTATCGAAAGAAACTTGAACTGAAGTATATGGGAGGCTGTTTCCAATATATCAGAACCTAAAAATGAATACAAGTGCATTTAATTCTCAAGTACATTTGTAAATAAGAAGTCCGTCTCTCTAAAATTGTTGCTGGGCATCAGTCTATCAACGTTACTTTGTGGACTTTTATATCAATGTAATCTGTCCCTGTTATTAAGAAAATAGTACCTTTCTGTAGATTTACCATGTCTTTATGAAACTGGCCCTGATCAACTAACCCACACAGTTGGTACTGACTGCCCTTTCTCACCATCTCCAAAGAACCCTAGAAGTTGTAAATTGAGCATGTCTTATTCACATTACAATTGTTTGTTGGGTAGGAATCTTTATTTTATTTTTAATAGAATTCTTGACTATTCATATTTTTCAGCATGGTTAAAATCACCTGGATCATCATTTCATCAAAGAGCAAGATGCCTGTATAACCATGTGGAGGGAGTTCCCGGGCCACAGCACTGGCCTTCATGTGTGCAAGAGTTCCTGAATTGACCCCTGGCTTCTGACGATTCCTGTTGGATATAAGACGGAGATGGCGACCAGAGGGGAGTGTCAAAAACCCACTGCCATGTATATCTGCATATGCACCTTTTGACCGATGCCATATTTGCAAGCAGAATTCTATCAACCTGCAATGAATAAAACATATGCCAAAATGAACCGAAGTTGGATTACAAATGTTTCATATATAATCTATGAATGTACAACGTGACACTTATCGGTCTAAGTAACCAGTGACCCACCTTAATGGAGATATAATGTATAACACAACATGTTGATTATTTCAATCAACCAAGGATTAACCAATCAACCAGTGACCCACCTTAATGGAGATATAATGTATAACACAACATGTTGATTATTTCAATCAACCAAGGATTAACCAATCAACCAGTGACCCACCTTAATGGAGGTGTAATGTATAACACAACATGTTGATTATTTCAATCAACCAAGGATTAACCAGTCAACCAGTAACCCACCTTAATGGAGATGTAATGTATAACACAACATGTTGATTATTTCAATCAACCAAGGATTAACCAATCAACCAGTGACCCACCTTAATGGAGATGTAATGTATAACACAACATGGTGATTATTCCAATCAACCAGAGATACTAGTATACCCGTATGCAGAAAATAGAATATAACATGTATAACATGACTGGAATCGTCAGATCTTTAGAAATAATGAACATAATTTACAACATAATTTTACATGTCAAGTGAATAGTTTCAATTGAACAAGAAGTAAATTTATCATAATTGATACACTGAGATTCATTTATTCAACTATTTTTGAGCCAGTTGAAAGTATCTTTGGCATTTATTTTTCCAGTAAACTAATTCATTGAATACTCCCTCTCCACCTTTGGTTTAACCATAAAATAACATCCTCTCCCTGTTTGCCTCATGGTATTCCTAATGATTTTTTTATTATCCTTTCTAATGAAAATAGTTTTGTGAAAAATAGAAGCCTTAAATATTTAAGTGGGCTCCTTACTGAGGCTCCCATTTGTTGTTTTTCTCATTTGTATGTAGAAGTTGTTGTTCTAACATTATTTGCTTCTTCTCATCATTTGGGTACAAACTGAAATATTGAAAAACAGTTAATTAAATACAGTGTGACTAAGTTTAGGAGTATTGACATATTGTACACTGTACAGTCTGACAGTGAAACCTCTATGTGAATATGACTGGTTCAATTTTGGGAGATCTTGAGAACAGCTGCTTGAGAATTGTTCCCACTGTTGTTGAATGGTTTTCACAGCAGTCAAAACCATTGTTTCTATGTTTGAAATTGAATAATAATTCTCTAGGAAATGGTGTCTGGAAAGTAGACTGGAAAGAGATGTGGTAGAAATGATTGGTCGAGGAGACTGCACATTTAAGGTTAGAGTATTGAATCCTGAACATAGAATTTGCTTCTATGTCAAATGAAGTAAATTGACCTTGAACAAGGTTTAAAACTAATGATTGGTTCAGGAAAATGGGCAATATATGATTGATATCCATTATTCATGTGAGTCAGTCCCATTGCTCAAGTGGTAGCTCTCCTGAGTGAAATCCCAATGTTGTGGATGTTTTGTGATTGTGCTTTTGTTCCAACCCTGGTGAAAGAACAGCAGCCCTTAACATGGCATTTGATTAAATTTTGGAGTCTCATATTAGAGAATGATTTAATTTCAAAGGTTTCACTGTAGACTGTCAACAATGTACAACATGTACTTTTGCAAGTTATATCATCTTACATGTTGAGATGCTTATTGGGGCAAACACATTTAATATGTTCTATTACTAAAACATTTGAAAAGTATAATTCTAAAATGAGGATGTTGAAACTAGAACAGTTCTCCTAGTTGAATCAAGGATTATGTTTTACTATTGTTCTGAGACAGTAACAGTTAGATTCACAAAAACCGAGCTATATTTATAATTCATGTTTACATCAAATAGTTTTCTTTGTACATTTTTGTGCTTTGACCCTTTTGTAGAAATATACAGTAAAACCTAGCACAAGGGAACACCTTTCGATCTTGTCAAAAGTGTTCCCTTGTTACAGGCTCCATTCTTTGGAATTTGCATAAAAAGAGTTCCACAAAAAAGTATTCCCTGTACATGTGTTCCCTTGTTAGAGGTGTTCCCTGAGACAGGTTTTATTGCAAGTGCAGGTTATTGTCATATAAGACCTCCTACTTGTTCTTTAGGTTTAGTATCTTATAAATACGTTAAATTATAAACAATAATACAAATAAAGTCTTTTTAACCAGATTGAGATATTGTATTCACTGTGTTAAAAAGCATGTAGTACTACATGTAATAGAGACATGAATATCTGTTGAAATCACATGTGAGGTTGAGTGAAAATGTGTACATTGTACTACTGTGTACAGATGCAACAGTGATATTTGTAATAATAGTACAAAAACTTCAAATTGCAATAGTGTTCACGCTCTCTTAGTTTAAATGAATGAGAGTATATTTCAACGGGGTCTTGTCACAGCATGTACTGTAGTTATGTGGGATAACTGCTACAGGTGACAGGGTCTTTCAGATATGTTGAACCTACTGATTTATGATGATCAAGTGAACCTGCTACATTGAACACTCTGTAAGTGGAACACATTACAAGTGGAAGAGTGTTTTTAAAATTCCATGTTCTATTTACTCCATGTTTATGAACCTCTGTAAGTAGAACACCTCGCAAGTGGAACACATTTCTGTGGTCCTATTCCTAAGGGTGTTCCACTTAAACAGGTTCTACTGTGTATAGAGTACACTTACTTGATGTCAGCATTCTGCGTCTTGATATGAGCAACAATAGAACGAAGATCTCTATGATCTGCATCAGAGAGTTCCACAAGTTTGTTTTTAAGGATTTTGTGTTTCTGTTTATGATATGTGGCGCTTCTTGTTGCAATTCTATGCTGCTGTTGCTTAATCTTGAGTAGTTTTAAATTGGTGTCATTGTCTCTCAAGGCACAATTTATAAATTTCTCATTAATGCCCTTTGGGTTTTTATCTCTTTTTCTTTTTCGTTTTAACTTGCAACGAAGTTTATTCTTTTCCTTTTCACATTCCTTGCATTTTTCTGTCCATCTTGCAGTAGGCGCCATAGTTTTGGAAACATAGTGACAATTATTACTTCTATATCGTGTGGAATCTATATACCCCTCTTGATTGTAGCATTCATGTGACAAGTTTGAAACATCATTTATAGAGTTTTCCTGAACAAAACCAGGACATATGTGCATCTTTTCTATGAATCTTAGAATAGATCTGATAAGAGCCTCAGTGTCCAGCTTTGCTGGGACACTTGAATTAGAAATAGATGATGTAACATTGTTTTGATGTATGTAGATTTTGTATGTTTTGTCATGATAAATGGTTAGTCTCTTATAAACAATTTCATTGTTAATTGTAATATCAGTTTTCATCTGGCAAGAAACACTTGGAGATTGTGATTTTAGCAATGTCCATTTACATGATTTAGGCTCTGTATCCAAGATTTTATTCAACATATGATGAATGTCACTGTGATCATCGTGAGAATCATTGGGAACATTGATTTCCTTTTCTAAACCTAAACCCTTGTAGTGCCGTCTAAATGTGTGTTAAGGAACAAGAACAAATGTTCAAACATGTAGTCAGTTGATAAAGCTATCTTGCATCAACACCCATGTCATGTATGTACTAACAAGGTGGTTGTTTAGTACTGGCCAGGGGATTCAGGGTCTTGATACAACACTACTTATTATCATGAAACATATTATAATGTATATCTTTATGAAAATAAATCTAGATTTGTGTTATGTTATAATCATTTTTTCAAAAGATACATAGCTGATCCACCTGAGTCTTTTCTCCGTGTGAAATATAAATTCTCTTCTCCAAATTGCTTGTTCAGGGCTTTTACTATCACCTTGTTATGTATAACAGTCCCATATGTCTCTGTTACTGCCTGCTGGATCTCATATAGAGTTATGTAACTTGATGGTCTTTGGACCACGAGTTGCTGTATCCTAAAAATAAGTCCCCAGTAAAGTTTATTTTGAACGAATAGGTATTTATTATAAATTAATTACACTCAGGCTACAGGCTTTACTAACTCCCCACAGGCTCTACTCCCTAGGTCTATATATTACACAATTGAATATTGACTATTGTAATTGAGGTGTGTAAGAATGGGAGGGATCTTTGGCCAAAGTAACATGAGTAATGCAATGTTAGATCTGTCTAATCTAAACATCCTTGATTCAGAGAAAATAGTTCAAAATAGGTGTTCACATTTAAGTTTTTTAACATTGGAGTCAATGGAACATTTAAAATTTGGTACCAAGAGGCAGGCCTGTAGCCAGGATTTGACAAGGGGGGGTTTAGTTTTCAAAAATTTCCAGGGGGGGGTTCACATTTGACAATTGGCCCAAATATGGCTAAAATCACTTGAACAGTGCTCAAAATGGTGAAAAACTGCATGATTTGAAAGAATTTTTGGCCAGGGGGGGGGGGCTCGTCTGAACCCTGCGAACCCCACCCCCCTGGCTACGGGCCTGAAGAGGTGTTCACACACATGTTTTACTGTACTGAATCTACAGTACACTGAAACCACTTCTATCCAGGGACTAATCAGGATCAATGGTAAGGGGCAGGGATTTGATGCAAGACTATCACCATCTAAATGTATGTCACTATGTGATTCATAAATTTACCATTAACACTTCCACCACACACACATTGAGACAAACACACCCAGCCTGGGACACTCAGTCTCCATGTTGACAAAAACAATACAAATTAGGTCAGAGAATGGTGTTCTTGGACTGATATAAAGTCTCTGCAGCATTTAACAAAGGTAAAACAGTACGCATTTATCAGCGTTTTATAAAAACACGGATTGTGTAGTGCAGTTTCCAATACAAAATCAATGGCACAATCAAAAAATCGGATCAATCGTCAATATCTCTCGTTTCACGGCTTATTTCGTGCAAATTTTTTTAAAAATACATGTCTTAGTAAAGGTTTTGCAATATGAGATCGCAACTGATTACCAATTATCCGGCAAAGGCCTCATTTTCAACGAAATGTCCTTAGGACAACAGCCCTGGGTCGCGCCTGAGACCAAAACTATTTCAAATATCCCTCCCCTTAATTATATTGGATAATCACATTTACGCGTGCGCGCGCAGCTCATCCACTGAACGAAACGCCACTTCCCGCTGAAATCACCGGGTATTGATCTTTCCCTTGGTTTGATATATTGAGCGCTTAGTCATTTTTATTTTGTTTATACATTAGGTTTATGAGATTGTATTCTGTAATTTATAGAGAAAGACCTGATTTTATTCGAGAAGTGAAACGAGAATCTGCGAGAGCAAAATAAATATGGCGCATGAAAATCTCGGAAGTAACATTTGTTGGGTTTTGCCGCAACCTATAGTTTAAATTAAGATTTCGAAATCAAACAATTTGAAAAAGGTAGGTGAGTACACATTCTACCAAACTAATCTTTATGAATATCTGGCTCACACTTTCTAGTGAGTAATTTATGTAGTTAGAATGACCTAATTTTTAGGTTTCTTTTTCCGTCCCGCACCGTCGACACAGACTTATGACAGGTTTCATTCTCTGATATCACTTGTTATAGATTTTAATTTTATGGCTTGGCATTAGCTGAAACTTTCACTGAAAACAGCTTAGATGTACTTATGGTGCCCATCATCTCATTTTATTGCCAACATGACACAGAAAGCCCATGTCTAGCATCAGGCTGTCCCAACTGTCTCGCAGTTTGCGTATTTGTCACGCATTTGCTGGAAAATTTGAAGTCACACCAGTTTTTTTTGCGTGACAGAATGTGTCATGCAAATACGCATTTTACCTGATTATTGTCAATATTCCTGTAGAAAACCTTTAAAAAAGTGATCGCCGATACAGCACAAAACTGAACGCCGAAAAAAACGAAAGCATTTCGTTTGGCATTTTGACGCGAATACCGTATATATGTCACGCATTTTCCTCAAAATATATCGTCCTACAAATTTGGACCAAGGTGTCCAAAATTTGAAGAAAGGTGTTCAATATTTGTAAGTCACTCACGTTAGAGTCCATTTCACTGCTTCATTTCGTCAGTAGAATGGCAAAAATAAGAAATCGGGAGACCATTCTGCAATAATATATGGAAAAGTATATTCATAATGTACATGAATGACATTTGTATATCTTGGATTGCTTCTAGTTTGGCTTATAAAGTGTGTGGCCTCTTATATTTGGATGTTTCTCTGCCATGTTATTTTCAATAAGATTAACATGGCTGAAATTCTTCATATTACAAGACGGCACAGGCTTATTGCACAAAAAAATAAAAAATCTGAAATATACATATGTCATTCATGTACATTATGAATATACTTTTCCATATATTATTGCACAATGGTCTCCCAATTTCTTATTTTTGCCGTTCTACTGACGAAATGAAGCAGTGAAATGGACTCTAGGTGTTCCCAAGTTGACAAGCCTGCTACATGTTATCCCGTGCCAGGACTATAGTCCTGTAACAAGCGCATTATTTTGCCTGTACGATTACAACTTGGGAGAATTATCTACGCCCCTTACACTTAAGATACCTACTTCAATCATAGGAGACAGGTTACCTGAAAAGGAAGATAGATATCATATCTCTTATCTAAACAAGGACTGTCAGTGAGGCAAGCCTACCCTGGCTGAAATCAGCTCTGAAATAACAATTACTGCATGTCAAGCCGTCATTCAATGCTGATTTTGTAGAAAACAGATCTGTCCATCCTTCTACATGTGAGTTTTTCCCATAAAGATGCTTGATTAAGTAGAAATTCATCAAATTATACCCCTAGAATATCAAATTACAACTGTACATCAATTGCGTGAGGAAAATAAACAAATCCATTTTTTACCTACTATTCACAAACCCTTCTTCTTCTTCTTGGAAAAGTTGTCCCTCATTTGACTAGCAGCAAATGTGTATGTTTATGCAGCAATATATGTTAGTTTAGAAAATGATTAATTACAATCTTACCTGTACTTCACAGAAACATCCTAAGTATGAAAATATTTCACTAAAATACATGCTTCCATTTTGTCACATGTTCATAAAAATTTAAATATTGACCATGTGATGTTGACAGGGAGTGTAAACGCACCTAGCGTATTTTTGTAGAGTATACAGGAAATGTGTTATGATATTTATTAAGAAATTAGATATGGTAATCACTGTATTGAGCCCCAACCCACTTCACAAAGTTCATGAAGTACCAATGAAAGACCAAATATTAAAGAATAAATTAGAAAAATTTGAATTTCCAAAAAATCAAGTGGGCGATAATAGAGTCTCTGAAACATGGCAAAAGTGACATATTTTGTAATTTTCAATGCATACTCCCGATAAATATCTATTATTGTGTGCTTTTCACACCATATCAAACTAATATTATCTAAAAATAATCCATTTTTCAAAATTTTTAAGTCAAATTTTTCCTTCATTAACTTATTATATACATTATTTTTAGATAATATTGGGTATATTGGCAGAATGGGAACATTTTTCTTTTTCATCGAGAGATATTCCATCACTTTACAAGATGGCGGTTGGATTTAAAAGGGGATTCCCCGTTTGACTGACCCAGAAGTAGCCCGGATAACCAATAAATGGAAGAATTTGACTGTTGAAATAAGTTAAATATTACATGCAAATATTGCAATCAAAAACGAAAATTTCTTTGTTCTGCCGATAAACCCAGACAATTGTAGATTCAACTACACGAAAAGAATGCTAAAATACCAAGGAATCTACTGAAATAGGTATCTTAAGTGGAAGAAGCGTAGAAAATTCTCCCATGTTGTAATCGTACAGGCAAAAGAATAAGACGTTCGCAGGACTATAGTCCTGGTACGGGATAAGCTACATGAACATGCGTGTGTACGCACATATGCACATGGACGAAAGAGTAGTCCTAGATCTCTCTACAAAATCCTTTTGAAATAGGCTACTTTTGCGGAACATGTAGGTCTTGAATATTATAGAGGTGTTCATCATCTTAGTTATCAGTGTAAACTCAAGTACAGTATAGTAGGCAAAGGGTTGTAATGTTGACTTATGGGGTAATGTCATATTGAGAAATGACGTAACTTCTACACTTACTTGTTTGAAGTTTTCCGCCATGTTTGATTTCAAAAGAAATAAAAAACGTGTGAAGAAAAACATGGCTTCCCTCTAGATTTGAGATTAGAGCAAATAAACAAGGTGTCAAAGTTACCCCATATGTCAAGTTGTATGATCAATGTATATGAATATACTGAATCTAAAAACTGACAGGAACTAAAACTGAGATGAGATGACTTTGCGCCAATACAATCTTCAACTCATCAATGGTCCTGGAATCACAGGTCATCATATACTGATCTCAGTCTCAATGTCATTCTTCAACTCATCAATGGTCCTGGTGTGGTCATCATTAGAGGTGTAACTCCCAAGTCAGTAACTCGAGTACAGCTCGTCAGAGCTGCCTATACATTGCCTCGAGTTGTCCTCTAGAAACTCGCAATCTATTTCAACTCGCGAGCTAGCTATAACTTGAGTCAACTCGCGAGTTTTGCCTATCTTGTAATGTAAAATGAATTCGGGTCCCAGAGATCGTGCAACATTACTTCATTAGTGGAATAAATATACCAACGACCGCCATATTTAGCGACGTCACCTTAAAAACACTCTCAAAGCTTCACAAAGTTCAACAAATATCGTGGAATGACGAGTTACACCAAAAATATCAGAAAAAGATCGACTATCGAAGGAACTCAAGCGGGCGATAATAGAGAAGTCACTAAAATTGAATAAAAATGGTCCCCTTATTCTCACGTCGTTTACACGACTTTTACATAAAAAATATGATCTATCATTAAATTAAGATCATAAGTCTTAACTTTAGATCGATAACCAGCAGTCTTTAGTATAAATAAGAAGATAATCCGGGAAAACCATTCATTAATTTGAGGGGCCCTTCTGGGTTTTCTAAAATATTGTTTGGTTAGATTCTAGCAATCTCTCGTCCTTACTGTATGCTGCGATGTCTATACCAGATCGTTTTTGATTGAAATATGAGATAACTGCAATGAATACCACACTTTCATATGGACCCAACGTGTTAAACAGCTTTTAGATGTGACTAAACCAGAGAAACTTGTCGCTAGAAGCTGCAGTAATTTTGTATATCCGGGTTTACAACATGTACTGGACGAAATGAATGAACTCGAGTTTTACTCGAGTTTTGGAAATATTTGGCAAGTTGAACTCGAGTTGGATTTTTCTCGCGAGTTACACCTCTAGTCATCATATACTGATCTTAGAGATATTACCAAGAACAGAAATATTCACATATGGACAGGAAATGGTCCCTGGATTGAGCACATTCTCCATTTTTAGACACTTAGGGTAAATGATTGAGGATATCTCAGTGACTATTAATCAGAGAAACCTGAAAATAAATAGGATAAAATCTGTTTCTATATATCAGATAAATATCGAAAATCTGAATGGCTTTGATTTTTTGATTTTCTTTTGAAAAGTTTCATGAACTTTATTTACCAGGACTGGGAACTGCGGATTCAATATCAACGCAGACACGACAAAGCGACAAATTAATCTTCTTGTGTGCTCTCGCTACTGGTTTACGAACAACATCGATATTTTAATAGTAGGGGGTCAAAATCGCGGATCTGGTTTTCGAAGAGAATCTGAATCTTTATAAGCCATGATTCATTTACACATTACTTAGTGTAACCAAGTTAAAATGGTCTGAAGTTCAGTGACGTCACTATAATCCCCGTGCAGTCGAAATGTTGAGACATGCGCAGACCTCTATTTAGCGATATTTTCATTTCAAATATGGCGGCCAATCCGATGTCTGACGACCCTTACAAAGAATCTAGGCAGTGTGCATTTTTACTTCCTGTGAAATAACAAGTGGCATTTAGTAGTTGTTTTGTGTTTTATTATCATTCTGCATCGTAATTCTATGTGATGTGGTGTTGAAATGTCAGCAGAAATACACATCCATACGATAATCGAGTGAATCAGATAACAGATTTTTCGAAAACCCGTCTCGTGCTAAGCGTGTAAAAACTTGTATTAACATGCTCAAAAGTGTCAATGTGCACATCAATATCAAGCTAAATCAATGTTGTGTCGAAAACAGGTACCCGATCTACTCAAAACAGCTTGTCATTCACGTATACACACTTCGCAAACACGGCGAAATGATCTGAATCTTGGAATTTCGTTGGAGAGCTAGTAATGTTTGCTCCGGTCTTCGTCATAAGTGTTTATCAGACTTCACGCATGCTCAGGAGAAAAACCATCAACCAATAACGTTTATAAATCAATTTTGCGCATGCGCCTTACAACGGTAAAGAAATTCGTATTTATAAACGAACCAATTTGAGATAACCCGGTATCAGTCGGAGAAATCTGACGATCTACGAAACTCACTTCAAAAAATCAAATGCGGACTGACGGCGTATTCTACTATGTTCGGATCTAAGATTTTCAGTATAGATAAAGTCTTTTATGATCTTTCGAATGAGGTAAGTCTCTAGTTCGAAAGACAATCGTATCAACTTGAACAAAAGTTGAGTTTTGACGAAATGCGCAGAAGTCCCATTTTCGTTATACCATATTGACTGCGTGTTCATGGCAGATTATTTTTAATATTGGCCAATTTAAAGATTGAAATGAACAATGAACAAATGTTAGAATAAAACTGTTGACCTTGTATATACTTTGTTAAAACACAGAGCAGATCAAGTTATATTACACATTTTGGGCTGCATGTATTTAAAATAATAAGTCATATGTAGAAACTCTAAAGAAAACATCTAATGGACTTCAAAGTTTACTCTGAAATACTTGAAAGATCAATTAAAATTACATTAGTGATCAACAAAACTGTCTATACTTCAAATGCAAATCAGGCTGCAGGCCTTTGTGGAATGGTTTCATTGCAATGTATGTATTGTCAGCTAAACTTTACAATTCCTCCACAAAAAATATTTCATATTTTTCTGTTTTACTTGTACCATGTTTTTAACAGCACGTTGTGCCTCATTTTTCAAAATCCCATGCAGGTTTCTTAATTCATGGTTCATATCTGATTTCATTAAAAAGCTTAAAGTAGAACACATTGATTGTATTTGTTATTTTATACACAGGCTGTTCTGTTGTCATGGCTATTGGTCACAAATTACTCATCTCAAGAATGAGTGCTTTACACATTCTATGGACTGTGTCAAACAGTTTAAAGGGATGACATATTTTGAGAAAATTCTTGGCTCATTTACCAACCCTACAGTTGGCAACCTCACATTTTCTTCAAAAACAACTAAAATATTATTGTAATTTTGGCATTGTAGATAATCCTTGGATGATATTTTAGAGATAATTCAAAATCAAAAAAGTTTAAGCTGTGTAGTTTTTAGTCTTCTGGTAAAATTTGCAATCCTAAATATTTTAGAGAATCTCATACAGGAACTTTTTACGATAGTTTACTTATTTCGTATATCTTAAAAGGAATAATAATTTATATTCTTTAAAATAAAATATTATAATTCAAATTCTCCCATTACATTTTCCCCAATTATATACATGTACAGTAAAACCTGTATATCCCAACACCTTTCTAATCTGAACTCCCCACAATATGAACACTTTTCACTACCATAGACTTTCATTTAAAAAAACTCAAAATGTGAAGACCTCCCAAACTGAACACTTTTGGCCATTCCCAGTAGCACTCAGTTTAGACAGGTTTTACTGTAGTGTATTCATGACCATTTGTTCAATTTTGTTATGGGAGTTTGACTTTAATATGTGAAGCTTCTTTAATATTTATATGATGGTCCCTATAAATGAGGCTCTATCTCATGCTTATTGTCCAATAATTTTGACAATTCCTTTTGTTCATATTCAAATTAAACAGTGCAGTTAGTGTGCCATCATAATAAACCATGACATCTCAGTCATTGTCATTTCCTTTTAGAACAGAAAGATGTAATGAGTATCAGAATGTTAATGTACCAATAACTCAAATAAATTGTTGACAGAATTGTCTATTTCTTCAAATCGTTGTCATAAAACTGGGATTCAATTGCTAACAATACAACCTCACACATGCAATGTGTACTTGAAAACATTACAAATCTAGATATAGGTCTATAACATGGAATTAAGTTCTCAGTAAAATGTATGTTGACTTCCTTAGGGGTAAAACGGATCAGGATAAGTTTTTACATTATTTTTGCTGTGCTTGCAGTTGGGATAGGATCGTGAAAATGCCTAAATTAAAGGGGGATCCAACTATCTACCCTCCACCCACGATAAAGGGTCCTAACTACCAGGTGGTCAGTCATGGTAAGTAACAATATAATATTCACTTTTAACAGTGTGTAATTGTTTTACAAACATGAAATTAACGGGTCTAGGTATTTAGTGTATCATCATTCACTATTTCTAGGGAGTTTCTCCTGGGATGCATACCTGAAAGACACTGGAGAGATCCCAGCGCCACAGTCCTGTTTTAAACAGGTATGAAATATACTATTTTGCCAGAATCTAAAAATATAAGATACGCATAATAACAATAAAGTTTACACAAATTTAATACTGTAATTCTACTTGGTGCTACTTATTTTTTGCGGATTTTCTGTTTTGAACATTTGGCAGCTTCTTAATATGGCGGACTTGCAATATTGAAATTTATTGTATGATCTGTAAAATGAAGCCTTCTGATTGGTCAGTTCTTGTGCTGTACCAATCTGTGTTGCACTTCAAATCATTCTATAACGTTTTTATCTTATGATCCTCTGTATTGCTACTGAGAATGTCCCCTCCGTACCAATATTTTCTGTATTGCGATGGAGATGATCAATGGGGACAATCTCAGTAGCAATACAGATCGGTCCAGCACAAGAACTGACCAATCAGAAGGCTTGACTTTTGCAGATCATACAATAAAAAACCTTCTCTAATGATTCTATTTTCAAAACTATGCGTGAGGGTTCATTCAAAGTCATCTATTGAGCCTTGAAAAGCCACCAGGATTGAAAGAGGTTCACAACAACTTTCAGCTCATCTTTATTCATATGAACCGGAAGTGAATTTTCGAATTCACTTCCAGTTTTATAATCGATGATTTTATTGACCAAAACAATATTTTTATGAATTTGTCTGTTATCCGCTTAAATATGGTATGTATACTGGTGTTGATTGTTAAATTACAAAATAGGTTGGATAAAGAATATGTCAAAGTCATTTGATCTCGTCCTAGAAGCGTTATGTAATATGTTGTTATTCCTATCGCTCAGAATTCCTTTAAAAGCGCCGCCAAATTAAGTACAAAATTCTTCTTTACAAAACTATATAAATATTGTAAAATTGTTTATTGTGTAAAATCTAAAATAGAAATCAGGGAAAACAAGGATTTGGGGAGTAATTCCAAATCAAACCTCAGTTCAGGGTCCTTGATTGTTGATTATTAGTTAAGGCTAACCCACTTTAGTTTGGTTCTGTTCAATTATGTCACATGGGTAGTTCTGCTATATCAGTTTACATATCAGCTAGATTACTTTCTTTTTAAATGTGACAGTTCCTAAAACAAAACTGCTCTAAGGTTCAATTGCAACTCTTACTTCATTGTCATAGGAAACAGTCCATCATTTTAGACATTAATCTCTACATCAATGCATTTGAGCTATATTAAGGAATATTTTGAATTAAAAATGGATGAGCAACCCCTTTATAAAATGAAGCATGATAACAAATACAAAAAAATATGAATAATGAATAATTTAATCTGAATGATGAGACCAAAACAATAGCTAGCAATTTAGAAATATTTATATAGCAAATCCCCAGTAGGATGATAATGTATCACTATACATAAGATATTTTTGATTAATCTCAGTTATAAAGCATCGTTTAATAACAAAAAAGTTTAATCAAAAGAACATTCACAGAGAATGAAATCTAGAGATCAAATTTCATCCCAGGGATGAGGTCACAAGTATCATTGACTAAACCATCTACTATCAATATGTTCCCATACCAACAATAACATTGCATGCAAAACCATACCAAATTGCCTTAAACCCATACTACCACTTGTCATAGCTAGGCAAGGTGTGTCCCATTCCAGCCGATTCGAACACAGTATTTCATACAAGTGCTCTACATTATATAACCAATACCTCACCTGAGGTCTTTCGTTGAATGATTGTCAAGGTGACAACTTGACTCTACAGATTGAAATTGATGCTTTGCCAACATGACCTTTGCAAAAAGTTTCATAAAAAATATGTTCTTTTAGTGATTTCATATCTTTTTGTTGATTTTGTAGAAATTATTTTGCAATGTGTGAAAAGAATTTAAGCCCAAGACTTGATGCATTGTTGCTGATTTATTATCCCATCGAACGAAGTTCGGAGGGATATAGGGAAAGCCTCCGTCCGTCCGTCTGTCCGTCCGGGCAATAACTCAAATACCGTTGGCCCGATTTTGTTCATATTTTGTACACATATACCCTATGGGGGTAGAAGTTCTGCTCGAAAGCTGATTTTCAAAATGGCCACTCATTTCAAAATGGCGGCCATTTTAGTGCCAAATTTACAGTAATTTAGGTGCAATATGTAAAACTGTAATAGCAATATGTTTTAGATGTAAAAAATTATATAGGACATTAATAAAGCTAGAAATGTAGATATTAAAGAAGCACATGGCAGCCATCTTGAAAAATGGCGGCCTTTACTCGTTATTTTACGATTTTTGCTGTAACTCGAAAAGTAGTGGAGCGATTTTTTCATATTTGGTATGTGAATACTATAAACATTGCACACTGTCTAAAGACACTTTTGGTAGAAGTGAAAAATGGCCACCATTTTGAAAAATGGCCACCATTTTAACGTATTTTACTATAACTTGAAAAGTAGTGCAGCGATTTTGTTCATATTTGGTATGTGAATACTATAAGCATGACACACTGTCCTATGACACTTTTGGTAGAAGGCAGCCATTTTGAATAATGGCCGCCATTTTAACGTATTTTACTATAACTCGAAAAGTAGTAAAGCGATTTTGTTCATATTTGGTATGTGAATACTGTAAGCATGGCACACTGTCTAATGACACTTTTGCTATAAAGCGGCCATTTTAACGTATTTTACTATAACTTGAAAAGTAGTGGAGCGATTTTGTTTATATTTGGTATGTAAATACTATAAGCATGGCACACTGTCTAATTGCACTTTTGGTAGAAGGTTTTGAAAAATGGCTGCCGTTTTTGCTATATACTTTGTTTGTAAAAATGCCATCCATGGCTGTTCGATGGGATTCAATACGCTTTGGCGTTGCCGTTGTTCTGGTTCCACTCTGACATTACTTCCTTAACTTCACATTCCATGCTACACATCTCGTGCAAAGGTTGAAATAATTCCTTTTTGAAGAATGGTTCAGTCTTGAGCGCAGGGCTTGGATCCTTCAATATTAAAAAAGGGTCACTACAATGCCAACTCACAAAGTCTCATTAAGTAAAGCCCTCTATTTGACCAAGAAAATATCTAGCTTTAATATGGGTAAAGATGGAGGGAGAAAACTAATACAATTACTATATTTATTAAGGCACTTGTCCCACCAAAATGTGAGTTCAAACCAGGAATGAAACTTGAGGCATCAGATCCCAGAAACCTGACATCAACATGTATCGCTACAGTTATCGGCAATCTCGGGCCAAGGTTACGACTTCGCTTAGATGGAAGTGATAACAAAAATGACTTCTGGAGATTGGTCGATTGTGATTCTCTTCAGCCAATTGGATCATGCGAGAAAAAGGGAGGACTTCTTCAACCTCCTTTGGGTAGGTTATTCATGAAAATTTTGAAATAAGATACATCATTATGCCATCCAGTTTGCAAAATTTTGATACATGTATGGTATGTGTCTATTGAATTAAATATAACAATTGTAAAATAGTAAATTTTTGATTCTGTTTAATGAAACAATATTGATCAGATCAGGGAAAGAAACTATAGTAAAATCTATCTGAACACCTCTCTATCCGGAACACATCTCAGTGTTCACTTTTTGGTAGCCCCAGCGGTGTTCAGAGTACACATAGTAGGTTTTACTGTGAACAGATTTTACTTAGTACTAATTAAGTAAATTATTATATAAAACAGTGTTCGTTTTATGTACAGTAATTGATATTATCATAGATTTCAACTTTCTCTAGGCTTTAGGATGAACGTGTCATCATGGCCAACATTTTTGATTCGAACACTAGAGGGCGCCATGCTTGCTGGCCCCAATTGTTTTTACACTGTAAGTGATATTAAGCAAATGGCTGGAGTTGTATTCTGTGTTATGTTTTTCCCAGAGTATTATTACTACTATGCAATCATTTTGCTCTCAGTCATCGTTATTTGGTGAAAAGGAGAAATTATTTTAAAATAGTAAAATAATTTACTAAGAGGAATGCTATGTTGTTACTTATATTTTATATGAACTTTGAATATGCACTAGATAAAATACCTTTTGTATGTATGTTTGTGTATAAAATGTGTTTTAAAAAAAGTCATGTGAAATGGCCAATATGTAAACTGGTTGCATAAGTAAGTTTGTTTCTATTTACATTATTTTCACCCTGTGACATGGTGGTGTGAAATGTTTGATTGAACAGTAAAACCTGTCTGCATTGAAGATTGAAAACACTTCATGTTATGTCATAATTGTCATAGTGAAGATGCAGTTTTACCTAGCATTAGACATTTTTGCATGTTTTCAACATTTTTACTTTGAGGAAGTAATTTTGGATTTATCACAGACAGGTTTTACTTGATGATTTATCAAATTGTTTGTTGTTAATATTGAAGTAATAAGAGTTGTTGTTTTGTGTTTGTTACGTCTAGGATTTTGCAAGAATCCATCCTATTGGCCAATGTTTTTACAAAAAACATTAAACGGAGCGGCTATTGCACCAGACTGTGCATTCATAACAGTAAGTCCACTGACCTCACTTACTTACGTTTTTACTTTTCTGTAGGCCTTATATATCTATTGTGTCTTTATTGATGTCAACTCGATCATCCAAAAACTCTCCAGTATAACCTATTTTTCACCCTTTTTATTTAGGAATTTTGTTGGTTAATTCAATTTTAACAATCCTGGTTATATTTCAAAAGTATGCTAAATAAAATGAGTAATTAACCTAAAGGACATTACTTATGTGCAGCTCAGAATCGTTTGGAGGGTTATTTACGGTTAAATTGACCAGAAACCAACTAAGGGAAAATCGAGAAAGTCATTAGTGGCACAGTGCACACCCGTTGCCACGCCCATAGCCCTGTTTATTTAATTAACTCACTATTTGAGTGTTGATTTGTGTAGTGTGTTAATCATACATTCTTTCAATAAATGATCGTGATTATATATCTATAAGGTTTTGTGTATGTTGTTTTAATAGGATTTAAGAACTTAAATGTACTTGAAAACAATATTTTATGTGTAGTTATTGATGTTGTTTGGTGAAGTTTGCTACTATGAACCTAGTTTGAAAATACATATTGATTTCAAAATTCTAATATTCTGTGACTTTCCTCTATTTTAAGTCATTGTAAAACTGACATATAATATTATATTAGTCTTTAGAGCAGTCATTAGAGCATATTGAGGTATATCAAATAAATTCTGACATTATACAACTAGCATCAGAGAAATGAAAAGTAAATCTGTAAGTGGAACACCTCTTTGCTGAATTGAAACACTTTTCCAAGCTCTGTTTCCATCCTTCTTCAAAGAACTTCATTTATGCTTAAAATACCCTTATATACCCTTGTAGCAAGGATGTCTATTACCTATTTACTGAAAATAATATGAATCTCCATAGTCTGTATTTGAACACTATTTGAGGTCCCAAAGCACAAATGTGTTCCACTTAGTACTTACACTGGTTTTAGAATGTTTTGATATGCTAGAATGGGATGCATGTTCTTAGGAACATATGAGTTCTTCTTAACATGATCATGTCACTATATCTGCCTTTTAGTGATCGAAAATTATTTATGAAATTTTATTTTCAAAAACCAATAGATAATTGTAAAAAATGATAGCATGTCTTACTGATTATGATTATAGAATGTTCATGTCTCTATCACCTGGAGTATATTCATGTTTACGAATTTTGGACTTCAATTAATTCTAATAAATTAACTCTTTCATTTCTGTAGGAACCTCCCACTCCACCTAAAAATGAATTTAAGCTTGGGATGAAATTAGAAGCAGTGGATCGGAAAAATCCTCAACTGATATGTCCTGCAACAGTGGGTTCCGTCAATGGGGACCAGATTCATGTGACATTTGATGGGTGGAGAGGAGCCTTCGATTATTGGTGCCGATATGACAGTCGGGAGATTTTCCCTGTGAATTGGTGCGCACTAAGTGGTCATCCATTGCAACCACCTGGTCAAAAAGGTCAGTTACGAAATTCAGATTTTATTTTGCTCTTGTGAAAAAAAGATTTTGAGACTTTAGTTACTCAGTAATATAAAAACAGGTTCTTATGTATGTGCTAACAATTTAATAAAATCTGTATATCCAAATACTGAACACCTCTCAGTACGAACACTTTGTCTCAGTCAAAATTGAAGAATTTCCCATTATCTCCTATATTGATTCAACCTTCAAATGTGAACCCTTGCTCATCTAAATACTTTTGGCCAGTCCTAGTTGCATTACATGCATATAAGATTGGTTTTACTGTATCAACCTTCAGGTGTCTCTCAACACAAGCAGAACAAACAGGGAAAGCACCAAAGTCTGACACCTTCCGAACGATCCAAGCCACCCAGCATTAACATCTCCACACCAGGATATAAGCTAGGCCTTGGGGAGTCAAGTCCAAGTGTCTGCTCCACCTTACCTGGAGAAATAAGTCCAGGAGCATTATCACACTCCAGTGTCAAAACCCCCAGTGTAGCCTCTTCAGGTAAGAACGCTAGTGTCCAAGCCCCCTTTTTAGACTCTTCAGATAACTCTAGTGTCAATACCTTCAGGTAATAACTTAGTGTCAAAAACAAGTAATTTTTGTATATAATTTTCTACTCTTATAGTTTGTTTCATTATTTCTTTTTTATTATTTTTTCCGATTTCGTTGTTCAATATTTATTTCTGAAGATCCAGGAATTCAATTTTTCAGGTGCTAAAAGCCCTAATGATTTGTCAAAGTTGGAGTTAACGGGCATAGATGGCAATGCAGCAGAGGGCACCACCGTGCAATATTCGCCCCATGTTACAAGTGCAGAGCCTGACACCAGTTTCCACCCGTCTTCAACAGGTAATTGGCCCTTAAAAGTTAATGGTTGTTTCCTAATGAAGGATTGCATAGGTTCTTTTCAGTGTGTTCTTTTCAAAAATGATTCTCATTCCACAGAGAATTTACATATGGGGTCTAAATATACCGTATCATTATTTCCTCCTTCACTTCTTTCTGACAATCAAAGATTTTAGTTTTGATACTGATAATAGCTTTACAGTTTTGTATATGATTGCTGATTCAGATTGTATCAAAACGTTCACTTCAAAGGATTTTTAACCATTTTTTAAGACATGCAGAATATGTGTATTACCATATTAAGCCATACTATGCTACAATAAACATGTTATGAAGATGACTTATGTTTCCAGTGTGTGTCTATGTGAGCACATCATGTAAACCGGGGCCATACATATACCACAAAGTGAATCAGATGCCATCGCAGTTTGGTCCAAGTTCATTGTCCCGCGTTTTACGGGAACTGGTCCAGACGTGTATTGACTGTGCCAGGGAACAGATAAACGTATTTGAGCTTGTCACTCAAGGAAATGGAAAAACCATTATAACAAGTAAGTTACAAGTATGTGTGCTAGATACGTTGCAATAACTGCACCTCCTTTGTCTTGAACTTTCAAAAGAATCTCACTCAAATGACAGATAAGATTGGGTCTGGTAAACCAGAATGTACTAGATAAGTTTGTTAAGGCATGTCTGGTGAGATAGAATGAGTTATTTGACTTAATAAACTTAAATTTGTCCATGAAATTTATGTCAAGCATCGATGTAAAAATTACACTTCCTGGCCTACCTTAAAGTAGCAGTGTTTCCCAGTATACAGCAAAACCTGTGTAAGTGGGAAATCTTATGGAGTTATTCCTATTACAAATGTGTTCCACTCTACAGGTTTTACTGTATATTTGATTAATTTGACAATTACAAAGTGATGCTTTTTCATTATGCAAGGGGTAATCCATATATTCTGATGAAGAATGTATACATTTAATGTTTAACATGTTAAGGTGTTCAATGTAAAAAAAGTACATAATATAATTAATGTAGGCCAAAAAAGTTTATGTCATGCCTTTCAGTGGAACATGAGGGTGCTGTACACAGTCGTAAACTGCCATCTATTGAGAAAGTCTCAGCGTTTTGGAGTTTCATCGAGGATTTTTCCGAGAAACTTCAATGTTGTGAGAACTACTTCTCTAGTCACCAAATTGAAGGCGGCTGTTCAAAATGTGCAAAAATGGCAACCAACAAATCTCAAACCAATAGTAAAGGTAGGTTGAAGTGTAATCAATAATGATGCTAAAATTTTGAGATTGTTCTATTTATAAAGAATTAGTATTTCAATTTGTTCATTCCATTCATTACTCAAATTATAGTATACTAGCCTATAGGAAGGAATACTAACTGACTAATATCCCTTTAAATATTCAGTAGGAATGTATGTTGGACATATTTTAATTACGTGCCCTTTAGCTCTTGAATTCGCGCTAAACACCCAGACGAGAATATAGCGGAAATTAGGGCACCTTGAATATTTGGGCTTTTACAGTGTGCCTACATGTAATGTTGGATTTACAGCCAAGCCTTGCATTGCCTTTTTCACCTTATATGGTCTCTTGATATTTTTAGAGTTGGGGATGGGTGCGTATTATATTGACTACAGTGTATAATAATATTTTGCAATATTTCACTAGGAGTGACGACAACTCCTAAGAGACAGTGGTCCATGGAAGCCTCAGAAAAGAATCCTCTCAAAGCAAAAGTTCGTAGAACATCAGCTGTTGATGACAGTGACATCCCAAAGAAGAGAAAACTCTCTCAGGTACCTAACTTAGTATTATATGTTTTGGATGATGATATTCAGTGCGGGGGATCAAGAAATGGCTTTTGTTGATGAAACTTTTTTGCTGGAAAAAACATTTAGTGTTCGTAGGTGTTCAGTACAAGGAGTGTAATTTATACAGAAGTCAGTAGTCAGTATAGAATGTGTGGAGGAAGGGTGTTCACTAGAAACAGGTGTTCACTAGAGACAGTTGTTCATTAAAACAGGTTTTACCTGTACTCTAAATGGAAAATTGATCTATTGCTTTATATTTCAGTCTGATCATCCTGACAAGAAGCCATACAAACAGAGACACCAATCGGGAGACTCCCCACAGGGGCTTCTTACAACTATCAAGATTCCAGCACATTCTCAATTCTCATCTATGACAAAACTCAAACCAAAAACCCCTGTTAAATCAACAGCCTTTACTGCAGAAGGTGAGCATGAGAAATATACACTGTGCAACTAGTGAACAAAATGTATGTTGGTGAACAAAATGATCACCAGCAAGAAAACCATTGGAATTTTGTCAAGCTAGGAACTGAACCGCCTTGTTTAAAAATAAGCTCAAGTTTGAGCACTCTTTCGAGTTTGTATGCATACTTATATTAAGTGAAGAGAATGACAGGTGCCAGCAATTCAGATGGCTTTATTCACCAATATATCTATGTTCTGATGTCTATATTAATACTTATCCCATGATTATTGTGTTATCTGTGCAATAACAGCCAGTGATGTTTCTGATATTATGGAAATCCGTGTGATATTTTTCAGAAAATCAAGTCACATATCAGCCCCACACGCAGCTGATACCATTTATCAGCCGAAATCTGTGTGATAAAGGATTGGAATTTTAGGAATTTTTGGGGAATTTCTTTATGTAATCATGGGATAAACCAAATATCAGATCACTTTGAGTTATGTTAATCCCTTAATGACTCAATTCCTGTTGTACTAGCTCTTAAAACTCAGGCCTCATTTTATTTTAAACTGCAAACATGTGTCTTAAACAACCATGAATAGTTATATTACTATGCAATATGCATCAAATATTAGAAAAAAGGTTCGTTTTGGCATCCACAGTCTGTCCTATCCAAGTTTTAGATGAAGAGACTCTTGATCAATCAGAATGGAGATTAAGGATAATGGCTGTCATATTGCCATTCTTTAATAAGTTATTGATTTCTTAAGATTGAAATTAGCTTTATTTCTCTGGTACCAGCTGTGTGTGTTTACAGTAAGATTTATGCTTTGAGCAGTTTGAATTATTTAATTGCCAATATTGAAATTGAAATTTAATTGTGAATTTGCCAACCTTTTTCAAGGAAGCCTCTATAGCTCAGTGGCAGAGCACTGGTCTTGTAAACCAGGGGTCGTGAGTTCAATCCTCACTGGAGGCTGTCATCAAATGATGCGTGGTTTTTTTTTCCATTTTTATTTTACTCATATTGGATATGAGTTTTTATTTAAACTGATTTCAATAGAACTATCAGGCAAAAATACTTAGTTTGTTCGTTCTAACCATGATGCATTGTTTTGGGTCTAGTCAGCCATGATTATGAGACAGACAAGGATTGACTCGCCAAAGTTTTTGTAGAAACAATGCATTAGACATTTTTTCCAATTAAAACTGAAAATTATGTTTTATGATAGTGTTCTTTCATTTTCAACTAAAAGGAGGAGGGAAAGTATCGCAACAGATTTCTGACAGCCATATGTTGGATTTTGGCTATATTCTGAGGATTTAAACAGATGCATATGTTGGACTTCATATTATGTATTAATTTCCAGCAAGCTCCACGACAGAGCCTAAACACAGCAATCTCAGTGTTCAAACTGATCCCTCTGATTGGACGATAGATGATGTAATCAAACATATTTGTGATGTTGATCCTGCCCTTGGGAATCATACAGAGCTGTTTAGAAAACATGTAAGATATGATTAAAATTATTATCTCATTTTATAGATAGCAGCAATCATAATGTGAAAATCAAATGTCAAATAAGTCCTTGATTTCAGCAACTACACTGATTATCTAAAAATATGAATTTTTCATGATTTTTTAATGTCACCACCAGAACTAGTGATATAGTGCAGTGTTATAGTCTCCATCTTTTTGTGGATGCTGTTTTGGCATTAGATAGACAGGATCTATAACAAATGGCAGGTGGTGATATTTTGCATGTCAATGCCTTGTATCGTTTTGCATTTTGTAGTTCAGTTAATATAAAAGCCTTTCTCATTTTGTATATGTTGAGTGAATTGAGATTTTCCATTCCAGGAAATTGATGGAAAGGCCCTGTTGTTGCTGAATAGTGATATGATGATGAAATATATGGGACTAAAGTTAGGGCCTGCGCTGAAATTGTGTCACATTATTGACAAAGTAAAGGCCCGTAAATGACACCTTATGAAGAGAGCATTCCTGTTATATCCTAACATGCAACCAAAATTCCTTTACTGATGCGTTGTATGAACCAAATCATGCAACCTAGATTTATTTATAAAATGTTGTCTTTATCTAATCATGCAACCAAAATTTTTTTTTATTAATGTGTCATCCTCATTGAATCATCGATTTAAAGTTCCTGTATATGGTGTCATCATTATCAAAAAATCCTTTTTTATGTCCCCACCACATAGTGTGGGGCCATATTGTCGGCCTAGGCGCGTCCGTCTGTCCGTCCGTACGTCCGTCCGTCCGTCTGTCCGTCTGTCCGTACGTCCGGGAGTTTTCTCCAAAACCGCTACAGATATCACCTTCAAATTTTCAGGGATAACTTATGAGTGCATACAGATGTGGATGAAAAAATTTTAACTCGATACCTACTTCCTGTCGGCCATTTTGAAGTCAAATGCTAAAATCCTTGTCTGCAAACTTTAAGAAAAACGGCTTCACAGTTGCTTTTAAAACTTTAACATCTTGTTCAGCTCACTTCATTCTAGATCTGATTAGGTTTTGGACCTGTTAGCTCAGTCATGTCAGCCATTTTGAATGTCTTAAGAAAAGTTACCGCACGATAATACTTTGTATCATATTGAATGGTGTTTTTGAGTTTTCATACTTTAACTATTTAGTAGCTTTATTAATAATTTCAGATCTACTTTGTTGTAAAAGCCTATGTTATTGTTAACAGTAGTAATATGTGATAATTTTGTAAGAAGAAATCAGCAAAAACACATAATCACTTTTTTATTGTCGGCCATTTTGGATTTTTCCGTCCTAAAATCTTGTCTGTGAAGTCTTGTCTACGTGTTTTCAGGTGAACCGTTTGGTGGATCAATTTCAAATTTTCAGGGATATTCTTAGTATAAAAATCTAGATCTGATTTGTTTTTTGGCATTCTGGGTAAATGTCAAGGCAGCCATTTTGGATTTTCCGTCCTAAAATCTTGTCTGTAAAGTCTTGTCTACGCGTTTTCAGGTGAACCGTTTGGTAGATCAATTTCAAATTTTCAGAGATGATTCTTAGTATGAAAATGTAGAACTGATTAGTTTTTTGGCATTCTGGGCAAATGTCAAGGCAGCCATTTTGGATTTTCTGTCCTAAAATCTTGTCTGTAAAGTCTTGTCTATGCATTTCCAGGTGAACCGTTCTGTAGATCAATTTCAAATTTTTAGGGATGATTCTTAGTATGAAAATCTAGATCTGATTAGTTTTTTGGCATTCTGGATAAATGTCAAGGCAGCCATTTTGGATTTTCCGTCTTAAAATCTTGCCTGTAAAGTCTTGTCTACGCGTTTTTAGGTGAACCGTTTGGTAGATCAATTTCAAATTTTCAGGGATGATTCTTAGTGTGAAAACCTACATCTGATTAGTTTTTTGGCATTCTGTGTAAATGTCATGGCAGCCATTTTGGATTTTCTGTCCTAAAATCTTGTCTGTAAAGTCTTGTCTATGCGTTTTCAGGTGAACCATTTGGTAGATCAATGTCATATTTTCAGGCATGATTCTTAGTATGAAAATCTAGGAACAGATTAGTTTTTTGACATTCTGGGTAAATGTCAAGGCAGCCATTTTGGATTTTCCATCCTAAAATCTTGTCTGTAAAGTCTTGTTTACATGTTTTCTAGTTAACTGTGTGACGGATCAATTAAAATTGTGTTGGTAAAGTTTTGTCTACTCATTTTCAGGATAACCATTTCATGGGATCACCCATTGGTGGGGACATTTTGTACACATTTGTGTTCTTGTTTATATAAAGTGTTGATCTCCGTGGTATGAGTTACCACAATAAACTACAAGGGAGAATTAGCTAACGATGATTGCAATATTAATTACACGTTGCCATAGCTTATGACTTTTAATTGTTTAGACAGGATAAATTAGCCACTACACTATTATTTAATTTTTCAACTGAAACATTGGTTGATCAATCTACAGTTCTTATAAAGATACACAAAAAGACAGAGATTCATACATATATGATATGAAAGGTTCGAAACAATCATTCCAAAAATGATTTTGTAGTTAGGACGTGTCCATATAAAAGTATATCATGCATGTGTAGCTCTATAAAAAACATTGACAATCTAGCAATGAAAGCGTTAACCTTTATTTAGAAACATTAATTTAATTTTTATTTAGTTACTCTATCATTTCTATCAAGAGCATACATATTAAGGATTCAGATAAAAAATCAAGATTTGCCAATTGTTAATTATTTTTATTCGGGGGAGGTGGTGATTTTAACCATATGATTATCAGTGTTTTCTAGGGTAATTTGTCTTTTGGCAAAAATTGTTGTTTTGATAAGATCCCTAAAGTGCCATCCCTAACATTCAGTAAGTTCAAATGTCATCAAAAGCAATATAATTGAGTACATCCACATTATTGGGCTAAATTATGAAATTCCAATAATTCAAAATATTCTCAATTACTTGCGAGAGTAGATATTCTAAAGTACACTCTTGCCACAAATATATTGAGATCGAAATATTAATTACACCCCTGTTCAAACATATGGAAGGGAAACATTAAAATGATTACCCTCTGTGTTACGCGATATACACTCCTCCCAAAATTATTGGAGTGTAAATATATACACTCCCTTCACAACCATGGAGGAAGGGTAAAAAAGGAATGCTCTCTTCGTAGACTGAATTTAAGTTTAAGTTTTTTTTGTATCATAGTTTATATTCTTTTTCATAGATTACGTTTGAATAATGATATTTATTCAAGTTTGTACAGAAGTATGATGTACAATGCATTCTAAGATCTAAAGTATGTATGTGTATGGATATGTACATATTGTATTCATGATGCCATATATTCTGTACATTTAGTTATGAGTACGGTTTTGTTTAAACATGGACTAATGAAAATAGACAGAAAAATGTCTTTCTTTGGCAAATGTAAATCCAGGTGGAGGTGGTGATATATTTTGCAAGTTGGTCCCTCTGAGATCTCAGTTTTCACCAATCCTCTCTGAAATAAAACAGTTAAGCAATTTAATATTTTATGCCATGTGCATACATGTTTATATGGTTTTCTTTAATAATTTTCTTGGTATCCCTTCACTGCAAAATATTAAATACTGAAATGGAGAAAATGTCAATTCAGCTGAAAAATTTTAAAATGGTGACCCAAATGTTTTGGTTTATCAGTTCTCATCATTATTTGGTAAAGGTAGCCACAAAATCTTATTTTAAAGTTGCCATTTTGACTTTTCTGTCTTATTACCTTATCTGTTGCCTTTTCTACACTATGTTCTGATTCATGTGATAATGTTAATCCATTAAAATAGAAACTACACAATCATCATAATATTCTTAATAGTCAATTCATGGGTGCAATATTGTTCACTCTGTGTCTTGTTGAGAAAATTGGTGAAATGGTCACTGAGATCGTAGAGGAACATACTTTTAAAAGCCCACCTAATGCATTAATTTTGAACTAAATTCTGCTAATGGGTTAAGGCAATTTAGAATTTTTAGTTAATCTTTGAAAGTCCATCATTCAAGTATGAAACATGTACAAATATAAATACACAGTATATGTGTACTATTTATTTGCACAAATGTGTAAAATATGCACATGTACAATTATATTGTTTTATGTGCAAATCGCCATTATGTGTTCAATGTACAATGTTATACTTTGTCCATATTTACATATGTGGATAATGTACATGTATAAAGGTATAACATTGGTCAATGTGCAATCAAAAGACACAATAGTATTTCAATGTGCACTTATAAACTCGGTGCATATCAATGTACACATGTACAGTCTCATTCAGTGTAAACATACACAATATCAATTAATGTACACATGTAAAATTCCATTCAGTGCACACTTCCACATGCACAATGGTGTTCAATGGACACATGTGCAATAGGCTTCAATACTATACACATGTTTAATTGTGCATAATGCACAATGTATAGTAGTGTTCATTATACACATATACAGTTGTGCATGATGCACAATGAATAGTAGTGTTCATTATGCACATGTACAGTAGTGTTCAGTATACTATACACATGTACAGTTGTACATGATGTACAATGTATAGTAGTGTTCATTATGCACATGTACAATAATGTTCAGTATACTATACAGGTAGTGTTCATAATATACATGTACAGTAATGTTCAGGATACTACACACATGTACAGCTGTGCATGATGCACAATGTATAGTAGTGTTCATAATATACATGTACAGTAGTGTTCAGTATAGTATACACATGTACATTTGTACATGATGCACAATGTATAGTAGTGTTCATTATGCACATGTACAGTGGTGTTCAGTATACTATACACATGTACAGCTGTATATGATGCACTTGTATAGTAGTGATTTATGCACATATTTACTGTAGGGTTCAATTTTGTCACATTTAAAGTTCATCTGTTAATTAAATCTGTTTAAAAAGAGTTGTACCTCAAATGATTAATTGATTATGCCAAAATTGGATGCAATTTTTACAAAATTATAACCCAGTCAAGTGCTGCAGGTACACGAATCACTGTTTAAATATCTATTTCCTCATCTCATGGTGTATTATCAAAATTATCCCATAGCTGTATTTAAGATATGAACATGTTAAATTGGGAAAATGTAACAGTGTGATAAGTGATGTTGAGCTTAAATTGGTCACTGCAGTGGAAACATTGCCAGACATGAAAGTTCAATGTAGCTCTTGTACCTTAATTTTACACCATGGGTATTGCAAGGGATGTTCAATAAACACTTGTACAAATGCTCTTATTTTCATGAACTAGAATACTTAAGTCTAGTTACATATACATATGAAAAAGAAAAACCTGATCTTTTAGGTATAATGCTCATCTTTATGTATTAAAGTTACTATAACTGTGAAATTACCAAAGTTAATTCATAATATTATGCCAGTATTAACCTTATATAACTTTAAATTTCTGAATGTTTTTTCCTGTTTCGTTCATAGATATGAAGAGCATTTGTATGAGAATATATTGGACAGCCCTCGTATAATATCAAAAGAAACGCCTCTACTTCTTTTAACTGTCTGAAAAGGTTGACTCTTGTGGTAATAGGAATATCTTGCCAAATATTGAGGTATTGAATGTAGAATAAGTAATTCACATACATTACCAATACTGTAATGTATATTTTGGAACCCAGGTTGGAAAATATGATGGTTCTCAAAATCCATGAAATGGAAAATTAATGATTTTATTTTCATATCTGTTTTCTTGTTATTTTTGTATATACAGTATATATCTGTAAATATTTTGTACATATCTTGTTAAGAGAAAAGTCACTTGTATACCGGTAAAAGGGATAAATATTATATACATGTACATGTAGTTAGTATTGCAAATATGTATACACTTGTAAGTTGTATTAAGAAAGTCTGGTCACTGAACATGTTAAGCTGAAAATGTGTCTGCAAGGTTGATGCTTTCAGCTTAACATGATCACTGAGTTGATAAACTCTTTACTTACTAGATAGGATTCCTTGTATGTTATCTACTTCATAGGATTCCTTGTAGTTATCTACTAGATAAGATTCCTTGTATGTTATCTACTAGATAGGATTCCTTGAACATTATCTACTAGATATGATTCCTTGTATGTTATCTACTAGATAGGATTCCTTGTATGTTATCTACCAGATAGGATTCCTTGTATGTTATCTACTAGATATGATTCCTTGTGTGTTATCTACTAGATAAGATTCCTTGTATGTTATCTACTTGATAGGATTCCTTGTATGTTATCTACTAGATAGGATTCCTTGTATGTTATCTACGAGATAGGATTCCTTGTATGTGATCTACTAGATAGGATTCCTTGTATGTTATCTACTAGATAGGATTCCTTGTATGTTATCTACCAGATAGGATTCCTTGTATGTTATCTACTAGATATGATTCCTTGTGTGTTATCTACTAGATAAGATTCCTTGTATGTTATCTACTTGATAGGATTCCTTGTATATTATCTACCAGATAGGATTCCTTGTATGTTATCTACTATCTAGTAGTAGTTTAGCTAGGTGGTGCCAAAAAACTAGATATCAAAATCAACTGAATGACAATAAAATCTCATTTGCTAATATACAATACACTGTCATGTTAAATTGTTTACAATGGAATCAGCTAAGTCTGATAAAAGTTGAGGTTACAAATGATAAGCTGTTTTGTGGTAGAAATATGGAGGTGTTTGGGAGTTGTTCAATAGGTTAGAATTAAAAGGAGAATCCATCTTTCATTATGCCCGATGATTTTAAAAATTTAAAGATTATCTTGGAATTTAAGATGCAGACATACAAACATGTCGTGAATATGAATGTACGAACGAAGAAGTTCCAAATCCTCTGCTGTCAGTCGGTAGTAATTTTATGAGTGTACCAACCAATCAAATTACTTTCACGAAAACTAATTAAATCTGAACGAATATCTCAGTGAAATCCAATTGGTTGTGAGGTTTATCATTATGGTTACATGACCAAGTGATTTCTATCAATGGCAGTTCTGGAAATTCGAAAAGAAATCAAAAAACCCTCTGAATCTGATTGGTTGCTTGGGTTCAAGTCATGACACAAGTGTGCCACTTGATGGGAATTCTCCTTAGGGTGGAAACCTCAATTTGCGTTCAATTCTGACAGTTGGTTGTTCTGTTGGTTTTCTCAATACATCAGAAACACTGTGCCCATAAGTTGGTCTCAAGATATATCTCAGGTAGCAATTAATGATGGGACATCACTGGTTGTCTGGGTACATGAAGGATGAGAGCAAAAATGCACAAGAATGACAATTCTGAGTTATTCTCAACTCCACATCCCTACTACATGTACTACTGGTTTAAATAACATTAAGGATAACACTTGATGATGTAGAGAACATCTCAGTCTGTCTGTACTTCCGTCCGTCCATCTGTCCATCCATCCAGGCAATAACTCAAGATAACTCATGATTAGATCAGTATTGATTATATTTTATAGGTATATGCCCCATCAGAGTACAAGTTCGGCTTGAAAGCCAATTTTAAAAATGGCCACCAGATTCCAAATGGCCAACATTTTAGTGTCAATGTTACAGTATTTTAGGTACAACATATAAAACTGTAATTTTAAAATGCTTTAAATGCCAAAATTTATTTAAGATATTGAGTTGAAAATCTAAATATTTAAAAACATGGTGGCTATTTTGAAAAATGGTGACTGATACACATCATTTTTACAATATTTGCTGTAACTTGAAAAGTAATAAAGCATTTTGTGCCTACTTCGAACTTAATTTTAACAATTTGGCTAGTGAGTGGACATTTTGAAAAATGGTAGCCATATTTATGTTTGTTATTTTATGATTTTTGCTATAACAGAAAAAGTAGTGGGGGGATTTTGTAAAAGCAGCAATGGCAGTTTGATGGGATTTGCTATCCCTTGGCGTTCCAGTTATCTAATTATATATACATATACAATTATATCATCTTTATATACATAAAAGTATTAAATGTGCAATGTGCACATTAAAAATATCTAATATTGAAAATTTGTATTCACTAATTCACAATGTTTAACGACTAGATTAACAATAATAACAATATAAAATAAAAAATAATCTAAAATTGAATACAATACAAATCTGATAAAACAGTAAAAAGCGCATAAAAAACAAGAGAATACTAGAATTTGAAAGGTACAGCAGTGAGTGGCAAAGATGCATGCTTATACAAAATATTTCATGAAAAGATTTGAGTCAGCTTAATCTATTTCTGTGACTGTCACTTTCTTTCATTAGAAATTATGGTACACCAACAACACAAGTGCAGTGCATGAGTACAGTACGGCACATGAGTGCATAACACATAAGTGCAGTGAATGGTACATGTGTACATAAAATATAGTTTAGCATGGCTAAGTACTGTACTTATTGCACTGCTTCATTTTAAATCAATATTTTTAATGATGTTAATTTAAATACACTTAATGCCTATTCATGATTGCATTGATATTATTTTCATAACTATCAAAATGTATTCATCTGTTTCAGATGTTTACAAGTTTGTGTAAAAAACCGGGTGACCGGATACTTAATGTTCCTAGCAGGGTTAGGAATTTTTTTTATTTATAACGTTGGATACATGTACATTATTTTCGACGTCACGTTTTGAGGTTATTTCACATCGTAAGAACGTTTTGACAACGTTAACTTCTAACGTTCAAATAACATCCGTAATGAACCGATTTAGTGAGAACATATTGACGTCTTTGTAACGTTTCCTTAACTCACAAATATTTTGAAGCCATTTCCACAATGTTGAAATTCAACCATCCATTGATGTTTTGCTGAATATTTAAATAACGTCAGATCAATACGGTCCATGAACGTCATTATTGACGTCACGTTTTGAGGTTATTTCAAATCCAAAAAAACGTTTCGACAATGTTAAATTTTAACGTTAACAATACGTAGGAAATGAACCGACTTAAATGTAGTGAGAACACAAAGTTTTCCACCAACAAATATTTTGATATTAAAAGCCTGTTTTGACAACGTTGAATTTTAACGTTTGAGTTACGTCACATATGGACCAATGTAGTGAAATATCAAACGTTCCACACTAATGAACTTTACGGACACGTTACAACAACGTTCTTTTTATACAATCAATAGATGTCTCATGTTAACGTTGCATCGATGTGTAAAGAACTAAAATGTGCAACGTCTTTTAGGAATTATATGCTACTTATGAGCAACGTGACATGGACGTCACTGTTTATTTTAAAAATTGCTCTGTCTCGTATAGGGTAAAAATATCGAACAGCAGTGCACTCGGTAGGCTAAGTCTGTCAAGTCAATATACGCTACTATATATTGGGGGGAAATGTGGAACTTTGAAAGTTGGTAACCCTGCTAGGAACGTTAGGTACCCGGTCGACCGGGTACCCAGTTACCCGGTTTTTTACACAAACCGGATGTTTACATTTCAAATATGAAAAACTAATCACGTAGAAAGTATTATGATTGGTCACAGACTTTCAAGAATTAAAAGCCCATGGACTGGAGTATTTCCCTGTACATGTTCGAGGCTGAAACCATAGTATTAAGGGTGGTTCTGCTTCATGACCAGGTAGTCTGGAGTTTTTCCACATTACTTGTGATATGTACGAAAATGTATTGCTATGTTAATCACAGGCCTTCAAAAACCCTCAAAATATGATAGCATTCAATGTATGGTGATGTTTAATTTAAAACATATTGGTAAGATGCAGAATGCTTCAGCAACTGGAACACTCTTTAGCTTTTCTGCATTTGAATGAAAGTGTCACATTTTGTGACAGTCTTCTCAATATATAATCTATTTCAAAAATATGTAGTCTGTCTAATGATATGGCTCCTCATTGAGTTCAGGAATATTCCATAGGAATGTTTCTGTAAAATCTGGCAGGGATTTAGTTTACACAAGACTCAGCTGTTCCCATTGTTCTGCATTAGACACAGCCTTCGTCGGATCATCAGACCACATGATGTGTCCCTTTTGTTCACGATGAGTCTCTTTAGCTGCATCCTGATATCGCCAATCAACTGACCAACGAATGATCTTGGAATGATTATAGCCACCACGGTGGATTAAGATGTGAGAGAAGAACACTACATCTCCCGGGTCGCATTCAATATCGATGATATCATTCTTGTGTTGTTCTATGACCTCATCAGGTATCTGAGTAGCATAAGTTCCATAAACTGACTCTGTACCATACGTCGCAGTTTCTCGATACCGATGTAATAGCTTATGCTCTTGAATCCCCAGCTTATGACTGCCTGGGATGAATTTCATACATCCAGTCTCAACTGTTGCAGGTACCAGTGGAGTCCAGCAATTAACTGTCGCGTCACGACCAAATGCATCCATACGCTCAGGAAGAGGTGCCGTATTAGGGCTTCCATCAGGGGCCAAACCAGCATCCTGATGCCATACAACCTCATGCGGGCAGTAATCGGGAAACTTTGGTCTGATGCTGTAATTTGGGAATATACGAATGTCCTTCGCGGGGGATAAGATTTGATGGACAACTCCAAGGAGTCGTGGGTTACTGAAGAGTTTATAGAATTGTCCTTTGTGTAGCTCAGATCGGTACAATAACGGCGCATCATCAAGATTATCTCCAACAACCTTCAACAAACGAGTTTCAAATGGTTCATCTTTGAAATCATCTGAATTTTTGCCCTTGGAAATTAATTTTTGAATCAACTCATTTGTGAGCTGATTACAGCCATCTCGTACTGAATCGACAGTTTCAGTGTCCAGTAACCCTTTCATTACCACATATCCTTTCTCGTTGAAGTGCTCTAGCTGCTCAAGATCCATGTTTTACATCAAGCATAAAATGACAGTGACTTTTAAAGATGGCGAAGGTCATGTGATCTTAAAAGGTATAAAAATCACGTGACAGGTCAATCACTATCTGATATTTCGTTCAGAGCAATCGTGCCTCGTTCTTATCCCGGGATTCTTGTGTAGACTGTGTTGGCACCACTCGAAACTGCTTTTGTAGACATATGTCATGAGATCAATCATACAGTCAGGGCCACCTATTCTCTACTTTACTATGTATATCAGATATATGGTGCTTACTGGTAAATCAAGGAATTTATTTTTCCCTGGAATCTTTTTGAAAGCTGTTCGTTAGTCTCAGATGAAAGTCACAAATAGCCAAATAGGTTTAATTTATTTCATTGCTGGGGTATAAGGCCATTATACTTTTTTTAAATTGAACCTGGGAAATAAAGGGTTATGGATTATAGTAGTATAGTCTCAGATCGAATTAATAATTGCTTTGGGGGCACAATCATCTTGGGCGGAGGGGATGAGAATTGTATTGAAAATCGGGCAAAGTCCGATGCGATGCCTTTGATTCCTGAATTAAAATGTACTGTTGAAAGTTAACTGTTAAATGTCCTAAAGAGGGACATGCTAGTAATCTTTGGAGGGTGGGAAGTCAGTGGTAAAGTAAACCTATAAAAACGATAGGGTTGTTAACAGTGTTGACCAAGTTCAAAAGAGGAGGGAGCATCTCTTCTGGCATAGATATTGCTTAAACTATTTAAAACAACCTATAGCCTTAATTTTTAAGAATCTCTAGCACTTAAATGTTTCATATACTGAATTGCATAGCTCTAGCAACAGACTAGACAGAAAAAATATTCTACGATTTATTACTACCTTGTATTAATGTTAATCGAGCAAGGGGTTGTGTCAAAATATAAAGATTTGGGAAATAATGTTATTTTATGGAGGATTGGGTAAATAAGAGATAATTCACTTGTTTAAGTGTTCCATGGTATGCCAAGTACGCAAATGCGTATAAATGCATTTGAAAAAATAAAATGTGTGTATTTATAAATTTGTCTTCCACCAAATTATATATGATTTAACATCTTAAAAATTGTCCAAGAGCCCACAGATATTTTGCGCCAAACGGCAGTAAAATTATGTGGAGTATTTGAGATCTAAATAATACCTTTGGAGTTTTTGAATCAGCTTTCCAATGGTACCATTAGTATAATATGGTATTCTATTCCATTGACGGTTTTTGAAGGCAAAGTGGGAGGGCATTTTCTTTTAATTAATTGAAAATAATCATATCCCCCTTGGTCTTCGGAAAGATAGTCGTGTTGCCAGTTTTAATGCTTTTAGCCAATCTAGATATCAACATATACTAGTAAATATTTTCAACAAATCAAAATAAGATATTATTCCAGTTCGGTTCAAAACTCCCACCACCACTGTTAACAACCAACGAAACTAAAAGCGTTCAACTCAAAAAGTCAACACAAGCACCGCAGTCCAATATAAAATGTGGTCATAACAACGCTCGTAACCCATGTAACCAAGCAGCACTGATTGAGAATAGAAGTACAGTTTGATGACACGGCCACTAGATGACACAATTCTAAAATAGCGTAACCTACATAAACCCCCTTCCTTATCTTCCTTGTTGAAGAAGGGGTGGGAGGGGGGGGGGGCTTGAAGCAACACTAAGTACAACCATGTACTATAGCAATCATAAACTATGGAATGACAAAACGTGGCACAACCACAAAATAGCAGAACCACAAGTTGACAGCCTCTCAGTCAATGATACAACCATGGATGACACAACCAGAAAATAACACAATTACAGCATGGACCTGGCACAACCACAAAATAGCAGAACCACAAGTTGACAGCCTCTCAGTCAATGATACAACCATGGATGACACAACCAGAAAATAACACAATTACAGCATGGACCTGGCACAACCACAAAATAGCAGAACCACAAGTTGACAGCCTCTCAGTCAATGATACAACCATCGATGACACAACCATAAAATAACACAATTACAGGATGGACCAATCTTGCATTTTAATTACTGTATGTTTGTTTATATCAAGTTTGTTTATTTTCATTTTGATCATGAATTGGTTGTCGTCCTATTTTATTTGTTGCATACAGTCAGTCTTTTAAACAATCTGAAATATTTGTGTAGTTGGGATATTCTGTAGTATGACATTGGACACGATTGTGAGATATACTATAAAATGTTTATCGGTACATGAATCAGAAATGTCCAATGTATGTATTAATTCTAATGTCAGATAAACTTCGAATCAAATAACTATCATGAAATAAAGACAGAACTCTCTGATATTTTGAAAATTGGCATGACATGGAATGATGACAGCAACAAATATGAATTGTAGCAATTTTTGAGAAAATTAATCTCAAGCCTTCTCCAGTCTGTCTTTCATGTCTTTGTTGCATCATTAACAAAATCAGTTCTTTTAAAATATACTGTATTTATTCTGTAATACATAAATAGATATATAAAAAATGAAGTCCCCAGTTTTCCCAATCTTCCAAATCGTGAGTCAATGGCACTCAAAACAGTCACAGAAGGTATGCAAATTTGGCAAATAAAGATGAACATGTTTTATGTACATGTAATGTATTTTAGCAATTGATACCCAGTTCATTCCAAAATCATTAATTCACGTAATTCTCTAATTGGTAGAAAGTAGGAGTTTTTATTGAAAGATGTCTGGAATACTATGTTCGTTTCAAGGCCATAAAATAAAAATTGCACATTTTAGTTTATTTATAATTTTTACTTGACAATGGCTTAGCTTGTACATAGACTAATAATGTACAGTAAAAACTATGTACATGTCAGGGGAATGACTTTGGTTCCTCTTAATAAGTGTTCCCTATTAAATCGATGCGATTTCCATTTGACAGTTTTTAACTGTCATGTATTTATATAACTGTCAATAAAAGAAATATTTATAACTAAAAAATTCCATATATCTTCCCTCTAAAGACCTTTAGGTGCAGAAATAGATGGCGATTTAGGTTGCCCTGGCGACGCACCACCAGTGGCTCCTTTGTTTACTGCAATGTTTATTTCTGGCAATACATTTGATGATGTAATAATGTCCACTTTGTCTTGGAGTTGGAATAAGTTGTTAGTCATGAGCCTCAAGTTGTGAGAGACATCCTGAAAATAAATGCACAGTTATTGATACAACTGTATTGATATGCTAAACAGCTAAATTCATTCACTTTTTGATAATCTTAAGAAATAACTTTTTGGTTTTATGGAATCATTCCATTAAACCATAGACTTTCCAGGCTCTTGTCCTTTAAAGCTCATTTTAAACCAAAAGCGTCCTCTATATTGTGTTTCAAATTTGAACTAATCAAAAGCCTAAAATTCCTTTTCGAGTTATCCCAGGAACCCCTTAACTAAAAAGTTCTTAAATTTAAAACGGACACCCAGTATTTCTTAACAGGGATTTGGACTCCCCATGCTTCCTCATCCCCACTATGGTGACAGAAATAAATCAAATCATCCATACTCGTACTCCATTTTACCTGTACATGTGTTTGTGATTTCAAAAGTCCCTGTGTGATGTGATGTAAATCCTTTGCTGACGTCATATAGGTCTGTGAAACCTGGTTGTACAGGTGGCGTCGAAAACTAATGTTCTTTTCCCGAAGTTTCCGGTGTAGTAATCTGCAGATATAAACATGAAGTCATTTAGTGTATGATGCAAAGGAAGAATTATTTTTGATTCCATTACATCTCTAACTATTTATATATATAATCTATTATTGACTCTTTGGTGTCATCACAATGACATATTAGTCAGTACAATGTACAATATACAAAGAAATGAGTTAATTTCCAGACAAGCTATTTAGTATAACGATTAAAACCTGTCTAATCTGAATGAGACAAACCAATGGTGTTCACATTCCAAGATTTGTTAACATGTGATTCAGTGGGATATTACAAAATTGGGACCAAAGAGAAAGAGTTCATATCAAGAGGTGTTCGAATCATAACAGTGATAGGATAGCTTCAAATACAAATACATCACTCGATAAAGTGTTACTCACGTGTCAAACTTGAGTGGTTCCTTGATGTCGCTTCCAGTTCTAAGTGATCTAGTAATCTGCTCCTCTTCCCCTGGTACACTATCACCTTTACCATTTTCATCAACTAAAATACATTACATATTGAAATGTTCATATTTTCTATAACAGTATAAGAGTCAGTCCTGCATCAAAACCCTTGACCCCCCCCTTTATGTGAGGATGAACATTTGGTTGTAACAAGACTGTGTTGCTTTGAAATCTCTCTTAGATTTCTTACATTTTGAGCTAAATGCTATTTGAATCAGGTTAGGCAGTTAGGTGTCTGAGTGCAGGAGTCATGTTATAAATCTTGATTTTAAAATTGATACAAATTTCAGTTCTAATATTTCATTGTGGTTGGATCAGCTTTTAATATTGAACATTGGCTAGGAAGGAATAATGATTTAACTTTTATCAGGGAATCTGTCTACTGTATCTTGCTACTAACTAACACTGTACCTGAGAGTGGTGTCACCCCTTCCGTTTTAACTTCATCATCTGACTCTTCCGATTCCGAAGCCTCCCCTGCCACAATCACACCCTGAGGCTGAAACACAACAAAATAATACGTAGTTAAATACACAATCACAGGATTGAAAATAACAAAATGAAAGTTAAAAACATAATCACACATTGGGACTGAAAACAAAAAGATATTAGTAAATACAAAATCTCACTCTTGGGCTAAAAAAACAATATACAGTGTACTACCAATCACATCATCTGGCTAAAACAAGAGACAATATTTCAGATAAATAATGGTCTGGATTAAGAGCATCTTCAAAAGAGCACTTTCAAAGTGGCTACAAAAATCATCTCCATTGATCTAAATCAATTACCCTTTGCAATCATTCGACTTCTTAAAAGAGAGCTTCATCTTCATAGTTTGTGACTAGACTCTGACCGCAGAGTATAAATCAACTAAAGTCAAAATATGATAAATGAATTTTTTTAAAACTTACGCTTGACATAGGATGCTTGAAAACAAACATGATACAGTAATTCCTTCACCCGGACCTTGCAAAAACTCTCTCATCAATAAATTAAATTTCTTACAGTCAAATTATTTCTGACTTTTTTCAGTTAAATTATGTATAAAACAATAGCATTAGAACTCTAGACATATGATCAACCTTAGAACTGTTACTAATTTATTGATATTAGATGTATATAAATGTATATCATTGTATACAGACAATAGAATCTCAAATGAGTTATGTTGTTCAAGTTTAGACTTTATACTTTTTAAAGATAACTTCGCCTTATGAATTATTCCATATTAATAAATATTAAGAGTAAAAATCATCTTCGATGAGTAAAATGGCATATTTTTGTCTATCTTATTGAATATACATTCAATATTTTTCACACTTTAAATTTTTTGCACTTTAGACTTTTTAAAGATAACCATACCTTACAAATTATTCCATATTAATAAATGTTACAAGTAAAAATCATCTTCGATTTATAAAAATGGCATATTTTTATCTAATTTATTGAATATACATTCAAGATTCATCTTTTATTGACTATAGTCTATGTCTGTTAATCATTCAATTTGTATGATATGTTCCAGTGTTTTATATTTTGAACAAACATACAATTTTCTAAGGGATAAAATTGTTGTTTACCAAACTTGACTATAATGTTTGGTAATAAACAGTAATATCATTGAATTAATATGTTTTCCTCTCCATTTTACATTTTGGCTTGTAAACTTTAAATTATGTTGCAATCTTCTTAACTCAGAAAATAACATGTTTACATGGAGAAATCATGCAAAAGCATGACAACAAAGACTCACTCTAGGCCTAAATGCCTATAAATAACTAATAAACTGATAGTAGGGTCACTAAGAAACATGGAATTACTCGATAGACTGTCTAGTATTCAATTGATACCATATCGGAAATGGGTATGTTTTTCTTTTTAGCTTAAAAATGATTGTATGGTGAGAGAGATACATGTAGCATGTAGTCATCAATCTAGGTACATATAATATTATGTACTCTTTGGCACTGTGCAAAACTGAAAGATGTAGAAAAGTAGACCCAGATATATGGATTGAGTTATTACTTAAAAATAACTTGGGACCCATAAGGAAGCCTGGAAGCCATAAAGGTCAAGTATCAAGAGAAGGACTTGTTCCAATAAGCACACATGTGACTTTTATATTGAATATGGTCTCAAGAAAACAAAAGTTTAATGCATTAGTTTTGATTGCAGAAACATATCAATTGATGATTATTTTTAATGCAGAGAAAGAAATACAGCAGCTGTAGAGTATGTGAACCTTAGTGATGACAACTAAAAAGATCATCTGCGACATTTCTTTTCAAAATTTTTTATGTGTGCTTATTGGAATCTCTCAATATCTTGCCCGTTTTAAAACCGCACTGTGTGCTCATTAGAGAGACTATACTATGGTATTCTAAACATTTTTGACTGAACACTTTATAGCCGACAAGCCAACTCTTAGCTGCGGGTAAAATATTTAGATACAAATCGACCTCTTACTTGGTGTAAATGATGAAAATAAAAATTTCCTCCAACAAAAGTTCATCCTCTTTGTTATTAAAATGTAACGTCTTTATAACCAGGTTATTATACATCAATAAGGTCATAGGGGGATATGGGATGGAGTGTATTTATTCATAAGGTATCATATGTATGGGTGCTTGGATCACATTATTTATATAAAAATATAATGTAATCAGGGTTTATTAGTTCCGCTTCTCGAAACAAGCAGAACTATTAACTTTACGCGCAAAAGACAAAATGACCATGGACATAAGACCTAGTCAGGGCCATAAGATTGTCGTATAAGAAACGAGGCCCCAGACTACACCCGATTTCCTGGCCTGACTTCGTTGGTAGAAATTGAAATATAAGAATTACCTGAAGATTAGGAGTCTTACTTACCCTCTAGAGGTTAGAGGGTAAGTTCTAGAAGTTTCAATATAATAAATTACTGAACATTTGTGAAAATTGAATGTTTGTTAGTTGATTTTATAATTAACATGTGTGTTTATTCTTCCATACTTTGGTCTAAATTATAAAGCATCACGAACAGGTCCTACTGTATTAATAGACTAATACAGCAGATGATCCATTCATACTTTCTGCGCAGCATGTCATTCAGACCAATAGTTCAACTGTAGATCATGCAGTTTCTTCTATCTTAGAACAGGCCCTCCTCTACCCTGTCTTAAACTCGTCTGCAAACGACCGCAAAACCTTCTTTCCTAATTTTCACATCAGACATGGTCGGATAGCCTTGCCCAAGTCGGTCTAAAAAATACCGACTTGGGCAAGGCTAATGGTCGGATGACATGTCACAAAATTAAAGTTCAAGGTCAATACATTATTTCCTGATAAGGGCAATGCCTTCCTGAAGTAAACATGAGGAAAATGGAATAGTCCAAAAAGCATTTACTCAATCAAGTACTGTGCTTATGCTTCATCATGAACAAAACAAAGCTGATATGGTTTCATTAAAATGTGTGTTCTAACCTCTAGAGGGTAAGTAAGACTTCTAATCTTCAGGTAACTCTTATATTTCAAGTTCTACCGAAAAATAGGTGTGAAAATCCCCATGTTAAAATTATGAGGGACAAGAAGGGCTGAAGGAAGTATACATGTAAATTTGTTCCTCCGCCAACTGCATCATGGGAAATATTATAAGGAAAGATTTTTGCGTCTCGTCTTTTGAAGAGGGAACAATAATTTCGAGAATTAGATTAAACCCATAGGAGACAGGTTACCTGAAAAGGAAGATAGATATCATTATCTCTTATCTAAACAAAGATAAGAGATAATGATATCTATCTTCCTTTTCAGGTAACCTGTCTCCTATGATTAAACCTATCATTTGTTGGACTAAATTGGCTTATATGGTCCATGGTTGACAAAGATGAAGGTGACATGGTAGTCTATATCCAATAGACTGAATTTCCTGAGAATTCAGTATATTGATCATTATGTCCCTCCTGTGGACTTATGCCTGGGACAACCGTCACATTGTTATTAAGTGTTTTTAAGTTTCGCAAGGATCTTGCCATGACCGTGGTAGTGTTATGGCCTAGTCACATAGCCCGGCCGATGAGGTTACGATGAGCCAGCGATGCAATTTTCACCGAACTCGGCCGAACACCAGCCGGACATCCGTGGCGTTTGTTGCTTAAAACCGCATCGGTGGTAGCTCGGTGAAATTTTAACTTCGGAGTTAAATTTCACCGGGCTCTCACCGAGCTCCCTCATCATGTCATCGCAGCCCCATCGTAACCACATTGGAAAACACGTCGGCCGGTGCACGGCCGAGTATCGGCCGGTGTCCCGTGCATCTGAGACAACCAGAGGACAAGGTTTTTTAACGGACAGCGGCCGAGCTCCGACCGAGCTCCGGCCGATGTGGGACAGAGCATCGGCTGGTCACTGTTCAAAGCCCGTTAACAACCCGGCCGGCGATCGCACGGTGTCCTGTTACCTGCTCGGGTACCGGCCGTATTCCTTCCGATGTCCGGCCGACCTCCGGCCGGTAGTTGCTGCCACATCGGCAGAAAAAAACTACCATTTTGAGACAGACTCCGTACAGTCACCGGCCGGTGTTCGGTCGGTCGCCTGAAGATGCTTCCGATCTGCTTCCGATGAGGAGAGCTCGGTGGCACCAAAAAAATCCACCTAGCTCTACCGATGCCGGACATCGGCCGGGCTATGTGACTAGGCCATTAAAGCCTGATATGACCGTAATAATGGTTGCATGACCTGCAGGCCTGCCATGACTGTGGTAATGTTAAGTACAATATGACCGTGACAGTGGTTATAATAAGTGACATTTAGTAGCATGAGAATACTGTAATGAAAAATTTCATTGTTTATCTACCTTAAATATGTAAATCTACACTACTACTTCATGCACAACTACTTTAACTCATAATTCCTTTCCACAAACTATAATTCTAATCTCATTCAAGAATGTGAACATAGTCACGGTCATATCAGGCTTTAACATTACCATGGTCATGACAGGCCTTACAACCTTTACCACAGTCATATAAGGCTTTAACATTACCATGGTCATGACAAGCCTTGCAATATAATATAGCATTGTCACGGTCATATCAGGCTTTAACATTACCATGGTCATAACAGGCCTTGCAAATTAATATAGCATTGTCACGGTTATACCAGGCTTTCACGATAACAATACCACGGTCATGGCAGGATCCTTGCGAAACTTAACAAGGCACAGGACGACGAGGACGTGAACGAGATCACACCATCAAATAGGCAGACACTATGAACCAGGAAAACTGTTCTCCTATTATGTTTACAAATTTCAAGAACAAGAAAACAAGATGGCCACCCAAAAGTTAATCAGCTCTAGTACTTGATATCCTCTATCATTTGTGTAAATTTGAAGGAAATCCAATGAGCGGTTTTCCTGAAATGGCGATGACAAGATTTTTCGAAAAACCTTCAAAATGGCCGCCAGAAAACAAGATGGCCACCCAAAAGTTAATCAGCTCTAGTACTTCATATGCTCTA